CCCGATGCAGGTGCAGATGGAGGCACCAAGGGTGACGAGGTCACAGGCGCAGAGGTCGCGGCCGTCGAGGACGCGACCATCCACGCGGGCACCGCAGGCACAGGCGGAAGAATCGGCGCCGGAGGTGCCGCGGGCACAGCGAGAGCCGAAGGCGCAGGAGGCTCAGCAGTCGGAGCCTGCATGCGGGCCAGGAGGTCGAGCTGACCCTGAAGCACAGCTTGCTGACGCTGTAGCTCCCCGAGCTCCCGGCCACGCTGCTCATCGCGATCGCGATAGTATCGCACCCAGTCCTCCTCCAGGGCCCCAAGGCGGTCCCAGACCGCTCGAGGCACCTCGATCCATCGCGTCCGCTCGCGAGCTCGTCGAGTTCGGTGGCAGTCCGACCCAGACGCACACCAACGTCATGAATATGATCCCGAAGGCGACCCGCCTGCTGCCGCGCCTTCAAGAGCTCACCTTGAGCTCACAGCGGCCTCCACCGGCTCTGCTCGATGACCATGTGAATCTACATTACCATGTGGAGCGCCTCCTGGCGAAGCGGCGGTGCCGGGGTCAAAACCAGTATCTGGTGAAATGGCGAGGGTACCCTCACTCCGAGAACTCATGGGAGTTTGAGGTGCCCCTCCGCCAAGACTGCCCAGACGTCGTGGGCGCTTTTGATCAGCTTGATCACCAGCGCCCCGAGGGCTCAAGGCCGGCACGCCGGCCGTCCCGCGCTTCCCGGCAATAAGCTGGGAAGCTGCTGGGTCAGCCACATTGCTCCGAGCCTGACCCTGAGCCACAGTGCTCACTCCCTCGCGGGAAGGAGCGGCTGGAGTGCTCGAAGGAGCGAAGCGCGCAGCGCTAAACTGGGTCTGCGGCTGGGCGAGTGCCGAGAGGCTGCGCTTGGCTCGGACCTTCGCGAAATCGAAGCGGAGCATGCGATCAATGCGAACATCCACTTCACTGAAGCTGGCTCGGAGAGCGTCCATGGAGCTGAGCTTTCGGCTGTGCTCGGCCCAAGACTCGAACTGAGCTTCGTACTCAATTGAGTCTTCCCCCGGGCTAAGTACCACCGGGTACGTCCGCATGGCGGGCACGGACTTCTGCTGGGCTTGCTGCCGCAGCCTCTCGCGATACTCCGTGACAGTCGTAGACTGTGGAGTGAGGAGCCGCTCTCGCAGAGACGTACGCAGTGCGAGCTCCTCCGGAGTACGGGCCGCGGGCCCAATGGCGTGCAGCGCAAGATTCTGCTGGAACGCCTGGCGACAAGCCTCCGCGGGATCGCGAGGCCGGAAGCCGTAGTCGGCAGTGCTGGGGTTCAGCAGAGGCCGCCGCTCGGGGTGCTGGGAGCGCATGGGAGCCATCTGCGCCGCAACCTGCTCGGACTGAGCTTCGTCCAAAGGGTTGGAGATGACGGGGCCCAGGAGCACGCCCTCACCACGAGGTGGCGAATATCGTGGCTCAGTGAGCGCGCGCAGCTCGTAGAGGCTGGAAGAGTGTTCAGTGAACGGGTTTGGAGTTCGCAGCGGTGGCCGCGACTCCTCCATCGACGGCGCAGCGCGCTCTGCAGGTGGACGGCTCGGCGAGCGCACAGGAGACGTGTGCGCGGGGCGCTCTTGATCGCGACGGGCGGATCTCGCGAGAGGCTGTCTGCGGTCGAAAGTCCAAAAGGCTTTATGACTTGAAGTCATGTGAGGGCGCGTTGCGCCGAGCAGTTCTCAGAGAAGTCCACGCGATGTGGATTGACTCGTTCGAGAAGGAGGCTTGACGGAACAAGACCCGGAGGTTGACTGTTAAGCGTGAACACCCGTGTCCACGGTATGGTGGGGGAGGGTGTAACGGGGTTACACGAGAGCTACCCGAAGGGTTATGAAGTGGGTACACACTGTCTAGCCTAAATCAGTAGAATAATCAGTACATGGCTTCAAAGCCACTGATTATGCATATGACTAGGGTTCACTATGCTAGATAGGGAACCGGATACATTTACACCGTAAGCGGCTTGGCCGCGATAAAGGGAAATACATTCAGTTTGAGATTCACACAGTTAAGAGTTAAGGGTTGACTCTTGGAGTCCGTAAGGTGTACGGACTCGTACGTTCTGGTATTAGAACGGGCGAGCTTAAGCTGAGACTCTGCGAGTCTGTTAAGCTTCCTCTGACGCAAAGCTACGGCAGCCCCGCTGCATCTCGAACTTATAGGAATCTGCCATTTGCGCCTTGCACAACAACTCGTCGGGGTCTTCACTTACGGAGCAATGGTGCTCTACGAGGAACCAAATGGCGCGAACTGGGCAACACCACGAAAGTGTCGATGCCGCCAGCGATCGCATCACACCCACACCGGCTTGGCCGTTTTTGCCGCCGCGGAAACTGAGTTCGACGCGCCGAATGTGTTGCTTGAGCGTGCATCGCCGTTCATCTTGGTCGTAGAAAGACACGTCGGAGCGCTGGATGGCGAACAGGTACGTCACGTAGATATTCGCCGCATCTCATGAGAAAGAAGAAGCCCATGACTGTAGCCCCCCCCCCATAAGACACGATCATGGGCTGAGTCGAAATTGAGAAGCCGGTGGAGAATTCGGAGCATGGAGAGCGTGATTGGTTGCTTGGGTCGAGGGGGGGGGCTGGAGGCGATGGATACCCTTGATTGCCATGGTGTGATGGGGAAGGAGGCTGACGTTGAATCCAAGTTCCAATCGATGATACCACGCAACCGCACTGATTTTGGGCTGGATGGTTTGTAGTGAGTTACCACTAGAGGCTGTTGTGCTGCTGCCGTACCGATGACAGTAGGACAAGCTGTCGGGACGCAGTGGCTGGGTCGTTGGGAAGCCAGGGACTGTATTCCATGTCTGCACACCATTTTTGCCACTGCTTCCACGAGGATTGATACCGTTTGCGTGACGACTTGGCCAATGAACTGGACTGCAGTTCTCGGAGAAAGACTTGTAGATTTTTCTCCATCGCTCGGGCACTTGCACCTGCCGCCAGGAAGATGATAACGCAGATCATACATGTGAGTAAGGGGAGGATGACGCTCGTGAGCCTGCGTCTGGCATGCGGTTGGTTGCTCCGGGTAGATGTCGGGCTGACAGGCGGAACTTGAAGACCGCTTCTGCGAGACCGATTGCACGGTTGATCGCTTGGCCGAAGGGATTGTTGGAGTGTAGACAGTTGATCCATGACACCGCAGATACGTTGTCGCTCCAACAGACGACATGTGGATAACTGAAGTTGTGCAGGAACTGAGGGCCCCACGCCCACGCTGCGAGCGCCATACAGAAGTGCTCGCGCACATTGATCGTAAAGCCGGTAGATTCAGCGTTCTGGGCGAGGATAAGTTCTTCTGCGTCAAAGTGCAGCTGGATATACTCGTCTCGCGCTGGATGCAGAACCACAAGCCCAGAATTCGAAGCGTCCATGTAGATGTTGATTGTCGGTGAAGGGAGATCTCCAAAGTAACGAAGCGGTAATTTCTCGAGATGGCCGTCCAGGAGAATGTGATGAAACCACTGGAGGTCACGTCGCATCGCTGCGCTCAATCGCATGGACTAAAATGTACGAAGGCCGTTGTATACAGCTTGAAGCTGTTGAAGGAAGGGTTTTGCTGCCCGGAGACACGTCGTCAGATGCCGTAGACTGCCGAGGAGTTGTTAGAGCTGCTGTTTGCTTGCTTTATCAGAAGCTAGCAAGGCCGATACCCGGTCGAGACACTTTTGGATCTTATTAGACGGCATTGACACGGTGCGATCAGCAGTGTTCCAGATGAGGCCGAGGGCTGACAGCTCAGTTGACCACTCCGAAAATTTTGCGTCGTTGATGCTGTCCGGTCCGAGTACAGCCATCATTCTGAGACGAAGTGTTGCTTCCGCTAGCTCAAGACGAGAGTCGATGTCAGGCTCGATGAGAATGTGGTCATCGACCCACTCGTAACCGAAAAAGGGTTCTTCGTCCGTACTCTCTGACACCGATGCCGGAGAGTTGTTGCTTACCAGCCAGGTAATAGCTCGCCCAAAGGCACTGTAGAACGCGGGGGAGTCGGACCAGTCAAATGGAGCTGCGAGGTCAATCACAAGAGCGTTTTCATCAGGAAACGTAGCGCCCATCCACCTAACGTGTTCGGCATGAAGCATCAGATGCCTGAACGCAGACTTGACGTCACCTTTCAGCATTTTGACCACGATACCGGGGTGCGTTCTTGCCAATGTTTCGATGCGCCGTACAATGGCGACCACGCAAATGAACTCGATCTCGGGAAGACACTCAATGTTGAAGAACGTATTTGTCGAGGCTGAGTCAGGATATGAGAGGTCATGAATCGGTCGAACTTCGTCGTGGGGAGCGACACCTTTTTTCTCAGCGGCGCCGAACGGACTGCACTGGATGTTCCGCCACTGTTGGAGTAGCGATTTATCCACGACGAGATACGTCCCGTTGGTTTGACCTTGGCGAATGCTCTTCATAAGGGCAGTTTTGTAGTTGCGAGCCGAGTTGTGGTTTCTAGGCGGTGTTCGACGAGGCGGCGGCTCTGATGTCCACGTTGGATGGATCCCGTGACGGGCGATCTCGATCACCAGACCAGCTAGAGGATACCCACGGAGCACGAACTAAAGGCGATCCGGGTCGAGACCTTTGTTTGGTCTGCTGTCGCCACCAAGTTCTCCTCTCCGTCGCCGGACGATGTCAGTTAGCGATAATCCCAATCGAACAGCATAATTTGATACCGCTTTCTGCTCGTTGAACCCATTGTCGTCTCAAAACTTTCCATTTGCTGTAGGCGTGAGTCCGAGCGACCGATGCCGCGCATCGACCTGAGCGCGCATGTGCGACCGCAGCCGGGCGGAGAGGCATGCTCGCACTCGAGCTGCCAACGATAGCGAAAGACCGGAAGGCCAGAGGGGTCTATGGACGTCGTTCGCCCGGGGGTGGCTCTGGCGGAGGGCCAGGGAGCGGATCGGTGCTTCCTGGACACACTGTCTGCCCAAGCAGTTCGAGCCGGGAACTGCTAGGGCGTCTTCACAGATGTGCGAATCGCTCGCTGAGACCACCCATGCGCTGAATGATGTGACCTTTAACACGCGCATCCAGAGTGTCAGGGGCAGCATGAGCACGCGCCCCGTAGACGCAGCGGTTAGAAGCCCCCGATGGGCAACCCATTGCCGAAAGGTAGCGAAGACACACTGGTAGGCCGTTGTGTGTCGAGATCAAGTCGAAAATTGCCGGAGGAACTCGAGGCTGCTGCTGCTGGTGCGAGTTCCTGCCGCGGGGCGTGGTTGACGGAGGAAGCCGGTTCTGCTGAGAGCCTTGTCGATCAGAAGCTTGTGCGGAGCGGCGCGATAGGGCATGCATGACATTTTGCAGCTCCCCATCATTCAGTGACAGACGAGCTATAGTCTGAAGGCTTGACGCGTGAATATCGCCATCGCTGGAGTGAACCAGAGAGCGAAATTGTTCCAGCACGGTGTTGATCCAGAACACCAGGTGGGGTAGATCCGACGCAACCCAGGAGTGCCAGCCATCGAGCTGCTGCACAAAGTCGAGTAGCGATTCGAGAACATCACGAACCGATTGCGCGAAGAACTCTTGACCATATCGGCACAGTAGTCGCGCAGCATCAACCAAATCACCCATTCCTGAAGCTGGAGCTGGCCGAGGACGCAGCACACCGGTAGAGAAAATCTGCATGTTAACTCCGCCGGCATTGAGCCATGCCATGCGCCGGTGAACTCCAAACGGGGCGAAGTGCAAAATGGACAGCCCGAACATCCCGAATTGAAAGTCGTACAGTCAAATGATGATACCCGGATGAGTCTGGAACCGCACGGCAGTCGAGTAGACAACTATTTCAACAAAGATAGAGGGAGCCTTACCTCTATGTTCAGGAGCTGTGATGGCCTCGTGCAAGGAAACTTGGACCAGCGTTGGCGTGAAAGAATACTTGGACCGTCGAGTGGGTTCAACTTCGGGAATCGCAGTCGCTGGACGCGCCGATCGAGCAGAGGTGACGACTTGCACGAAGCGAGCGAGTAGTTCAGGCTGGTTCAAAAGAAGTTCCATGATCCGTGCGTCGAGCGAGGGCGACGAGGTCTGTGGCTGTCTCGAACCGATACCACCGGGGGTTGCAGCATGTAGAGGTACACCGATAGCGGGAATATCAGAAGCTGGAGTGGAGGTAAGCTCGAGAACGACCGGCGCGTGGGGTTGCACAGCGGACTGTCGAGGGGACTCCACCGGTGTCGGGCCGCATGGGTCATCTTGAGCAAACAGCGAGATGACGTGCTCCGCCGATGTCGAGCTGTGAGAAGGCGACGGTTCCCGACGGCGCGTAGTCTCGAGGTCGATTACTTGTCCAGACGAACGTGGCTCCCGGCAAAACGACGGACCGACCGACAGCCGAAGCGCCGTCGATGCGGGCTGGTTGCCTTCCAGTACATATGCATAGTCAACAGCATGCTGGAGTCGAAACAAACACGCTTGGCCCGTGCGAGGGTAGACCCATTGCCGGGTGGACGTCCCGTCGGGCATGTCGGACGGGCATACCAGACCATCCAAAATAGCTGGGATGGCGTTGGAGGCTGGTGCGCCCGCGCTGCCATCCAGTATGCGACCCAGGATAGTAGACTGCATGTCCGTGAGCTCATCACGCGACATGGAGGCATGAAGGGGCACGTACAGCGCGACTACAGGCGCACGGCGGTTAGTCGGGACGGTTCGACGAGTACCACTCGGTCTTCGAGTTGAAGGCGAGCAAGGTGGCCATCCAGACCGACTACTTGCCCGTGCCAAAATCGGCCGGCGGACTCGGTCCATGCAGCTTGTCGGAGGAGCTGACGCTGGCGCGTACGCGTCGCTTCGGTCTCTGCGACGGTTAGCGTGCGCGCGGTTGCGATGTCGATGCTGCACGACACGGGGTCATCCAGGCCCAAAGCGCGGACGGACACGGTCTCCGTCGAAAGCCCCGTAACCATCGCGTAGAACGGATACTCCGTGACGCCGCCAACGTGTTCAGGGTGTAAGAACACGCATCCATTCACTTGGAGAGTGGCGCGGCGAACCATGGCAGCGGAGGCGGAGTATCGTTAAGAGTGTAACTGTAGGGACTTGAAGACTTGTTGAGTCGAAGGCAAAAGGCCGAATGAGCAGAGTGAGCGAGGGCTTGACCTTCTTGCTCTACCGTCCAACCGTACTAATGACTGGTGTTCAGCGGTGAACTCGGCGACGATGGTGTGCTGTGCCTAGAGTCCGTGCCCTCACCCAACCGCGCAAAAAGTTACTTCCACCGGGCATACCCAGCAGAAGTACACAATCGCTTTGTTTCCGCCTAACGCAGGCTGGATTAGCTTATTCTGCCTTAACTCGGCCTCGCCATCGCCGCTCCTAATTCGGCCATGGAGGAACGACCCGGAATTAACATGGGAATTAGCTAACGCGGGGCATAATTAAGGTCGATAAGGTATTAGAGTTATGCCAGAATTATCACGGCAGAATAAGTGAAAGGCACAGTAATATATGTTTGCATTACTTTGTCACTTAAGCTCACGCTATCAGCCAGTAGAGATTAATATCGCTACATTCAAGCCAGAAGATACACAATAATCACCACGCAAGCATTGGCGCCAGCAGCTTCTTGCGACTGTCTCGAGGCACCCCGTTCGCCGTGACAAACATTAAGATCTGCTCAAATCCGTAGCTACAGCTACAATTGGTAGTAGCAAGAGATGTTATACTGGGAACACCCGAAGAATGAGGGAGTGGATAGCTCCCAACGGATTAATTGGACGCGTAAGCGTAACTTAGCGCAACCTTCGCGGTACAGTTCGATTAGTGAATGTTGACCCAGCAACTTCAACGACTTCAACGGCAATGGCAAGATATTATTGAATTGAATAGATCTGATTGACTCCTGACAGTTTGCCTATTGATCTTGAGGCGGAATAGTGTCTAAGGATGGTAGCTGCGCTGTCCCTGGCGAAGGCAGGCGAGTGCCGAATACTATCGAAGCCCTGTCAACTGCGAGCAGTATTGTTTCCGGCGAAGTTGTGGCGTCGGAAAAGAAACGCGAGCGTGAGCTGCTGAAGAGCTGCTTAAAAGAAGGAAGCAGAAGCGAGCCCTTTACATGAGGGATTATCGTGCCAGACACAAGCGAATAAAGATTGCTACGCATTCGGGTGGTGGTTTGGCAGAAACAACTGTGGGTAGCAGCTACCAGGGTTCCTCTCGAGTCACGGCAAGTAGCTGCGAGCGGCGCGAGCGCGATATTGACGGCAACGTATCAACAGAAGAAGCTACTAAACGAAGAGCGCTGAAACATCAGCTGGAGTGGCGGCGCAAGATAAAAAGCGCAACCAGGCTCTTTACATGTGCAATTACCGCGCGAAGCGCAAGCAGACACTCGCCAGTAGCCGAGAGGGTGTAGCAGATAGACGTGGTTCTAACGATATGGCACCTGCAGAGATGGCTACAAAGCAAAAAAAGTTGAAGCGGCCTGCAGATACTTTGCGTGCATCCCGGGCTACGGAGAAGAAAAGAAAAGGTATCATGGTATTGTTTCGATACGATGCTATATTCGAGGGGACTTGTATTCTGGTGAGGAGTTATATTTCATGGAAGTGTTGCATCAAGGCTGGTTCTGTACTAAGGAAGATCTACTTTTCTTGGTTAAATTCTCTATGAGCTCGCAAAGGAGCGTCTCGCTCGTTGTAAGAACCCCAAGATCATCGCATTGGTTCGTCTGAAAGAATTGGCGCCGTTCCCATTTACGACTGACAAGCTGGCCCAGTCGAGATGCCAGGAAGTTTTGTCTAGGCTTAGGTAGGGCCGCGAAATGAGGGTGCCTGGAGGTACGCTCAAACTCACATCGATAAGCTTTTGGGTAAGAAGCAGCCCCTCGAGTGTATTAGCCGAGGGGGTTTAGCCGCTTCCGCTATCCGTTTGCTCTGCCCTTGCAGCAGCAGCTTAAAACGGGTTTGAACGAAGTGTTTGGCGCCGCACGAGTAAGTTCTAGGCCGTGCAAGATGCTGCAAATGCGCAAGTAGGCGTTCAATCTCGTCACGAAAAAGATCAACAGTCGTTCAGTTCATCTTCTTTAGCAGTTTATATGTAGATCTTTGTCTAAGACAATAATGCTGATGGAGTACATGCGAGATTGGTTGACGACCACAATTCATTATTTTTCCAGGCACATCGTATCGTTGTGAAGCAAAACCTATAGGGTTGGAATGAGCTCGAGCTCCAATGCAAACAAAGTTTGGGCGAACATTTAAACACTAAATGTTCGAGTACATTTATAAAAAATAGATGCCCGGTCTTGTATTTGATACAGGACTTCTATTTTCAGGCACTCCAACCTATTCCTGGCCGGATTTCTATTTCCTACAGGTCTTGTATTCGGGAAAATCCGTTAGTCTCTGATGGATTGGTTGTTGTATTATTTGCAGAAAAACAGTCGCGGCAACGAGGTAAAGGTTCTTGTCTACCAGAAATATCGTAAGTATCAAGTGATGAATATAAGAAGCGATATACATGTAGTCATCTTTCTGACGACAAGGTGAAAAAGTATGCGCAAGTGCTTGTCATGCCGGATGGGCGTAAATTTTACCTGAACCCGGACCTCGTCAGAGACAAAGAACGAATTCACTTATGTTCAAAGTGCTCTCACAATCCCCGGAAATCGAAGTTTAGTCTTGCGAATGACCACGATACGCAGACCTTCCAGAACTGAGTGGGAAAAACTGTATTGCCCCTGCTCGGTGCTTTGGACTGGAATTTTCTCTATCTGGCAAGCACAGTAGTGGTCACGCTATCTGCTTTCCTTCAACCGGCCCTCAGGCGTGTGCTAAAGTGCTCCCTGTCACGGATATTGACCGGAAGCCGCGTGTAACTTTCATAGGGCCATCAGAAGAGTGGAGGGCACAAAAACACGTTTTTCGTAGACTGTACGAACTACCGAGTACAAGTATTTCCCAACGGCTTTCGGTTTTGAAAGAAACACACAGCTACTTTCGAGAAGAGAATATTGAAATTGATCGATCAATCGCAGACGCAAGTGGAAAGGCTGGCTGCTCTAGAGGAATCAATCGCTATATCAATTACAATATAGTGCTTTGGACTTCATCTTAATCGCGAAAGGCCTTAAGACGGATAAGCACTTCAACTTGGCACTGCAACATCTACCACTGCCAAATACAGCACTTCTTCTCATAAGTGTTCCCAGCTAAGTCGCAGACGACCTAGTTTGGCCTTGGCCATTAAAATTCTAGTGGTGCTCTTACATTTTTTATATTACATACAGTTACGTTTTTCGTGTTCTCGGCGGACGTTCTACTGGTGACCCCTCATCTCCACGCGGGGCTCTCCTCGATACGTTGGATGAGTCCAGAGGTCCGGATCCGTCCGTCTAACCAGTCCGGGGCTCACTTTGCGAGGCTGCAATTGGACATGAGCACGACTTCGATCTCGACCATTTCATCACAAGTAAACAAGTTCCGCAAGTGCAGCTCCTGCTCGACATGGTTCCCGTCAGACCTATCAAGGCCTCTTGCCTCTTTGGGTTCGCGCTGTTGGTCCTCTCTGCTGCGGAAGATGCCCAAGACGGCTGGAAGAGTGTTCATGTCGACAATATCACGGAAGCTGATAGCAGTCTGCTGTACAAGGCGCGGGTCAACACAAGCACCTATGCTCCTGGGGTGACCAAGTACGGCTGCGTCTTCTTCATAAACGGCCTGGAAATCAAAAGCGCGGAGGCGGTGGAGGAGGGCGGCAAAATTGGTGTCAGCGTCGACTCCAAGAATCAATCGGCGGCGACCAACTACCACTTCAGCGTGGATGGCTGCCCTTTGGAGCCTGGCCAAACAGAGCGTATGGGAAAATGCGGTGCTATGATGTGCGTTACCACCAACTTCGAGATTTACATTACCTCGGAGGCTCTGACGAACACGCTCACGGTGACGGCGGTCACAGCGGAAGAAGGTGAAGGTCTGGGTATGCCATGGCCCGAGCAGCGCTTCTGAAAACCTGCTCGATTAAAGTCGGTCCTGAAGTTGTTTACAGCATAAAAGAACCATGAAGTGATGCTTCAGCTTGTGTCTTGCATAAAACTGAATACCAGACAATTCCTGCTCGACCTCTTTACATGGAGCAAATTGATCACGTCTCCCCACGCAGATATTGCCTTAATTTTCAGCAATGACACGCCCACATTGCTGAACGTCTACGAAATATTCTAGCACCGAACAAACACATTGTACAATTGCAAACCAAAAGTTTGTGTCATGGCAATTGGCAATATATTGCGCCCTCTATACTTTTTGACGCAAAACATGTTACTTCGAGGTATTACTAGCACTTTCCAAAACAAAATGCACTAGCAAAACCCATTTTAAATGTTGATTTTCAACGCTTCTCCTGCTTGCTCTTTCAGTTTTTTCGACTTCTCAAGCGAACAAAGCCATCGTGGCACGCCGTAGCTAGAGTGATACGTATCAGATGTGGAGAAGCGTCATCAGTCAGAGTTCGACAGTTAGAATGAGTTTCAAGGTGAACGAACGAAACAGTAAAACATGTTGGCCACAATCACAAAAACAGCGCGGAAAGTGGTATCACCGATAGACTGAAGCTAATTTCTGAGAGCTAGTGCCTCTAAAGCAGATAGATCAACAAGTTCGTTGTACCGAGTCGCGAGATTGTTCGATTTCACAGGATTTTAGTTTTTTGCGTACTTCGTTTCATAGATGTTAGTACAAGTGAATCTCTAGAATATTCAGTCTCTTGATTCGAACAAAGTCTTCGTGGATACCGCCGAAGCGTGACCTAGCACAGGATTTGAGAACCATAGGTACACTGTCCTTGTGACTAAGAAGAGTAATCTCCTGTATTCAAAGGTATGCAAGCGTGTTACTTTGTCACCTGAGCTCGCAGAACAGTCTCAGCTAGTAGTAGAGATAAATAAAAGTCGTTCATTGTGAGTCCGCGTAGAGTATAGTGTACAGCCTTGGCAACCAGTACATAAGGTATGGTATACCATCCAGAGTAATACATTAATCATTAATACATGTAGATGGGTACGCCCCCCCCCCCCCCGCCGATGCATATATTAACCGTTTGAGCTCTAGCCTTTAACGGTTTGGTCTCGTGACTTTAAACGTGTTATGAATGACCCACTTTCGGTTATAAGACATGTGTACCCATAGTCAAATACGGAACCAAAAGGATACGGCATGCATTTCCTATTCACTTCGAAGGACATCGTAGTTATTATCACACCGCCCCACAAACATGACAGCGTTACAGGAGCACGCGACCGTGGCGTGTATTAGGAGCATTGCGTCTTGAATGCGTGTGTGTGGTGTTGCTTTACTATAGACTAGGACTCCGCGAAGGCTGGGATAGGAGGTTTTTGGTATAATCGCTTTCTATTATTATGAGTTTTTTTTACGAACCACGGGCATCTCCTGCGCCTGCTTCGCAGCCGCAGCTTCTGCCCGGTAATTCACCTCAAAACTGTAGATAGTGCTTATACACAGTGATAAAACGAACCTTGCTCGAGATCTGTTTGTAGCTTGTAGAAAATGAAAATGTTTACCTTTGGATGCTTCTGCAGCAGTTCGTCCGCTTCAATCATTCACTTTACTTCACTCCAACTATTTGATATATGTTACTGACTCATACCGGTTCAATCTGCCCACGCATATAAACCTTTTGGAGGGCCCAGTGCGGCACCGCGGCCGTACCGGTGTAATGGGTTTTCTACCAGTTCAGCTTTCCCACGCATATAAACCTTTTGGAGGGCCCAGTGCGGCACCGGGGTCACACCGGTTTCAGGACAATGTACCAGTTAGGTGTCAAGAGGGGTCACCTTTTGACTTGACGTACCACGGATATAATCCTGTTTGGTCTGCGATAGAAGCACTAACGTTGCTTCCTATCCCAGTATAATTTCGCTTTGTTCTCGAACGCAATGTGATGAGTCTAAGACAAAAAAGACGGAATAATCACGCATATCTCGAGTAGTGTTGTTTCTTACCAAGTTAATAATTCTTAATAACTGGTATTAGTAATTTTAGGCATTTAATAACGATGGTATTACCTTTGTGTATCATTTGTGTATCGTAATACTTAAATATTGTCTTAAGCATTTTAACTTCTGGAAGAGCAAGCTTTTGCTCATATCAGCTTCCCACACAATGCTAGCCTGCACGCGCGCGGTGCGTTCTCCGGTCCCAGGCAGGAATCTCTCCCCTAGATCTACGCGTCGCTCGGCACCAGCTCGTTGCTCGGCCAGGACGTGAACGGCGCCGGCGCCACGCTGGCCACGGGGCTCGCAAAAATAGGCCCAAGGTGCTCTACGACGCGTACATCGCCCCACATTCAAGCTGACCAGCAACGGCTCCGCAACGCAGTAGTCAAACGCCCGCTGGATGTCATCAAGGAAGCCATCGTGTACCTGCACTTCTGCTTTTCGGCCCGAGACGATGGACTGCGACAAGGCCACTCAGACTGCTTACAGAAGATCTCTTCACGCGCCATGCTAGTGGACATGACGGAGACCGAAACCATGACGCTCGGCCTGGCCCTCGCGGACCCCATGTATACGTCGGCGGGCGACCTGCAGGTCGACGGCTCGTTCACCAAGGACCTGCGCTTCTTCAGTGGCCAGAAGTCAGCCATGCACGCGCTCCGTGCCGCCGGTGTGGGCGTCTACATCATCGGCGCGTCACCCGAGTTGTACACCGTTGCGGCCTAGGCGACATGGTGCCCAAGGAGAACAGGTGCGGCGTGCGCTTCACGACGGACGAGGCCGATGCTTCACTGCTGAGCGACAGGACCTGCGAGTTCTTTGGCACTACGGAGTCCAGCACCAACAACACCTATCTCCTGCAGGGCGGGCCTAGCCATCAGTACGTGGACCACGTCACGTGCCTGCTGGCCGAGGGATTCATCAAAAATGAAGTAAGTGCCGGTGGGAGAGCGTGTAGCTGGATATGGTGGATCTCATGAGTTTGTGTGTTGTGCTGCAGATTCGTAAGAGAGGGAAGGGCTTGAAGAGTATCATATACATCGCCGAGGTGGCCATTATGCTGTTACATGAACGAACATCTCGCTGATAAGGGTTGGACGAGGCCTAAATGTTGCGCTACAAGCGTTGATGTTACATTATTACTGCATTCTTAACCAAATATGACGCTTCTTTATTTGTGGGAGTGCTAGTGCGCGTTCTGCTGTGCCAATGTGCGCCGTTGCGCTGGCAGCTCAGTGACAGAAGTTCAAGTTGAGGTCATCTCGTAGAAGGGCAACCTGTTTCGGCGGGTACGGCACGATGCACTGAATATGTGAGCTAACTGATGTGAAGCTCTACGATTATAAGAAGAGCAAGAAGAGCTGGGGTTTGCATTATTTGAACTCGGATTAGTCAGGGCAAAAGCGGTTTAGCCCTCCACCTCTCCTTCACCCCTAGCAAGTTCGCCACCACTAAGGTCACCAAAGTGTTCTGCGACCGCCATGGCCACGGGTCCACACGCAGCTTCACCACGCACAAGCACAGAAAGGTTGTGTGCGCGCTGAAACAGGGTGGTGAGGCCGGCAAGAGCTAATCGAACATCCTCGGCTGCGTGCATGAGTGATCAAGGCTCGAGTAGCGCGACGACGAATATGCCGTCACGTCCGACAAGCACCATCAAGTCTACCCCTATCATGAACAACTACCCAAGTCCGCAGCAGAACCAAAACTTCTCACGAGAAAATGAAGCGGAGGAAGCTGCTAGAAATACCATCAGCCGAGGCAGCATCTAGAAGAAATTCGAAAGAGGTTGAAGCCAATACATTGATACACATTTGCATGAGGACGACGACTCTATTGACTAACTAGTGCATGATATGTAATCAAGAAGGCGTGAACGGAATGAAAATATGGATCGTGTTGCGGGCTTAGCTAGCGTGAACAAAGTCACATGTGCTAATGCTCCCAGGTTGGACCAAACAGCACCCTCGGCGAGTGGTGGGTGCGTCCAGTGCTCGACTGTGGAGTTGGAGGTAGTCCACGACGGCCGCTGCTACCCCCTGAAAATACGAGACGATCGCTAGTTGGTAGACTCGGTGTTGTTGCACTTGTCGATCCGGGCGGCCTCACGACCGGTGGCACAAGCTGGCGCTCATCAGCACGCGTGAAAACGGTTCCGCTGCTTGTTGACTGCGTAAGTGCGACTGACTGCGTAGGAGCGACCGACTGCGTAAGAGCGACCGACTGCGTAAGAGCGACCGCAGCCTCGTCACTGCATACTGTGCTGGTATTCGTCGCTTGGTCGGGTAGCGGGTTGGTTAGTGCAGGCGAAAATAGTGTTCTTCGAGCTAGCGGGGGTGGGACAGCTTCACGTTGGTCGGTCTGCGAGGGCGTGAAGAATCGCGATCGGTGCGCCGTATTAGACCGACTACCGCGCATGCGACTGGAGCTGTTGGGAGCAATTGGCGTAACGATGTCATCATCGCTGTAGTCGTCACACGCGCTGCTTTCGCCCTCTTCTTCTGCATTGACTTGATAGTGCACTGCACTAGTTGCAGCCTTGTCACCCGCATTCGAGTACAAATATGCTAGCTTTTCCACGCGATCGGGTTTCAGCCAATTTCGTCGCTTGGTGCGGATGAAGGAGTGAACACTCCACGAGCGCTCACTCGCAGCGGACGACGTCGGGATGCTCAAAGCGCGGGTAGCCAAAGCATGTAGGAGCTGAAACTTGTTAACCTTGACCAGCCACCAGTCTAATGGCGTGCCCCTCGCGTTTTTTTCGTGGTCTTCGGCTGTCCAGGACTTCTTCACGCGAATAAAAGCCATGACAGCTCGGCGAACCGCATTTGGAGATACGTTGGAGGGTAGACCAACTCGTGTAGCTAGATCTACGCATGCATCGACTGCATTGTCCAAATCATCACCTTCAAAGTCGTCCGTAGACTTAGTTGGGTCCAGTAAAAATGCAGCGAGGATTGATTCGCGCTTGAGGGTGTTCCAGCGGGAGCTAATCTGGCCTCGGATCGTGTTAAGAATACCAGAAGCAACATCATCAGTTTCGCGGTTGTAGATGACGTGGGTTTTCAGTCCACGAAAGTATTCATACACCATCGAAAGGCAACACCCATCCTTTTCGAGAGCGCCGAGAGCTTGGATTATCGGGTTCACCAGTCGCATTACGGCTCTGGCATTCACCCAAAACATGCTATCAGCCAAAATGGACTCGACGCGATTGAGTTTGGCAGCAGCATCTCCGTAACGAGCCAGAAATTCATGGTTGGAAAACAACTCACGCAGCACATCTTCGTTCCTCACGACACTGGAAATACAATTTGTGCTCGAGTACCACCGCGTCGAAACAGGGGTGATTAGCGCGCGCGTCGTCGCTGCCGGGTACCAAAATACTTGCGTTGCAGAGCCCGAAAGCGATAAAGAAGCGCTGCACGTTTACGCACAAATTTGGTAACTAGGCCGGCTTTCTTGAAGACGTCACTCATGAACTCCATCCCGAACATGTCTTTGAGTAGAAGATTGATCGTGTGTGCCGCGCAGCCGTTACACGTTAGACTTGGTATCTTGGCCATTAGAAGCTCCCATGACTTACGCCTGTTAGACGCGTTGTCCGTCACAACAGCGCATACCGATCCTTTTCCGACGACATTTTCAACAGCTTGAATCACCTTGTTCAACTCTGACGCCATAAACTCCCCTGTATGCTGTTTGTCGGCGCAGCGCTCCGATGACCAAAATATGGGTCGGATAAATGGAGACGTCACCATAAAGTTGATAATGGACTCGCTGTTGGGATCGGACCATCCGTCGCATACAATGGCAACGTACTGCTGCTCCCTCAGCACCTCCATAACGCTGGCAACTTCCTCCGCGTACGCGCTATCAAGCAGTGAGGTCGCCAAATCTTGGCGTGATGGGAGCGTCATTCCGGGCCGGTACTTCGTCAGGATACACCTCATGGCTCCATTTTCGATGACTCGAAACGGAATGCCGCAGGCATAGAACGCTTTGGCAATCTGAAGATGGAACTCCTTCTTTTCAGTCACTGAGACCGGTCCTAGCACACTCGTAGCCATTTCAGGCCGCGAACGCTTGGATGGACTGTGGGGCCTATCGAAAGTGTCGGAACGATCTCGCTTGGAGGGTGTTACAGGGTAATTAGCCTGGACGTCCGTTGGGGCGCAGGGACAGCTGCGAATGTGTGGGCGGAGGTTTTTCTTGGGCTGGGCATTCTTGATGAGCTTGGAGCAGTGCCTGCACGTCACGTCGCGGTGCTGCTTCTTCGGGTTGGCCCAACGTGGCACAACCACAATGTACTCGGTCCACACGCCAACTGAAGGGCGACCAAGGCCAGACCTTCACTGCTAGCCCGGTCCTCGTTGCGGTGGCCGTTTTGGTCCATGGAGCTTGCAGGCTCTACAGGAGCAAGTTTGCGAATGCAGCGACGAGAATAGGCCCCGTGCGCGAGCTGCCTGCCACGTGGAGCATACGCAGATTCATGTCGGTAGACCTCCACGTACGTTGACAACTTCACGAAACGCGTTGACCGAATATTTCTGCCACACCAACTATACACATGAGGTATTACCGTTAGCAGATCGAATATTTCTGCCACACCAACTATACATAAAAGTTATTAACGTTAATAAATGGTAAGTACGAAGGTAATAACGGTAACTGGTAATAACTGGATAAGGATTTGACCAACTCTAATCTCGAGACACCCCCTTCGCCGTGACAATCATTCAGATCTGCTCAAACAAAGCTTCAATTTGCACTTCGATCTCGACCATTTCCAGATTTGTTTGCTTCGTAGCAAGTCCCTCAAGACCAACTCCTGCTCAACATGGTTTCCATCGGGCCTACTACCATCGCCTCCTCGCTCTTTGGGCTCGCGCTGTTGGCTCTCTCTGCTGCGGAAGACGCGAAAACCGGCTGGTCGAGCGTCGACCTCGAAAGTATCACGGAAGCTGACTACGATCTGTTGTACAAGGCGTGGGGTAACAACAGCGCCTATGCTCCGGGAGTGACCACGTACGGTTGGGGCACCAGCATTTTTGGGTTGGGAACCAAAAACGCGTCGATGGCAGAGGGCAGCAAAGCGGGTACGGCGACCGACTACCACTTCAGTGTGAATGGCTGCACTTTGAAACCTGACCAAACAGAGCTCGTGGGGGAATGTGACGACATGGAGTGCACATTCATCAACTACGCGGCTTACGAGGTCTACATTACCTCGGACCCGCAAAGCAACACTCTCAAGGTGACGGCGATCACAGCGAAAAGCGAACCCTAGGGGGTAATTCCGGTGCTTCTGAAAACTGGCTTGGTTAGCTTGCATTCAACGTCTGGTAGCATCTTAGTGTTCGCCTTCAAAACAAAACTACACCGATGCTATATCTTTTTCAAATGCTCGTGCTTGTTAAATGCAATAGCACCAAGTGTACAGTTGTAGCAATTTTCTTATGCTGCGTTCAGTGTGCAAAGATGTTTGGAGTCGAGGCGAAAGTAAACGGTTTGCCTACTACGTAGAAGAGGTCGCCAGGTTCAATCTGGAGATCCGTTGGCGGGTTGATGAAGACGCAAGGATGAGGCAGCACCACGCCACGTTCGGGTCGCCACAGTCCAATACAAGTGCAGTTCGACTAGAAGGGAGAATACGTGAAGGTAAGAAAAAAAATACCCCACAAAAGTATAATATATACGCACCATGTCGAGGAATTTGCGAAAGCATTCGCCGTATTTGAGCGCAATCAGCTCCTCGGGGGCCTCCACCTGAAACAGCCGCCGCTCCCTACGAAAATGGTTAGTCGTCGCACTGAATCACGCAATAATTCAGCGTCAATCGTACTCCAGATCGTTGACGCTGCCATTGATGAGAATATGAAGGAACTGCGTGATCCACGGCTTCCGGTAGCATTCGCTCATGAGCGAGTCGAGCATCGAGTTCATGAACACGCGACCAGAGGCGATAAACTCCTCCAGTACCAACGTTGCGTCCACGTTGCCATCGCCATCTTCCAGTGAGTTCCAGAATGAGTCACGCCTTGAGATGACGCTGTGATGCCGAGGGGAGCGGTGCGAGACGTTGCGATGCACCAGCGCCGGCAGCCCAAAGGCGGAGCTGGTGCGCCGTTCATTGGCCATCGAGCTAAGCAGCTTGACATTTGACGATTTGTCCAGCTCCACAACGAGATTCGGCATCCGCGTGCGATGGCTGATCTCCACGATGTACCGCACGATGGTGATAGCGTCGGCGTCCACCATGTTCGGGTCAGAGTATTGAGCTTCAGATGCCTGCGTGAGGATGAGCACGGAGATCGCCCAGCGAATATTAGTTTTCTTGAGGTCTCCGAAGTTCACAGGCGATCCTTGGACAAAGTACACGTCGATGAACCCACGGAGACGTTCGTACTCCCGCTCATCGATACAATTCGGCGCCAAGAAGATAATAGCTGGAGACGGCGTGTAGTCGTCGGGCATAGGTGCTTCACGGATGGTCTTGATGAAGTGATACGTGTCTGAAGGGAACCCGCACACCACGATATGATCCGTCACGTCTTCGGGTACGCCTAGAGCCACAAACCGCTCGTATTCCGACATTTCACCTGGAAGAAGCTCGTAGTCAGCAAGGTCGCGCTTTTCGGCTAGACCGAGAGCAGCTTCGACGTCGTAATCTTCCGCGACGGTGAAGATGTTGATGATCCGCTCGCGGATCTGCTCGATCTCGTTGCCAAGCGCTGGTTTGATCTTCTTCATCTCGTCCAGCCTGCTGCTGGACATTGACTTGCCTGTGCGGCGTGCACCTTTGCGGTACGATAGAATCTGCTCCGGCGGGATCTTTGTGACGCCTTCGACTGCAGTCAACCCCTTGGCAATGGCGTACACCTTGCAGCACAGGTTTGGGTCAGCGGTGGCGCCGAGTTTGAACTCCATGTCCATGAAGCGCACCCCGTCGTCCGTCAACATGGCCAGAGGGATAACTGACGACTTGTCGTAGAGAAAACGGATGAGGTCGCCGAATGTAAGGCCCGAAAATGTGCGCGGAATGTCGACGAGGAAGATGCCGTGCATGTAGCCGTGCAGGTACTGCCGCTGCCACTGCAGAGACGAATGATGGCTGTCCAGGTCGCTGTTGCACTGGGCCAGAAGGTTGTGTAAGAGCGTGGGGAGACCCCACACCTGACTGCTTCGGGCTAGGATGGAAAACTTCAGCATGTCAATGACCACGACGTCACTCGCCCCCATCTTCAGCAGCGTCGCGGCGTTCCTTGAGTTGATCACTTGTGTGTATATCCGGCACGTCGGGTTCCCTCGACGCAATGCGATCGTGATGAGAGCACAGCATTGGTCTGCGTACTGTGGGCGTGACGACTGTCGGTTCACGAGCACGTAGCAGGCACTGGCGTCACTCAGCACTGCTCGTGTCAAGTCCTCGTCCAGCAAGGGGGATCCAACAATATACTGCACTTTTTTGTCGTAAGCATTCAGCACTTTGTTGATCTCGGGCGAGGGCTGCGACGCGTTCAGGATGACCACTCTTTCGTTCCAGTTGAGGTTGCTGGGGTGGAAGAACTCCCCGAAGAAGACGGAGAGCGTGTCGGCATTCATGTACCCTGTCAGGATCACATGAGGGTGCAGCGTTGCCTCTGAGTAGGCAGAGGAATAGTCTGTGTGCGAGGTGATCGTCGCCTGGATGCGGTTCACTTGGATCGGCACGACGATGAACGTGAAGAGGATGACGAAGGCGATCACGAACTTGCCGCTGGTCGACACGGGCGAGATGTCGCCGTAGCCGAGCGTCGAGATGCTGACCACCACAAAGTAGAGCAGGTTCGGGAACGACAGATCGCGGCACTTGCACACTCGAGGCTCGTCATCACACGTGACCAGGCAAGCCTCGGTCGCCTGAACGACTCCCGCTGTAGCAAAGACAATCGATACGATGGTCAGCATCGCCACCCACGCCTGCTGCTGAAGAGACGAGGTAGCGAACTGCACGAGGCGGAAGATACGAATGAAGCGAAGCGGCCGCAACATGCGCGAGAGCTGGAAAAGCGTACTCGTCGAGGTGAGGCTGGGGACGTACGCTGCCAGGAGGTCGAACCACGACGGAAGCACGACTGCGAACTCCACCATTGGGAAGAACCCGACGATGTACTCGAGTCGGTCGAACGACGCGTACACGTGCAGAACATATCTAACGCACGAAAGAGGGTTAGCACATGCAACTACAAGTAAAAGGCACAGCACAGCCCTCGACTCACTCGAGTGTGAATGCCAAATTGATGCTGAAATCCACCTCTACAACACCAAAAGGTTAGCTTTTGTAGGGTTTGAACTGGTCAATAGCACCTTCTTACCTTGCATCCAGGGATCGAGGCCGATCCGCAAGCCAGACCAGTTGAGACTCACGTGGAAGAGTGCTTGGAACGTACTCAGAACGGCCATGGTGACATTGAAGATGTTGCCAGCCAGGGAGTTTTCGAGGTTCCGCTGCACCCACTCGCGCAGCGGCTCCCCCGTGAACCGCTTGACGAGGTACACCTGGGGTTTGCGTATCGAGTGGGTCCTGACCATCTTGCTGGAGATGGCATGGCGCAAGTGCTTTGGGATGTCCTTCTTCGAGGGCGGCGAAAGCTCCGTCATCCTGGTGGCTTTGACACTGGCGAGGCGGCGACCTTACAAGTGGCGGGTGGTGCTACAAGTAACGAAACGATCCAAAACCAAAACCAACGCAGCGACAAAAATATTAGCGTGTAAGGACTTTGGTACGAAGGTACTCACATTTGACTTGGTTCGCTGCGGCCTCGTATCATACAAATACAAGTTGTATGTATGAGCTCGTGATGTCACCGGCAAAACTATGTAGAAGAACGTTTGAGCTGGAACACATACGGATCCATGGATAACCGAAAGCGACAAAGCACGACATAGTTGTGTAAGGCTGTTACAACGAGAAGTGGACGGTAAGCAATGCTCGCCATGCTCACTCAGCGCGCTAACGGTGCAGAAAGTTACCTTCACCTTGTAGATTCAAGCAAGATAAGGGAGAAAATCTTTGGTGGGCGATGCAATAAAAACTGGAAATGTTGCTGCAAGTTGCCAGAACGGAAACGATACTACGAACCTCGTGATCTCCAGAACATAGCTGAGTCTTCGGCCCGTTCAAGCTGTCCACTTCCATTACGAAAGTCGGGACGCAGCTGCTGTCGTCACTCCCTCCTCCACTGCTTCCGTTAAAGAACAGTTACGCTAGCATTGGTGCCGCTAAGGAGAGCTCCAAAACTCGTGGTGTCTGTGGTAGTGGGCACGTGTACGACACTACTGCGCTGCAATTGACGCTGCTGTCGCTCCTCTTTCAGCGCCTGCGTGAAGATCGACGTCGTCACTTCACCTTCGTTCATCAAAACAATCAGACGCAGCGATGTCGCAGGGTAGTCGTCGCAATACTGAAGGCACTCGGCCACGATCTCTCGGGCAGCGAGGTACTTTGGATATCGAGCAGGGCCCGTCGATATCGCGGGCATAGTGACCGATGTCACGCCTAATGCATCAGCTACCACGAGTGCACTTCGAACAGTCCGGCGGAGATTCAACTGATGCTGCTGGGTAGGCCAGCGATAGTGACTAACGTCCGGGCCGACTGCATGGATGATAAACCTGCTCGAAACCTTGCCTGCCGACGTCCACACCACAGATCCGACGCGAACTTCGCGATAGCGGTAGATCCACTCGTTGCTCTCACGTTGGATCACCTGGTCTCCTTTGCGAACGATGGTGGCTGCCAGCCCGCTCTTGTGGTACAGCAAACTGTTGGCATCGTTTACGATCGCGTCGGTGCTCCAGTCGGTCGGGTCTCCACGCATCACGATAACCTTCGGCTTCTCAGCATTGGTAGCTCTAGTGGATGGTTTTCTTCTAGCAGTAGAGGATGCACGGGTCGTAGCAGAGTGCGTCGCCAAACTTGCCCCCACCTCGACCTTAGTTGCAGCTGCGAGCCGCGACACAGGCTCAAGAGGTTGCACGTATCTTGGAGAGCTGTTCATCTTGCCCAGCCACGACCCCCACGGCTTGACTCCTGTTCTGCTTGGCTTTAGACGCGGCTTCTTCCATTGCCGCTGTGGCTCCCAGCCGTCGACGTCTCTCGCAGCTCTCTTGTGCTTGCCTAAGCTCGGCAGCAACGCTCGATTGGCGTCTTTGACAATACTTCGCCCAACTGTAGCCAACTTGTCCTCTGGTATCTCGACAGCGGCGAGTGCGGCCGCCGTCGCCGCCTCTGCTGCGTCGCTGTCGAAGTTAAAGTCGTCGTCCCCACTGCCCGCGGCCTCGTCCAGATCCATCCGCAGACGCTTCAGCGGCTTGAACGTGAACTTCATCCGCGCCATCGCTCTTTTTCCCATTGGGAAGACCTGGAACCGTCAAAGTCCGTCGATCAGTTTCCATCAAGTTGAAGTGAGCCGACCAACCAGTCAAACCCAGTCAAGCAAACCGTCGAAGCCAAAACCCCTCACCCACAACCTGCTCGACTTGACTAACCCGCAATTGGTTGAAAACCCAAAAAGACATTTTCCATTTGCTGTCGACGACGGCGAGTCCTATCTGGTCGCTATAATACTAACTTTGTCTGACTTACATGGTGAGCTCCATGATGGCGTTGACAATGTCGTTGTCGTTGGAGCGCAGGGCGGCCACGGCCTTGGCCTTGCTCACGCCAGCCTGGCTCATGACCAGCTGGATGTCCTTGGCGTCGATGCCCGAGTCGTCCACGTCCTCGTCGTCCTCCTCAGCGGCGGCAGCGGCGGGGGCGGCGGCGTCGGCAGCGGGGGCCTCAGCGGCGGGGGCCTTGAACTGCTGGGCGGCCAGCGACTGGGCCTGGGCGTTCAGGTCCTCGATCTTGGCCTCGCCGAAGATGACGTAGGTCTCGCTGACAGTGCTCTTGAACACGTCCGGCTTGGAGATGACGAACAGAACGTTCTTGTTCTTCTTGATCGTCACGCGGATGATGCCGCCCACGGGCTTCATGCCGAGCTTCTGCATGGCCTTGCGCGACTTCTTCTCCGAGCGGTTGTGCTTGCCCTTCTCGGCGTCGGCGGCGTCCGGGGCCTCCTCGAGGGCCGGGATCTCATCGTCCGAGTCGACCTCCTCGTGGTGGTGGTCGTGCTCGTGGTCGTGGTCGTGGTCGTGGTCGTGGGCGTGGTCGTGCTCGGGGTGGGCCATGGTGATCCGGAGGGGTGTTGACTCTTTGGGGATTGACACAACGCAGCCAGGGGTCAAGCAGAGGCTCGCGTGGGCCAGTCGTCGACGATTCGGACTTAGCAGAGGTTATTGCGGACATATGTGGCACACAAAAGTGAGCCAATCATTTCATACCAGATGGCAAGGGGACACTTTGATGCGGCGGACACAGAGCAGGTGTGGATGAAGTTTTTTTAAGTTTTTTTCTCGCATGTTATTATGTCCGCTGGAGGAGCGAGCAAAATGGTGGTCGATGGAGCCGGGGGCTGACTGTACTGCATCTGCGTTGCTCCAAAGTACAATTTGACTGTCGTCTGGCGATATCTCCTGGCGCAGAATGCCAACCTCCTGCTCCAACGCGTCCCTGTTCGCCTGCTTCCCCCTTGCCTGTTTGTATCTCTACTGCCTGCTGTCCGCCTGCTTAGGCGTCGATAGGGACGATGTCCGTGACGCGCAGCACGGTGACCTGGCGACGGAAACCGTTCCAGCGGCGGTAGTTCTTTCGGCGCTTCTTCTTGAACACGTCGATCTTGGCGTCCAGCGTCTGCTCCTCCACGCGCGCGCGCACCTTGGCGCCCTCCACCAGCGGCCGTCCCACGATCGTCTGGTTCACGTTGCCCAGCAGCAGCACCTGCAGCAATAAAAAATAAATAAGTCCACAATTAATTCACAGACCAAGCGTATAATGCTCCATCTAGCCTGCTGCAGCGCGCACCTCGTCGATGTCCATGATCTCGCCGACCTTGGCGTCCTTGATCTTCTCGGCGATCACCACGTCGCCCTGCGTCACCTTGTACTGCGTGCCCGCCAGCTTGACCACGGCGAAGTAGTCCTCGGGCTTGATGGCGTCGGCGGTCACCGGGTGGTCCACCACCGAGAACTTAGGCGCCTCGGGGGTCGGCACGGACGCGAAGGCGCGCGCCGACATGAGCGGCGCCGATCGCCGCGCGCACGTGCGCAGGCTGCGGGCCAGAGCTAGAGACGCCATACTCGTGCTAGCCAGGGTCAGAGTGGCGCGGAACGGGACTGAGCTTTTTGGTGCATCGTGTGGCCCGTAGTCTTGGTGCGGGGCGATTGGCTGCTGGGTAAGACAAAAACTGGTGATTGGTCGAAAAGACAAATTTCGCCAACTTGGTGTGGCGGAACATCAACCCACTCGCCAAGCGGCGGCCCCAGTCAGTGCTTCCCCCCACATACAAACGCAGGCCCAGCCACGCCGCCACCGCAGGCAGGTCCAAGTCCGAGTCGAGTGCGCACTCAGCTGCCCGCCCGCCTATATTAACACTGTGGGGGTCTGGGAGAGAGCGATCGACGACGCCTGACGCCAGCATGAAGACGGACAAGCTCAGCCACTCGAGCGGCAAGGGCAAGAAGAAGAGCAACAAAGGCGAGCACTTCGACGACGTGGACAAGAGGATACAGATCCCCATGGCCACGCGCATGAAGATGCAGATGAACCTCAAGATGAACAGCGCCAGCGCTTCAGCAGCGCCTGCCTCCTCCTCCTCCTCGGAAGACACGCGACTGCTACGCAGCGGCATCGACCAGTACCGGTCGCTGCAGCACCTCAACACATCCGCCGCCAACCCTCGAAGAGCCCGCGGCTCGGCCGAGCGCGCGGCTGAGCGCGGCGTCGCGCTCATGGAGCGGAAACAGTTCGGGGCCGCCGTCCCGTACTTCACGGAGGCGCTGGACGCCATGGCGGCGTCGGCGTCCGAGCTGGGCGCCACCAACATGGGCACCGTCAAGCTCTACCACCAGCGCGGGCTGTGCTACCTGGCGGCGCACAAGTACAAGCCCGCGATCGAGGACCTGTCCAAGGTCATGCACATGACGCCCAAGAGCGCCGAGCTCTACGCCAAGCGCGGCAAGGCCTACGCCGCGCTGGGCGAGCACCACGCCGCCATGCTCGACTACAACGAGGCCATCAGCCTTGCCGCCACTCAAGGGTTACTTCACGACCGCGGGGGGATGGGCATGGAGAGTGATGGTCTCACTTCAACTTTCGCCGGCGGCGCCAGCCTCGTGCAGCTGCGCGGACTTTACCTGGCCCGAGCCAAGGTGTACAAGGCCATGAACAACATCTCGCATGCGCTGGAGGACCTGGGCCACGCGGAGAGCTCGGCCGGCGGACACCGAGACCTGGAGCTCTTCTACGAGCGCGCGCAGCTGTACTTGCAGTGCCACCAGGACTCGCTGGCGCTGCAGGACTTCGACAGGTATCTGGAGCTGCAGGAGGAGGCCTACGAAAGTCGGCACTTTGATGCTTCGGGCGGTGTGGGCGGACTCGCAGGCTTCGGAGCCCCGCAGGAGATGGAGGCCGAGCCGAAAGCCAGGATGCTGGACGTGCTGCTGGAGCGAGCCAAGCTGCTGCAGCGGATGGCGCTGGAGGAGGACGCAAGAGAGCGCAAGGATGTGGAGCTAGCAGCAGTGGAGCAGGGTCAGGGGGCGAAGAAGATGCCGAAAGCAGGGAAAGGTGGGTCTAAGCTGGCGTACACGTCGGTGCCGCCCAAGCCGGAGCCGTATCGAGGCATTGAGAGTCGACGGCTGGAGAAACGCGCGTTGCATGACTATTCCAGGGCGATCGAGCTGGACTCGAGCAATGTGGAGACGTTCCGGTTACGAGGTGAGGCGTTCATGCACCTTGCTCGGTATGACGAAGCGCTCGCGGATTTTGCGAGCGCGCTGGAGCTGGACCCGCATGACTTTCAGGTGTGCATGGCTCGTGCGAAGCTCTTCCGGCAGCGGGGAGACCTGAAAGGTGCGGTGCAGGAAGTTACCGCGGTGCTGCGTGTGAACGGATTTTTCATTAATGGGTTGAAGCTGCGAGCGCAGTTGTATGAAGAGCTCGGAGCGATCCAAGACGCCGAGAAGGACTACTCGTCTATTATTCACGCGCACTTTGATAAACCAGGGATCGAGGACGCTGCTACTTCTGGGAAAGTTACGATGGAGCTGGCTTCGGGTGGGACGCTAAATCTTGGCGGCCATGGAGGAAAGTCTGCCAATACTTCAGGGAAGAATGGGAAAGGTGGAAGCAGTGGTAAGATTACAAGCGAAGTGGCGGCGCAAGCGCTGCTTTGTCGAGCGCGATTACGGTTGGCTAGTGAGCAGTTCGATGCGGCGGAGGAGGACTACTTGGCCATTTTGAAATCCTTTGCCAACAACATGGAGGCGCAGTTGGAGTTGCAGGAGACCCGTGAACGCAAGGTTGCGTTCGAGGAGCGGAAGCAGCGTGAGGCCTTGGCTTGGTTGGAGCAGAATGCTGACGAAATGGATGGTGCAGGTGTATTGAATGCCAATGCTACGTCCGGGAAGAACAAGAAAAAGAAGAAAAAGAAAAAGAAAAAAGCGAGCAGTGGCAACGGCAAACCGCAGGCCCCGGCCGGTTATATGTTGCTGGTAGATGAGGAGGAAATGCAGCAGCAGCAGGAAGAGCAGCAGCGGATACAGCAGCGACGTGAGCAGGAGCAGAAAGAGACGCAATCCGTTTTACTGGATGAAAAGAAGAACAGGAAAGCGGAGATGCCTTTGTCTGGTCCGAATGTGCCGGAACCTGAGCAGGAAACCCAAGATGCAGAAGCTGAACCGAGTGTGGACGCTGAGGCGAACGAGCAGCAGGGTACGAAATCAGCTGCAGCTTTGCCTGAGGAAAGTGTGCTATCGGATAAAATCGACGAGCATGAAGCCCCTCCGACTAAAGTTGATCAAGTTGATGGTAGTCCTCAGGAAACCGTCGCAAACCACGAACAAAGTGCGGCCCGTGTCGTTACGACTCCTCCGTCAATAGTGGTGGCCAATGTAATGACCCGAGATGAAGCCTGGGAAAGTATGTGGGACGAGGAGGCCGATGAACCGTTGGAAGCTGGTGCCGTTAGGATACGAATCCGAGCTCAGTCCACCAGTGATATCGTTGAAGACCACATGACAGAGAGCGAACCTCCGAGGGAGGACGAAACTTCTGTAGGCGAGATGGAGAAAAGTCCAATTGTTGAAGACGAGAATGAGGTGGCGAACCTTGAGAACGCCCCTGCCAACGGTGACGACGAAGCTAACGACGAAGCCTCTGGTAGTAGCGATGACGGGAAGGACAGTCAGGGCAAGGCCAAGGCAGTGCTGGTGGACGAAAAATACCTGAAGAAGCGTGAAAAGCAACTGAAGAAGTTACGCGCTAGTCTGCAGCATGCGTCCGATGAACGCGACAAGAGCGCCATCGATGAGGCGTTGGCCCGTGCTGAGCGCAAGCAGATGAGTGACGCGCTGCAGGATGATATCCAGCGAGCTCGTGACGTGCTGGCCGACATGGCTGCAGAGGCGCAACGGCTACGTGAAGCTTTGCCTCCAGCTGGGCCTGCAGCTACGGGGTCGGAGCACGGGCGAATGCATTTGCACACGGTGACCCCAACGAATTCCCCGTCGAACGTTACCCCCGGTGCATCGAAGCCTCCGTCACTCGTGATTAGGCCTATTGCTTATGGTCAGGCTTTACAGGCTGCAGAGCAACACCAGCAACAACTTCGTGCTCATCAAAAGCTACTGGAGGAGAAGGATGCTGAGATCGCCCAGCTCAAGAAGCTTTTAGCGCAAAAGGAACAAGCCCCATCTGACCCCACACCGCAAGAAGACGCACGGAGCGTGGAAGCTCGGGCTCACGCTAAGGCTGCTGCCTTGGCACGTCGTGTAGCGCGGTTGCGAACGCAGTTTCCAGTGCAGAGTGCTGCGGCGCGTCAAGCCGATGCGTTGATTGAGTGGATGGGTCCAAGCGATGCTGCTGACCGTGTTCGTCAGCAGGTGTTGTCCTTCGTTCAACAGGTGATAACTGCGCACTTCCCGTTGGCAGCAGCGCCACTGTTCTTCGCTACCGGATCGTATCCTATGAAGACGTATCTACCTGGTTCGGACCTCGACATTTGTCTGCTAGTGCCACAGGAGCTGGAGTCTTCGTGGTATTTCATCGTCACGCAGGCGTTGTGTATTGCTGGTGGTAGTGGCGGGGCTGGAACCGTATTAGATGTTGGCAACCCAGGCGGTTCTGTGGATGGAAGTGGAAGCAGCTCGCCCTCTGGGCCAGCAGTTGGAAGCGGCAGTAGTGGTGCATTGCTGTTGACGAACACGGTGCGCAACGTGACCTTCATCAATGCTGACGTTCGGGTGGTCAAGTGTACAGTAGACAACATCCCTGTGGACTTCACGGCGAATCGTGTGGGGGCGTTGGGCGCTGTGCGCTTGCTGGACGCTATGGCGGTTCGCGTTGGACGGCAGCACTTGTTCAAGAAGAGCCTTATTCTCATCAAGGCCTGGTGCACGCATGAGTCTAGCCCATTCATGCAGGCGGCGTCGGTGGAGTGTGGTGGACTGGGACCGTCGGTGGTTCCGGGTAGCACACCCACAAGCGTGATGGGTGCAAGTCATGGTGCTCTCTCTACGTATGCGGTGAATACCATCGTGATGGCGCTTTTCAACCAGCATGGTGACGCACTCACCCATCCGTTGCAAGCCCTGTACCTCTTCCTGGATCGGCTGGCCGAGTTCCCCTGGCACGAGGCTGCATTAACACTACATGGTGCTGTGCCGCTCAGTCGTTTGGCAACCACGCCGCTGAACGGGACGACACCATCTAAGTCGAAGCTAAAGGCTGCGAAGCTGGACGCTGGCGACGTTGAGGCTATTCGCGACACGCTGTCAGACCAGTTTGGAGCATTCGACGCGGGCCTAAGAAGTGGCAAGAGTGCCCCAACCGGTTTGTTTCCGATTCGTGCTTGCAACATTGTGGACCCACTAGATGACAAGAACAACTTGGCGCGCAGTGTGTCGGCTGAAGGTTTTCCCGTCATGAAGCGTGCCTTCCGTCTTGCAAGGGACCAGCTCGCGGCGATGCTTGCTCCCCGAACATCTCACAGAGATGACGATGCGGAGCTGTTGAGCGAGGAGACAGGTAGCGATGTTGGCATGGCCTTTTTCTCCAGGTGTTGGCAGCTATACGGGCGTGGTGACGGCTGGCGGCCAGACTTGCTGATTCACCCGAGGCAGATCTGGCATGGCAAGGCTGCGTCGACGTCTAGCTCGGGTTCAGTGAAGAAGAGCAAGGCTTCGCCTCGACCTCGTGGGGCTTCGTCGTCACCTGTCCAGCAGAATAGCGACGAGGACGAAGATCGGCGATGGGAATCGTTGCTGCCGAAGCTGGACGCTGGCGGTGTGAACGCGCTGCTACTGCAGCACCAGCAGTTGCAGCAGCAGGCGGCCGCAGCGGCGGCGTATCACGGTGCGATGATAGCGTATCAGCAGCCGTACTATCAGCAGCAACAACAGCAGCATGGACCTCCAATGGGCTCCCCAGGGGGCCCAGCAGCAGGCCCGGTGGTGGCGAATGGAGTTGCCGCAGGCCCGGGTCCTGTAGTTGCGGAGCAGGGTCCATACTACCAGCCGACACTGCGCCGCCCATACGGGAGCCCGGAACGCAGCAAGTCGCCGCCGCCGAGGAATGTCGGGCCTCAAAACGGGAAGACCGCGATGGGAGGTCGGAGGTTCGACTCGACGTCGCCGCAGCGCTCATAGTAAGATATATAGACAACATAGGGGAGATGCAGATTGAGCGAACGATGCTTCGCCCGTATTTATTCCAACTTAGAGCCTAGCTTTCTTCCACACGCTTCTTCACCTTGACTCGCTTGTTTGTAGTCAAGTGGCACTCGGGTGGGTAAAGTGAGTGACCTCCTTCAAGAACTCGTCCTGTGTGGATCTCACGGAGGAGGAGGAGGAGGAAAAGCCCGAGCTGGCAAACTTCCGACCCGGGTCGAACCACCGCTCCAGTCAAGAGGCAACTTTCTCGTCGCCATGCTGTATAACACCTTAAAGTAGCCAATGTTGACTGACGTGCAGCTCGCCCTCAAGATGGTGGAGATCGGCGCCATTCTCGAGAAGGACGATGCCGCCGAAGCAGAGACTGCGTACGTCTGATAGGCAGGCCAGTGCGACGAGTTCATGCACCAAGACCCCCCATAAGCTCTGTTCAACGTGGTAACGCGCCCCGAAAATTGAGCCCCCACTGACGACGGCAACGGAACGCGTGCCGCTATCTTAGTCGCTTGAAGTAGCGAGGCACCCAGTCATCCCAGCCTCGGACCCCTCCAGCCAGCAGGATAATTCTTGTTTGCTGCCCCGAGCATGTATGACGCCCGTGCGTCTGGGTTGCCTTCAACTCGCACTTGCACCTTCAACGTGAAACGGCCGGCTCAAGATAGCGGCGGGCGATCTCGGCGCTTTCCCGCTCGCCCATTGGTCCGTTATCCGAAAAGTCACGCTGACCCGCCGCCCCCGCCCTGATATTCACTGTAGAAAAGAAGCAAGCGTCGCATCGCCGAGGCAATGAGCCGCTCGCGGCCTTCGTCGAAGCGCGAGCGCACACTCGCTTCGTCCGGGCAGCAGCAACAGGTAACGCCCCGCAGTTTCCCCCGCCACCGATTCTCTAAACTGCGGGCTCATGGCAACTTTCCACTTTTTCACTTAAACGTCAAGGTGCAAGCTGCAAGGGAGTCCATGAGCGCCAGCGCCGGGCGCCGCCGCGCCTCCAAGCCGCTGCCCCCGGGCGACCAGTTCGACCGGCACGCGCCCATGGCCGTGGCCGTGGCGTACCCGGCGCCGCTGCCCTCGGGGCCGCCGCCCTCGAGCCACCAGAGCCCCTTCGAGAAGCTCAATACACTTAAACTTCTCCTCGATTGCGGCCACCTAACCGCCGACGAGTACCAAGAGCGCAAGACGCAAATTATCAATGAGATGACCGGCACCTCCACCGAGAGGAAGAAGCCCTCTCCCAGGTCCCGGAGATCCGGAGCAAATGGCGGCAACCCGGCCCCTCCGCCGCCACTTCAACCTCTGCTCAAGACGGTGGTGCCCCATGGGCCTCCGGACTTCTCGAGGATCCGACGAGAGCGGGCGGACAAGTTCAGCTTCGATGTGGACACGCTCGAGTGGCATTCCACACCTGTGAGGGTCAAGTTGGACCTGGTGCCATTTGCCACGGGGCAACTGCGAAATGCCTACTACTTGCAGGTACGAACTTTAAGTGGTGTTTAAAGTTGCAGTTGTTTAGGTGGTGCTTAAACTTGGTTAGGTTAACCTTAAAGTTTTCTCCTTTTTTTCACTGTTGTGTAGGAACTTGGAGCGGATGGCAGTCCATCCAGATTATTGGTGGCAAAAGTGAGTCTACGTCCTGCGGAACCAAGCACCTATCTCAGTGACGTGGAGATGCAAGCGGTGTGTGCCCATTACGCGGCACTATACAACGAACACGAACCTCCGCTTAAAGTTTGTTATGCGAGGTCGTGGCTGCTGAAGTTGAGGGATCGGGAACGAGGGACACTGGTTTGCTCCGTGGAGGAGTTCCTACCCGGAGCCTACGTCAAGTACAGCAACAACAGTGGCTATGTGGGTCGGGAGACCAGCACCACCGAGGAGCGAGAACGCAACACGCCACAAGCTTTTTCCCACTTTTCCTTCGTCGCGTCGGATTTCCGGCTGATGATTGTCGACATTCAAGGCGTTGCCGACAGCTACACGGACCCTCAGATCCACTCTGCAGACGGACGGGGGTTCGGCGTGGGGAATCTCGGCACTTTCGGGATGGAGAAGTTTCTCGAAAGCCACAGGTGCAACGAGGTCTGTCGGTGGCTCGGACTTCGCAGTATCAATGAACAGTACAAACCGGGTGGGACGGCCGCACCGGGGTACGAGATGCCGTTCGGAGGGGCGATCAAGAAGTCGACGAACAGGATCACGGAGGAGCGGAACACCTTCTCAACGTCAGTCACAGTCAGTGAAGCCTTTGGGGACACAGCTACTGCAGATTGGACCGAGCGGGAGGACTCGCGACTCGAAAGCGGGGACGAAGATGACGACGATGAAGACGAGGAGGACGAAGAGGACCCCGGCGAACACTCGGACTCGACCTCGCACGCTACAGACTCGTCGCCGGCCATGTCGGGGCTGCATCCAAGGTACCCCAAGTCGAAGCGGCAAAAGCGGTTCTTCACTCCCGCAGCATCTTCACGCGGTCGTGGTAGTGGAGGGAGATCATCTGCCAGGTCGAAGGAGCGTGAGTTTGGCCGCCGGTTCCGTCACCCGACACATCTCAGCAAAAGCGCCACGGGGAGTCCTGGTGGGGCTGGTAGTGGGCTGTGGACTTGCGTGGTGCGGAACTTATTCTGTGGGTGTGGATGAAGCCAATCAACCAGCCGCATCGGCTTTGTGGGCTAGCAGTCTTGTGCTTATCTGCTGATATGCATACATACTGATGAGGGTGCGTGGCCGCAGCTATTTTATGGTGAATGTATGATCTTTATAGGCTCAAAGATTTAGACTTCGAAAGCAATATGAACTCCCGGTTGAAACGTGCGGAATGTGTTGAGTTTTATTGTTTGAAGTGATTTGTTTCCTTACGTTATTTATTCTGTTGCGACGTAGTAGTCCGTTTCGACAGAAATTGGAGTCGACATTCGGTGGGGTCCTCCACGGTAGTTCTCCCCATGGCGACTCCTCTAGTGATGAATCGCGCGAAATGATGAGCGTCCCTGAGTAAGTCTTCACGAGGAAAACCGCAACTCCAAGTTGACTCTGCAGCAACGCACTTGGCGTCCACCGGAGCAACGATCCCATTGAACGTGTGAAGATCGGAGTGACGGTCGGCAATGGCGGCATCCCCTTTCAGCGGACAGGCTGTTCCAACTACTGTAGAAGATCACCACACTGGTCCTTGAGTAGTGCTGGCTGCGAACAAGTTCTGAACGATACCAACAATTGGAACTTGTTCGTAACCTTTACGAAAGTGTTCCATTTACAAGAGGCACTATATAGGCAACCCGGAGCGTTGCTCCGGGAGGGTACACAGGTCGACGAATAGTTTCATGGACGATGATAACGGATAAAATTGAGTAAATCCCAAAGTTGTTTTGTTTTTAATCCTTAAAAGCACTACCAGCCCAACTCTCTAGTTGATTCTAACGTGGGATCTACTGCGCCTCCTTCGCAGCCGCAGCATCTGCCCGAGAATGCGTAATTGAACAAATAGTTGCGCACATCGAAGTGTATCGATACGGAAATGATGTTTCAGCCAAACCTTTGTGAGGCTGGTAACCAGCAAGCCCCGCTCTTCTTTATCGTGGTGGGTTCTCAGGAACCGAAAGTCACCAATTGAGGTCGCCTGGTCTGATGAGGCCATCGGTGACATAACATCCTGGTCAGCGTCCAATGACTGCGTTGGCGCCAGCAACGAGAGAGCTATTTCATTCATTTTGCAGGTAAGGTATACTGTGCTCATTTTTGTACTATGTTGTGTGCTAACGATCAGACGAGAGAGCTACAGTAGCGGAACGAAGGAGAGACGATTGGTGCGCTGATCTTGACCATTTAACTTGAGGATGTTAGCTAAGTGACAATAATGATGCTCAATTCAAAAACAAAACAAACAAACAAACTTTTAACTTGAGGGCTTGGGGGATAAATTGCGGAATGAGATATACGCTAATGGGCCAATTCCTTGGAAGTGGGTGCTTCAACGCAGGGAAAAAGTCTTGTTCAAACGAACGATGCTCGTGTCACTGTCGAGTTGAGCTGATTGGTTTGGCGACAGACACGAGGTTGGGCATCTTCGGCTAAGTGATTGAGTATTGAGCAAATTGACATGTAAAAAATGCAGCCTGCAGCTAGATAAGTCATATTGGTCATCTTCAGCTAAGCTTGGTCGATTATGGCGCAAATTGATACGCCTTCAGCGAGGCCATGACGCTTTCATAGTGTACTGGAGCGTCCGTAAGTGTTTGAATGCAGGTTTTGGTCAATAATAAACGATTAGTATCCACCTTTGGTAAATAATGTGCATAAATTTTAGCATTTATCGACGGGTACCCGATTCCGGCAGATGTTAGCTTAAACATTACAGTTAAGAAAGAGAGACCCGGTTTGATACCCGGTTTTGGAAAGTTACAAGTTTTTTGCCGCGGCCAAGCACAGGTCTTCGACCTGTGAAGAGAACGAGAGAGCTTGTCAATTCCGCACTTGGCGAGAAGCCGTGACATCGTACTTAATCACGAATATGAACCACCCGAACAACACCGAACAATTGGATCCAAGCGAACAATTGGAACAATAGGAACACGCCTGTTCGCAACCAGCACTATCCTTGAGACGGTGACAGTCACGTCTGCTGTCGTTAGCTTGTAGTTGCCAGCATCAGGAGTGTTGCAGCTGTGGACTTCGCCATGGTGTTCTTGAATAGCTGCGGTTGGTACCCGAAACGGGTGGGGTTCGATGCCAAGGTGGCAAATTGAAGACTGGGCTGTACTTGTTGGCTTACACCGGAGTTAGATCTCGAAGTGTACTCGATCATAATGCGCGTGTATCTGATAGAAGCTCGGCTCATGAAATCCCCAACTCAATCCGACACCAGCAGCACTCACTACCACTGATCGAATACGGAAAAGCTAAGGAGGGGGGCGCCATTTCCGGGATATACCACATAAGAGAGATGCAGGTTGAGCGAACGATGCTTCGCCCGTATTTATTCCAACTTAGACCCTGGCTTTCTTCCACTTCGACGCCCCTGCGCCCGTAGTATTGGCCTCTGTCTTGGCCTTGTTGGCCTTGTTCTGCTGCTTGTTCTGACGCTTCTTCATCTTGACGGCGTCGCGCCGCTTGCGTTTGTAGTCGAGCGTGAGCTTCTTCCGTCGCTCGGGCCAGTCCTGTACTTCTTCGCCACCGACGAAGGTCCTACCGAATGCCAGGAAGTCCTCCAGACTCTTCTTGGCGCGCTTCTTGGTCAGCGCGGCCGTGTCCTGCTCCTCCTCGGTCTCCGCATCATCGCCGGCTTCACTGTCCGTGGCCATAGCTTCGTCCTCAAGGTCGTTGACACCTTGCGAGAATGCCCAGTCTGGTGCAGCAGCAGCCTCCTCCTGCTCGTCTTCGAGGAGCTGCTCACCCATAGCAGCCAGTGGCTTGTCCTCTCCGACAGGGAACGAGAACAGAGAGCTGAGCTTGAACGGAGCTTCAGAACCGCCGGTCTCGGTAGACGCAGCGCCACCCCCAAAGCCAAAGCCAAACACGCCATCAAGCGCAGCTTCGCCTTCCTCGCCGTCCTCCGAGTTTTTGCGCACACGCGAGAAGAGGTTGCTCAAGTCGCCGGTAGTGGCGAAGAAGCGGTCGCCACCCGTAGGGATTTCCTTCTCCTCGCGCTTGGGTGCAGCAACGGCATCCTCCTCACTCTTCTGCGCTCCAGATGCCGCAGTCGTCATCGGGATCTCGAACTCGCGGCACGCGTGGGCGTCGCGCGGGTCGTAGCGCTTCAGCTCTCCCATCCACGCGGCTTCCTTCAGCGGATCCTTGGGCTTGCGCTGCTCCTGCATCCGTCGCTGTAACCGCGTCACGTCGACATCGGGGAACAGCTTGGACACTACGCGCAGCGCGGCTTCCTCCTCTTCGCGCATCTCGCGCGCGTGGCGAGCAGCTTCCTCGGGGTTCTCCTCCTCCAAGAAGTTCTGCAGCTCAACAACGGCTTCCTCATCGATCTCCTGGTCCTCCTCCTCATCCACATCGTTGCCGCCGTACTCGTTGGCGTCCTCTTCCAGGAAACGCGCGTCCAGACGGAAACGAGAGTCGCCTCCGAAGCGCTTCTGCATTTCGAACAGCTTCTTACCCTTCTCACCAACAAACTCGGGTCGCAGCGCGAACGCAGCCTGGGTCTCCGCGTCAGCAGCATCCGCCGCAGCATCAGCGTCGTCGCCGTCCGTAAAGTCAAATGTCTTGCGAGCTGCACGCCCAGCCTCCTCCCCATCTTCTTCGTCATCGCTCGAGTCCATCCAGTTGGAAATAACGCCGGCACCCTCTTCCTCCTCCTGCTCGTCCGGCTCCTGCTCGTTGCCGCTGTCATCGAACGTGATCTTCTTGTTCGCCACGGCCTCTCCAGCCGCGGGGATCACCACCTTCTCCTCCTTCTTCCGCTGCTGCTTGGCCTCCAACGCCGCCAGACGACGCGCGTTCATCTCCTCCTTCGTCAGCTCCTTCTTCTCTCCCTGCTCGGCCTCCATCTCACGCGCGGCCTGCTCCTCCATCTGCCGCACGAAAGCCTCCACATCGTCCTCCCCAATCACGTTCTCCCCTTCATCCTCCTCCTCGGCCTCAACCTCTTCAGCCTCCTCCTCACTCTCCGCCTCTTCTTCACTCTCCTGTTCCTCCTCACTCTCCTGCCCCAGCTCCTGCTCCACTTCAGACGTCTCCGCGTCCGTCTCCTGCTTCACCTCCAGCTCCAGCTCCAGCTCCTGCACCTGCTCCTGTTCCCCCTCCTCTAGCTCGGGGAACCTGGTCCTCTTCCTGCCCTTGAACCTGACGCCCACCTTCAGTGGCTGCAGCGTCTCCGCGGGCGTGTTCATCTGCTGCTGCTGCTCGTTCCAACGCTCGCGCGCCTCCTCCGCCTTCTGCTCGCGTTCCGCCCGCTCCTGCTGCAGCTGCGCCTCGTAGTGCGGCCTGGCCGCCTGCACCTTGAGCACGGAGCCGCGCCACTTGGTGCGGTTGAAGGTCTTCTGCAGCTTCTCGCTCTGCGCGTCCGCGTCCGCGCCGCGCAGCGTCAGGTACGCGAAGCCGCGGTGCGCGCCGCCGGCCGGTTCCAGCGCCTTGGGCTTGGGCAGCTCCACGTCCGCCAGCTGGCAGTCCGCGCCGCTGCTCACGAAGCGGCCGAAGCGCTCGCGCAGCTCCTGGTTGCGCGCGTCCGCCGGCAGGCCGCCCACGTACACGCGCACGGTCGGAGGCGTCGCCATGGTCGTGCTCGGGTCTGCGACTTGTGACGCTTTGATTTGACTGGAGCCAAGCGGAAGCTGTGTGCACCACCTGAATTAGGTTAGCTCCATGCCGAAAAGTTGCATGGGTCACAAGAAATAGTTTATGGGACTTATCTATGGAGGGTCGACGAAGTGAGACCCATATTTATCTATGGCACAAGCACAGACAGAACGCTTTCGGTGAAGCGACAACTCGAGCTTTTACATGACGCCACCGGGTCCTCCTTACCTGGTACAATAATGAAGACGCCATTTAATTTGTGGCTTCATTGCTGCAAAGTATTTGCCGAGGCCAGTGCCATGCAGCCAATCGATGCCCAACAACACTTTGGAAGGAGAGATTGCGTTGTGAAGCTCTTCGCGTAGAAGACGAGTCTTCGCAGGGGATGCACTCTGCTGTCGCTGAAGCATGGAAACAACGCTTCGGTTGCCGCGACTTCAACCTATTGCCACCGCCCAGCCACATTCTCAAGCATTGGAGTTCCCCGAATCATCTACGGCCAGTAGCGCGAAACCGAACACCAAGACATTTTACCTATTTGATCGCGAGTAACAAAGCAGATCTTGATGACCGTAACGCAAAAGGTGAAGCTGCACCTTTGGTTTCTTCCTTTGCGTTACCATCCTGAAGATCTGTTCGTCACTCGAGACCAAATGAAGCTTGGTCTGACTGACTCGCTCACTTTCGAATTCGCTTCCAGATGCAACAACGACTCAGTTCCGGATGCCTACGATCCGAGCTATCGCTGTGTCGGTCTTCGGGCTCGCACTATTGGCCGTCAGTGCAGCGGAAAACTCCACCGGTAGCTGGACGACTGTCAAGGCTACTGACGCTGACAGCAAACTGCTCTACGCGGCGTGGGGGAATGTGAGCAACTTTGGTCCGGGTATCACCACGTACGGCTGCGGCTACAACGTTCTCGACTTGCAGAAGAAAGGTGCGGCGGCGGAGGGCAGCAAAGCCGGTAACATCTACGACTTCAAGCTCCAATCGGTGATCGACTACCACTTCACAGTGCAAGGCTGCGGTTTGGAGGGAGATGAGCAGCAGTACTTCGGGTACTGCGAAGATATCGACTGCCTGATCACCACTTTCGACGTGTACATCACGTCGGAGCCGAAGACCAACACACTCAGGGTGACGTCGGTGTCGGCGCGAGCCGAGGAAGATACTGGAGGTGAAGGAAAAGGCTTGGGAGGGCTAGCGGTATTGCTGTCAACGTGGCTCACAATAAAAGTTCCAAGCGAGAAAGTGGAAGGCAAACGGAGGTACAGTCGAGCTGTTGCGAGATGAAAAGCTGCTGGAATTACTGGGTTATCGGGGTGCAAGATGAATCGAAAGTCGGCAAGACCGAGAAGATTGTATTGGAATTATGTGATGTATTTACCTGCAAAGTTGTCTTGTGGGGGCTTCGGTTTTTACGTTTCAATAATTTAGATTCTGGATCGAAAAAAAAAAGTTTTGCTTTTCGAAAATCTCAAAATCCAAGTCGTTGAAGTTGTTGATGCGGCAGTTGACTTCCCGAGTGCAAAATGGTACGAGTGAAATGCGGTGTTAAGCGGCTGTTCATGAAGCCGAAAGAGGACAAGAAGGCGGCGAAGGACGACGACTGGGTCACTGCAGGCGAGCAGTTCAACTTCGACTTTGGTAGCTGGGAAGAAGAGAGTACGCAGCATCAATTGAAGAAGCCACGGGTGGAGGACGACACAGACGGGAGAAGCAGCCATGTCCAAACAGGAAACACGACACCACACTCGAGTCGGATCGGAAGGTTCCAGGCGCCCACTCCTTCGTGTATATCAACATTCACAGCTACAAGCGTGGATCCAGGTCTCAACAGTGTATCATCTAAGACGGCTTCGGCTGCTGCAAGCGTTGACAAGCCCAAGCTTCTTGTGATGCGTGGAGATCCTACAGACTGGAGCTCTGAAGCGATCGTGAACGACACGGACGGTTGGCTGCTGCATCAACGTGGTTTGGCGGCGACGATCGTCCGCAAGGGAGGGCCGGAGATCCGACGTCAGAGCGATGAGTGGATCCACTACCAAGGAGAAGTCAAGGTCGGGTCTGCGGTGTGGACGACGGCAGGCAATCTATCGAGCAGATTCATCATCCACACAGTCGGCCCCGACGTGAGCTACCGCTGGCTCACGCAGCAACAACAGCTGGAGCTTCGCCAAACCGTTCGTAGTGCACTCGCGGTGGCTGATGATCTGGAAGTGACGTCGGTCGCTATACCCGCGATATCGACGGGCCCTGGTCGCTGCTATCCGAGGCGCCTCGCTGCCCGAGAGATCGTGGCTGAGTGTCTTCAGTACTGCGATGACTGCCCGGCGACGACGCTGCGTCTGATTGTGTTGATGAACGAGGATGAACTGACGACCTCGATCTTCGCGAAAGCACTCAAGGAGGAGAGACAGCGGCGTCAGCTGCAGCGACAACGCTGTAAGCTGAATAGCGCCGTACCGACGCAACCTGCGCGCGTCAAGAGAGATGAAACCCTTTTCGATAGCGGCAACGACTACTTGCCAGCTCTTCTGCAGAAGCTCAAGCAGACCGACGCGGAGGAGAAAGACATAGCGACAGCAGCTGCGTCGCGACTCGCTACGCTGAAAAAGTGGGCGCTGTGAGCTGCTGTGTATGGGCAGGTTCCTTTCTGGGTAATCGTAGGTACATCTTCTGCAGTCAAACTTAATGCAATCGAAGGCCTTTTAATCATACGCGCGACTTATGTTACGGGAACTGGGAAATATGAGCTCAATGTGCTGTCTGACCCAATGGGGCCGCCAAATATCGACGCCAACTTCGGATACTCCATCAACAGGCGAGATGCCAACGTGAAGGCGGTGATCACTGGCCGTGGTGACGCCTCCAGCGAGATTCCCACAGCGATCCCTGTCACATTTGCCCGTAGGGAGTAATTATTATCTGTTGCTAATTTACTGGTTCATCTGTTGCGGGCAAATCAGCGGAAAATCTGTTGCCCGTGTCGGTTTATCTGTTGCGTGGTGTAGGGGACGAAAGCAACAGGTTTTCGGCACGGAAATTCTGCAACAGATTACATGTCGAGTTGACTCGGTATATCTGTTGCCTAGGTGATTACTTGTTGTGCTCATGCATCGAGTAAGAGCACCCCTGCTATTTATCCGAAGGCGGTCGATGCTTGATAGGATTCTTTTAAAGGGTTCGCATGAATTTCGCGAAGGCTATGTGAAAGTAGGATGGTCATAGCAGTAGATTTATTACTTTAAGGTCATGACACCGTCCTCCAGCTCCAAAAGATGCTACGCTGCACATTTCCGCGTCTGGCGTCGGCTCCTGTACAGTCCCGCATCACCTCAACGTCTTCAGGCATCGGATCTATTGCGCCTCGCTCTACATGCACTGCTTCTTACTCGAATTACTGTTGCTCTGGTGCAGGCAACCCCTCTTCGGGCGCGGACTTGTGATCCGCCTCGGACTAGGCCAAGTTTGGATTGCGCTGGATCTTGATTTAGATGGTTGGGCCACGTTCACCTGTACACATGAACGCGAGATGAGCTTGCTTACCTGTGCATGTGACTAAGATAAATAATAGTTGCGTGGTCTCCAATAGCTCTTCTTCGCTCGTTGTTATGTAGCCGCCAAGGCATTTGCCCCTGTGCGAGCTTGTACACGTCGCGAATACATAGTACTGAAGGACGCACTGTCTAGTGCCCACGCTCTTCGCACGAGGGCGTAGCTTTGCACTCTACTACCTCAGGAAGCACCCGGAGGAAGTCCAGTCCATGAGTACGAGTCGCCATAGTCTGTTGTGCCCACGCTCCAAACACGCCGAAGTACTCGGTAGTACAAGTCGTACTTCGCTTCCTCATCGAACCTAGTGATCATGGAGCCGGTCTCCTGGATGCTGCCTGCAGTCCAGTAGCAAGCGTACTCAACCGTTTGGCGCTGTAATATGAGTTTTAGCTCAAACAAAAATCTATGCGGATAAAGAGAGTATGGAGATCGAGAGCGACAGTGGATGACGAGAGCAGATCCTAAAGTCCCGCAGACTGGAGTGAACTACATCGTGCAACCCCGTAACTTAGACGAAGGGCAGCGATGACATCTACGGTACTGTAGCCACTCGCAGCTCCGAAGCTGTTGTCGGCGTGGCCGACGGATGCTCGTGTTAATGCATTGTTCCGTTAATGTCACTCTCAGTGGCCACGTGCACTACATCGTACTACCCAGCGGACGTGAGTCGACACCTCCGTCCGATGACTTCACGCATACTTAAGTACGCGCGCGATCGGGGCTACCACGGACACAACGGCTCTCATTACTACAATTGGGGCTATGGCTATGACAAATTCGACCCTCAGGGCTACCGCTCTTACGACCAAGGCCGTTCTTCCTGTGATGATGTCTATGGGGGTCGTTATGACCGCTCTGATCGTTATGACTCACACAATGACTAGGAGGACAACGTGACGCTCACCGCAGTGATCCTTCACCTCGTGGATCGACCCGTAAGCGCGTGGTCTGCTGTTAAATCCTTGGAAACACTGAAGAAGCTGTAACTCATCCCTGGCACCAATTGGTCCAGTAGCACCTCATGCGCTTTAAAATAGGTCACACACTCTTCGCGATAGGCTTGGACGTCAAGAGCGCACCCGTGGCGACGTTGACTTGCCATACCTGTGCTGCTGATGTCGTAGCACGCCTGCGCCAGAAGTCACAGTCCTCGTTGGCCTCTAAGGGGAACGGCAAGCTATCATCTGCATGCAACAATAACTCAAGCTGCTTGCAAAGTTAAGGAATGACTATCGCAGAATAAATCCGTAGCAGAACGCTGAGCTCGCCATAGTCCCCGAAATGGAATACCACAAGTTCATGCATCACCTTCCTGAGCAATAGCGGGGGTGCTCTTACTCGATGCATGAGCACAACAAGTAATCACCTAGGCAACAGATATACCGAGTCAACTCGACATGTAATCTGTTGCAGGATTTCCGTACTGAAAACCTGTTGCTTTCGTCCCCTACACCACGCAACAGATAAACCGACACGGGCAACAGATTTTCCGCTGATTTGCCCGCAACAGATGAACCAGTAAATTAGCAACAGATAAAAATATTCTCCCTTTGTCCGTTCTCACGGCCACTTCAACTTGGCCTGGATACGCGATGGCTGCGGCTCGCGTCCAGATAGGTCTCGCCTCGCGTTGCGTGGCATCAACCCTCTCACAACCTATCGGACCCTCGGAAGCGCAGATCTACCTCCTTGCCGTGCACCAGCGGAGCTCCACAGGCGGTCGAGCTCATCGCAGCCGACGGCATTCACTGGGACCACCGTCACCGATCGCGGCTTCACGTCGAGCGCGATCCTTTCATCTCGACAGCAGCAGTCTGGACGTGGCCACGCAGCCCCGCAACCAGCAGATGGAGCAAGTGCAGATGGCCATCTCCACGGAGTCGAGACCCGTTGGCGACGTGCGCTACGTCATGACCGTGCGCCATCTCAGCGCACACGCAGTGTGGCGGATGTACAGGTCGTTCGACGAGTATCACGGCTTCCAGGGGAGACTGCTGCGTGCGCTGCACCACGGCCACGTCTGCAGCGCTAGCCTAGCTGTCCGTGGCTCGAGAGCTTCCTGACAGAGCGCCAAGCTGCTGCCTCACCGGTGGGACTCGACCAAGCGGTTGGTGGCTCACCGCCAAGAAACTCTTGCTCACGTGCTCCAGACTGTGCAGACGTTCCGGTGCACGCGGCAGAACCAAGCGTCCAGCGTCATGTCCGAGTTCCTGGACTTTGTCTACGGCCAAGTGGTTGATGACAAGCGCGTCCTCCTCGCGCTCTGGCACGAGACGCAGCAGCGGTCACCTCGAGATCGAGAAGCCCAAGTCCATGTCGACTCTCCTTCATCAGCGTCGAAGAATGCGCGAGCAGCGGCCCTGAAGTGGCTTTTGTAGACGATAAAGTCCTTGAAGAGGGAGAGAATCTCTGCGCGTTGTGTGGGCCGAGCGCAACGTGTACGTGACGCAACTTGGCTGTGGCCACCGCTTCCACGACGAGTGTGTCCTCCCGAAACTGAACCAAGCGCTCGAGTGCCCGACGTCCGGAGCTCGCGACGACGAGACGTAGTATAATAGCCTCGGCAATTTTACCAGGCAGCAGCCCAACTCGGTCTCCGAGTAGGTATCTACTGAAGCAGTGTCGGACGACACTGTCGGTACATGCACTTAGTACATGCATTAGAGAGTCACGGGGTCGCGCTGTCGAGCGTTGACTGATGGAAACACGCAGGTCGGGGATTCCCGTGTCCGTCCCGGTGTCGTGGATGGCATCGAGATGTTGGAAGTGCCACGCCCAAAATCTGCGGCCGACTAACTAAACGGCGCATAATGCGATGTGTCCTTGCTAAATAATAGCTGAGTGTCATCCTGCTTTGCTTTGCTTTGCTCCCGCTCAATGGAGGCCCGAGCGGGACCTCGCCACCCAGTTGGCGGCAACCAAGTGTCCACCTCAAGAGCGAGCGTCAGCCTGACACCCTCCAGCTGACGGAAGCGAAGCTGGTCACATGACAATATCTGGGTGGTGCTGTACAGTAGCGAAGTTCCAGGCGAATGAACGGACGGTATCACGACGCGTGACGGCATTGTTCGGCAAGAAGAGCGCATCATTTGCTACTTGAGCTTGGCAGTACTGCAGCGATGCCGGGTAACGATGCTGCTGCTCCATCTTCACATATCCGATGCACTGGCGCGGGCGCTTCCGCTATGCCTGACTTGGTGTAGCGCAGGTCATGATGTACCGTTACGGTAGAGAGATACTGCCGACTGCCCAAGGTAGAAGACAGTCCCAGGACCGCTCGAGTCACGCGGGCCGTGATGTCATGCCTGCACCGGGGTCCAACTTGGCCTCTTGGACTCCAAGAGATACCATCCCGAGATGTGAATGTCTGGCAGCGCCGAACGCGCATCTCCTCGTTTGCATACGTACAACCTCAGGTTGTCAACGTGACGCGTTGCAGGGCGGGCCCCAATACCTACGCACAGTGCGAGCCTCCCTCCGATATGCACAGTGCAGGTGGCCAATATGCACAGTGCACTGTGCGTATCGGCTAGTGTTCATCGCGTTCATACTGTGGACAGGCCCATATGCATTTCGGGCATAGTTGTTGACTCAGCGCCCGCTGAGTCAGGTCTGCGCACATCCTGCGGGGCGCCTCCCCTCGTCCTGCCATCCGCCGCAAAGGAAGCAGCCTTCGGGTTGCCGTCTTGCTCGACTCTGGAGCCCCGAGTCGAGGCCATGGCTCGAAGCGAAAGTCTGCAGTAACAATATAATAGCAAGCACCGTTTTGGCCTTCAGGTGGACGCTGGTCGACATCTTGTGTGTGCGCCTGCTGCCCTCCCTCCGTCGTCGTGTTGTCCAAGCGGCGTAGCGATTTGAAAGTCGCCGAGCCGCAGAGGCTAGGCTTGCCTCGTCGTGCGCACCGTGTCAACACTTGCTGGTCATCGGCGAAATGGAGCCGTTGAGTCAGGAAGATGGAGAGCGAGATGGGGCCTACTAGATATCTGCGCTCGTGTAACTCGAGCGAGATGCACGCGAAGCGCGTGATGGACAAGGAGATTCGCGTGAGCCCTGATCGCAGTAAACAGCCCGTAAGCCCAGCCCAGCACTGCGCGCAGCGCCGGCGCGACGACAACCACCGGTCTGCGACTGCCAAGTTTCTGTACATGTAAGAGTTTGGGGATGCTGGAAAGCAGACGAGTTCGTGGCAGGGCAGACCCCTCCGAGGATACGAGATCAGACCGACAACGGTGAGGCCTATGGCCAGTGGCCTACGGCCACCGGGTGCCACGCAGAAGAGGATCTGGACCTCAACTCAGGCCGCTGATGGATCTTCCAGCAAGCTTTGGTTTCGATCTTCAAGCAAATATTATACTACGAAGTAAAATAGCAATTGCACGCTACGCTTCTCCACTTGTCCACTTGAGCAAAGCGCTCGTTTGACTGTGCATTGTTGAAGGGGTTTCCGCCGAGCAAAGCTCGGCGTCGAATCCTTCGGGACGAGGTGGCGACGAGGTGCCGAGTGTATGTACGCTGCAAGCGCAGACGCATCAAGATGCGGCTTACACGGCGATGTCTTCAAGGCGGACCGTAGGTAGCGTACCCGACGTCCTCGCTGCGATTAAACACCCACCGACAAGCAAGCGCTATCGCTCGCTGTCGTTCGCTGCTTTGACGTGCTTACCACGCGTTGGACATCTCGGTGCTACTGCATGCGTCCACCTTGATCGGATCCATCAAGCGCCTTGACCCAGGAAGCGTCGATTCGTCATGGGCCTGAGTCTCCCCGCGCTGTGAGTGCCTCGGCTGCTGTTTTCGTGGCAAGCGGCACCAGGTTTCGGTCGCGGTTGCACTAGCCAGGTGGCGCAGCTCGAGAGACCCAGCGACCGACCGAGGCGCAGCCTCTCACTCTCGCTCGGAGCCTTTCGGTGCATCCGTGATATAGTCTGAGCCACCCAGACAGCAGTTGTCAGAGTCTCAGCTGGACCGGGGGTCCCCTCTCCTTTGAAAATCACTTTTGAATTCGGCCCCGAGCTTCCAAGGCGCGTCCGTCGACTTAACCTTCCTTGGCTTAAAGCTCAAGTCTCCTTCGCCTCTCGCGCTCTCCTCCAGCTCATGGTCATGCCCCACGCGTCCTTCGTGACGTATCAGAGCCCGCTGTTCCCGTTCCGCTCGCCGTCGGTCGCCGATCCGCTCCCCACCTTCGCCTCGCTGTCTCCCCCCACCTTTCGGCTGCCCAGTCTCGCCATGATGCACCAGGAGGAGGACACCAACGCCGCCGCCAAGAACGCGAGCAGCGCCGCCAACCAGGACGCGGCCCACAAGGCCGCGCTGTCCTTCATCCTGTCGTCGTCCGACTCGGACTCGGAGTCGGACGAGCCCAAGTCAAAGCCCCGCAAGCGCGACTCGGTCAGCGTGCCCACCATTGCCAAGCGCCGACGCAGCGTCACAGGCGTGGCTGTACCCGCAGCCGCAGCCAAGCCAGCGCCGGCCAAGAAGGGCAGCAAGTTCTGCACTGTCGAGGGCTGCACGAGCCGTGCCAAGCACGCCAAGCGCTGCTGGAAGCACGGCGGCTGGGTGCGCTGCAAGGTGCCCGAGTGCAACAACCGCGCCAAGTCCAAGGGCGTGTGCTGGTCACACGGCGGCGGCACCGTGTGCTCCTTCGAGAGCTGCGACACCATTGCGGTGTCGAACGGCTTCTGCTGGGCGCACGGCGGCGGCAAGCGCTGCCAGGTGCCCAACTGCTCCAAGCCGGCCTATGAGCGCACGCAGAACTACTGCCAGGCGCATTATCAAGAGTTGGGCGTCGCCGCCGAGTCCAAGACCAGTTGAAGATCGTGTTAGCGTAGATAGTTAAATGTGTACAACCAAAAGACAAGCGAGGCGCAGCCTCTTTATTCCCTGTAAGCATCCCGAAGGTTCTTCGTTGCGACCTTCTTGCAATACGGCCATTATATGGTCCACATCGACACTTTTGCCCTTCCCACGCGGTCTTTGTTAGCCCCGGTGAGTCAGCACCAGAACATACAGCGTCCGAGGGCGAGTTAGTGCTCGAGAAGTGCCCGCTCAGGGACCACATGCGCCAGCACCGCGCATTTGTTGCTGGAGGCGAGATCGGCGACGAAGGTGCGCCATCTACCTACCTACCGGTACCAATGTCCGTCCGAGCACGAGAAGCTGCGGACTATAGAGGGGCATTCCGCCGCCGTGTTCTTGCCTTCTCCTATAGCGGCTGCAGCGTTAGCAACCGGAGCATGGCACGGATCGTTTGGAAAGGAACCGCACAGGGAGACCACGCGGCGGGCGAGGCGGGCCGGATGATCGACTAAAGCGCTTGCCGCGCCATGGAGACTCTCGGGGGACGCTCTCGAGGACCACCTGGGGTGCAGAGAACCACGGAAGGCATTTGGCGCGGCCCAGGGAGCAGCACTGCGATGTGTCCGCCGAGAGGAAGACGCGACTTGCTCAACGCGAGCCCTCAATTCTCCTCGCGTTGCGTGTTGCGTCATCGGGTCGGCTAGTCCATGCAACGCCACTCCGCCGAGACGATAGTGTCAAAATATACAGATTTGTAGGCACAAATATATGTACATGGGGAGTGAATATAAATATGGGTTTGCACCATACAGTTGGAGTGACAACAGGGAGAGACTATATTTGTGGGGCACCAATATAACCGCTAACCACTGTGAGGCATATAAATATCAGCTTAATTGTGCTGGCCAAGTTACCACACGGGCGGCTGCAGACAAAGGTTTTCGTTCAGGAGCGGCCATGGCTGGCTGGCATCAGCTAGCCGTGCACAATTCCACGGAGGAATTCGATGACTACCGTGACGAGTCGATGTGCTGCTCGGCGATATTTCACAAGGTCGACTTTGACAACTGCCGTGTTTGTGCTGGTGAGCATACGATGACAGAAAGACGTCTTCGGTGCTTGAGCAGTACTTGTCGCGAGTTTGGCAAATGTGGCGTGGTCTGGAAGGTGTTCTACTGCACAGCTCAGGACAAAAGGCAGATAACTGTAAACGAGCAGGCACATGCCCGTGGTGTTCTTCCCTGTACTGCGGAGCATTGGCCAGTCGTGACTCAGCCGATGAAAGCATTTATCGCGGCACAAGATGAGATTGGGAACGCCCCACGTATTATTCTGGCACATCTCAAGAAGCAAGCAAATATCAAGCCATCTAAAAGCGGATGGCCAGAGCTCTCCCAGATTCAAAATGCGCTGAAAGTTCACCGGCGTTCGAAGGGCACCAAAAAATCAATCAAGGTCGTGCATGAAATGGCTCGCGCTCGCCGCTACAAACCAGAACTTCAGCCAGATTCCGCATTTCTGTTTGGACCTAAGTTGGACACGGATGGCTTTGTTTATGTGGGGTCCGGCGAGGACGACGATCCTTTCATTATTGGGGCGACGTCTCTCGCACTTATCGATAGCTGCCTACGGTTCTGCCACTCGGGTGATTTTGTGCAGTTCCATGTGGATGCCACGTTTAAGGTTAGCGACTTGGGCTATCCAGTGATAACTTGCGGCTTCACGGACCGAGGGCGTTCATACCAAGTTGGTGCTTTTTTCGTGGTGAGTCGGCGCACGGAACATGAATACACCGAGTGCTTGCGCAGTTTTGCTGACGTCGTCCGGCTTGTTCGAGGAGCAACACTTCGTATCGATGCAACCATGAGCGATGCTGAGGATGCTCAATTCTTGGCTCTCGAGAACGTGCCTTGTTTTGCAAATGCTACGAAGCTAATGTGTTATTTTCACGTTATGTACAATGTACGTAAACGCACACAGCACCTGCCCTTTGCTGAAAGGAGAAATGTGATGAACTCGATTGTCGACATGCATTTTACGCAAAGCTTGTTGGAGTTCGAGCGTACACGAGATCGAGAAATAGTTAATTGGCGCAAGCAGACACATCTCGTTGAATTCGCGGACTACTTCGAGCAGCAGTGGCTAACAGGCCGCTATTGGCGATGGCAACTGTACCACAATCCTGAGGGCTACGCATTAACCAACAATCCCTGCGAGAACCTAAATGGAGGACTAAAGCATTTTCTGCAGCGCCGTAAGCATCATATGTGTCGATTACTCGAGAAAATCGGGACCTTCATCGAAACGACGAGTCCCGTCAAGCCCGCGCCAGCAGAATATACATCCACACCAACATCCGAGTTAGTGAAGGCAGCGGCAGCTATGCTTGTAGCTTCTCGAATTGTTATCACCAGGACAAGCGATGCGAACCAAGTACGAGTCCTCGAGATTCTACGCGCCGACACAGACGAACAAGCTGAAGAAGAAAACGGATTTCTTCTGGAGACAGTCAATGCGGCTCCCTCCACGCGTACCGATACGGCAACAGGACCGAGCAGCCAATTGGCTTTGTTTCTATCATTGACATCCACGCAAGACAACCCAACATCAGATTCGTCCGATAGCTCGTCGGCGAGCGATATCCCAGCCATACTACGATCTAGACTGGATTCAGATGGACAGGAGGACGACGACACGGTCACGAATTGGAAAAGGCTTTTCGAGCAAGCCACATCATGGTCTCTACGGCGTTCGCATCGCATAGGAATGCCTTCCGATGGGTGGCTAGTTGACATCACACGCAAGCGATGCACCTGTCCCTACTTTTCGAAAATGCTGATGTGCTGGCATGTTGTAGCGGTTCTCCGGAAATTTAACATCACCAGTAGTGTACGCGACCCACTGGCGAAGTTGAAAAACAGAATCGTAGCAAAGGCCAAGGCAAAACGTTCCGGATCCAAGCGTAAGCAATCCAAACCAAAAAAGTCGAAGAGAAAAGCGTCTAGCCGAAAAACGAAGCAGACGAACAGTACATCCTCAGCTCCCAGCTCTGAAGGTCTCCCAGGGCCCGTTGGAAGGCTTGCTCATGCAGAACCAGCGCTGACAGTTCAAGACATTCTATTAGAATAGAGAACACTGACTAGGTCAAACCCTCTAGGTGATTGAATACATGTATTCTTTGCTTTATCGGTGTGGAAATCGACGATACCCACAGCCTAAATCGCTTCCTCACAAAAAGTTTCGATGCACTTAAAATCTCCCAAAGAATCGGCTCGTACGATTCCCGATGACGATCTCACCAGGTTCATCCGCTCCAAGCTCAACACAAAGCTTGTACAGGGCGCTTTGGGTATAATCATATCGTCGTTTTGCGCGTCTAATCCGCGCCGCAGCAAACCTTGGATCGGGTTGATCGTACTCAGGGTTCGGTTCGAACTGAGCGGTTCCCATTAGAACCGCCAGTACATCGTCCAGGCGAAGTGCGACGGCGGAAAACGCGTCCTCCACTGTCTTAGGTTTGTCCTTGATTCTGGCCAAGACGACCGCGTTCTGCGCACCGGCCACAGCAGCTTCGATAATACCGACCATACTCCCGCCATTGTAAGCTGCGTGGATTCGGAGATCCTGCTCTTTGCTCAGCACGGTGTAGTAGTTGTTACGCGCGCGCTCCATCTCTGCGAATCGTGTTTGCAGCTGAGTATCATGCTGTACAGGCAGGGTTGGCATCGGCTGATCAGTCACTCGACTGCTGTATCGAACACGTTTTGGATTGTTCGTGGAAGTCGGTTGAACGTGTTGCCGCTTCGTCTTGGCCGTAGTCATCTTGCCCGTAGTCGTTGTGGCAGTAGACGTTGTGACCACAGTCTTCTTGGCCGTAGTCGTCTTGGCCGTAGTCGTTTTGGCGGTGGCCATCTTGGCCGTAGTCTTCTTGGCCGTAGTGGTCTTGGGCGATGTTGTGCCAGACGTCTTCTTTCGTTGTCCTGGGTAAGCCTTACGTTCGTCCATGATGCCGTACGTATCATTGGGGAAACTGGAATCCGATGTTGCTTGGATTAGACGTGCGCGTTCCTCCGGCCCAATGTCACGCCAAGCGTCCCGAATTTTATCACCGCCACGGCCACACAAGAAGGTTATGTCACGCGTACGCCGCTCCAATTCAGGTAGAGTTTGACGAAAGCTTGCATACCAACGAGCGTATCGATTCCCCACCGCTGCCGCGAAGATCCATACTGCGTTGTGTGCCCTCATACTGAGTGGTGTGCTACGATCTTCTGGGTTGGTTCAAGGATTTTGTAGAATGAACGCGTGTTGCAGTCTGACCTGACTAACAGCGTGGTAATAAGACACGAGTAAGTAACAAACCCAAGGATTCATTTAAAAAACTCTCAGTCTTACCGTAATGCATATTGTGGCTAAGCCAATCGAGGTAATACCTAAGACGAAGACGCTGTCAGCCAAAAATACTAAGGGAGGTATAGCGCGATTCGGCGGAAAAAGATAATCCCCATGATCCACTCTGCTTCATAGGCTTGAATTTCCACCGCAACATTGTTGTCATCGTAAATGAGCTTATCACCACTCAAAACTTTGATCGCAAAGCAGTGCATCACTCGTAGTGAGCTTTAGGCAACGCACACGTAAACTCCATCCGCTAGAGCGCATTTCACCAATACTTCCGACGCGTTCTTGCCGTTGACACCTCCTAGCAAATTGTCATCGAATACGCGGATGCTGATCTGACTTGTCTTCGAACTACCACACCGATCATTGAGGTATTTGCTGTAGAAACGAAGCTCTCGAGTGGTCAGACCGTCAGGCGACAAGGGTCGACCCCGCTGGTCGCAGTACTCCACCAATGCACCAAAGCACCCGGGGAGTGCCCAACCAGAGTTACCGAGAAGCGTAACTGCAGTCTCCACAGCAACAACTGCACATTTTCCATTCGCTGACGGCGAGGCACCGATATTGTGCACGTGTCCATTCCTTCGGCAAAACTCGTAAAACGACGCGTACTTAGACGCTTTCCACATGTCCACGACCGCACATGCTTTCTCAAAGCCGTCCTCCAGCAAACGCTTCCTGGGCAGCCATGAGTCGGCCCACCGGTATCCATCAGGCTCATCTTGCCACTGGACCCTGTACTAGTACGCAAGCCCTACCGGCATGCGATCCACAATTGCGTACACTAATCCCTCGTCAGCAGTATCATCACGGTTCTCGACTTGCGTACAACTTGAGTCGTCATTTCGACCTTTACCGGCGACGACAGAGACCGATACAGCAGCAGATTCAGCGTATCCATCATGCGAGTTAACCTCCTTGCTTGTTTGACCATCCGCGCTCTGTAGTCTCAATACTACATTCTCGGTGAAATTCTTCGGTCGGTCTTTTTTGCTGGCACGAGAGTTCAACAACTTGTCCGCAGCAGGACCACAAAAGCGCTCGCCAGACCTGTACACCTTTTTTTGGCTTCCGACACTGCGCCCGAGGACATCCACTTGTTGCCCTGCGACTCGCAGAAGCCAGGCTCGGAAGTCCCAGACGGCAGTGCCGAAAACCACTAGGATACGGCAAGTTGCCTCTGTAGACGATCCTGGCGTCTGTGTCGTTGTGCCGTGGATACTGAAGCTGTAGGGTGTCATTTTGATGTATGTTGACATCGAGAAAGAATACTCCGAGAGACCCTCGGTAGGTCAGCTTCCATCTTTCGTCTTCTGTAAGTTGACCAGGTATTAGCGCCTAGATCAGCACACAACGGTCGGCAGACCGGCAGAATTGCGCTGGTTGCTGTGCTTCATCCTCGTTTGTGCGCTGTTACACACGGAACATGTGGAGAGAGTATTTTCTGTGCGCGTATATTATGAACCAACAAGCTGTATGCTGGACCCCAGAACCTGTATACTGGAAACCTTTTGTCCTCCGCCGAGATAGCACATCGAATGGGCTGGCAGGAAACTGCAACAACCACCGCGCGATGACAGCTCCATCTGCGCCGCTAGAAACCCGAGGACATGCTCGTTGACGTCGCCCGAGGTGTGTCGCGACCTAGCGATTGCGAGCGCAGAGCAATCATTACTTAAGTGTGCCGGAGCTCGCATTGCAGCTCTAAACCTCGCAAGAGAGAGGCTTGGTCGCTCCTAGGGAGCACGTCGAAGCGAGCGAGACGCAGGTTGAGTATTATACCATATTTACGCTGCAACAGCGTAATCGCTGCGGCTGCAGGCGCTGCCTCTACATGGAGCTAGCCAAATCCTTACGACAAGGCACCAGTTCCTTGACCCACCGAAGAAGCCCTTACAGCGTGGAGGGAGGGAGGGAGACATTGGCATCCGTGTGCATGTACAGAGTGACGAAATACTACGGTTCTGTGGTCTCCGTGCAATGTGGCGATGCCGGTGCTCGTCAATGCTCCTTTGTCGTGAGTCAACGCGCGGCTATTGCGCTGCTTCGGGAAGCTCATCTCATCACCAACTCTTCTCGCACCGAAAACCTTAGTCCGACCTGCGCGTCCCCTTTGCACTCCCTGCTGGGAAGCAGGAACGTGCCGCGGTTCAAAACCGGATCGTCGACGGCTGCTATGTCGTGTCAAACGCGACGCCGAACGACGCTTGCCCGGTCACAACTCGGACGCCCGCTTTACTCACCGCGACGAGCAGCGTTGAAGTGGATAGTCCCGGGTGGAAGGTCCGAGACACTGCACTCGCAGTCATCAAGGGTGCTTCGTCCGTGAGTCAGGCTGTGTGGCGCTAAGACTCCAAGCCCGACAGCTGCAGTCTCCAACGACAGATACCAGCCCGCTTATCATTGAGCTGAGCTTTTGCTTCGTCTCCGACGATCCGCACGAGTAGGAATCGATTGCTACTGTTGGAGGTACGTGTACGCTCGATGCTGGCACATGTACACGCTTCTCGTTTCGAGACCCGCGCAAGAGCGACCGGCTGCTGCTGGCGTGTCATGTTGAAGACAGCAGATCGCGAGCACCAGGTCGACGGGGCGACTGCTTCAAGGCCTCAAGCTGCGGGGGTCCCGCCACAGTTTGAGTGACTGCAAGCGGCCAGAGGGCGTTCAGCGCGCCCTCGGACCTCCAGGCCTGCATTTCGGCCATGACACATCGAGATGGCCATAAACCTCGGCAGAACGACCGCCATAAGCGAGTCCCGTCCAAGTGCGGGCGGATGGCAAATCAGAAAGCGACCGCGACGAAGCAAGACCCAGGACAAGACAAGGCAACGCAAAGGTCGGTCGCTATTTGCGCGATACTTGAGTGACAGGCCCAAGTGGATAGGAAACGGAGCGAGGTGCTTGGATCCGTGAACAGCAGCAAGATGCACGTCGAGAGCTGCTGACCAGCAAGCAAGCCACCTACTCGTACACTGTTGATACCGGGTCGACTCCCATAACTTCCTTCCTTCCTCCTGTTCGTCCCCAAAGCGTCCCGGAACCGAGTCGTTTAAACGTCGGTGATCACAGTCATCAAGCGATTTCTATGCTGCCCACTTCAATGTATTCGAGGCAAAGCCTCAACTTGGATCGCAGAGCATCCCGGGGAGAAACTGCAGTGAGCAGAGCACTTCAGTACTGTAGCTGGCAATAGCAATGATACTGTGCTACCTGCATAAGGATGCAAAAAAGTTCATTGGTTTGGAGTACCGGTACAATTGTTTGCGACCAAAGACACTTGTGACGATGCGTCTCGCGTGACCAGGGGAAATTGACGGTCTTACCACCCATCCGCAGGGGTCAACGGTGCCTTGCTTGATGGACACGCCCGTCGCCATCTCGCCGAGAGGTGACGACAACGACAACGACGACAACCTGTCGACGGATTCTCGACCCCAGTGCCTCCGCCCCGAGACGAGCGTCACGGGTAAGTGCCTGCAAGCTGTTTTCCGCGCACGTGGATCCTGCCCGCCCTTGTCACCCCTGCAGCTCGAACTTCGAGCTCGAGCCGAGCTTGCGGGCAGCACCTGGCGCCGAGCGAGCACATGTCACGAGTTCACCACCGAGCATTCCGGATACAGACAAACTTTCGGTGAAGGAAGGTATCAGACTCGGTCTCTCACGCCCATCCGTCACTTGCCAGGAAGAACCGCATCAAGTCACTTCCCAATTTGCCAGTGTTGGACCACGAGAAGATCCCGTCTCGCTGCTTTTCTGCAAGAGAGAAGCTTTGGCCGCCTGTCCGTTCCTGTCGTTGTCATCACAGGATCGAGCAGCCCCTCCTCTTGCCGCGATGGATGTGCGCGACAAGCTAACGCTGGCGCACCCGCCGAGCACCTTGAGCAACCCGAGCAGCGTCATAACCCCGAGCGTTGACCCATTCCGCAATTTGGCCGCTGGTCCGACCGTGTCTCCAGCCTCGCGATTCTCAATGAGCTTCATCGTGCAGCAGACCGAAAACTCGAGCGACTTCGCCAACAACAATAGCAGCAGCAGCAACAACGCGGACGACGCCAGGGATAAAGCTTCACTCAGCTTCATCTTGTCCTCGTCCGATTCTGAGTCGGATACTGAAGATCAAAGCTCCAAGAAGCGCGGATCCATCACCGACGCCTCCGCTGTCAAGCGGAAGCGAGCTGCTGTACCGCCCTCGGCCTCCGAGGCGGCTGTACCCGTCCGCAAGGGCAGCAAGTTCTGCAACGTTGAAGGCTGCACCAGCCGTGCCAAGCACGCCAAGCGCTGCTGGAAGCACGGCGGCTCGGTCAAGTGCAAGGTCCCCGACTGCATCAACCGCGCCAAGTCCAAGGGCGTGTGCTGGTCGCACGGCGGCGGCACCGTGTGCTCCTTCGAGAGCTGTGACACCATTGCGGTGTCGAACGGCTTCTGCTGGGCGCACGGCGGCGGAAAGCGCTGCCAGGTGCCCAACTGCTCCAAGCCGGCCTATGAGCGCACGCAGAACTACTGCCAGGCGCATTATCAAGAGTTGGGCGGTGCGGCTGCCGCTGGAGCGAGCTAAGTGTGCTGCAGTGCGGTGGTTAGAGGTATTATCATCGGAGTCGAGTTCGAAGTTGGCGATCGCATAAACGACCTACTAGTATTGAATGAAAGGAACCGTGGGAATTGTACTACATACGACTTAGCCACGGTGGTGTCAAATGCTGTCCGAGTACGGTGTCGTGACTCATGGTTCTCGTCTTCCTGCGCAGGACCAAACCACTGCATGCCAAGTCGACAACCAGGGCCAGAAGACTGGCTGACACCGTTGTTGGTCGCCACCAAGAATCCGGCATTGCGTTTACAGACTGTTGTCGCCGTCGTCTCGGCTTCTCGGTTGCAGGCTGGTGGATACGACCATCATGTTCAAGAAACAACACACAGCTGCAAATGTACTCCAACCTAACGGCACGTCGTGCCTTGTTATCTACAGTACTGAAAAGCTGGTGTACATTGTACATGTATGTGATCGTTCTCGATCGTCGGAAAGCGCAATGCTCGCACCGAAATCGTAGAGATTAGGGCTGTTTCGTGCACTAGTTTCGGTAGGGTTATGCCTGTAATTTCAAGAACTTTAATCGTACTTAGTAGAGAAACGCAATTGATGTCTCAATAGGCTATCCCCGTAATAAAAGGCTGATGAATCTGCACGAAAGTACTTTCGTGCACTTTCGAGCACTGCACGAAACAGCCCAGTAGAGATGTCGTTTCGTCAGTGAACGATCCCTGCGTATTAAAATACATGTATCTTAATGGGGGAAGGGCGTCGTCACTGGTACGGGCGACGCGTTGTATTGCGTTACTTGCCTAAACTGAACGCTGCGTACATGTATCATAGCTACCAACCTACCTGCTGCATGTATAACAGCTGAAAGGCCATTGGTGAAGCAGCTTTTGTAGTTGAAGTATGCGGCCATCATGGTCATACTTGGTAGCGCCTGTACTTAACGCATTCATGTTGTTTACCATCGCCGTGCAGACGAGCGCATCGAAAGCAGATCGAGCTGCTAAGTCGTGCCAACACTTCGTCGACTTCCACTGAGTTCTTTGGCAATCGGCGAAGCGTTTTACGCAACTCAACCCCCGATGTACACTTGAGGTGGGCGCCCGACTCTGAGCAGAACTTCCTCCACCTGCGTGTACACACGAAATAACCACCCCGTCATTTACGACATTCTTCCTCTGATACAGTACGACGAGAAATTCAATCCGACAGAGTGCTCCGACCGATACATGTCCGCACTCTTATACTCAGCTCGTTATGCAACCTGACTGCGATTGCCAGCTTGTTCGTCGCGCTGTACGAGCTGGAGGCACAAAAGCTGAGCAGCAGATGACGCGGTCTGCTGCATGCAGTGACCGCTTTCAACGTGAAGCCGAAAAGCAGTCGTTAGGTTTTGTGGCGGGCCATCTACTGCACCAGCTGTTGCTCTACTCAAGTGGAGTGCAGCCCTGACGTGTTCTAACGGCGGGTGAATGCCTCGGGCCAAATCAATCGAAAAATATTATGCCTGCAATGGTGTGGTGCTCGAGGACGTAGTTTTGGTTTGATACATGTAATACATAGTAGGGCATAGTGTGCGCAGGTACACGTCCACAGTTACCATGAAAACCCAAGGAAACCGTAGATGTTACCGTGTACCAGAATCTGGTAACACGTTTCCTGCTCATGAGACCCCCCTCGCCAGGAAGCCTGAAAGGACCCGATAAAATGTTACAGGTGAACCTTTGGGATCTTGACTTCAACATTGCTTTTGAAGACGAGCTTTGACCATGCGTTGGCTATCGTGGGATAGATAGATAGTCTTATGCGGTTAATGTTCTGTGCGGTAAAGCTATTCATAGTCGAGCACTGTTGCAATATTGCCTCATTCCTCGATTTTCTTCAGAAGCCGCACCCAGTCGTCTACGTACATGCTAGCACTCCCTCTTCGTCAGTATCGCTGTTTCCCCGTCTCCAACATAACAACGATGCTTGGCAGACTCTCTCGGGTACTTCGACGTCGCCAACGGCAGGGACAAAAGGGACCAGGCAAGGTCTAGTGCCGTTGGCAAGTCTGGTTGACGAGCGATCGGTGTAGACGAAGGAGACAGCAACAGCGACGAGGAAGTGGGGTAGACTGATGATGAAGGCGGGTGTAGCATTACATGTAGTGAAGCCGACGTGGAGAGCTATAGCGCGACATTCCAAGCCTATTAAATATAGGGGGTAGTAGGTAACTGTGACCATTGTGAACCAAGCGGTACCAATGTTACTGTTACTGTGTACCTCGCCGAGGAAACAGTGGATCTGCACACACTACTGGGGCACGGTGCCACCAGGACCAGGGCCACGACTCACGCTCATGCATTCAACTACCGGTAGACGTTACGTGGACTTCAAGCTGATCTGCGGGTACATGTACACGACACGTGCTGTGGTCCGGTCCTGCATTGCAACACTGCAACTGCATACATGCGCACGACATGTTGGTTGTTCGAGCATGCAGTGCAATACTTGCATGCCGGTTGCTAGTTTTTTACTAGGGTAGCTCACTCAGCATCTTCTTCAACTTGCAATTGTTGCCTTTTTTAGCTCGTCGGCGACTCGCCAAAATTCGGCCTATTTTTGGCGAATCCGTGACGTGCGCTGAGACACGCGTCAAAAGATCTCGATTTCCCTTCCGACACGTCAACCGAGCTTATCTTGCGCTCACTATGGGAAGGCCACTCAGTCCATGCATCTTCATGGAGAAACCTCCTGGGTCTAAGCACCAGCAAACATCTTTGAAACAGGGAAGACAGTTCTTTTGTGGGTTCTATCTACCAATATTAAGCACTGGACGGCTGGCGCGCTGCAGGGCTCAGAGCTGGCGGCCACAGCGACCTAAGAGCAGCGGGGGAGGAGGCCAACAAAATAGCTGCGGCCTCTCGGTCCCCCGCGCTCGGCTGCGTCCGCGTCTCCTTCGGCCCGTCGCCCCGCCACGCGCACCAGCTTAGCTAGCTCGCCTAAGGCTTGCGATGGCGGGACGGGAGCGCTTACTCCACGTCCTGCACGTTCATGTCGCCCTGGTTGGCGTCGGCGTTGTCGGGCTCCTGGTCCGAGGTCCAGAGCGTCAGGTTGTCGCGCAGCAGCTGCATGATCAGCGTGCTGTCCTTGTAGCTCTCCTCCGAGAGGGTGTCGAGCTCGGCGATGGCGTCGTCGAAGGCCTGCTTGGCCAGGTTGCAGGCGCGGTCGGGCGAGTTCAGGATCTCGTAGTAGAAGACCGAGAAGTTGAGGGCCAGACCCAGGCGGATGGGGTGCGTGGGGGGCAGCTCGGCCATGGCTATGGTCGAGGCCTGCTTGTAGCTCTCCAGGGCCTTGTCCGACGACTCCTTGCGCTCGTCGTCCACCTGGAACTCGGCCAGGTAGCGGTGGTAGTCGCCCTTCATCTTGTAGTAGAAGACCTTGCCCTCCTCGCTGGACGAGTTGGGGATCAGGTTGTTCTCGATGATGGTCAGGATGTCGTTACAGATGTCCACGAGTTCGCCCTCGATCTTCTGGCGGTAGGCCTTGATGTGCTCGCTGCGCTCCGAGTCGCCCTTGTTCTCGATGGACGAGATCACGCGCCACGACGCGCGGCGCGAGCCGATCACGTTCTTGTAGGCCACCGACAGCAGGTTGCGCTCCTCCACGGTGAGCTCCACGTTGTGGTTGTTGGCCACGGCCTTCATGTGGTCCACCATCTCGTCGTAGCGCTCGGCCTGCTCGGCCAGCTTGGCGAGGAACACAAGGGAGTCACGGTCCATGGTCGACGGAAGATTGGGGTGGAGAGAGAGAGAGCTGACGCTTGCGCTTGAGCTTGGAAATCGGATTCTGGCGAGGGCAAAGGGGGGCGCGAGCCAGCCGTGCAAGGCGGACGCGAGGGGGTGAGCTTCGCCCTGAACATAGTGAACGTAAGTACAAGTCGGAGTGATGGTCGTCGTGACCTCCAGCGCGAAATTTGGCAGAAATCGCCGCAGCTGCAACGCCCGTCGCACTTAGCGCGGTTTCGGCCAATCGGCGCTCAGTCGTGCTGTCGTGCTTGCAACCCCACAGCACCGGCGACGCGACACCAGGCACGCCACGCCCGAGCACCGGAGGGACTTCCCCTTGTCCTGTGGCGGCCACTACGAATAACTGCAGCTCGGCACGGTCTTGTGGAGATTCTGGACGGGTGCCATCTCGCCGAAACCGCCCCGAGCGGCTAGCGAGCCCAAAGATATCTCGGGTGCAAATTACCATCAATAGCCGCCGAGCGGGGCTTCGATTGGGTGAAAAGGAGGTCAAATTTATTTGGGCCAATCGCAGCGCGTTAAATCCGCTCGGCACCACCGAGAGCTCTAACGAGCGAACGAGCCCGGAGCGGCTCCGAGCGCACGACGGTCGTCAAACGCGCAGTGCTCTCTGCGGACGCATCCTGTTGGGAGACGCGCTGGCGGAAGTTCCTACATGTACCTGGAGTCAAGCGTGCACGCTCAGCTGCGGACGCCGGCTGTTTACCAGCGCCGCCCACCAGCACGCGCCACGAAAGCAGAGGTGGCAGCCAACCTTGTCGCGCGTGACCCAGCTCTCTCTGGCGCCCGTGAGCGCAGACACCTCAACTGCTGCTCTCGAGGTCACGGTCGCTACTCGCTCGCTCGCTCGCTCAATAGATCATGACAATCGAGCATGATTTTCAGGTGAAGGGCAACTTCAACGTGATGAGCAACATACAGCCTTCCGACATGATATTGAGCCGCGGGGATGAGCGCGAGTGACCCTGTGGTCCACGGACCCCACGGCGGACGCTTTGCTTAGCCTTGCCGTATGGAACGGGGCTCGACCGTCGCACCCAACCACTCGGCCGTGCGCGCGGAGGTACTGTACATACTTCTTACTCGCAAGAAGGTGGTTGCTCGGTCATGCAGATACAAGGCCTGACGCCCAGCTAGTGAGACTGACATCAGAAATCTGAAACTCGAACAGGTTTCGCCATGCGGAGATACTTGCAGATGGCCGACCCAAGATCACCAACGTCGCAAAGCAATTCTCTACAGCTCGCTAGCTGGATCAGTACGATAAGCTTATTCAAGTTATTCCGGTTGCCATCATTTTCAGTCGTCGCTAGAAGGAGATGCATGCCGAAGCCACAACCAGTCCAAGGTTCAGATTTATGCCACTTCAGCTTCTCAAAACTGCAATATGGAGCACGTCGGCGGTCTGGCAACTTGCCAGTGGCAAGCCCCAACAGAGGAACGCAGCCACATGTACTTCAACTGGCTGCGGTCGCTGTTCACTTGCTCAATCGATCATGTACTTTTCGCGCAAAAAACAACTTCAACGTGACGAGCAAGTGTCTCTGTGGTCACTCACTCAAACCTTGGACTTTTACATACCTGGACTGCAGTCCGGTCAAGCATGGGTTTCTCACAGCGAGGGTCTCGCTGCTTGCTTGGGCAGGAGTCCGTATGTCCACACACAGTCCACACAGCTTGAGCTGCACGCGTGCCTCTTTCAGCAGTCTGGCAAAGACAGTCCCGCCGGCTCATCATTAAATACCAAAGGTCCTACAAGTACCCTGTTACTATTGTATACCTTTCTAAATTACTTTTCTTCCTGACCATATCTGCAAGTACATGCATTCATACAGTATTTCGCCTAACGTCGCCGCCTCCACGTCGGTCGACACTGCTCAGTCCGACAGCCTCCCTGCGCGGACATCATGGGGGCGGCGCTGTCGATGCAGAAGTTCCTGGCGACGCCGCTGGCCGCGCAGTGGAAGTTCCCGTTCGTGGTGAACCCGCGCTTCTGCCGGCGGCGCGTGACGACGCTCGAGCTGACGGACAACTTCTGGACGCACGCCATGGACATCAACGGCTACGCGGTGCGCGAGGTGGACTCGGGTCGCGTGCTGTTCCGCGTGCTGCCCGCCATCGACGGCCAAGTGGCGGACGGCCGCACCAAGTGGCTCGTGGACGAGTACGGCATCCCCGTGGCGCACCTGACGCACAGAGAGCACCCCAACGCCGCCAGCTACGACGTGTGTCTGGGCAAGCGTCGCCAGCCGCAGGCCAAGGTGCTGACGAAGCTTATGATCAAGTTCGTGCCCGGACGAGGCGAGCCGCTGCTGGCCGAGGTCGACGACCCGCACACGGGAGGCAAAAGCCGCGTCGGGTGCCACGGAATGTGGCGGCAGCGGGCGGCGGTGCTGTATCTCGAGCGAGGGCGCGGGGGTCGACGGGAACCGATCGCCAAGGTCTATCGTCCAGCGAGTAACCGCATGTCGTCGTTCGGCAGCAACTCGTACCACGTGGAGACGGCCATTGGCGTGGACATGGCGCTGGTTCTGCTCATTTGCGCAGCTATGGACGACGCCAGCGTGCATTTCCACAAGGTACATCGACACCCGCTGCTCGGCAGCTCAGGAATTCAATGAACACACAGCAGCAAAGCTACAGCTATCATCGAGCTACAGAAATCACTCACTGCGGTAGTAGCAGTATCAGGAGGTTCGCCTAGGAAACAGGATATTCGGCTTATAAATATTTGTCAGGTTGTGAGTCACGTGCAGAAGTCTTCCTCGAGAAGTGTTGTTGAGTGAGAAATAATAGGTTGTTGTGCAGCTTGCAATGGTTTACCCAGTCGTGATGTCTAGGTATCTTGCGCAAAGTATTCAAAAGTAGGGACGCAACTCAAAACTCGTTAAATATTTACTTTTTGGGTTTGCTCGAGAGACGTTGAAGCTGACTTACAACTTTGATCCCTTCCGACGGGGGTCAGATAGTACGTGTAAAATAGGAGTTAGTCGCCGAGAATCGTCATGGCGAGGTCGTCGTCGACGTCGGCGCATTGGCTGCTCCACTTGGACAGATGAGAGAGCGGTGGCTGCGAGCTGTCGAAGGTGTCGAAGCCCAAGCCGTCGCCCTGCTCCATGGCTTCGTATGCTGCCACGATAATGGGGCTTGTGTCCTCAGCGCGCTGCAGACAGCGGCCACAGAAGGCCAGCTTGGATCGAGTGACTTTGCGACGAAATGGCAGGGCGAAGCGCATCTGGCGGTAGGTTGTGCAGCTCGCACAAACACGTTCGTCACAAGCGCTGCACTGTCGTTCGGCTCTGTGGGGCCAGCGACCGAAAGAGCGGAAGCACTCGGCGCAGCAGCCACCAGTTTTCGTGCTGGCCAGGGTAGGCTTACTTGAATTCAGTAGCCAAGCGAGCTTCTTGCGCTCGGCACAACGCACAAGCCGGTGCATACTGTGCATCTTGGCCAGTGCACCGCCAAGGACCACACCGTCACGAGAGGTGGAGCCTAGCATGAACACCTCCATGACGTCAGGAGACGGCTGGCGGTACACGTAGCAGTACGAGATGATGGCTTGCGGTCTGCCGTTCTTACCGAATCCTCCGAATCCCGGGACTTCGACAGACTGCAGCAGCTCGTAGCCGACGCGCTCACCATTGCCGAGCTCAGTTATTCCTGTGGACTCGATGTACACGGTCTCCATAGCTTGTGAGCCGAAAATCTTCCCTTTGGCTGCTGTGGCGCCGCTGCGCAGTCCTCGCCACCTCAAGGTACACGAGCGCAGCGGATCTTCGTAGGTTGGCGATTCCAAGGGTGCTGCTAGCAACTTCTCGTCCACCAGGTTGTCACCTAGATACGACGCTCGTATCCGAGTGGTGTCTTCTGTGGAGCACTGCAGACCGAACATGACCGACTCGAGGTCGCCGGAGAACGTGCCAACCATTAGCGTTGCTGGGAGCAACTTGGCGCTGTCATCTACGAAGTCGTTCGCTGCAAGGCGAGACCCGAGTTTACGCTTGCTGCCAAGTGTCCAGCGAGCCCGACGCTCCTTGTACATTGCGAGGCTGCGCACGTGAGCTATCCGCTTCCAGCGCGTGGGGTCAATAGCGCTCGGATGGCGCGAACATCCGGTGTAGTGCCTCGACATGTGAACAGCTTCCTGCACGAAAGAATCGCTCATGCTGAGCAACGCGGCGGTCTCTTCAGGCGACAGCGCATCCGGTTGGTCTTGAGGATCGTCCAGCTTCATTTGTGATCGAGGTGGCCGCTCAAGCGGTAGAACGCACGGGTTGAGTGCGTTCGGCAGCGCAAAAGGATGAATGGGGTGGAATGGGCGACTACGGAGTTCCGCCTCGAGACACTGGAAACTGAGCGCGGAGACTGGGTTGTGGCCATGTTACTGCCTGGTCCCAGCGCTTGGCGGATGGCAGATGGCACCCACCCCATCCGAAGCCTCGGGCTCACCCACCCGATGAGCTCCTCGCTGGCCGGTGTTGAGTATGGGACGCAAACTTTTAGCGCCATGGACAGCCTCGCCAGTGATTGACGCAGGGGCTCCGGGAAGCCAACACCGGTCTCCTCCGGCTTCCGGACACCTTAACGCAGTTGATTTCGAAGCGAAGTCACGCGTGGCAACTTCGGGCCTCCGCGGATGCCCGGAGCGGTCTAGTTCTGCATCTTAGTCCGTCTGCCACGGATGAATTGAGGGCCACAACGGCGGTACACACCTGTACGAATGCCGTGCTACAGTACTGCATTGCTGGTGGAGGAATGAGCCATTGACAAATGATAAAATCCACATCGGGTCCCACGTACGCGGCAACGCGCTGCGAATTGCAGTTGCGGTCCACGCTTGTGGACAGATTGGGGCGATGCAAATGGCGGGACAGTAACACAACTCTCTGTGGAGGCGGAACGATGGCTACAAGTGTGAGCTCTACCCGGTATATTTAATGAGCTCCGTTATCGTGTTGCCATCCCAAGAGCGCAAACGCCAGAAGAGTCCTCACTCATCTCTATCGTACCTGTATTCGTTGCGGTTTAGACGGCTATCTACTCCCGATACTGCGCGCTGCTGCAGCCTCGCCTACGGGATGCGTGCTTTCCAGACACGAACCCGCGGTATCTATCGTACCCGATAGGTCCTGCGGTAGGAGTACCTGAATTGACACCCAAGCCCGCAATAAGGCTCAACGTCCAGGATGAGATGACCTCCCAGGTCACCTCGCTTCTGGCTCAATGTGCAGGTTGAGATGACCAACGCGGTCTCGCTTCTGACTGGCTATCGGTCACGTCGAACGTGGCTTTGCACTATTGAGAGTCTCAACGTCGAACGTGGCTTTGCACTATTAGGGGGAGTCGAACCTTAAAAATGGCGACAAAAATATCAACAGAGACGGGGCCGAATAATCAGCAACGTTCTGCCCCAAAAATCAACAAATCAAAGTAGGGTACTCACTCTCAGTTTTCGCATGTAGTTGGTGAAAACAGCGAATTATCACTTCCTTTTTCGCCAGCACGCGCAGGCTCTTGCTTAGTGCATATACATCTTATATTCAGCTTTATACCTAGCAATGGCCGACTCCAACGTAACACTGTCCAGCAGCTCACAACGTCTCCATCATCGCGAGTTGACATCTAAAACTTGTTTATAGTGATAGTGAACATGTTTATTTGGAGAGGATTCGTGTGAAAACTTGCCTAAACACATACACAACAATTTCTAGTTGAGGAGGGACTTCAAAAACAGCTGAAATTGTATCAGAGGTCGAGGAGGGAACCACACCTTCTACGAGCCCTGGGGAGAGCCGGGCTCCTGGGCTCTTGGGTGAACCCAAAAAGTCGCGAGCTCGGGCTCCTGGGCTCTTAAGTTCAATAGGTTAAGTGAAAGGAGCCCTCCAAAACTGTGAGCCCTCGTTAAGGGCTCATCCCTCACCTGTTAAATATATCGCTGATGATTGGCCGTCATTGAAGTATCTCCAGGTTCTAACCTGAAAAGGCATAGGAAAGAGGGCTTCTCCTTGAGGGGAAGGAAGGACGATCGGCGACGCTCGGGTGGCCTCGGAGCGGCTGTACACATATGAGCGGCGCGAGATCTTCTAGTGTGGTGATCTTTGAGCTCGATCTTCTAGCGTGGCGCATCGATCACGCGAAGTTGCTCGCCTTAAGTCTAGGTAAAATTGGCCAATCAGATATTACTATGAAGAGCCCGTCATAGATTTGAAGCTAAATTTGGGGAGCCCTGGAGGGGAGCCAATGGGGAGCCCGAACCAGGGCTCCTTGATCTCGTACTTACCATGAGGGAGCCCGTTTTGTGCGACTTTTGGCTCTCGTATTAGGGGGAGCCCACTTTTGAAGTAGACGGGCTCGGGCTCGTAGAAGGTGTGGAGGGAACAGCAAGCGGTACCACTTGAAGTTCGAAATCATCATCATGATTTTTCAAATCAACCACCTCCGGAGGTGGTTGATTTTGAAAATCAACAAGGTTTCGCCGAAATAATCAACATCAAATCGCCCTAAAAATCAGCACGTTTTTTGCCAGGTTCGACTCCCCTTATTGAGAGTCTCAATTTGAGACACAAGGTCAGCTCACTTTTAAGGGAAAACGTCAAAATGTGTATGAATTTGAAACGTTTTGTCAAAAGCGGTTAACTCGTGTCATTAGGTGTATGCTCGGTATGACAGTATGTGATATGTGGTTCCAAGCGCACTAAGGTGCATGATAAAGCAGCATCAGCAACGAATGCGGTGACTGGTGTGTGGGCTTAGATCCAAATCCATAAAACCCGGGGTTAGGAAGGCTTCTATCTGATGCAACTAGCCCGGTTCGTGGTGTCCATGACTTTGATAGCGAATTGTACGGCTGAGGGACTACAATGAACGTCGTTATCCATTGTAGCCAGGCCTCAGCGTTGCCACAGTTCTACAATACCTACACTCTCCCCCGGTTGGGGGCTCTCACTAGAGCTCCTTCACCTCCGAAATTCAGATGCAAAACCTACCTAGTATAGCCATGCTAAATACGCTCGCGGTTTGCGTTGGTGGTTCCTTGTAGCTACAATAGCGAAGTTGTCGAGTACAGTTGCTCTATATGCTATTATTAGCTGACCGTGTTCGCTACGAGCGTGTCGTTAATAAACTACTGTGCTTGGAAGCTCGATCCTGGGTCTGTATGACCCGACCTCGGCCGAAATACCGCGGCAACAAAAACGTGTATGATGAGACATGATGCGACGTGACGCCCACGACCACTACACCTATTGACAAACGTTTTCCCAACGCATACAGCTCTTGACGTTTTCCCCACTTTTAAACTTGAGCCACGGCGCGCGCCACTTCCAGGGTGTGCTATATGCCTGGCTGTTTACCGGCGTCCACCCAACCCAAGTTCCAGCAACTCATCCAGCTACAACGCAATGGTCAGCTTCGTCGTGGAGACGCTCTTCCGGGTGCTGGCGTCCCTCACGTCCATCAGCGTCGCGCTCAGCATGATCCCGTCCATGTATCGCATCTACCGCAAGAAGGACACGGGCATCGCCGCTTGTGTGCATGGTGGCCAACGCGCACGTGTGGATGCTGGACGGCGCCGTGGTCAAGAACTGGTTCCCCATGGTCGCCACCTTCCTCACGTCCGACGTGATCGCCATCGGCTACGTGACGACGTTCTTCTGCTTCGCCCGCGACCGCAAGAAGGCTCTGCGCAGGATCATCATCGGCGCTACCATCCTCGGCCTGATCACCGTGTACGCGATCGTCGGCAGCGCCGGGTACACCAACCAGTCCAAGGACGGCGTGGACACGACGCTCGGGATCTTGGGTGTGCTGGCCGGGCTCAGCATGTTCAGCTCGCCGTTCGAGCGGATGATGAAGGTGCTGCACTACAAGTCGGCGGCCTTCATCCCGATCCCGATGGTGGCGGCGGGCGCGCTGAACAACGTCATGTGGATCGTGTACTGCCCCATGATCGGGAGCTGGTTCCTGTTCGCCGGCAATGTCATGTGTATGCTAGTCAACGCGGTGAACCTGATCCTGTACATCATCTACAACCCCAAGACGCACCCGCTGCGTCTCGACGAGAACGACCCGGACGCCATCGGCGCCAACGTCACGCTGCCGTCACCGCTGCCGTCACCGCTGCCGTCGGACGACGAAGTGGGGCTCAAGACCAAACGGAACTCGCACAGCCCCGTGTACAACATCGTGCACTCGCCCATGGCAGGGCTCACGTCGGACGTCAGTACAGTGTAACCGGGTGTGAGCATATCGTCGCGTGTGTACTGTACTGTATTACTTAAGTATCCCGTGTACAGCAAATAGACCTTAAAACGTATATCGACCTCTGCACAGTTTATATTTAGAGATGAATTTAGAGAAACATTTTACGTCGATGAAATGCAGGTTTTGGAGGCTCCCATATACGTACAGCGGGTGGGTTAAATGAGGGCTGGCCCTTCAGCCCATGTTTCGGAATAGGGTTAGGGATAAATGCATAATAAAACCAAGTAAGATCTCCAAACATGTAAAACATGCTGAAATCATGGACATCCATGTTTCGGTTTTCAGGACGGGTGTCATGGCACCCAAATCTATTGCAAATCCCTGGGAACTGGGTAATCGAGCTGCTAAATGTGGCTCTACCTGTCCTTAAAACCTTAGAAGGCCGGCCCAGCGCTAGGCAGGGAACTATAGGCCTAAGCCTTGCTTCGGGGCTACGTTTGCGGGTTGTTCATGCTTCTCAAACGCCACTGATGCCGATTTGGTCTCTGCATCACGATAGATTTGCGGGCCATTTCACCCCCTCCAATCCGAAAACATGGGCTGTACATTTTCCGTTAAATGAGCGCCCCCCCCCTTAGCAAAAAAGGATACAAAAAACAAGTCAAATGATTTGCAGGCTTGACATTTCATACTACAGAATTGTCATTTCTTCTTGGTTTCACATCAAACCTGCCCCATTCGACGCAGAATCGCTTGGACTATAATCAGCTGCCATTTCATTGGCTATTAATGCCTGTATTTTGACAAATCGTTGATTGAGTTGAGCACCCGATACAGCTGATATCTTGATTTTTGTATGGGCTCCCATGATTTATATCGAAACATGCGGGGGGCGCTCATTAGAACTCAAACCGAGTAGGTGATCTATTGCGAAATTCGTTGTTGTATTTGTGCCCACTCAGTGATTTGGTTCGTTGCAAAGGGAAATGGTGGGGAAAGCAACAAAGCAACGGAGAGTTGATATTTCCGAAGTCACTCAGTATTTTACGACCATACTCGGTTCTAATCGCACAAAGTCGTTTAATCTCTTCGGGCAGACTACTTAGACTCACTTGTTTAAGGTGCTAAACACTGTTGCGTCATTATCATCCCTCATCCTGCACCTGCTCCTGCTCCTTCGATGTCGCGACGGATGCGGAACATGCTGCGGATGAGGACCGCAACGCTTGCGGTCACGCTTCTTCGCATCGAAGCTCGCGGCAGGCTAGCAGCAGACGCACGCCGTGCAGGCTGGGCTTCATTGAGCAGAATTAACCAGGCAACTGTCGACTGCTTCTTCGCGGGGCGCTCGAGCTCCACTGTATGCAGGCATGTCGTTTGATAGTTAACCAGGCTACTTAAGTACACAAGTGGACTCGGCGCCACTGCCGGTGATGTCGAGACTGGCGCCAAGTAAGGCCAAAAGTGTCCAGTTTGAGCGACAAGTACAGCGTGATGGGTGGTTGCGAAGTCATTGAGCATTTTCCCAGGTCTATTGTGAAATTTCCGATATAGGCGATTGGATCAATCCAAGCTAAGCTATTCAGACTTGCTAAAGTATTTAACGAAGATCACCTTCACTAGCGAGTAGCTAATCTCGGTTGGAACAACCTCAGTCTTCGACAAGTGTATCATAGCAAAATCGTGTAGTGCTAAGAGTCTGATAGAGCGCTGACAAACTTGTGAGAGGTCGGGTTTTATGCCTTCAAGTTGCTAAATGAGGGAGGTGTATACTTTAATCAACTTAACATTTATGTAGTTGCACAATGAGGGGGCGAAGTGACCCTTCGTTTATTCAGACGTAATTTACGTCTCATCAGAATAAGTTTTCTTAAATCCGTTTATGCAGAAGTTTAATACGGTTTTGGAAGGCTTCCAGTCTATCTATGCTTTGGTGTCTTCTACCTGTACTTTGACTCGACGACGAGTTTTTTTTGTTCCATCCAGCTCCAGCGCACTTCCTCCCCGTCAAAAATCTCGACTCGAAAACGAAAAACTGCATAGAGCAGCGCTTTGTTGCAGCCTGCGGATCGCAAGAAGCTCGAAGTGGTTGGTCCCCGTGGTCCCTCGAGGTCCAAAGCGTGACGCTTTCTGGAATGCACCGAAATCGAACCTGCCCAAACTGCATCGACGGTCGTGGTGTGGCCCACACATGCAAGTCAGTTCCTATGATGCGGCCAATCCAGCCGGTTTTTAGGCCGAGCTGAGCGAGTTGCATCTGTAGAGGCTGGAGCACACACTGCAAAGCGCCTGGAACACTTTGCACCTACCCACCTACCCACCCAACCCACTCGCAAACAAGAAGGCAGGCCCGAAGGATGAACATGGAAGTGGTGTCGCCTTCTCAGGCGCCCGAGAACGACGTGCGGCCGTCGCACGCGCTCAACTCGCGGCAGTCGACCGTCGACCACTACCGACCCAGCGCGTGCGACGAGCTGAACGCGACGCAGGTGCTGGGCGTCTCGCAGGGCCCGCGGCCGTCGCTTATGGCGTCCGTCGTGCGGCCGTCGCTCATGGCGTCCGTCGTGCGGCCGTCATCCATGGTGCGCCCGTCCGTGGTCACCGACCTGAGCAACAACTTCTCCGAGGCCAAGATCCACGACGCGCACGTGCAGGTCTTCTCGAGCGACGTGCTGATGGAGGGGGAGCTCACCAAGAAGGGCGAGGGCGGGCTGCAGACCTGGAAGAATGTAAGTGTACGTATTCCTCACACTTCCATGTATAGAGAGGGGGGTATGGTGTAGTAACTTTGTGGGTGTTGGGGGCATTCGTAGCGTATTTTCGTGCTGCGAGGGCAGGAGCTGTCGTACTACACCATCGACAGCAAGCAGCGGTACGGGGCGCTCAAGGGCACGTGGGACATTGCCGGCGCGTCGGTGGAGCGTCTGGACAACCTGTCGTTCACCCTGAAGCTGGCCAATGGCAGTGTGCGCAGCATCGGAGCCCCCTGTGTGCAGACGCTGATGGACTGGATGACGGCCATTGCCGTGGCGGCGGAGGCTTACATCGTGGAGCCCACGTCGGACCTGTCGCTGGTGGACCAGAGCCGCACGACGCACATTATCTTGGTGCGTCACGGCCATTATGCCAGTTCGCAGACCCCGTCCGTGGACATGCACGGACCCTTGACGGATTTGGGAGTGCAGCAGGCTCGTGCGACGGGTAAATTCCTTCACAACTATTTGTCCGAGCGGATGGTGCTGAAGCGATTCCCCAAGTTCCCGGTGTACCATAGTGGCGTTCGTCGTGCTGTTGAGACGGCTCAGCATATTGGCAATGCGTTCCCGTCGGGGAGTGTGCAACTTCGTGAGAACAAACTGTTCCGTGAAGCCTGGCCCGGTAACCCGCTGCCGAATGGCAACCGCCAGCAACTGGCGAGAGAGAAGCTGGACAACATGGTGTCGGACTGCGCTCGCCTCAAGATGGCGTACCGCACCACGTTCCGCCACTTGATTCCGCAGGACCTCGAGATCGAGGAGCGCGAGCTGAGCGAGGAGGACAAAAAGCTGTACGCCAACACGTTCGGCGTGCGCTCGACGCAGACTCGTGCCAGGGACAGATTCCGCGTCGTGGTGTGCCACGCTAACATCATCCGCTGGTTTATCTGCAAGGCGCTGGGCGTCGACCCGGACGGCACGTGGGGCCGCATGCGCTACAACCACTGCGGTATCACGGCCATGGACGTCGACAGCGTCGGCAATGTGCAGCTCACCTACATGAACCAGACTGGGCACCTCGAAACCACTCAGCTTTCGGAAGTGTAGTAAGTTTCCAGTTGGCAATTCCTGGTTGTTTCAAGTGAAGTTTTCTATTGACTGCAGGCGCAATGCTCCGTCCGCGTTGGTTGATAACGCGATGGGAACATCATACGCAGCGTTGGCAACCGACTCGTGAGAGTCTTGAGTACGTTGGCTTAAACTCATTTACATCGTGCCTTTGCAAATGTATCCCCCAGTGTTCTTTCGCGCTGCTTCTTCGTTTATCGCCGTCCTTCGTCTTCTCTAATCCCACCAAAACAGCAGTCTCAAAACAACTGGATCTAAGTAGAAGTGAGCGATCTTGCAAGCTTAAACCGATGCGCTATATTTTTTGTTGCTGCATGGGAGAACACTTCTTAGACAGTGAGTATGTCAATAACGAGCTAGCCAGCTCCAGTCGCTGCCTTCATCTCGAGGAATCGGCCGATAGACGAAGCTATGAGGTCGCTTAGAACTTGAACACCTGCTTGCTGGTGTAGCCGATCTCCTTGAGCAGGCCCTGGCTGCGGTCCGGGGCCTTGTTGCCCGAGATAGCGTCCATCATCGGGGGCGGGCCGCACACGCCGATCAGGCTCTCGTCCGACGGGCCCGGCAGCAGCTTCTCGATGAGCTCCTTGGTCACGTAGCCCGTGTAGCCCTCCCAGTTGGCGTCGGCCTTGTCCAGCACGTAGTGCACCTGGAACTGCGGGTACATGTACTGCAGGGCGTCCAGCTCGTCACGGAGAATGATGTCCTTCTCCGTCTGGTTGCAGAAGATGAGCACCACCTGCGTCGAGTCGTCCGGGTTGCGGCAGATTTCCTTGACCACCTGCAGGGCCGGGGTGATGCCCGAGCCACCGCACAGGAAGCCGATGCTCTTGTACTGGTTGGGCTTGTACTCGAACTTGACGAACGGGCCCTTCATCGCGAGCTCGTCGCCCACCTTCAGGTTCACGATGTGCTTGCTGAGCTTGCCGTTCGGATAGCCCTTCACCACGAGCTCGAGCTCGCCCTTCTCGGCGTTGGTGTTGGTGGGCGTGTACGGGTGGATCACGTTCTTGCCGTTCACTTGAGCCTTGGCCCTGAGGCAGCTGGCCACGGTGATGCCCATCTCGTGCTCCTTGCTGGGAAGTGCGAAGACCAGGCGCTTGGTGTCGTGGGTCACCTCCTCCACCTTGGTCACCTTGAAGGAGCGGAACTCCTTGGGGCTCAGCGCCACCTTGGGCTCCTCGGCGTTGCGCGCGGCGGAGGAGAAGCTAGCCAGGCCCAGCGCGGACACCATGGCGGTCACGGAGGCGGCGCTGCCCGTGGGCTGCCGCGAGGCGGAGCGGAGCATGGAGGAGAATATGGTCGAAACAGTGGCTCGAGGTCGGCGGAATTGCAACTGACGGAGCTTCCTGCACCCTCGTTCAAGGGAAACCGCCAAACGCGTGGTCGTCATTGGCCAGTCAGATCCGTCAAAAATAGCGGATTGGATTCCAATAGCGGATTGGATTAATAGCGGATTGGATTCCAATCCGCTATTTTTGACGGATCTGACTGGCCAATGACGACCAGGGTGGGACGTGCACCCCTCGTTCAAGGGAGACCGCCAAACGGGAAGCTCCGTCAGTTGCAATTCCGCCGACCTCGAGCCACTCTTTCGACCATGTTCTCCTCATTGGATGCGAAAAGTGAGCTAAAACACACGATTGGTGGTATTTTCCACCAATCGGCGAGGAGTTGACGCCGGCTAGTGTTGATGCGAACATATTGAGTGCGCTTGGGTTTGCTGGCGGACTGGCGCTCTGTGGATGCAAGAGGAAGGGATGATCTCAAGCAGAAGCAAAGGGAACAAGCACTACGGTTATTAGCGGAAAATGGAGAAGCAAACTACGCCTACCGGTCGCGTTTGCGGCTCAGTCGAACGAGAAGGAGTCGGCGGCAGTCCAGTCCACGGCGGCCTGTGAGCGGCCGAGCGAGATACGGCCAACCTTGGTGGTCTTGGCATTTCGGTACGATGCTTTGACCTTGGTGCGGCGCTTGGTAGCGTTTTTGCTGCGCTGATCCACCTGCTTTACAATGTGTTAGCTCTTATGGTCAGGGGAAGTAAGCATCAGCGGATAATTGCGGGCTCTGCTAACGCACCTTCTGCACCAGCGGCTTCTTGGAGGCGCCTTGGCGTGCGACGGCTCCAGGTTCCGCATCAGACGACTTTTTCTTCAGGGTTGTACTGCTAGATCGCGATGCCGCAGGGTCCTCGTCGCAGCCAACCGGAGAATCAAGCGAGCCTTGACTTGGCATTCCATCATCGGCAGGATCAAGTTGAGCAATACGCGATGCGTTGTCCACGGAATCTGCCCGTTCTGGAGTTCTACTTCCATTCGAGCTGCTTGGGCGATGCATCATCGCTGTGGCTGGCTTCCCTGCTTTCTGCGCCGGCGTGCGCCTTTTCAATCGAGAACGTCGTGCTCCGGTAGCGCTGCTGGTGCCATAGGTAGAGAGGTCCGCCAACTCGTTGTCTGTCTGGGGAGACTGGTCCACCAGACTTAATCGAGGCGCGAGTGTGCGCCGAACAGACTTGGCAGTTTGCTTTGGCTCTTGCTTCTTCGTCTTTTGTTGCTGCAGCTGTGTTTTCGATGGACGCGGTTTAGCATGAATTGCCTGCACAAAATTAAGTGACGTGAGCCAACACCATAAGTCAACTTAGTGCTTCACCAGTACATACCTCGTTGACAACGCCCTTACTGCTTAACTTATCTAGGCATGGCGGATTGGAGGCCACATTTTCAGCCTCGTCCGTTTGATCAGACTCATGGTTTCCACCATCCTCGTGCTTGTCTTGTACGACATCGTAGCTCGTCGCAGATACTACATGGCTTCGGTGCGTTGGCTCTGCCATAACGTTTTCTTCGCCTTTGCTAGGTCTGTTCAAGGAGATACTACCCTCCTCCGCTTTCTTCTCCGCCTCGCGTGCTTTTAGTTTCTTAAGCTTTGCGTCGTATTGACGTTCCTGTAAACATGGTGCAGGATTTAGCTTTCGATCAATCGTGATTGATGGGTTCTGTGAGCGACGGGCTTACCTTTTGTCGCAGGATCTTGTCATATTTCTTGCGGGTATCGATACTCAAGTCATCGTACCGCTGGTTCAACTGTTCAAAGTAGCAGAAAGAAAAGTAGTAAGTAAGTAAGTCAGTCAGGGTGAGCGTATTCGTGCATATAGATTTCACCATTTTTGCCTCGCTAGCAATTGTTGCATTGACGTCGTCTGCGTCCTTTGTGCTCCAGCTTTCAATCTGTTCCAAACATTAACTATAATAAATATAATTTGGCGGATTGTTTACCTCCATGCACGTTCGTACCTCTCTGTTCAACAGCTCAATCAGAATTTCAGCATCATCAACGACGAAGGTGTCGAGAAACTTTTCGCGTATTTCATCAGTGCGGTTTCTCACTGCTGTTTGTGCCGCAACAATATTGCTCTTTATCGTTGCAACTGACTCACGTAGTTGCTGCGTGTCGGACTCCAGCGTGGTGCAAGATGAGCGTAACTCTTCAGCTTCCATCTCTCGAGTAGCACACAATTGCTGCGCGTGCTCAAGGCTGCGCAGCTCCCGTTCCAACGACCCTTGCATGCTCATCACTTCACCATCGATGAGCTCCTGTGTAGCTACCGATTTTGCCACCTGCTGCTGTTTTTCATCGACTCTTGTTTTCCATTCATCGAGAACTTTTGTCTTCTGAGCAACCTTTTTGTTGACGGCGGCCACCTTTTTGTTACGGGACGTGATGGCACGCTCGGTTGTCTTCAGTTGCTTCCCCGCATCCTTGATCTGATTTTCAAGAGAAATCATTGCTGCTTTGTGCTCCTCCAGGTATTCTTGATAAGCTGTAGAATGAGAACAGCCCAATCAGACTACTACGGCCCAAACGCTCGTTTTCCCATAAGAATGCCTACCAGCTTCATCAGCAGCGCGAGAGTTTGCCACCTCCTTGTGTTCATTTTCGATGTGTACGCGTTGACGCTCCAGCCAAGTCAACTGCTCATCTTTTGCCTGACCCAACAAAATTCAAAACAATTATTTTCAGTTGAGACGAGCAGAAGGCACTGAGGGTTACCTTGATGCTCGACTGTGTAATAGCCAGCATATCCTTTTCTTGCTTTCTACGCAAGGCTAGCTCTCGCTTAAAGAACTTAGCGTTGTTGACTTCCTCCTGGACAACATTAAGTCGTATTCGGCACATGAAAAATTCGGACAGAATTCATACACAAAGATTCCACTTACGTTTAGATGCTGCAGCGTAGACTGCAACTCCTCTGCCAGATAGGCGACTTCCTCGTCCGCAGGGCACGTAGCCTAAAGTCGCAGCCACACCAATGTTAGTTTTAAGCAGAGGTCAACATACATGACACTGTCTTACCCCGTTGCTTTCGAGCAATCGGTGAAGTTCTCGCTGTTCACTGCGTACAGAATAATTAGTACGGCTACTGAACGCGCATCAAAATTCAGAGTACCTCTTTGCATCTTCGTTCGCGATCGCAAGCTGCCGATGCTCTTCATGCACCATTTCACTATAGTTTTGCCATCTCTGCAGGAGCAGCCAAGGGGTAGTTAGTACTTGGAAGAAAACCACCAACAATACCGAGTAACGCACTGCCTCGAGGTCTTCAACCATGGCATTTTCGCTACGCAAAGCAGCGTTGGCCTTCTCCACCAGTGCTGCCTCGCGCTGAGCGTTCTGACTGACAGTATTGAGACGCTTGTCTTCTCCAGCGAGCTCAGTTTGGTCGTTCTACAGCAGCAGTGTGAAATGTGAAATCACCGTTCATCAACGTGGAAGTGGTGTGAGTCTCCCTACCTTCAAATTCCACTGCGCAGAACGAATGTCTTCGTGGAACAAGAGGATTGTGTTTCGAACTAAACAACCGTGACAGCTCGTAAGACATAGCAAATAGTACAGCAATTCCCCACAGCTTCATACCTTCGTTCAAATACTGTTCCTTCTCTTTCAGCTCTCCCATGTCTCGAGTGGTTTGATCTTCCAGCCCCATGCATTGCTGTTCTAAAGCTGCACACTTGTCTACCAACCCGAGGAGAATATCCTTCAACACGCCACATTTTTCGGCAGTGGCTTCCAACTCGTTTGCCCCGATCGCGTCGCAGAGGCCGGGGTCACCTTGCTCTTGGCCAGCTACCAGCATTGTCCGCAGTAGCGCCAGTGTTTCTCTGCGCAGTCGACTTCTTTCTCTGCACAGCGTCACACAAAATGCTATTAATCTTGTGGGTTAGTGAAGGAAAGCATGGCTGTACTGCGACGTACTGCAGCTGCCCGTTCGTCATGAGCAGGTACTCGTGGCTCTCTCGCAAGCCGCCGAGCATCTCGTTGCGTTGACAAAGCAGCGCCTCCAGCTTCGCCGCCTCCATTTGCAGGATCTTCTCCTTCTTTGCCACTCTGTATACAGAAGATGCCAAATCAGTTAGCACTTCTCCCAAGGTACAAGCGGTGCAATCGCAGTGCTCGTTTCCTACAAGCTCAGCGACATAGGGACGAGCGTCTTCGCATCCTGCGACGCCGGCGTCTCCTCCATTGAGTCAGCAATGTCCAGTCCCATCCGCCTCTCCTGTCTTTCTTCTTTGGCTTGCGTAGCGCGCGGCGAATGCGGAAGTGATTGAGGTGCGGAAATTGCGCACAGGAGTGATGGTCACTTCAACTAGATTTGTCACATAAGACATACTTAGGTGCATATATTTGGGCACCATACAAAGGCCAAGTCAAACGCGCCGCCTTGTAATCAGAGCCAGATTTATTGTGGAAACCGATTAGATTGCCCGAGCGGATTAGCTGATAAAGCAGCGTTCATGAGAGATTTGACTGGTACTAAATCGGGGATCCTTATGATTTCATATGGCATTGGTAAGGGTATAAATCGGTGTAAGGTTAATAAAATGGGGGTTGCCTCATTACCCGCCAGAAATACGACGAGCGACCACTTACCGCCACGAGCTGAGTGATTCGCGTACCTACTAACGAGAAATAGCATCGCGTGCATTAAATACGCTTATGTGAGCTTCGATGTGTACTGCATCTATTTATCAAGTTCTGAAGTCATGTATTTGCGCTGTCCTTTCTCGTCAGCATTAGCGTTTGTCGGTTTTACGTTAAATCGGCCGTGGGTGTCGGACATTCGGGCTGATTAGCATGCAAATCAGCCGTCCCGGGCTTTGTAAGCCGTGGAGCAGCTAAATTAGCTTGCCACATGGCGTTGTAGGCACAACTGACCGCTCTGTCAAATCAGAGTACAAATCTTAGTCTGTCGATTTAATTAGGAGGTCGGATTTAGCAAATCAGACCCGATTAAGCTACTCATCTGCTTAATCAACCGATTTATATCCCAATTAGACAATCTAATCGGTTTCCACAATAACCCGCACGACAGTCAACAAAACAAAGCGCCGACGTGAGCAATTTGTCAGCGCGACAAGCTTGGTCTCCAGCACCTAGCGACGGCCGCGTGACAGCCCTACAGAACCAAGCCAAGCCACGATGATCCCGCGCATCCTTTGGCACATGGGGGCTGGCATCCTGCGCCGGAAGCTTTCGCCTCAGCCGCCGGGTGCGCTACTCAGGTACCCCGGCGTTTGGAAGACGCGCGCGTCGCTGAAGGACTGCAACTTCACGGGCACGCTGCGGGAAAACGCTTACTACCGGAGCATGGAGCTGGCCATTTGGTATGGATGCGGCGTGCAGGGCATTCTGCACGCCTGCGCGCGTAACCGCTGGTACTTCGTCTTCGGCTCGCAGGGCATCCGCCACTTTAAGGACATCAAGCTCTTCCAGCGCTACGAGGTGCACACGCGCAATGTGTACTGGGACGACGACTGGCTCTTCCTGCTGGCGCAGTTTAAGTGCCCCGATACGGGAGAGATCTTCGCCGAGGGTCTGTCGCGCTGCATGCTGCGCCACGGCAGGGATCGAGTGGACTCGAGGCAGCTGTACAAGGAAATGGGCGTGGACGGCTTACCCCACGAACACGAAATGCCCGAAGTTATCCAGAAGTTTCTGCAATGGGACGCCGCGACGGAGGTCGACATGAAGGAGACGGCGGAGGTCAATGCCATGGCCTACGATTCCAGTCACAAGCCCAGTTTGATGTCAGCTCACTCGATGAATCTGCCTTTTCAGGGCCATGTTCATGGACATGGATACCACGTGAAGGAGGACTCGATGAGATGCGGCAGGAAAACATGATGGTCCATTGTGAGATGCATTGGGCTAAACGCACGTGCACTGTACATTGTTTCTCTCTCTTCGGGTTCTTAATGGCGAGACCGAAGCTTTTGCTAAACCATTGTTGTTGTGCGTGGATAAGCTTGCAGTGCTGTGTAACTTAAGCTTGATACAAGTCGCTAGCGCAGGCGATGATTCATCGACGTATATTAATCTTAGACACGGTTGCTAACGTCTGAGGGCCTCAGCATTCGGCGAGCAAAATGCATTATAGGCTGGGCTCTGGGAGGCCTTTTTGCTCTTGGCACCGTCGTCTGGAATCGGTGAAATCGCGACGGAGAGAGATATAGCCTCTACCCCCGTGGGGTTGACGCTAAGGGCGTCTGGGTCATTCTGCTCGAGACGCAGCGGGTGTGTCTTGGGGTTGTAGATGATGTACAGGATCAGGTTCACCGCGTTGACTAGCATACACATGACATTGCCGGCGAACAGGAACCAGCTCCCGATCATGGGGCAGTACACGATCCACATGACGTTGTTCAGCGCGCCCGCCGCCACCATCGGGATCGGGATGAAGGCCGCCGACTTGTAGTGCAGCACCTTCATCATCCGCTCGAACGGCGAGCTGAACATGCTGAGCCCGGCCAGCACACCCAAGATCCCGAGCGTCGTGTCCACGCCGTCCTTGGACTGGTTGGTGTACCCGGCGCTGCCGACGATCGCGTACACGGTGATCAAGCCGAGGATGGTAGCGCCGATGATGATCCTGCGCAGAGCCTTCTTGCGGTCGCGGGCGAAGCAGAAGAACGTCGTCACGTAGCCGATGGCGATCACGTCGGACGTGAGGAAGGTGGCGAACATGGGGAACCAGTTCTTGACCACGGCGCCGTCCAGCATCCACACGTGCGCGTTGGCCACCATGCACACAAGCGGCAGCACGGACGCGATGCCCGTGTCCTTCTTGCGGTAGATGCGATACATGGACGGGATCATGCTGAGCGTGACGCTGATGGACGTGAGGGACGCCAGCACCCGGAAGAGCGTCTCCACGACGACGTTCACCATTGCGCTGTCGTTGCGTCTTCTTCTTCGGTCAATGCTCAATGCAGGCTTGGAGCGCTGTCTGCAGCGGCGTACGCACAACAACGCAGGTTGAGATACATGTATGACTCGACTATCCGGTGGGTTGTGCTTGACGATGGTGACACGAGGCGACGTTTGACCTCGGCGCAGCCAGTCAAGCGCGTTCATCTCAACCTGCGCCTTGAGCCGATGGGTCCATTCCAATCTGTACGTTTAGATGAGCAAAGTGGTCCAACGTCAGCCTTCACGACTCGGTGGGAACGCTGTTGAAGGCTTACTGTAGTCCAATTTGATTTTTTTATTAACTTACGATCCTCACTCAATCTACGGGCGGAGGGGGGCCAGTGGCGACTTGATGATCTGGTACATTGGGCTCTGCGGCGGCACCGCCTTGCTGGCCGACTGCACGCTGGCGCGGTCGATGGCGATGGAAAGCGTGTCGTTGTTGTCCTCCTTCTCCTTCTCGAGCAGGTCCTCGAGCGTGGCGCCGTAGCCCAGCGGGTGCTTGCTCGGGTGGTAGATCATGTAGACCGAGAGCTGCGCGACGCCGAGCGTGGCGCAGCAAACGTTGGTCACGAAGAGGAACCAAAGCTTGGACATGGGCGTGTAGGTGATCCACATGGTGTTGTTGAACGTGCCAGCGAGCACCATGTGAATCGGAATGAAGACACCGGTCTTGTACTTGATAACGTCCTTGACCTTGAGGAACGGCGAGCTGTAGAGCACCAGCGTCACGCACACAGCGAGGTAGCCCATGATGTCGTCCACCTGGCCCCTGCTGAGGCTGGTGAAGACACCCAGCCCGCCGAGCACCGCGTACGTCGTGATGATTGAGAGCACGGCCGCGTAGACGGCTATGACCTTCAACGCCTGCTTGCGGTTCGTCGTATAACGCAGGAAGACGACCATGTAGATGATGGAGATGAAGTCGCCCGACACGAAGGTGGAGAAGACGGGGAACCAGTTGTTTGTTAGCAAACCTTGGAGACTCCACACGTGACAATTGGCGAAGACCGATACGAGCGACACGATGTTGGTGTTGCCGATGGACTTGGTCTTGTAGATCTTGTAGACTGCCGGCGTCGGGCTCAGGATCATCATGAGCGACGTGCAGGCCGCGATCACGCGGAAGACGGACTCCACTGTGTCGGACATGGCGAGCTCTGCTAGCTACAGTGTCCTGTGTTGTGATACGTGCGCGTGTGCGGCTTGGGGCGAATTGCAAAGTGAAGTGCAGGAAGCGCATTTTGCATTGCCCGATGTGTGGTCGAGATGGGCAGGTCGAACGGGTGGTTGAACTACAGTCTAGGAATTTGCATGCGGAGGCCGTACGACGTCTCCTCGAGCCGCGAATGGCACCGGAAGGCGAGCGCATTCGGCCACAAGAACGCAAAGCGGGGGCGAACGTCAGGATTCGAGATTAGATGCAAGCGGTTTACAGGGCAGGAATGGCCGGCGGTGGGATTGCAACGACGGGTATAACGTGAAGTATTTCGGTAGTGGGGGAATGCAAGGCTGGGCGCTCGTCCAAGTGGTCAATTGTCAGGCTGTGTCACATGGACTTCCGCTCGCGATGGCATGAACTCAAGCAGGATGAAGAACTGAAGAATGTTTGGGCGGTGCAGCCAGTCAAGCGTTCACCTCGTGCAGCGCCTTTGGGGTGTACATCTACATGTATGTAGCGCAATCTGCACGATTACGATTACGACACTGAAGATAGGAACCGCAGGTTCAACCACACACACTCACTTCAATCCAAGGCGTTTAACGCTGCGGCATTTAACACGAGGCATTGGAAGAGGTGAAAAGGAGGAAGGAGCAACAACAACAACAGGCTGAGGCCACGTCGTCTCTTCGGTGAGCACCAGATCATCTCCTAGGAAGAATTAATATACATGTAGTCTGGGGCAGATGTGCTCTAGCTGTGGCAACATCAAGGAGAATCTCGCCGGTGCGGCTTTTTGCGCAAACATGGATCGACAACGCCTCATCATGGATGCTGAGATGTTGCTGTTGCTCGGCATGAAAAGTTTTCAGAAAACCCTACGGGTTCAAACTGTGTAAAAGACCCACCTAGGACATTGTGCTAGCGCTCGGCTTGAAAATCGTGCGAAAGGCGTCCGATTCAACGTGAACTGGTAAATTATGCGTGATAAGTTAAGGTGACAACCAAAACGACAAACTATGACTACTTGCCTCACTGCCGCGGGGCTCTGATGATGTGCAGGACGCCGCCAGTGGTGCCGCGTTCGAAGGACTCGCTGCGGCCGAGGTGGAACGAGCCGCTTCGGGAGCTGAAGGCCGGCGAGCTCAGCTGTTGGAAGGAGCTGCCGTGACTCCGCGATGGAGAGCTCAGTTGGAACGAGTTCTCGCGGCTGAGCGGGAGCAGAGGCGACGGCATCGGCTGGAAGCTCGGGCTCGCACTCGCCACTTTGCCCTGCATCTCGGATTTGGGGGAAATGACGATCTGGATGGCGATGTCGTCGTCGGGCAGGTCAATGGTGGTCTGAGCAGCCTTGCTAGGCCGGTACTTGACGTACAGCACCGGTAGCACGAAGCCGAGCACGACGCAGATCGCGTTCGGGATGAATATGAACCAGTTGCTGTCCAGCGGCGTGTAGATGACCCACAGCGCGTTGTTGGTTGCACCGCAGATGACCATCGGGAGCTGAATGGGTGCTGCGTTCTTGTTGCGCAGTACGAACAGAGCCTTCTCGAACGGTGCTCCATACAGGATAACGGCAGCGATGATGCCCATGTAACCGAGGACGCGGCTGATACCCGCGTAGTCCTGACCCGTGGCATCCGTTGCGGCAATGGCGGCGTACAGCGTGATGGCCGCGAGGACGGAGGCTGCACCACCGAAGATCTGGAGCACGTACTTGCGGTCTTCAGCGAACTTGTAGTAGACGGCGATGTAGGTGAGCGCGGCGAAGTCGCCGAAGCCGAACGAGACGACCACGGGGAAGAAGTTGCCGCAGAAATATCCGTACAAGCACCACATATGGGCGTTGCCAAGCAGCGAGACGAACGGGACGATGGAGATGTTGCCGACGGTCTTGTTCTGGTAGATCTTGTAGATGGAGAAGGCGGGGCTCAGCGAGACCATGAGCGACGACAGCGCCGTCATGATTCGGAGCACGAGGAGAACGGTAGCGTCGACCATTGTGGAGCTGGAGGCGACTTGCGCGCGCGCAAGTAAATTGCAAAGTGAGAGGAGCGGAGACCGCCGAAAATCTGGTTGGGCGAGGACAGTCTGTCCCCCCCCCCCCGTTGCGAGCGGACACCGGCACCGAGCCCATCTGCCCTGATCTCGCTTCAACTTTGATCCGCCAGAACCGGGTATTCCTGTCTCACGCAGCAAAGAGGGGAAGTGTAAGGGTAAACCCCCGGAACTGACGGAACTGACAGTAAGGACGGGGTCTGTCTCATTTTTTGAAGTTTTGACGCGTCGCAAAGGCGGTACACGAGGCTCCAAGCAGAATAATGTCGGCACGACACCAGGGCGGAAATGGATGAGAGCATGACAGAGCACGAGTCACGAGGCGCGTATCAGCGAGGGAGGTGCCCAGCCCCGCCCAATCGCTGCGGGGAGCGCGTCGGTAAGGGGTGCCGCAAGCGTTGGGGAAGCGCAGTCCGGTCACATGATGGATAAGAATTTTGATCTCCTCGTTTTGGCCTGTCGACAGCGCCACGAGCGCACGCTGGGTAGAAGGGAGCGTGCAGCACGAGGATCCTCCGCCATGAGTGTCAGTAGCAAAAATTAATTAAATATTTGATACTTGACGACGCGCTCTTCAATATTTGCCGTGAGCTGGCCCGGTAGAAGTTGAAGCGCTCCACTTCGCCGTGAGGCACTTGCTTTTTTGAGTGGTGGACCGCAGCAGCACGACGTGTAGGTGGATCATAGCACCCAAAAGCACGCAACTCTGACCCCGATAGGCCGCATCTGAGACTGACTTTCGACCATAGAGATGTTGAGAACTCCGTGGCGTAAATGGATAGAATGCCATACATGTACTTAGTACATGTACACATGCATATGCACGATTGGATCGTCTGCGGGATGGTGCTGTACAGTAATGCATCACTTTGGATGCTGTAGTTTTCCGGTTGTACATCGGGACAACTTCAAAATTGGTCATCAATGAGTTATCATTGATGAAAAGTAGCCAACTTCTAAATGGTGTGAGCTTCACGTAACATAGTGTGTACCACATCGAATTTAAAATGACTACATTGCGTTTACATGTAACGCGTCATGCAACTTGCTTCAGCGTTTTGCAACATTGGTCAATGTTGACCAATGTTCTCAGATGCGACGAGGACATTGCGCGCTTCGGCCGAGTCGGTTCCGGTGCAAACCGTTCGAGGAACTGGTGGCGGGGACTCCCCGGGGAGTGGGCCGAGTGCCGGTCTTTCACACCGCGCGTGGTGGCGATCCTGTTTAGACTGCAGCTCTGATGGGACGGCGCAGCTTGTGATTGGCCGATTTGCCGAGCAGCGACGCTCGTCCAAACGCCGTGCTTGGAGCCTGACTGGTGGGTCTGTTGGGTCTGTTGGTGTGCCCTTTTGTCCCCCTGACGGCGACTTAGACGGACTTCAAGCTCCGTTCACTTTGCCTTTCGCTCTCTACTTGCCACGTCGCGGCCCTACACTAAATACAACTTCCTTCCGCTCTTCCGGCATAAAAATGACCTTCTGGGTGACGCTGGTGAACGTGGCGACGGGCGTCGCCGACATCTTCTTGCGTCTGAGCCCCGTGCCGGACATCTACAACGTGCACCGCAACAAAAGCATCGGCGAAGTGGCCGAGCTGCCTCTAATCACGATGGTCGTGAATTGCCACCTCTGGTGAGTGTATTGCTATTCTTCTTTACTTTGTCGCATGATAACTATTGACACGATGGCTACAATTGCACCTGCAATGCAGGATGACCTACGGCTACGCGACAGATAGCTGGTTCCCGCTCTTCGGCTCGCAGCTCTTCGGCGAGCTCGTCGGCATCGTGTACAACATCGTGTACTACCGCTGGAGCCCCGCGGAGAAGCGCCAGCGACTGCGCAAGTTCTACGCCATCGCCTTCGCCGTGTGGTGCGTCGTCTCGCTCTACGTTGTCCTCGGCGTCTCGGGCGTCTTTGGCCAGACCAAGTCGGACGTCGGCACGTCGCTCGGCTACGTTGGCTGCGCCTTCAGTCTGTCCATGTTCTCGTCGCCGCTCGCCACGCTCAAGCACGTCGTGAGCACCGAATCGTCCGCCTCCATCCCAATCAACATGTGCACCATGATCCTCGTGTCCGCGGCGCTGTGGACGGCCTCGGGCATCCTGGAGAGCGACTACTTCGTCGCCATTATCAACTTCGTCGGCGTCCTCCTGAGCTGCACGCAGATCGTCATCTACTTCATGTACAGACCCGGCAAGAGCGACGAGTCCGTGGCGGACCTCGAGGCTGGAAAGGACGCGGCGTTTGCTGCAATGAGCCCTAAGGTCGAGCCGCACACCACTGTGCTCGTCGAGAGCCCAGCATACTACAAGCCTGCGCCTTCCCCGCTAGTGAACGGCAGGGTGTAGCGCTAAGCACAATCTAATAGATACCGTTAACCAGTATGTCAAGGTGTATGTCGATCGATGGATTGGATTTACTTTTGTACAAACTTTCTGGCAGGTTTGAATGACAATATAAGGTATTCAAAAGATCGTAAGAATCTTACGCTACGTACACGTACTTCGATACTGTAACACGTATGTATCTTCCCTTTGCACCCTTGGTCCTTGAACCGTCAGGAAACAATTCTTGCGAGGTCACGCCGCACTTGGGCCATTTGGCGCTAGGGCCATCCTATCAAGTTTGATTGGATCCCCCAAGGCCAAACGACGCGAGGGACTACTACTGAAACTCTACACCTTAGTGAAACCATGCCTGCCTCACTCCTCATTCCCCATTTTCCTGGGTCCTTACCAAACGTAAAACAGAAGAAATACTCGATCATGACTGTGTGGGTCACGCTTTTGAACGTCGCGACGGGAACGTCGGAGGTTTTGCTGAAGCTCAGCCCCGTACCCGACATGCTCAACGTCCACCGCCAAAAGGATATCGGCGAGGTGGCCGAACTTCCGCTGATCACGATGGTGGTGAACTGCCACCTTTGGTACGTAGATACATGCACGCGAGTCCAATTGTATATGAACTGTGACTTACCAAGCTGGTGGCCTAGGACCATGTACGGCTACGCGAACGACAGCATTTTTTCCGCTATTCGCCACACAGCTCTTCGGTGAGCTCATCGGTTTGGTCTACAACGTCGTTTACTTCCGCTGGAGCTCGGGCCCGAAGCGCAAGCAGCTACGCAAACTCTTTTCGGTGGCGTTCGCTGTGTGGTGTCTGGTCTCTCTCTTCTCCGTGCTCGCGCTGGTCGGCGTCTTCGGCCAGACCAAGTCCGAGGTGGGTACGATGCTTGGGTACGTCGGCGTGGCCTTCAACTTGTCCATGTTCTCGTCCCCGCTGGGCACGTTGAAGCACGTCGTGAGCACCAAGAACGCCGCGTCGATCCCGATCAACATGTTCATCATGATCCTGGTATCCACGGCGTTGTGGGTCGGGTCGGGGCTCACGGATAACGACTATTTCGTCGCGGGGGTCAACGGCGCCGGCGTCCCCTCAGCTGCGTGCAAATCGTCGTGTAATACATGTACAGACCGAGCCGACGCGAAGAAGCGACCTTGATCCAGCACCACGACCCCCCCCCCCCCCCAAGGGCATCCCGTCTGCTCTTCCGTCGCCTTCCAAAGACGAAAACTATCGCTCGGTGTTCGTCGAGAGTCCAGCTTACAAACCGATCGCATCGCCGATGATAACCGTGACAGCTTGACAACGTGTGGACTGGGCTAGCTACTGCACAATAGCACTTACAAGATCGAATTCTCAATGCGGAAAGAAAGAATCGAGCACTTTTAAGAAATAGTGATCGAAATCCAGTACAGAGCACCTGACCCAGTGAGTTATTACAGTACAACAGCGAACGTTGAAGTCTGGAGGCGGGTTTTCGGAATTTGTAGCAACCGTTGACAGGTTTCTGAGAGCGCGATGTGCAGAGTCGACCTTGTCTGTCTCTTTTGTAACTGGTGGCGCTGGTTGAAGCCCTCGAACTTCGAGGTCTTCAAGACCACACGAACGCGTCGGCGCAACGTCAAGGCCGGAGTTCATCAAAGTCTAATCAGTTCGTTTGGTTGATCGATCCTACGATTTCTCGCTGAAGCACCGCCTGCTGTCCGCTTGTCGGGCCAATCGGGGGCTCGGACTTCCAATCAAGTCGTTTAGAGACGAGCAAAGCCTGTCATGTTCCGGTGCTGAGCTCCAGTCACGGGGCAGCCAAATCGGCACAAGGCGATCTTGCGTCGATATCCGGACCATTGCACATGTATCTCTTCGCTTCCGCCTTGAAGGCACCGCGAGGATGCCGCTCGTCCTCATTCTCCATTTCACCCGCTAGTCTCCACGTGAACTACCAGTACTGTTCAGCCAGCAACCTTCGTAGAGCATGAGCATCTGGGTCGACCTGCTGAACGTGGCCACCGCTGTGGCCCAAGTCATCCTGAGTCTCAGCCTCACGACGGATCTCTACGACGTCCACCGCCGCAAGAACACTGGCGAGATGGCTGCACTCCCGCTCGTAGCGATGGCAGTGAACAACCACGGCTGGTACGTCTCGCCATGACTGCATCTGCTGCGATGAAAACCCTAACATTTCTGCTGTACCTACCTGTACCAGGATGCTGTATGGCTACTTGGCAGACAACATGTTCCCGATCTTCGCTACTCAAGCGTTCAGCCAGTGTGCAGCCATCACCTACAACGCCGTCTACTACCGCTACAGCACCCCTGAGAAGCGCAAAGACCTCGTGAAGCTGTACTCGCGCGCCTTGGTAGTGCACTGCGCCTTTACCATCTACACGATCATCGGCGTGCTAGGCCTCACGAACCAGTCGAAGACCGAGGTCGGAGAGTGGGTCGTCTACGCCGCGATTGTTATCAACATTTGGATGTACGCGTCTCCGCTGGCCACGCTCAAGCACGTGATCGCGACCAAGAACGCGGCGTCGATCCCCATCAACCTGAGCGTAATGATCTTCGTGTCGGCCTCGCTGTGGCTTGCGTCGGGTATCGTGGACGACGACATCTTCGTGTGGAGCATTAACGGTATCGGCACGCTGCTGAGCTTCATCCAGATCGTGGTCTACTTCATCTACAGACCCCCTCCTCAAGGTAGCGAGACCAAGAACGCTGACAACGCGGACGTAAGCGTTGTCGTCGTCAATGCCAGCCCTGCGCAGAGCCTCGCGTACAAGCCGCTGGCGTCGCCGCTCACCCCGGCCAAGAAGTAAGTAAACGCTGCAGACCATAAACTGATAGAATAGTTCTCCTTTTCATGGAATTCGTCGCTAAAACCATTAGACTTTGAGCTTCTGGGGTCTTCATTTTTGTTTTGGAGTGTTTCCTAAGGAGCCAGCAAGACTGAACTCCGGGCTCGCGGGTGCGTTGCTGGTCTTGGGATTGAAGCTTGTTTTGGGCGTGATATTGATGCTCACAACGCGGTCCTCGACATTAGCCGCGTTATGGTTGAAGTTGTTGGGGAGGGGGTGATTCTTCAGGTTGAACACCAGGTAGAGAATCAACGAGGAGGAGTTGACCGTAATGTGTAGCACGTTGAGCGCGGTGATGTACCAAATGTCTGTCATGATGCCGTAGATGAACCACATCACGTTGGTCTACAGCCCTGCGATCACTATGTGCACGTTGATGAAGGGCTGCAGACTTGTACTTGAGCACGTGGAAGATCTTCTCCATCGGAGCTCCATACAAACAGACAGCGACGACATCGCAGACGATGCCCAGCGCTGATCCAACTTGACTGCGAGATTGGCCGAGGTACCCAAGGGCACCGACAGCGTAGGCCGTGACAACCAACAGGAAGCACAACACTGCCCCGAGAACGTGCGCAACATAGCGACGCTCGGTCAAGTACTTCCAGTGCACAGCGATGTTGGACAGCGCCGCAACGTCTCCGAACGCGTAGATCCAGAAGATCGGGAACTAGTTCTTAGTCATATAACCGTAGAGAGCCCAGCCATGCGCGTTGGCCAGCAGCGACACGAGCGGGATGATGGACGCGCACCGGCACTTCTCTTCTTGTTGATCCGGTAGATGGAGAGGGGCGGACTGGACTGCAAATCATGCCGAGAGAACTCAACGCGGCCAGGATCTTGACCACCTCGAAAGCGATGCCGTGGGCCATCGTGAAGCACAACAAAACGTGCGGGCCTGGAAACCGGGACTTGGTCCGATGAGAGTAAAAGTTAAAGTGGGAGTGAGTGGGTGCCTCACTTTACTGTTAGACATGATCGAGCTCATGGTAAGATTACCCCAACATGATTTTGAATGAACAAGTTATCAGCGCCAGTGGATGGAGGGCAGTGACTCTGTCTCGTAGATCGCCAATTGAAGTTTTGCACTTTTTGATCAGTCTCTGACGAATAAAATTCGATTGACAACATGTTGAGCTCTACTTATCCTAACTTTGTTTATTTTTCATTTATCTCGTAAATGAAGTGGAGCTAACGGAGACTGCAGAGATTCATATACCGGATAGCGAGGGTCTGCCTCTTCTTTCTTGTCTGGATCAGCAAGGGGGGAGATCTCGATTGACAGCATGTTGGGGTCTTCATCCGTGGTAACCGAGTATGTCGTTGATTTTCGACTGAAGGCGAAGTACATGGTCCACGCCGAGAAGTGTAGCCCAAGGACAAACACTTGGGGTCCGGCAATGATCCAGTTCGAAGTCAGTTGGCCGAACGTGAGCCACCCGACAGAGTAGAATGTCCCCACGCAAAGACTGGCCACGTTGATGGACGCGGCGGACTTTTGCTTGAAGACGCGGACGAGGTTCTTGAGCACGAGGATGTTGATCGAGACGACGGTGACGTCGCAAAAGCACAGTCCATGGGTCCTCCCTACGTCCTCGCGCGTCTGGACAGTGTATCCCGACAGACCGAGGATCACGTAGAAGGCACGGCCGACAAGCCAAACACGACACCTATTATGGTCGACACTCGACGACGATCCTCCGCGTACCGCCAGTAGACGAACACATAGCACAGCGAGGCGATGTCGCCAATCGCGAACGCGGGGAAGTTGGGGAACCACGCTCTCCCTAAAAAACCGTACATGGACCACACGAGCGAGTTTGCGAGCGTCGAGAGGACCGGGACAATGGGCGTCGAACCGACTCGTCGTTCTCGGTAGATCCGACGCACAGCGATCGAGGGCATGTAGATCGAAGCCAATGTGCCGCACCAGACCCAGATGCGCACCACTACCATCACGCTGAAGTTGACCATCTTGTCTTGAGCTGCGCTTTTGGTGAGACGGGGTGGTCTGCCGTTGAAGTGACTGCACTGGGGGTGTAACTTGAAAAGTGAGGTCTCGATAACGCAGAGCAACCTCGTCTCAAAAGGTGACCAGCAATCTTACTGATGACATGACGAATCTCCTCTCCTCTGCTGTGGACATGCACGCATGCATGCGTGCATGCCTGACTTGAGCGAGTACGGAGTGAACACCGCGTTGATGCACCTCAGCTCATGTATTACATTGTACACATTTTCAGCCGAGGATTCGTCTACTTCAAGTTATCTAAACAATAGCGCCGATGGTGAGATTAGGTCGGGCTGAAAGCGGAGGCTCTCCTCTAATCAAGAGTGTGTCACCTGGCGCGCGACTGCTTCCAAACGTAATCAACACAACCAGCCTGAGTCGTATACTGTGCCTGTTCAAGGCATGCTCATCATAACTCCCCTAGCTGCTGCAGATAATGGAAGATGGAGGCTATACCACTCACTTTTGAATTCCTACCACTCTTCCCAACCAAGCTCAGTTCAAGATGGCCAACCTCGCGTCGCTCGCCAAACGGGGAATGTCGACGGCCTTCGGCCCGCGTACGATCAACGCGTACGCTTCGTTCGAGCAGTCGGGCTTGCTCAAGCCCTGGCAGTACAACTCGCGCCCTCTAGGCGACGACGACGTCGAGATCAAGATCACGCACTGCGGCATCTGCGGAGGCGACCTCATGGCGCTGGACGGCGGCTCTGCCCCGCGCCCTTGCGTTGTCGGCCACTCGCGTTCTCGCGATCCGCCAAGAAGAAGGAAGAAGCGCGCGCTCTCGGGGCTGCGAAGTATTACGACCTGAGCGACCCGGAGGACGTGAAGAAGGCTGCTCAGTCCGTCGACATGCTGCTGGTGACCGTCGCGTCGCCGAACCTCCCCTACAACACGTACATCAGTCTCGTACGCAAACTCGGTACACTCGTGGTGCTGGGAGTCCCGCCCGACAACATCAGCTTCAATCCCATGCTCCTTGTGGGGACCGGTGTTCGTATCGTCGGCAACTTGGTCGGCAGCATCGAAGACGTCGCGGATACCCTGAAGCTAGCGGCCGAGAAGAACGTATAGTCGAGCCGATGCCGATGGCTCAAGTAAACGAGGGCATTGCGCGCGGGAGACACGCGCTACCGCGTTGTGCTGGAGAACTAGTCGAGGTGTGAGCATTGATAGCAGTTGGCTGCAGTATAGTGATGATACTTTCTATCCAGCCAACACGTTTCAGGGTAGGAGCTAGTTACTCCAATCTTGTTGAATGGACTTGCATTTTTAACTCGAAGCTGGGATCTTGCGGCAAGTTGCACCACTACCGTACTGTATTGTGTTTTTAGCAATTTGTAACCTCACAATTAATGTATCCCGTCATATCCGCTTCAATAGTTCGCAAAGTACAAGTGTATTGAACATCCTATCTTTAGTTTCCTTCCAAATAACACTGGTTACTTCCCGCGCATGTTAGGGGAGGACATCTGTACATGCACGTACACATCGACGGGGCAATCTCAACCAAGTTTGGTGTTTACCACAGTTGGCGTGAGCCAATCACGCTATCGCATCCAATCGGGGTTTCGTTGTGACGTCGTTGCTAAGCTCCGCAAAGCAACCGCAGCCTTTCGAATGGCCGTCGACCACTTCCCATTCCCCATTTTCCCCTCTATCCGCACAAGCTCACCGACAAAGCAGACAAAGGATCAACGATGGGCGGCTGGATGACTCTCCTCGACGTGGTGACTGCTCTCGGGCAAGTCATGCTCAACCTGAGCCTCGGACCGGATATGTACACTGTCCACCGCAACAGGAGCATCGGAGAGCTGCCGCTACTGTCGCTGGTGTCCATGATCGCCAACGGCCACTTGTGGTAAGCTTGAGCCAGATCCTTACACTCAACTTTTATTTGCTGCGGGTTTCCTAACTTACTCTCTTCATGTATCGTGGAATATAGGATGTGCTACGGCATTTTGCGCAACAGCATCTTCCCGGTGGCGGTCTCGCAGGGTTTTGACCAGCTCGCTGCACTGGTGTTTAACATCATTTACTTTAAGTGGAGCTCGCCGCAAACGCGCAAGGACAACTTCAAGATGTACGCCGGATGGTTCGTAGTCCACTGCATCGTCACGCTCTACTTCGTGCTGGTGCTCGAGGGCGTCACTGGTCAGACGAACTACGACGGGAGCATCTTGATGGGCTACGCCGGCGTCGCCATCAACGTCTGCCTGTTCGCCTCTCCGCTGGCCACGCTCAAGCACGTCGTGGAGACCAAGTCGGTCGCCTCCATCCCCATCAACCTCAGCCTCATGATGTTCGCGTCCTCGGTGCTGTGGGTCGCCACGGGTCTACTCGACAGCGACTACTTCATCACGGCACTCAACTTGGCTGGCGTCTTGTTCGGTGCCAGCCAAATGGTGTTGTACTACATTTACCGTCCGGGTCGAGGCGTGGAGGCGCTGCCGGATCAGCAGTATGGTACGAGCGGAGAGCTGCCGATCGTTGTGTCCCCCTCGTCCAAGAGTGCAGGAATTGTAGTGGCTATTGAGAGCCCAGCGTACAAGCCTCTGTCGTCGCCCGCGGCAGGCAAAGCTGTCTGAGAGACTTGAGCTGTAAGACGAAGAAATACAGATACAGGTACACATCTTGAAACAAACTCGAGTGGCTGGAGATCATTGCGTTGGATGTACGCGTATGCATGTTAGGTAACAACAGCCGAAAGCGAGCATGAGCGAGCTGTACGCATTGAAGTTTGGCTGCCAACCAGTCCACGCAAACCGAGTTGCCTTTAGAGCCGGAGTGCTAAACAAACGGCAATGATTGGTCGACTAGAGAACTGTAGCCAACTAATCACCATCAGACTATTGGTACTAAACCTTCAAATTACAACAATACAAAAGTGGGGGTGAACAACGTCTTCTCGACTAGTGAGTAGATGACATTTATGCAACGCTTGGTGACACGAAGATCCTGAACCGCCGTGATGGACTTCAAAGTGCTCATTGCGCAATGCGTGGAGCTGATTGACTCCACTTCCAATTCCTCCAACTTCACTCCACTCGACTATGGGCTTCTGGTACACGCTGCTCGGTGTGGCGACTGCTGTCGCTCAAGTGGTGCTCAATCTGAGTCCCGTTCCCGATATTTCGCGTGTCCATCGTCGCAAGCGGATCGGCGAGCTGGCTGCGCTCCCGCTGGTCGCCATGGTGGTCAACTGCCACTTTTGGTACGTTTGGACCTTGATTCACATAGCTGCAATCGTACGACGATGTGTCCCCACGCGCAGGTTGGTCTACGCTTACGTGACGGACAGTATGTTCCCGCTCTTCACAACGCAAGTCTTTGGCCAGCTCGCTGCGATCGTGTACAATGCAGTCTATTATCGTTGGAGTGAGCCGGAGAAGCGCGAAGAGCTGCAGAAGCTGTACGCGTGGGCGTTCGCTGTGCACTGTGCGCTCTCGCTGTACACAGTCCTCGGACTGCTGGGCGCCACCTACCAGTCGAAGTCGGGGCGTACCTCGGATACGTCGGCATCGTTATCGACGTGTGGATGTTCGCGTCCCCATTGGGCACTCTGAAGCACGTCATGGAGACCAAGCCCGCGGCTTCGATCCCGATCAACTTAAGCCTTATGCTTTTTTGTGTCGACGTCGCGGTGGGTCGTCTCGGGGCTCGTGGACAGCGACTACTTCGTTGCTGGCCTCAACGCGATCGGATCGCTGTTGAGTGTCGTCCAGATCGTGTTCTACATGATCTACCGCCCAACCGGAGACGAGGACGTGGTTCAAGATCTAGATCATAGCGAGGTGTCTGTTGTTGTCGCCTCGCCGAGCGCCAAGTGTGCGGTCTCCATCCAGAGCCCGATGTATAAGATTCTGGCGTCACCAACGACCTGCAACACCGAGTGAAGGAGCTGCTGAGGACAATACAATAATTTTCAGTCTGGTAATGCGTATGAGCTTCGCTGTACTACTAAATTAGACTGCGGTGTCCCGTTTCCGTGGCCAGTTTTCGGAATGTTGTAGACTCTGCAACGCAGATAGAATCTAGTCGTTCCCCAGCCAGTCGTCCGTATACTTGAGTCGAGTGCGATGTACGCTCGCAAGTCTGGCCTTCGGTAGTGTACTATGTCCAGGTGTTAGTTACCAAACCAGAGATGAGCTCTTCGCTTCAAGGTCGTTTTCGCCCAATCATGACTCGGTCAAATCCTTGCGTACGTCAGCGAAACGGTTCCGACTTGACCTCGCCTCGAGCCGATTCCATGTTGCCCCCCACTTTTCAACTTGCTTTGAGCTCCACACTACTGCACAGCAACCATGAGCGGCTGGGTGACTCTGCTTCGCGTCGTGACCTCCATCGCACAGATCGGCATGATCCTCAGCCCAGGCCCCGACATCATCAACGTCCACAAGCACAAAACCACGGGCGAGATGGCGGCGCTGCCGCTCGTGGCGATGATCGTCAACAACCACCTATGCTACGCTCCGTCCGAGAGTCCCCATTGCAGCGTTACAGACCGAGAATTAACGCCACGCTCGCAACTCGTTATCCAGGACCATGTACGGATACCTGACCGACAGCATCTTCCCCCTCATGGTGTCGCAGCTGTTCGGCGAGCTCGCCGCCTTGGTGTTCACCGCCGTCTACTACCGCTGGACGACCAACCGTCCAGCACTCAACAAGCTGCTGGCTGGGGGCTTTGCCGTCTACGCTGCCATCACGCTGTACGTGGCGCTGGGCGTCGCCCGAGTCACCAACCAAAGCGACGACGAAGTGGGCAAAACTCTGGGCTACGTCGGAATCGTGATCAACATTTGGATGTACGCGTCCCCCCTGGGCACCGTCCGACACGTGCTGCGCACCCGCTCGGCCGCGTCGCTGCCCATGAACTTGAGCGTCATGATGTTCTTCACCACAGCGCTGTGGGTCGCCATCTCCATCGTGGACGGCGACATGCTCATCATGTCGTTGAACATCGCCGGCGTGGGGCTGAGCATCATTCAGATCTCGTTGTACATGCGCTTCCGACCAAAGCACCCGGCGATCGCCCAGGAGGAGGCGCTCCAGTTCGCGGACAAGGAGATCACCATCGTCGTCTCGCCCAAGGACGGCATGCTGGAGGCCAGCAAGAACCCCATGTACCAGGCGCTAGCGTCCCCCGTAGAGGCGACGAGGCCCTGAGGCAGTTGGTAGCAGGAGATCTCCTGCCTCAGAAGAAATACTACAAATGACACTTTTGACTCCGTTTGCCTCGCCTGTCTTGATGTTGAGATCCTTGAGAGCCGCAGCCTGCAGCCTGTCATTGAAATAGTCAGGATCGTGTCGGACGATATGTTATGCGGCAAAGACACAGCAACGCTGCGACCAGCGAGACTCGCAGTGGTGGCTCTGGCGCGCCGAGAAGGAGGATGGGGCCTTCGCATCGCCGAGTTTAGACCGCGATCCTTCAAGGATCATCCTTGACACCCCTTCCTGTGCATCTGTTGCATCGGGGCCTTCCCAACACGACCGTCGCATCAACATCAGCATGCTTTTAGACTTGACCGGGGGCCTTCACATCGAAAAGTTTAGACCCCTTGTTGCAATGAACCTCCTCATAGCGCGTGAAGCCGACCGATTGCCATTTTCGAACCCGCTCCGCAGGTGACAATGGGCGTCTGGGTGACTCTACTCCGAGTGGCGACCTCTGCGGCTCAGTGCGGCATGATCCTGAGTCCGGGGCCCGATATTATCAACGTCTACAAGCAGAAGAGCACGGGTGAGATGGCGGCGCTTCCCTTGGTTGCAATGGTCGTCAACAACTACTTGTGGTACGTACGTATTCGGCCTGCTTCCCCGTCCTCAGACCCGCTGACAAATTCACTCGTTCAGGTCCATCTTCGGGTACCTGACCGATAGCATTTTCCCCCTCATGGTGACCCAACTCTTCGGAGAGCTGGCGTCTGTCGTGTTCACGGTGTTTTACTATCGATACGCCGTCGACCGCCGCTCGCTTCACCGACTGCTCACTGGAGGACTGGCGTTCTGCGCCGTCCTCACATTGTACGTCGTTCTCGGGGTCACAGGCGTCACGAACCAGAGCGACTACCACGTAGGCAAGACGCTGGGCTACGTCGGGCTGGTAGTCAACATTTGGATGTACGCGTCGCCGCTGGGCACCATCCGCCACGTCATCAAGAGCAAGTCGGCGGCCTCGCTGCCGATCAACATCAGCGTCATGATGCTCTTCAGCACGGCGCTCTGGGTCTCGACAGCGATCGTGGACGACGACGTGATCATCATGTCCATCAACATCATCGGCATCATGCTCAGCATCACGCAGATCGCAGTGTACATGCACTACCAGCCGAACCGCTCGGTCGTCGCTCAAGAGGACAAGCAGCTGACGATTGTCGTGTCCCCCAAGGGCGACAGCATCAAGAGCCCAACGTACCAGCAATTGGCGACACCGCAGAGATTGACGACGTACATGGCTACATTCATGATGGCTACACAGCCGTTTTTGTGAAACTCTCTTGAAGCATACTTATTTTCGGAAGTCAGTAACGGAGGCTCTCTAAAACGTAGCTCTTGATCTTCAACGTCACTGTCTCCTTATAACCGACGGGACGTTACTTGTTACCCGCCCACTCGCCATTGATGACGCCTGCACCCAACGGCTTATAAATCCCTTAGAATTACAGACGTCCCCGGGCTAGTCCCGACTGTATATTTTAATGTACCTCGCACAGGAAGTACAACAAGCTCTCAAGATTTGCGCGCTACTTCTGCAAGCATATTGATTTAGATGAGTGTACAGTAAGACCTACTGCGACAAGTGGCACGTTGCGGGAATACCTCCAGTATTCTTGAGCTAAGCCTTTAGTAAGTCAGTACATACTCATTTATGTTCAGACCGCGTGAATCTTGTTGATTCGCAAACATCATAAGTACCACTGTGGCGAATAGGCCGGGGACGCCTGTAGCTGTGGAGTCAAGTTTAAAAGCGGTCGCGTTTCCATTGCAATCTTGCAATCATTCTTTTGCCGTGACAGTTTGTATAGGGGGCGGAAAACTACAACCGACCAGCTGAAGCTTGCCAGCTTGGCACACGTAATGCTGGCGCCGAGCTGGCCAAACTGGCTTCACCCTTCCCCCCTGCACGCCAGTCTCATTCGGCCCAGTCGCAGTTCCTTATAGCGGGGTCCGTGGAAAGTGGTTTTTGAAACAAAAATGAGTTGCAGCCCGAATTCTCTAGCCCTTATTCACCTGCTGAGCCCCATAAACCGGGCATTTGGGCGGACCAAAACCAAACAAGACCAGCGTGCGCTCTTGAAGTCGTACGAGGAGCCTTCTCGCAGTCGGTTTAGTCCTCGCAACCGCCTGGTTTCTGGTTGCAGCCGAGCCGTTTGCTGTCGTCAGTTCCGATACTATTTTGAGCCCAGCTGCGGTAATAGTGCGGCTCGGGTGGTGAGCAGGCTTGACAACGCCCCCCCCGTTCACCGTTCAAGGGACTTTCACGCAGTCCAGGCCAGCAGGCCGCACTCCAGTCCAGCCAGCCAGCCCAGCGCTTCCGCCCGTTAGGGACGCAGCCCAGTGGGACAGTAGATGCGTGACTCAGCCAGGAAAAAGGAAGTTTTTTTCTCCCGCGGTGCGTCCACGCCCGCGTGCCTATTCTGGGCCCAACTGGCCCCCACGAGTCCCCGTGGCTCGTCGCGCATCTCGAAATCCTCCCTGCCGAGCCACGCGACGCCCACGACGAATATGGTGCGCGTCGTGTCCTGCCGCTTCATGCGCCTGAGCTGCAGCGAGGCCGACCACCCGCTCTTCCGACGCTACTACGCCAGGTAGGACCATTACCCCACAACAGATACCACCACTGGGTCGAGTAAAGTGTATGTACTGACCCGTGTCTTCCATTGCAGGAGCAACCGTGAACGCGGCGTCAAGGTGCGTTGACGTGAGCTGTTGTGCCCTGATTAACAACGACCCAAAGGCGTGACGTTGTTCTACTCTGCTCTGCTCTACTCTACCTGTGTCGCAGCTCTTGAGATGTTTCCCGCACTGCTGTCCGGAGCACGTCCAGCGGTGCTACTGCGGCTCCTCCGTCCACGTGATGGTCACGTTCGCCTCGGAGCTGCCGCCTGCGAGTCACGGCAGCCTGCTGGTCTGCGCGCGCTTTGAGCCGTCACGCGTCGTCCCGCTCTGGCCCTCGAATATAGCGGACACCCCCGGGTACGATCGCCAGGAGGACAACAACGACAACAATCAGGACCACGAGCGCAAGCTGCAGCCCGGAGAGATGGTCGCTCTACCTGCGAGTCTCCTGGCCAGCGGACGCCAGGCCAAACAGACGCACTGGATCCGAGCGGACAGAGAGGGAGAATCCAAGCAGACGACCAAGGTGCAGTACTTGGATCCCCCCAATTCGGAACAGTATTGTATCTAATGTGTGTATTGGTTACGTGCTGGGTAGAACGCCACACTGTTCGTGCTGAACAACCATCGGTTCCCCAAGTGGCTCTACAGCTACGACAGCAGCGTCACCAGGACGCAGCGGGAGATGACCCACCACCTGGTCGTCTACGTCTTCCAGCTCACAGGCGCGCGGTCGCAGCACGGTGAGGTTGAAGCTGCCGTTCTGGCGCGCCACGAGTCGCCAGGGTTCACACTCATCTCGTATCGTCGGTCGGGCAACAACTCGAGCGTCGCGGGCTGCGATCTACCGGCAGTGGAGACTGCCCCGGACAGTAAATTCGCCACAGTTGAAGTTGACGCACCGCCTTCAAGGTCAGACGACATGGAAATGGGCCCATATGATCGACAGGCGCCTGAACTGTCGCGTGAAAGCCTTTGTGTCGACAACGCCCGGGCGTTTACTGTCCCGGAGCATCGATACAACGAGCAGCAGCAACAACAACAAATGATAAGGCAACTACAACGCCAACAGTGGCGACTGGAGCCGCCCGAGCGCTTACGCCGTCCAAAGCTCACGCCCCAAGCTCTGGCGGATTCGAGGGATCGGGTTCGTGACGGCGTCTATCTGGGCGCAAATGGCTTCAGCGCTGTGCAGCGCCGCATCGCTATTGACTCTGTGAACGATGAATACTTGTGGCAGAAGGAGACGGGTCTTCGTGAGCCTGCATTCCGTGAAAAGGCCCAGCACCTGCTTATTCTGTGGCGCTTCATCCAGCGCGTGTCGTTAAGTGATCTCGAGCTCAGCGCCGACACGGCCGAGAGCCACATTCACGCACATTGGCTCCGTGCGGCGGCGGCTCTGCGCGCCCCATCGCTCAGCTTTAGTGCCGATTTGGAGAGAGTTGTGGCCTCATTCCTCGGCAATTTATTTGACGGTAGAACAACCCAACAGCCCGACGCAAGTACCCAATTGACTCGTGACCAAGCCACCGTTCGAGCCATGGTTCACCTCTTCCTGCGCGCGCTGTCGTCTCGTACCGTGCAACGCCTTTTTCGAGAAGCGTGCCAAGTGGGGGACGGCGCGTCGAACAAGCAGTGGCTCCAGGAGCGGTTCGTGTCGCTCGTTCTGGATTTGTATGATATTCTCGGTGTCGTCCTGCGTGAGGTGACTGCAAGTGCTGGTTTAAATGTGGCCGGAGGACAATCGAACCCCGTGCCGGCGCTCGTGGATAACGTATTGTCTCTCATCTATGGACGGACGCACTTCAGCGTACTCCGAGACGAAGTTTCAGCGTTGCTGCTGGACCGACAGCCGCCGAACGCCCTGTCCGACGCCTTGAACCACGCCTTCCACGTATTCGCAGCCCAAGCTAAAGAGACGATGCTGGTTCTGCGGCAACAACAAGATCCTCGACCTGAGCGTTGGGGCGGCATGGGCAATGGGAGCCCCACGCAGAGTCTGTGGAACAGTCGGTGGCTTCTGGACCCGGGGTCAGTGCGCTGTAACTCCCTTGAGAACGAGACGAAACGCGACGCACGTGAAACTTTAGACCTGGTTGCACTCGCGCAGCTCATCCGCGAGTTTGGTTGCATTGACATAACTGTAGAGAGGGGCAAAATGTCGCTGCGAACGGCCCTCTCGTTTGACGGTGCCATGGCGATGGCACCCATGGAGCTAGCGCTTGACGGACGCTTGCATGGGTTTCGTGTACTTCCCAGCGGCATCTCGACGGTGATTGCTACGGCTGGAGGATGGTCGATCGGTGACTACCTGACCATGCCTTCAGACGACGGCCGGTACTTGAACCTCCGCTTCTTCGCCTTCAAAGAGGAGACCAAGGGATCGAACACCCCCTCTAATAACACGCCTGAGTCCATGTGGACAAGCCCAACAAAGAGCCCAGGGACGATGGTCCGCCGGATCAGCTTGTCTCTCGTCTTGGAGCAGGATCTAGGAGCGGACGAGCCCATGGATGGAGGTTACCCTAAAGATGTCTTCGTTGTTTTACATGGAACAGTCTGTGGTTCGACGTACACTCGTCCAAGCTCTGGAGTGGAGCTGTGCAGGATGTCCAGTGCCGACCGAAGTGTGGTCTGGAACGTGTTAAAGTGGACACCTACAGTCGAAGTTCAGGCGGGCTACGTCGCGATCTGAGTGTATTTACAAGCGAGCTGCGTGTGTTCGATTCAAAGGCTTTGTACTATTGCTTTGGATTCACGTGATACGCTACGTCCTAGTTATGCAGCCGCGTTGTGTAAAGCGAAGAAGTGAAAGGTATGTCCACCCGCTTGACACAAATCCCCTTTGCAGATGAAATGGACCACGAAGGAAAGGCTGAAGGATGGACCTTTTAGTGATGGCCACAGCTGCTTGGATAACCTCATCAAATGAGAAGCATGTTGTACGTTATTCGTCCGCAGCGTGTCGACGGTCCACATCTTTGACGAGATTCACTTACTTACGGTATCAGGACTTCACTAAACGAACCCAACCCGAGGCAACGCGATAAAACCTGCCTGCAGCTTCCACATTGGGGCCCACTTGGCCTCTCTCCAGACTGTTGCTCGATCCACAGTCGAAGTCTCCGATAGTTTTAGCGCTTGCAGTCGCTGCGTGACTGACGTGTTTTGGTGCGTGTAGCTTGAGCTGTACGCGGTTCCGTGCACGAACGCGAATAAATCCCCGGCCTCTCCAATGCTGCCGTCTTCCTCCAGCTTGATCGTTAGACCAACTCGGCGCAACTCTACCACAGCTTGGCTCGCATTCCTCGATACTTGACGGTCCGTTTGTCGTGCACCAATCGCCTTGACGTCGGCGAAGAGAAAGAAATCCACGCTAAGTATATGCGCATCGTCCGAGATTGTTGCCATGTAGTCACCGAGAGACCACCCACCGGCCGCCGAGACCATGGACGACATGCCGCTGGGCAGTGCGCGAAACACGCGCAGTTTACCGTCCAATACCAACGTCATCGGAGTTGCTGTTGCCCCGCTTGAAAGTGAGTACGCCGATTGCAACGACGCACTCGCCATGTCCTCTGCAATGCTGACGTCAATGCCGCCGAATTCATAAATAATTTGCGCGAAGTCGGCCAGACCCAGCGAGCCTGTTGCCGTATCCGTCGCCGACTCCACGCGAGCCATTTGCAGCGAGCCAGGCTCCAGCAACCACCGCTGGTTCCATTCCGGGTCGTTGTATCCTGGTCGTGCCGCGAAAGGTTTTTGCTGCTGAGCGTAGTTTTTTGCTTGCTGCTGCATGTTTATCGGCACGATCATCGCCTCGCGCGCCAGGGCGACAAACGTCTGGAACGCTGAGTTTATCGCCTCGGACAGGGAGCCCGCGACTTCCTGACTCAGAAGCAACGACGAGATCTCCACTCGCAGCGCAGCGAACTGCGACTGGCTACACAAGCGACAGCACGTCATCCACCAGCGCGGGCATCGATAACGCTTGATTTCCTCGGACCATATCCGCTGCCACCTCTCCCAACACGCCGTCCAGCGCGTCGTACAGATCCGACAGTAACAACACAAATCGCTCTTGAAGCTGCGGCTTACTGGTCGCGTTGCTCTGCATCGTGCACGCAGAAAGCAGCAGGCGCTGGATAGTACACGACGTGAGCGCGTGCAAGAATAGATGCGCGACCACGTGAATAACGGAGCTCTCTCGACTCAAAGGTACCGTAACGTTGTTAGTACCATCCGCTGCTGTGTTTGCTGGTGCTCTGCCCTTGAACATTTCCTTCAGAAACAAGCTCACCACATCCTCGAGTTCTTTACTGGAACTTGGCGTTGGATCTCTCAGTGCAGCTGCTGCGCGCAGCCAAAACGCCCGGATGCCTTTGTCCATGGCATCGGCATTGAGCCCGAGATCACGCAACGACAAGCTCCGAATGAACAGCCACAGTACAAGAAGGTGCTGGCCTTTGTCTCGAAACCCGCAGCTGCGTGCGCTTGCCCCCAGCTGCCACAAATATTGCTCTCCACCTTGATTAGCTCCACGCGCAGGTTGCAATTGTCGTATCGGATTGACAGCAGCCTCCCCAAGATGCCGATAAGACTGGAGGAAGGCTCCATTTAAAGCGCGTTGGTGCATTTCCTCCTGCTTGGGCAGAAGCTGGTACTGCGTCTGCTGTGTACTGTGCTCCCGCTTGTTCTCGTACAGGTCGGACTGCTGCCGCATCAGTTCGAGAGACCGCGAATCCATTTCCATGTCGTTCGAGGATGAAGAGACCACATGAGGAGCGTCGGTATCAACGTCGACGGCATCAAAGTTGCTTCCAGATGCTACTTCTATCGCCGGGAGGTCGCAGCCGGCGTCGCTGGCGTTGTTGCCAGACCGCCGATAGGAAATGAGGGAGAAGCCAGGTGACTCATGACGCGCGAGCACGATGGCGTCGACTTCTCCATACTGGGACCGAGTTCCTGTGGCTTGGCAAACGTAGACGACCAAGTGGTGGGTCATTTCACGCTGGGTCCTGGTCACGCTGCTATCGTAGCTGTAGAACCACTTGGGGAACCGGTGGTTATTCAGCACGTACAGCGTTGCGTTCTACACGCGATGACGTAACATGACAAAAGCACAAAACCAAGCACAATAATCTTAACGCTGAGTCCCCCTCTATCCTATACCTGCTGCAGTTGTAAAACACTCTGTTTTGCTTGGCTTCCCCCTCTCGGTCTGCCCTGATCCATATCGTCTGCTTGGTCTTACGGTTCCCCGAAGGGAGGAGGCTCTCAGGCAGCGACACGACCTCACCTGGACGCAGCTTCCTCTCATTCGTGTCGTCCTGCGTCGGCGCGTCAGCAAGATTCGACGGCCAGAGGGGGACGACCCGGGACGGCTCGAAGCGCGCGCAGACTATGAGTCCTCGTCGAATGGCAGGTCGTGAACGTGACCAGCACGTGGATGGAGGTGCCGCAGTAGCAGCGCTGGACGTGCTCCGGACAGCAGTGTGGGAAGCAGCGCAGGAGCTAAAGTCCGTCGGACACACATGATTCCTTCTTAGTCTTGGGTGGGCATTAGTAGAGAGAGAGCGACTAAAAGCTAGGCTACAGCAAACAACGTACTTTTACGCCGCGCTCTCTGTTGCTCCTTTGGTTTGGGAGGAGGTTCACACACAGATACAGCGGCCTTTTGCGTCAGAAATCGCGCCCCTCGTCCCTAGAACAAAGACGACTCAGAGCGGACGTACCTCGCATAGTAGCGTCGGAAGAGCGGGTGGTCGGTCTCGCTGCAGCTCATGCGCACGAAGCGACACGAGACCACGCGGACCATGGGCGGGTTGTTTTTGTTCTTGTGGGTCTGGCTGGAACCTGTCTTGTCTTGGAGGAGGGGGAACTGAACAGGTCTCTGCTAACAGTGAGCGACTAAGGGAGAAGAGATCTCGTGACTCGGCTCGAGGGACGCAGGCCGAATAAAACTGCCCGGTCATCCCACTCGCCTCGGGCTAAAAACCTGCTGAACTTGTTGGCGCCCGTAAAGTCTCTTGTAAGGAGGTTTCAGAGGCGCGGGCCAATTTTTGTTTCGAGATTTGGATGTGGCATATAACATAATATCTTGCGGTATATTTTAAGCGTGATGTCCGGTAATATACTGGACACAGCATGTGCAGCCGCTTTATAGGGACAAACGGTTTTGGACCAAAAGCCCGAATTCTTTCAGCTGGCTGCCAGCGCGTGGCCTTCCTGGCAGGTGTTGGACCTCTTTACCGGCAGGCTGGACACGCAATAATGCTCGTGGGTGCAGTAGAGCCAAGCTTCGACCGACCTGAACTCAGTTTGCCACAGTCTCGAAGCGGGTTCGCTTCTTTCCCAGGGTTTCGCATTAAGAGGCAATACTCAATACGGTATTAATACAGCACCCCATGCCTACTGTATTGCTACTGGGTGCACCACTATCTGGCTTATGTATTAGCTGCATTACTACAGTTGTAGTTTGTATTGTGCTGTGCAATGATTTTGGCAATATGAGGCGAGATTTGCTGTATTTATAGCGACCACCTGCTAGATTTACGATAAATCGAGGTGCATAAATGGGTGGAGGCCTAGAATTACGCTAAAAGCGCCACAATTGCACTTTTGAAAGTGCAATTGTGGCTGTGCAGCTGCAATTCTGTGGGTTTTTATCCACAAGCACCTACACACACGGCAATTATGCATAAGAGGGTGGATGTGCTGGGGATCATAGACGGTGGTGTACTGGGCCAATGCATGGCTGCTGACACGCCCTCCCAAGTCGATATATATATGAGGAGGTGGATATATGCATAATTTTAGCAGGTCGTGTATCTTCTTTCACACATATTTAGGAGCAGGCTTTGCCATATTTAGCGTCTAAAATGGTCGGCAAAATAACTGCAAAGCACAATATTATTACGATCGTAATACAGACGGGGCCATGTCTACGAGTACCGTTACGTAGAGTGGCCGCAAATGGAACTCTTCCAAAACTAACACAAACGCTGTCACAAATCGCAATTTGTGTGCCAAATATGTCCTCGTTTGCGTCGTGTTTGCTACAACCGATGATACCGACCAAAACCATCACATTTGAGTGCTAAATACATGGCTACACTCACTTATCGTCAGTAACAAACAATGCGTAAGGTGCACGTACAATCAACTTGGGTGGTAGTAAACACTCAACCTCTACCGCTGGCTCTGCTGTCCACGGCTTGGGCGCGCTGACGCAGAGCTTGAGAGCGCGGGCGTGAACGCTCAGCATGAGTGGTGATTGCTTCATTTGCGCTCGACGCAATTTGTGGAGACGTCAAATTCGTCTCCACAAATTACGACGGATTTGCTACGAGAAATACGCCATGTTTATGACCGTAGCAAATATCGAGTTTGTGTGGGTTTTGGTAGAGCTCCAATGACATTGAATCCCAACCCTTTAGCATGCAATGGGCTCCTGCTGTCGATCTGGGCTCCCGTGGCATGGATGACCGAGATATCGAACCACCGAAACGCGCTCCATCCTATACTTTCATTCATTATTATTTAAGTTCTCTACGAAATGCACACGACTCTACAGTAGACTACGCAACAGTATAACAGCAGACTACAAAGCAGCACCCATATACTTCCAACTCCGCCGAATTGATACCGAGATCAATCGTATCCGGTCAGTTTTCAATTCGTACTTACTAGCTGTGAATCGCACTTATGTGGATAATATAGTGTATCCTAGTAAATCTTTGGGAGCTCATTAGACTGCTGCTGTATCTACTACTGTAGTACTGTATTACTACACACCCTGTCTATTTCTGTGCAGCATGCTACTATAATAATGCACACCATTCATCCGTATTACCTGTAGTGGTACAGCTCAAAAGGTGGTTAATGCGAAGCCCTGTTCTTTCCTTGTTTTTTTCTCTCGCTTGTTCAGTGGATTTATAGCAGACAGAACTATTCAGCTGCCGAGTACCTCGCTTGGTCTTGATGTAACAGCAGGGGATTTAATCGATGCAGGAAGAAACTCTGGGAAGGAACATAAGGCTGCGCTGCTTCCGTGCACTGAGAGCGTCCCAGTCGAGTGGCCATAAAGCAGCGCAGTCGGCGGACTCTGGAGAGAGAGAGAAAGGTTGCATGACCAATGGATCTGACAGTGAATTGTATCTGTCGCTAGCTAACGTACGTTTTGTATTCCTTTCATCGTTTGCTTGCATCTTTGTTTGCTAATGGTCTAGCTCGGTCGGAACGATCGAGGCGGCCTGGGGGGCCGCCGCAAACTGCGAATACTTCAGAGCGCCGAACGCAGCGCTCTGGAACTACTCCACGACCGGGACTTGGTCGTGGGGAGACACGAGATCAGGGTCAACACCAAGTTGACCACACACGGGGTGTGTTTCCGCCACCGCCGCCGCCGATTCGTGATGCACATGGCTCAACTCAGGTTTCCGAGCACAACCGCAGAGAATGAGCGCAGCAGCACTCAGTAAAGCGATATCAACGCACCATATTCAGCACCGCTCTAACAGCACGTATTCTATCACGGTGCTCGGACTCGGTCATAATGCTAAGAATGGGAAAGCTCGGGCCAACCAGGCCGGACAATTCACTGATTGTGGAGGCACCCATCACAACTTGTGTGGAGTTGCTGCATGCCCCCGCGGCAAGATGGTCGCTTCAATCGGAAGTCTCATGCGCAAATGACGCAGTGAACTTTCTGCTTCTGGACGGCTACGCGTCTCCCCATCCAAGCGCTAGAGACGCCTACCTTGTCAGATGACGTGCGGTCGCCGAGCATGAACCTCTTCGCATTCATGGCGGGATGTCATTTTCACTCTGGTTGCGAAGTAACAGTGGCTCACCGAGTATCGCGACAGTAACGTTGGAGGAAGACGTCCACACGGATCCGACCCTGTTAGGTGAGGTGTGTCGGTTCTGCTTTGAGGCCCAAAATTGAGAGGGTTGATCCATGGTCCAGGCTCGACGCCCAAGTTCTCTACCAGATATAAAGTTGGCGCTTATCAAGATGCAGACCGAATTGGTACGAACCCCGCGCATACCTGGCAAGTTGATGCTCTTTGTTGATCAGCTTGATCTCACAACTACATACTAATAAATGTTATTTGAAGCAGGAAAGACAAGCGTAAGAAAGATTCGAACCAGCTCGAAGAGTGTAGCGAGAACCAGGCCGCTCTGTCACGATCGATTAAAAGTGACGACCACGCAGCGGGTGTATGATGACTTCTCTATTTCATGTGGCAGTGTCAAGACCTGGAACCCACAGGCGCGGTTTCGAGCTGGAGGGATTAAGGTAAGACTAAAGAACACTGAAGAATGGCAAGTGAAACACTGGGAAAGGCAGATGCTCAAATTTGGTTGTTGTGGTATAGCATTCTACTACAGTACTGGCTCAGCACAACAGTTATCTATCTGTAGCGAATTGGTTCCCGACGCACCTTGATGATGGAATGGAGCACTGCGAAGTACACAGAAGAGAAAGGATACCGACTTCTTGAGTCAGCCCTAAAGATCAGCAGCAGAGCCAAGAATACCAAGACGAAGATAGCAGCACAAGGGCGAACAGCTGACGGATAGGTAGGGCGAGTCAGTGGAGGAACAGCGGGATCTCAAGCTTTGCCTAGCTGCCCACCTCCGGCTCAGATCCTGTAATGCAGCGCCCGATTGCCTAACATTGTGGGGACAAGTCGTGTCTCCTCCTTGCTGATCATTAATTGCCAGATTGTTCCTCATGGACCATTGTGGACTGTCAAAAAGGACGCAACAATCAAAATTGACACATGTAATCCTTTCAGCGACAGGGCTTCGCATTAACCACCTTTTGAGCTGTACCACTACAGGTAATACGGATGAATGGTGTGCATTATTATAGTAGCATGCTGCACAGAAATAGACAGGGTGTGTAGTAATACAGTACTACAGTAGTAGATACAGCAGCAGTCTAATGAGCTCCCAAAGATTTACTAGGATACACTATATTATCCACATAAGTGCGATTCACAGCTAGTAAGTACGAATTGAAAACTGACCGGATACGATTGATCTCGGAATCAATTCGGCGGAGTTGGAAGTATATGGGTGCTGCTTTGTAGTCTGCTGTTATACTGTTGCGTAGTCTACTGTAGAGTCGTGTGCATTTCGTAGAGAACTTAAATAATAATGAATGAAAGTATAGGATGGAGCGCGTTTCGGTGGTTCGATATCTCGGTCATCCATGCCACGGGAGCCCAGATCGACAGCAGGAGCCCATTGCATGCTAAAGGGTTGGGATTCAATGCCATTGGAGCTCTACCAAAACCCACACAAACTCGATATTTGCTACGGTCATAAACATGGCGTATTTCTCGTAGCAAATCCGTCGTAATTTGTGGAGACGAATTTGACGTCTCCACAAATTGCGTCGAGCGCAAATGAAGCAATCACCACTCATGCTGAGCGTTCACGCCCGCGCTCTCAAGCTCTGCGTCAGCGCGCCCAAGCCGTGGACAGCAGAGCCAGCGGTAGAGGTTGAGTGTTTACTACCACCCAAGTTGATTGTACGTGCACCTTACGCATTGTTTGTTACTGACGATAAGTGAGTGTAGCCATGTATTTAGCACTCAAATGTGATGGTTTTGGTCGGTATCATCGGTTGTAGCAAACACGACGCAAACGAGGACATATTTGGCACACAAATTGCGATTTGTGACAGCGTTTGTGTTAGTTTTGGAAGAGTTCCATTTGCGGCCACTCTACGTAACGGTACTCGTAGACATGGCCCCGTCTGTATTACGATCGTAATAATATTGTGCTTTGCAGTTATTTTGCCGACCATTTTAGACGCTAAATATGGCAAAGCCTGCTCCTAAATATGTGTGAAAGAAGATACACGACCTGCTAAAATTATGCATATATCCACCTCCTCATATATATATCGACTTGGGAGGGCGTGTCAGCAGCCATGCATTGGCCCAGTACACCACCGTCTATGATCCCCAGCACATCCACCCTCTTATGCATAATTGCCGTGTGTGTAGGTGCTTGTGGATAAAAACCCACAGAATTGCAGCTGCACAGCCACAATTGCACTTTCAAAAGTGCAATTGTGGCGCTTTTAGCGTAATTCTAGGCCTCCACCCATTTATGCACCTCGATTTATCGTAAATCTAGCAGGTGGTCGCTATAAATACAGCAAATCTCGCCTCATATTGCCAAAATCATTGCACAGCACAATACAAACTACAACTGTAGTAATGCAGCTAATACATAAGCCAGATAGTGGTGCACCCAGTAGCAATACAGTAGGCATGGGGTGCTGTATTAATACCGTATTGAGTATTGCCTCTTAATGCGAAACCCTGTTCAGCGACGATCACGCTAATTATCGTGATTGAGATAATATCATATCGTTCCGATAAAGTAATATAATTTTTTTTGTATTGGTCACTTAGAACCTAATGACTTCTAATACAAAGTTCCTGCCTCCGCTTATTTACGCCGTCTGCATGCGAGCACCCTTCTATCCTCCGTACTGGTGTAGTGGGTCAGCTAAGGGCTTCATACAAAAGTCAAGTATATTCAATTGTCAGATGGAAAATAGCGACGCATTGCTGGTCAATCAAAAACATCTACGAGTTTGTATGGTGTTAGAACACCAATGTTACCTGGGCGGGACGGCTCCAACTGCTCTGGGCGCTGCTGGCGAGGGCGCTTCCTCGACTTCTTGGACAAGCACTTGTCTTCTCGGGCCATCGCTTCTCTCTCTTTTGATTCTTTTGGTCTCGACAGTTTTGCAGCTTCTCGGGCCAGCTTCGATGCCTGTTTTGCAGCTTCCTTTGCACGCTTTGCTTCGTCTTTGGCTTGCTGTTCTCCCAACATCTCCGTGTAGCTGAGCAGCTTCGCGCCCGACACCTTCTCGTTCACAAAGCCTCCCTTTGGCCGCTGCTGAGGCTGAGGCGCAAGTAGCATCTTGAGCGACAGGTGGACCACGTTCAACGTATCCAGGTCTAGCTTTCGACGCTTCAACGCTGCTTGGGTGCGCATATCAACGGCTTCGCCGTTGAAGTGCGGGATCATCATCGAGTGGTAGCGCAGCATCACCGTGTTAGCCGCTGGCTTGTTGCCCACCATCTTGTTCAGAATCATCTCCAGCGATAGTGGGAATATCCCAGTGTCTCGAAAGCCGCGCGTAATGTTTTTCGCGGAGAACGCCAACTCGAACGGGATCTTGCTAATCTCGCCGACGTCGTCGGGGGCCCCGGCGACAGTCGATAGGAACGTAGCCACGCACTCTGCATCTCAGTGACTCCCTCGACAACTTGTACTGCTTGACCGCCTTGCGAATCGACATGCCATCTTCAACAGCACATACAGCAGCCAAGTATAAATCTGGCTGGGAAATGTCGGAAACAGCTGGTTGGGCGGACGACATCTTGGAGCTTGGTTGATGAAGGGGTGACTTTGGAGGCCGATAAGTTTTGAACAGTGAGGTCGTTTCAGGCCTCCGAGCGCTCGGACGAAGCGGAAGAGCGTCCTCTATCTATCCATACCGGGGTAATTACCCGGAACGAGGTAGGTCATAAGAAGTCGTCAATAAGGTGGAGCACCCCAAATTGCAGGTTGACCTAATTTTGTATACTTTGTGTTTGGCCGACAATACGTCTTGGCCAGATATTTGTCTCTGACGGATAGGGTACAGTCCGTTATAGGGTGGACGATGCCGCTGAAGTATGTGTGAAGTCAGCATTTGCCGCTCCTGCCGTCCAATGTTGTAGGTCTCCTGGAAAGAAGTCCAAAGCAGCTGTCCAGACTCCATTCGGTTCCGCCCCCATATCAAAGGCGAGCTGCCTGCTGCAGGTTGTGCCCATTGCGAGATTGGCTAAAGCATCAGCCGTTTTGTTGAAGGCTCGTAGGTGATGAGACCATGATCGAACACCACATTTGTCGGCAATCACTCTGCATCTTTGATACAAGTTGCGCAAATGGGCAGCTTTTGGTGCCGTCTGGTGTAGCTGCTGTCGTAAAATAAGCTGACTGTCTCCCACGACGTGTAGTGGTCTCAATGTTGGAGTTCGCTGAGCATGAAGAAGTCCTTGCAGTAGCCCCCTGTAATCCGCTTGGTTATTTGTAGTAGTTGGTGCCGCGTACGACATGCTAGCCGGCCAGACAGCTTTGCCCGTGTTAGAATCGCTGTCGACCTTCAGGATCACTGCCGGGATTCCCACGAGATCCTCCGTAAAAAAATAACACAAACTGTGCCGACCCACCCTCTATGTGGAACAAAGTAGGTTTCCAATGCCCATTGAGTGCTCCAACGACAGCATGTATCGCCCGTATGTGAGCCCCCGATCGGCCAGCTGCGCGATATGCGTTTTCAACAGTGCAATACGAGTCCTGGAGCCGAGCCCTGAGAATGGCCTTGTATTTCGAGGTCACCAGCGAGGTAACAGCAGCATAGTGATCATTCCTCCATTTCCAAATTACTTTGAGGACTGTAACAACCCCAAGCCTCCAGCAGTCCGCTGCCGCTCCATGTAGTTGCAGATTAGTAGCCTCCTTGGACTCGGAAGATAACCAAAAGAATTCCTCCTTCGAACGATCAATAAACCCTCAGGGAGAGTAGCAAGGTGGAACTTGAAACAGCTTGCTTGGTTGCGTAAGGTTGCCTCTAATCCGAGCTGAGTCCATCTCACTATGAAAACCGCCCATAACGTCGCCGCAGAAGTGCACTGCCAAAAAATGTGTGTGAGGGTGGTATACGGATGCCCAACGCGGGCACCCCAAGTCTCCGCTGTGGTCGATCGTAACATTTAACACTGCGAGTTTTGAGACGATAAACGAGCCGCTCTCCCCATACACCCAAACCTGGCCAACGTCGAAGGTGCTTCCAAGAAATTGACTTTAGTGCTGCATGGATCACCGGGTCCTCATCTTTCCAGGCGCTCATCCGCTGTTCCAAAGCAGCCGTGACGTATTTGGTGCTGCGATCCATCGCTCGTAGCTTGATTGATTTCCGTGTGCAGCTCCATCGCCGCTTCCCCGCCCACAAACAGGCGAGGCGGTCTAATTGAGGGTGGAGATGAAACCCAGTGACCTCTGTTGCGGATCCTAGCGATTCTTGAAGTGCACCCAGGAGCTGCTGAGCTTTGTGACCCCCAGAGACTGGGAAGTAGCGTGCCTCAGGGCTACCGATAATGGTCAGTTTGGCCATAGTTGAATCCGGAAGCAGCACTTCAAGTGCATAAGGGTGATCGGTATGTTTTGTCAGTAGTCGCACCTCGTTACGATTCATCGATCCATAAGTCAGCTCAGGCATGTTGAGAAGAAGGAGTCCAATTAACTGCGCAACGTGCATTCTGTAAGCTTGCGAAGGACAGGAGACACCAAACGCAGTCTTTGCTATTTGAAATGCCATGTGCGTTTCCTCGACGTGATACCACCGAACAATATCTCCAACACGAGTTCCACGATCCGCTAGGCTGGCGTGACAAATCGAAGGTTCTGCCAGCGCTCCAGAATCGTCAAATAGCACAAGGCTCCGAATCTCCATCAACGGTAGCCATTCAGCGCAAAAAATGCCGTTCTGGTATCGAATCCATTGACGGAGCGGCCCAGTCGCTGGCTTTTTCAATTCTCGAACGTCAATTAGGCACAATCCGTCACGCCATTCGTCAGAGGAAGGGAGGAGTGCCCTGATCAAGCTGACCAACGGGGCGACCAACGCTGAAGGTGGTGGGGGGGGGGGGGGGCTGCTCGAGTCCAGTTATAGCCAACATTGTCTTGCCGGCATCCCAGAATGAAGTGGGGAAGGACCCAGTTAAAGGGGTCCTGGCTGAATTGCTGACTGAAATGTAAGTAGCGCCGGCGTCCATGCGACCCAGTTGCTGGAGGATCGCTCCAACAACAAACATCGACTCGTCACTGGAGAGCGCCCAGCGAGCCACTTCGGTCGCCGCGAGAGCAAGCAGTTCGAGCTTGACTTGTGGGATAGCGAGTCCACCGTGGCAACGAGGGAGGCTAGCAATGTCCGCAGCAATCCATGCTCACACTTTTTCTTCAAATAAACCGAACCACACAAAATTATGAATGCGTCGCTGTAATTCCTGCACTTGTCTCGTGGTCGGCCAAGCATGTCGTGCAATGAAGGTGATTTTCGGGATAACGACAGCGGCAGCGACAATAGCACGTAGATTCTCGGTCAGTAACTTGATAGAAGCAAGCCTCAATCGCGTCTTCAGTTGAGTCACCGTTGTGTGCCAAGTGAAGTCGGTCGATACCCTGCTACCGACGTGTGCACCGTGATATCTCGTGAAATCAGTGACCGCTTGGAACTTGAGATGGAGGCGGACCTGCAGAATGTAGTGCGATAACAACCGTCTTCGCTGCGTTCACACTAAGCCCACTGGCGGTGCTGAACTTTTGCGTAATAGCGAGTAACTGGGGATTCCTACCGGAGATTCCCGATAGGCCGTATCATCCGCGTACCCACCGACTCGAAACTCGATTTCCCACTCTGCCGCTCGGAGCAGGATGCCTTGAAGCCTTTTGGCAGACTCAATTGCTTTGTAGTACGGGTCCAACGCCAGAATGAATAGTAAAGGCGCTAGAGGACAGCCCTGACGTATTCCTGTCGTGCCTGGAACCCATCTCGATCTGCGGCCATTGACGCAAAAGCGCACTCGCGTGCCGGCGTGAACGCTCGCAATAGCGCGGACAAATTGGGCGGGGTATATGTGTGCTTCCAGTGCTCGAATTAGGTATCGTCGACCCAATGAAGCGTAAGCCTTGTGGAAATCGAGTAAGATTGCTAGAGCTTCTCGCTGCTCTTCATCCAAGTTCGCCATGTGCTGTGCGGCTTCGAACAGGTCAATTGTATCATGAATTTGTCGGCCAGGCACAAAACCCTTTTGGTGATGGTGAACGCAATCTGGCAGCGTCTTGCTCACCCGTGTAGCCAGGATCGGAGTGAAAATTTTGTAGTCCGAGTTCAATAAAGCCAGCGGTCGGTAGTTTAGTGGATTTGATTGATCCCCCTTCGTCTTTAGACAAAAAATGTCGGCCTCCAGAAATGATGGCGGGAAGACGCTAGCCGAATCCAAAGGTTAAGCAAAATAGTCAGGATGGGAGCAAGGACCGCCTTGAAGTCGCGGTACCAATCATTGCCGAGGGTATCAGGACCGCACGCTTTCCCAGCGTGACAGGCATCAATAGCAGCAGAAATCTCAGACTCGGTAATGTCTGCAGCCACCGCATTTAGCAAGCCATCAGGCACGCGATGATCTTCTGTCCACGTGAGGGCAGCATCGATATCCTCCGCAGATGCCTCTTCTTGGTTAAAAATCGGAGACTATGCGTCCGCAAACGTGTCCGCCTTATCATGAACGGCACGTTGAGGGAGCCCCTTACTTGGCACTAAAGTGGTTACAGCGTTATCAGTAAACTTCGTTGAGGTAGTCTGGAACAATGCACTCGTCGTCTTGCCTTCGTGCCACGCACTTTTTCGAAATAAATGCTTCATCTTCTTCTTGCCGCGTTCGATTCCTAACTCTGCGATTGCCCGTTTGATCTTGTCCACTCGCGATCCCCGCCCGGTGTCTTCCAGTGTTAGCACATCCATACGCGCCGTAACTGAAGCCATGGCGCTGCCTTCACCACGTTCCTCAGCTAGAGCTGTGCGCAGTTGGCGCAAGTGCCTAGCCAGCTTCTGTCGGTATGTGCGCTTGAGGCGCTTGCGAGCTTGGCGTACACACCTACGCGCCCCTCGTAGTACGTCCCGTTTGGCATTTTCCCACAGCATCACAGCTTCCTCCGCGGTCGGAACATCCGTGGAGATGCGGTCGTACAATACATCCAGGACGCCACATGTGCACGCATCGCATAGTCCGGAACCGGGTACGTTCGAGGTGGCTTGTTGACACGTAGCGGATTTGACGGAGATCTTAGGTGGAGTAAGACACCGTCGTGATCAGCCTTCGCCGCGGGTTGAACAACCTCAACCACGGCGATCCAGAAGTGCACAGAGGGTGTGCTGTACCATCTATCTAGTCGACATGTTTCATGTGCATCATGGACCTTGTACCGGAACGTGTGATGCTGCTGATGAAACTTGTGCAGCCGCTCCCGGTCTGCCGCACTGGGCATGGCGTAAGATAAGCAATCCTGGGCGCCCCATGCTTTGAGGAGGGAGCGTAGTTCCGCGGAATCATGAGCGGCTATCTCGGCCGGATACGAGCGATCTAGGTCAGCGATTAACGTGCAGTTGAAGTCGCCCCCAAAGATGACTCTGCCATGATCTGGAAGTGCCAACTGGCGCAATTCACGAAAAAGGTTTTCGCGTTGTACACGATCAATTGGCGCGTAGATATTCACTACCACGAAGTCTTTGCCATCCATTGATCCGGTAACCGCGACAAAGTATGGCGACTAGTTGTTGCTCCACAAAGGTTGGGCGTTGGCAAAAGCCCCATACGGATTAATCAGAATGCCCACTCCACCTCTACGATCATCAGCGGCACCCCAATAAGAGAGCGTCGGGCAATCCCGGATAATAGCAGCATTAACATGGCCGGGGCGAGCGAGCACTTCACCATCCTGAAGGAGCTCTCCCCGGTCCGCGTTTCGCTGCTGTACGCCAGCAATCCAGCCAAAGGAAGCGTCCAGCGTATCCGCATAATCCGAATTACCTTCGACATTCCACATCGTGAGAAGCTCTCCATGTTGAACACCATTGAAGCGCATCTCATTCCGCCGCAAAACCAGCATGGCGGGTATGGTGTACAGCTCCCAGCACTCACACAGATAATCACGAGCAACCATGTCTGGTAGGGCTTCCACATATCCAGACTCATGCACTGAGCCGTCCGGTATTCGATAGTCCTTGTACATGTATTTTTGCACATGCGCATCACCGTGCTGATTGACACCCAACACGATGAGCGGTTCGCGCATGTACTGTACCATCGCGCGAAGCTCGTGTGGCCCTGCCCAGAAGCTGGCGGGTACCTCCGTCGTAACAGAGCGTTGTCGTTCCTGAGCATAGTGTGCGAAGAGGCTCGCCGTGGCGCTCGCAATCCCGTCTCCGGCCTTCCTGTCCAGGTACAATCGCTGCAGTTCTGTGATTGGGTTCACAAGCCCAAGCTCAACATCACGCCGTAGATTGGTCAACATGATGGAGTAGATGACGCGCTTGATCTTGTTGGCTCCTCGAGTGACTTTTGCCGTGCGCGGTAGTTTCGACCCGTCAAAACTGCTGGTGGTGGCGTGAAAAGCTAACATACCACATTGACCAGTACGGGGAACATCAACGGGTTGGCCTTTGAAACTCTTCAACCATAGCATAAGTTGAATGGGGAGATCTTGATCGCCGTCTGCTGTTCCTGCGTGCGAAGCACCCATTGTAAATTCCTCGTCGCTAGTGGGGCTGGGAGGCATACGCGCGTCAACCGTAATAGCAACACGCGCTGTGTGGGCAATATGATGCTGCTGACTAGTGGTAAGGGGTGCGATGAAGACGTCCAACGTACTCAGCACCAACTCACCCGTACCAGCCGTCATTGGCGCTAACGGTGCTGGTTCCTCCCCCTGTTGTAGCGCTGACTCGCTCTTCAGCCTCTTTGCGCGAAGGTCGCGCGCTTGATCATCTTCTCGACGCCGTTCTGCTTGCTTACCGAGTGTCTCAGCTTCGGCAGCAGCTGTCACCATGCTTGTATCACCTTCTCTCGCAGCAGCACCATGCAGAATTTCATCCGTTTCGGATTTAGCCTCAGCCTTACCTGCGTCCATCTCAACATCAGAGTTCTTCCTTTCAGCCTCCGGATATGCATACGACGCCTCGTCCGCCTCGTCCTCGCTGCCACTGTCCGAAATATCCATGTCCTCCTCAGACTCACTGTCATCGCTCGCTAAAACCCTGAGCTTCTGCACGTTGAAAAGCTTCAAAACGTTTTTGAGTTTTACCAGCGCCTCGGCGTTTGCCACTTGGTTGCTTTGAAGCCAGCGTGTGAGATGCCATATTGACAGCACTGGCGCCCGAAAGCGCTGATCCATTGGTACGTCCCTTTGATGCAGCCTTCTTGCTGGCCCTTTTGGCTGACTTGGACTGTTTTACGGTAAACTCAGCAGTTACTGTGTCGTTCGATGCTTGGGCGGCCACAGTTGGAGTTGACGGCGGCGTCTGCCTAGCCTCGGTTCCCGCAGAGGTGGGCAAGCTGCTTTCACCAGTGTGTTCCAGCCCGATACCCGGATTTTGGGCCAAGACATCGCGTTGCGTTGCCAAAAATGCCATGAGATCAGGGACACTGTCAACCTGGTATGCCGTATGCTTGGCAGGAATAACAGCGGTCACTTCGCCCTTGTACACACGGGAGAAGCGTGCAGTGACACGGGCAAGCTTAGTCGTTACCACCTTGCACATTTTAATCCCATGGCGGGGGCTGTAGCATCTTGGGTACGGTTGGCGGAGGTTGTTCTGGTAATGGTGGACCACAAGGAGTGTGCCATTGAGGTCAATCCGCGTGACGTCGACTAGAGCCTCCGGGCAGATGGCTTGAGCAAAGACGACGTGATGGAATTGACTGTCGTAAATATCCGTCTTGACGCTTCATGTGTCGTAATGCGGGTTGAAGGATTGTGAAGCGATGGACCCGGAGGTTACCCGAAGGTGACCCGAGAGTGAGCCACTTGAATTATAAGACACCCTAGCTCGGTGGCCCGTATAGAAGGCCGGCACCTGATTACGAAACCCGATGGCGTATTTACGGAGACCCAGAACGGGGAGGCCCGTAACAAGGACGATGACACCGCACGGAGACAGCAGATGACGTCATGAGGTAAAGGCGTGCAGCATACTGGTTGGTTGGCCGGCAGACGAGCCGCCGGTAGATAGGCAGTTCAGTTCAGAATTTCCAACAACGAGACAAGGTACTTCTTCATATTAGTCTTTGTGTTGTGCGGTTAGCGCCTAAGTGTGTACTGTGACTGTTTCCTACCTACTTGCGAAGTGTACTCGGGGTTCTGGATTGATTTGGCCTCCCCGGTAACCTTCTAGTAGCGTAGTGTGTTGCATTGTCTGGACTCAGGAGATCAGCTCTCAGTGTTCGACATTAGGACACTCTAAACGGTTTAGTAAGGTATTGGCGTGCGTCTCGCACTTTGGTTTGGACCCGCAGACTAGCTGCGGCAGGAGATCTCCAGTAGATCTCGTACATATTGTACAACAAGTTGTCGTACAGTGGGAAGAGTTACCTCGCTGTACAAGTGCATCCGCGACAGAGTTAACCTAAGTCTCTGCCTGCGAGTGTAAGGAACCCCATATTACACGTCTTCTAGGAATTACGCTAGATAAAGATCCGAGTCTTGCTACAAGGGTACACAAGGTGAGGCCTAGAGATCTCGGGACTAGTTCTCGTTGTCTTTGGGTATTTGGCTTGCAGGGGTACCCCCCCCCGTAGTTGCGTGGCAGGACACGTGTGGGAGTTTATTAGTTTTATCTGAGGAACTCCACCACAATAGTGCGCGTGCCCGGATCTACTAGTCCGAAAGGGGGCGTGAAGGTGAAGGTTGAGGTGAGGGAAGACGGAACTCCGCTGGGACCGGCGGAAGTTAAACGTGAAAACACTAGGTCCACCGACGGACAGGCAATGGGGACGCCTGAGCCGAAGGATTTCGTTTACGAAGAGAAGTTCCCCGTTAAGGCTCCGAAAGGAGCCGTCCGGGACTCGGTCCAAAAACCGAGTTCCATTGGACCTGCTGCTAAGCGGGACCCCGGCGTCGCTGAAAAGCGAGGTCGAAACCTGGAGCGCGAGCATCTGAAGGGGGTCATCCCCGACCTCGCTACCCGAAGCGATGCTCTAGACGCTGCGATGGACTACATGGAAGTCGAAGATGCGAAGAAGAAAGCCGAGAAGAAACGGAGAAATTGGAGATCTCGGCGCTAGCGGTCCATGGCCCCAGCAACGACACTCACGATGAAGACAAACGATTTCGTGAAGCCGAAGTCAACTACTTTCGTCAAGAGCTTGCGTTCCTGCTCCAGAGAGATCCGCTCCTGCGTAAGTTGGGGCTGACGATGCCATGGCCTTTCACGGGTCCAGTTCGCAACCCGCGCACACTAACAATCCGAGATCCGCTTCACGCCGTCACGATGCTGTTCTGCGTGCTCGAAGATGCTGGTTTCAAGGTACATGAACAGCTGATCTCCACCGATGTACGCGAGTACGATCTGGAAACCACCGTCCTTACGCTCGCGCGGGTGTACGCAGTGTTGCAGAAGCTCGTCCCGAGTGCAGATGACTCATCCGCGCCGTTGCCGACCGGAGACCTCACACCTCCTCGGTTGGACGATTCACGGATCTCCTTCAAGTTTGAAGATGACGGTGACGCTCTCATGAGGAGCACTACCTCAACCAAGAAGCCTCCACCGGCCCCACGTGTGTCCCGCCGAGAACGACGTGCGCAAGGGATCCCAGCGGCGATCGCTGCAAACGATGTAGGACGCGGGAAGTCTGCGCAAGTGTCAAATATTGCGCAGACTCGCCCAGCGAGAGGACCACGTGAGAGGATCCAGGAGGCTCAAGAGGTTGCAACAGAGCCCGATCGCCCCGGCGGTGTGGCTGAAGACCTTCTTTGCCAGTTTGCGAACGAGCGAGACGAGCCTGAAGACGTTGAGATGCAACCAGTCACTGCGTCTCCCGCTCGGCCACGTATCGGGTACCGATCCCAGACACAACCGGAATACCAAGAAGATCTCCATGACCTATCCGATGACCTCGGCTATGATGGAGGTGGCAGAACCGGAGGCCGTGTCGCAGCTGTGTCCACGGCGACTAGGTTGCGAGCATCGGCTGTGTCCGAACTGAAGGACTTCAGCGGCAAGGAACATGACGAAGAAGCCGCCCGAGCCTGGTTGAACAAGGTTAGAACGGCCTTCGGACGGGATCAGATGCAGCCAGACGAGATGTGCTTGACATTTGCCGATTTGATGATAGGCCCTGCGCGCAATTGGTATTACCAGCTGAGCCGCACCGCTCGCGCGTCGTGGACTAACCTGGGTGAACAGTTCCAGATCCACTTTTGCGGTAAAGGGATCTCCCTCGCGCGCAAGTACTACCACATGCGGCGCGGGAGTCAGGAAGACCCACTGGATTACTTATACCGGCTGAATCTGGCCGGGATACGTGCAAACTTGAAGATCCATGATGGCACCAAGGAACAACGACGTGAACACGTCGACCACTACATCGATACAGTCCAAGATGGCGATCTCACCGGATCTCTGGTAGTGTTGAGGCTGCCTGACTCAGAAGCTCTCGAAGGCGTCCTGTTGGCCATGCGACGCCGCCACCAACGTCGCAAGATTGAGACCCAAGGTTCGAAATACCGCCAAAAGGCTCCCGCCCCTGCAGCCTCCTCGAGGGCGGTGCGGGTTGTGACTACCGGTCGCGGACGCCGCGGAGATCACGGAGATCTCAACGAGTTCGAGGGCGAATGAAGCAGTTCCGATAGCGAATCTGAAGACGAAAGAGCGCACGTGTTTTCGGCAGCTAGGACGCCTACACCAGGAGATGGTGAACAGCCAGGGGCGCGCCAAGACCAACTGGGGCGCCCGAAGTACGGCACTCGATGCTCACACTGCGGATCTCGCAAGCATACAGATCTCGGGTGCTGGAAGAGGCTCACGTGCCAGAAGTGTGGACGCATGGGCCATCCTACCGACAAGTGCTTCTACGTCTGCAAGTGCTGTGGAGACGTTCACGAAGTAGGTCAGTGTAAAATCGGCGACTTCTTCGATGCTGTTCGCCAATGGTACAACCCGACTGGCCATGCCGGACTGCTGCCCGAGAGCGTCGAGAAGGCGTTAAACTAGACCGCTCGCCAGGCCTGAACAGCCTGGTACGTGACGAGCGATCGAAGTTCTGCATTTATGCATATGTCCAGAGGAAGGCGCGAGCGTTGGAAGACCCAACTTCCTGTAATGCGGTGAATACAGCCAGATCTCTTACCTCGGATGAAGATGACTATTCGCGTCGCCCTTGTGTGATGGCCCTTCGACTGTCGCCGGGTGAACGCCGAGGTTACTGGAAGTATTACACTCCCTCCAAGTGGTTCAAGCAGTCGAAGGCGACCGGTGCGGTCAACAATGTCCGTGCCGTCCTACTCTTTGATACTGGAGCCGAAGTGTCGATAATCGACTCTACCTTTGCACGTAAGGTGGGTTGTGAAATTGATACAACACAGACAATTGATTGTGTTGGTGTGGGGGATGCTGTGTACCGCACAGAAGGCCGAGCAGAAGTCAAGCTCACTCTGTCTGGAGAGTTGGTGTACAAGTTCCGTGTGTGGGTTGGAGATCTCTCAGGACAAGACGTCATTCTCGGCATGGATTTTATGGTTCCTGCGGGGGTGAGGTTGGACCTGGCTGACGGAACGCTCTGTCTGCCGGACGAAGTTCGCATCCAGATGACCGACCGTAAGCCGCTGTATAGCAGCAAGGCTGACGCGGTCTACGCAACGGGATTCCATGAAGTCGGTCCTGGCCAATGGACAGAGATCTCACTCAAGTCCCACAACAAGCGGTTTGAACTGTGGGTAACGAGAGGGGAAAAATGGGTGATCACGGTGGTGAATGGTGGATTCAGTAACAAGTCATACCTCCGGATCACCAACATCAGCACGAGCCGCCTGGTACTGGATCGTTTGGTGTGTTTGGCAATCTGGTTACCCGTTGGGCAGATCCCGCGTCGACCTGGATTCGCTAGGAAGGATTCAAACCGCTATCGGGAGTGGCAAACACTTGCGTTCGAAGCAGCTGTGGACACTGGAGATGCAAACGTAGCGGAAGTTGAAGAGTCTGGACCGCTGGTCGAGCGTCCTAGCTACCGGACTCCGACTGCGATTTTAGCACGGCCTCGACAAGTGAAGACCGTTGAAGCAGCAGCAACGTCAGAAGAATGCACACGACTCACACTGGACGACACACATCCTCAAATGCAGCTGATGAAAAGTTCGACTGATCCGACTAGGGTGACCGAAACCGAGGAGGACGTGATCTCTACCGATCCCGGTCAGGTGATCTCTGGTATGGACAGCGATGACTCCAGTCTACCGCGTACGGAAACTCACGCAGGCGAAGAGAGCGGCCTATCCTTTACGAACAGTGGCGAAACACCGGTAGGCTTGGCGTCGACTCCGGCAAATGTGGCTGAGGCTGAGCTCCGCAAGGAGTTCCCAGAATACACCCCTGACCTCATGCCACAATCCAAAATACACGCCGCGGCCACCGAGGAAATGGTTCATCGCACGTTGTCGGTCATCGTTGAAAGCGACTGGAGCGACAGCTGTAGTTGTGCGTCCGAAAGCGCTGAGTCTACTGGTAGCTGGGGTAGCTTTGACTGGCAGACCGACGACGAGAAAGAAGAGGAGCCGGTGAGCGGAATGCTCCCAGTGACCCAGGCCGAACCAAGCCAAGGCGGAGATGCAACCGACATGGATGAAGCGAAGAATGTTCATGAAGGGGCCGATCTCACTGCGGAAGACATCGAAAAGGAGATGGCGGTGTTACCAGAGATCTCCCTGACGGCAGAATTTAAAGGGGAAGATCTCAAGGTCGGGGATCCAACTGAGAACACAGCAGAGAAGATTGATCGTCTGCGTGATATCATTTGGGAGCGGCGTCACCTTCTCATCGGCAAAGGGAATGCTTTACCCCCTGCGGCGACGGGGGCGATCTGTGACATCGACGTTGGTGGTACACGACCGGTGGCTCAGCGTTGTCGCCGGATCCCGCCTCAGTTCCGTGAAAAGGTGTTCCAACTCGACAAGGGGCTACTGGGGGCGAAGATTATTCGGATCTCCACTTCTCCTTGGGCGTCTCCGATCGTTATCGTCGTCAAGAAGTACGGCGTGGACGTCCGACTCTGTATCGACTACCGTCTGGTCAATGCTCTGTCACGACTGATGATCTACCCCATGCCGTTGATTGACGACCTCCTCGAAGATCTCGACAGTTTGCTGTGGTTCTGTTCTCTCGACATGGCGAGTGGGTTCTGGGTGGTGAGTATGACCGATCGAGCCCGAGAGATCTCTGCGTTCATTACGCCGTTCGGCCTGTTCGAGTGGCTGCGAATGCCGTTTGGTCTGAAGAATGCCCCCCAAATCTATCAGCGGCTGATCGACAATGCATTATATGGCGTGCTGCGGATCTCGCCGGGTCAAGATCGCGCGGATCTCGCCGGGTCAAGATCGCGCGGATCTCGTCAACATTTTCGAGGAAGGTGTTCCTGAAGATCGATCGCTGCCATCGGTGCTGGGGCGTCGCTCTTACACCGACGACATCTTAGTTGGAGCAAGCTCGTGGGACGAACTGTGTGAGCATGTCAAGAAGCTCCTAGAGGTTTTGACCGCTGGAATCCGTCTATTAGCGCGGAGAAGAGCGGTTGGGGTATGAGCAAAGTCGACTATCTGGGGCACCAGATCTCCGGTGAAGGCCTGTTCACCAACCCGAAAGATTTGGCAAGTCTGGAGGCGTTGAAGTTTCCCAAAACGCTTAAGGCTCTCCAGTCATTCCTCGGCAGTCTCAACTACTACAATCGCTTCATCGAAGATTTCGCAGTATATGCCACAGTGTTGTATGAGTTCGGAGATTCCGATTTCATCAAGGGTCGAGCCACAAACGTCAGCGGAAATCACGAGGCGACTGTGAAATGGGGCCACGCGCTACGAGTCTTCGATACCCTGAAGTTCAAGATGATCAACGCACCCATGCTCTACCATTTTACCCCAGAGTTGGATCCTGTTGTGATTGTGTACGCAAGCAAGTGAGCGATCTCTGCCTCTCTCGTTCAGTGTCGTGATGGAGTGTACGTACCCGTCAAATTTACGAGTAGGACACTGCGGTCTCACGAGATCGGGTACGACATTGTGGAGAAGGAAGTACTGGCTCTGCTAAGAATCCTCGATAGCTGCTTCACCATGCTGAGTGGTCGACACATCCGAGTGCTCACCAGACACACGACTCTCGCATGGCTCTTCCGCGCGAAAGGCTTGAAGGGACGGCTAGCTCAGTGGGCGGCGCTGCTCTCCCCCCATTCGCTAGAGATCGAACGTTTAACGAAAGGCGAAGATGAGCTACTAGGTTTGGTTGCCGCCAGTATCACTCCGCGCGCAGAGATGGATGCAGCGTTGGAGGAGATCTCTCCGCAGAAGAAGTCGACGAGAGCATTGGCTATCCCGATGCCGACTTTTACGCCCGGAGAAAACGTTTGCGTCGTCAGCTTTGACGGATCGGCCAAGCCGAAACGAGTTGGTGGAGCTTTCAGCGCTGTGGTATGGGATGCTCCTGGATGGAAGGTTGTCAAGGCTGAATCTGGCTATTTACCGGACCTCACTGTGAACGAGGCCGAGTACCATGGCCTCCTTCTCGGACTTCGTTTGATTGCCGATCTCCAGATCGACCGCCTCATTGAGTGTGGCGACTCCAATTTAGTCATCCGCCAACTGCGTCCGCCAACTGCGTGGAGAGATGGAGTGCAAGTCATCGGGACTCCAGCTCTTGCGTGAAAAGGCCAGAGTGATTTTGCGGTCTTGGCCGCAATGCAAACTCATCCACGTAAAACGCGATTGGAACCAACCCGCGGATATGCTGGCGGGACAGGCGCTGCAGCGTGGTGTCGGGGTAGTTGTCGAGAGTCACACCGACTCTCGAGACCTTAAATCGACTGGGCGAGCTCCTCAAGACGCGCGAAGAACGTGACGCCCATCCGAAGGTAGGCGCTGTCACGCAAAGCCGATCTCGTACTGTCGCACCAGCCGTGTTGCAGGAAGACGTCGTCAAGCGGCTGCGATTGGAACGTATTTGCCGTGCTCAAGACGAGGAGGTGTGGATCTGGTCACTGAAGTGTTTTCTGCACGGTGATCTCTCTCAGATCTCGAGCCGTCAAGCCAAGACATGCTGACAGTTTCGAGGTCGACGAGCATGGCCTCATGATGTACTGTCCAGTCGAGGGGCGCGGTGGTGATGTCGAGGACCGTGGATCTATGGTGAAGCTGGTAATGCCGAGTACACTCCACGAATTTCTCCTGCATCATTTCCACACAAGTGTGGAGGGAGGTCATCAGGGAGTCCGCCGAACATTCCAAAAGCTTCGGAGGCATTTCTACTGGCGAGGTATGTTCCGAAGTGTGCAGAAGTATGTCGGGGAGTGCGTCGACTGCGAGACGGGAAAAGGAAAACCCACCTTGCGGGGGCGATCGCCGGGCAATATCGCCGCTAATTACCCTTTCCAGGCCGTGGCTATGGATCATATCCCCACCCTCCCGAAGTCGTTCAAGGGCAACACAGAGCTCCTAGTCTTCGTGGATCTCTTCACCGGCTTCGTTGTGGCAAAGGCAAGCGCGGACAGGACCGCACCAACAGTGGCTGAGGCATACGAGGAATGCGTGTTTCGGCGGTACGGAGCCAGCGAAGTAATCAGGCACGACCAGGAACCGAGCTTCATGTCCGACTTTTTCCGGTCGTTTAATGCGCTGCTGGGCCAGCGTCAGCGATCTACGCTCGCGTATAGACCTCAAGCAAACGACACAGCGGAGCGGATGGTCCAGACTATTTCCAGATCTCTGCGGATGTACGTTGAAGACGAGAACCAACAGAACTGGGATGAATATGCGGAGCGGTTGGTGTTTGCGTTGAACACATCGCACGACCGAGTACGCAAAGACACGCCATTCTTTTTGCTGCACGGGTGGGACCCTAAAACGACTATTGAGGCATCGTTGGCTGTTGGAGGGACTGGAAGCCGAGATCTCGACCCACAGAAATGGAGGTTCAAGATCCAACGCCAATACCAACGTGCTCAGACAGAGACTCGTCGTCTTCTCGCCGAAGCTCGTGAGAGTCGCGCGGAAGCCCACAATGAGAACGTACCGGAGTCACCCATTAAGGAGGGATCGCAGGTGTGGCTGTACCTCGACCGAGTCAAGGTCGGATACGCTCGGAAGCTCGCTCACATGTGGCATGGGCCTTTCAGAGTCGCCACCATGGTGAGCGACTACGCTGCCAAGCTGGAAATCAGCGGGACTGGCTACCGACTGTTCCCTATCGTACACATCTCGAAGCTGAAGGTGGTCCAACAGTTCCCCGAACGACCCGCCGAACATCTCACTGGTGATGAAAGCGAACGATTTGACTTTGACGACGAACTTCTCCCCGACGATAGCTAGGAGGCACAAACGCGCGGTGACAACGAGTATGAAGTTGAAGAGATCTTGGATGTCAAGACGGAGAGACGCACCCGCTACGGTCGACGGCTCAAGGAATATTTGGTGCGTGTGAAGGGCCACGCAGAGATTAATTGGGTCAAGGAAGAACACCTGAACTGTGGTAGTCCGCTGTTCGACTTCCAGCAGAAGCGACGGAGCCGGCAGAGGTTCCATGTGATGCAATCGCGTGGAGAGGCCGACATCGCCGAAGAGTGAGGCGGTGTTGGGGGGTAGCGTGGTGGACGCTATCCGTAATGGCGGATGGTATTTGTTGCACATTTACATTTGATTGAGTGGAAGAAGAAATGGAGAGAAGATCACGCGATTTAATGGAGAAACGAGGTTAGTTGTGATGATCTGGTCGGACATTAGAATTACGACGAACGAGTATTCGGGGGCGACTTGGAGATCCAGCCCGGTGTCGCAGTGCTTGAGGCACCTGGGGTGCGAACGCGCGTCCGACGGCTGCTGAAACGCGCTCGCCACGACGCGCTGGGCCTGTGCGATGGTGAAAACCGGCACCGTTCGTGTCGGTGACTACCTTCGCGTTCCGTCGATTTTGGCCGGATCGCTGTCATCGCCGACTTGGAGATCCAGCCCGGAGCCGCAGTGCAGGAGACACCGAGGGCGTGAAGGCGTGGTCGGTGGCCGTCGGACTAAGTGCAGTCCTACGCCTGGATTTTGTGCTATGGCCTTGATCACCACAAATCACTTCCCAGAATGCACGGCGACCTACGACATGCCTTCACATCTCCAGTTGGGGAGATCTCCCAGTCATGCCATTGACTGTGTACAATTAAGTTGTGGGGCGGGAGTGATATGAAATGGAGTCGAAGCCGGTGTATTACGATGTCAATAAAGAAGATGCATGCTCGAGGAGACTACCCACTAGCTACGTACATTGGTGAAGGAAGAAATGTCGGACGCTGGAGATTTCCGGGGGTCCTCCTAAGTCTGTTCAGCTGACTCAGGCTAGGCGATTGACGAGGTCGCCTTGAACTTGCCTCGAAGGCGCGTGTGGATGGCTTCGTTCATCGATGGGTGTTTGGCACGAGCGTTCCAGTAGAACAGTAGAACAGGCGCCACGGCTCCGCCTCGTCAGTCGTTCGTAAGACGTGTAACAGATCTCCAGAGGCACCAGAAGCTCCCTTAGGGAACCACGGGCACGTTGCGATCGGCGGCAGGAAGAATGGCTCCAGAAGAATGTCCAAGTCGCACACATGAGCCTTGCACAGGCGGGCCACCTCATCGAACACAGGCAGCGGCATCTTCACAAAGTGGGATCTCCGATTCTTACGATCCGAAGTGAACTTCACCTCCCAAGACTCAGCGCTGGCCTTGGAAATGGAAATCTCGATGGAGTGGGTGATCTCCCAGAATCCAAGCGCGCCACGATTATCGTTCCGAGTCGGCACATCGCGGATGATGGCCGGAAGAGGTTGAAAGCGGGGATCTCCAATGTCGAACGAGACTGGGTCGGGCATGTAATCCAGGAAGATCTTCCAGGGACTCGCTTTGTATAAAGCTTCGACCGAGGCTTGTGGCCAGGGCCGATAGTCAGCAGGAACTGCCAGCTTCCCCTTCTTAGGGTTGCACACCCCGGCGGGTAGCTGCCAGTCGCGTGGTAAGAACTTCGAAGCGAGGTCTTTGGCTGTAAGCTGGTCAAGGCGGTGACCTGCAACAACCTTCCACAGCCACGGCGTGACATCGACAGGGCGCGCAGCTTCGCTGGACTCAGGTGGAATTGCGTGCGTGAATGGGCTTCGGGCTGATACAAAGATCCACGGGCTGTCAGACGGAGATCTATGAAAGTCGCTTGTCTGACAATGAGGAGGAGCTACGTACCCATCGCCGTAGAGGAAGACAACTCAGCTGGCGCTCCCTCGGTAGTCGCAACGGCGCGCTTTGCACGCTTCGACTGTGACGTTGGATCAGAAGAGAGATCTCCACTTCGCTTTGCCGAGCCAGACGGGAGTCGCTGCGAAGATGTTCGCGCTGGAGGATCAGAGGAGACAAGGCTCGTGGCCGTTGACGCCAGTGTGGCAAGAGACGAACTGGAAGAGCCGACGCCACGCATCGTTCCACCTCAGGTTGCGGAGTCGGCGCAGGTACCAGATTGATCAAGTTGCGCAACGCTCCAAGGTGTTCCTCACGCTCCGCTAGTTTGCTGCGGAGATCAGCAGAAGAAGCCTGCTCCTTCAGCAGCGACTGTCGACTCGCATCCAGCTCCGCCTGCAAGTCGTCGCGAGCGAGGGAGGCCTCCGCTCGCTCTCGTTCTACAAAACAATATACGCACAGGTCAGCACAAGAGTCAACCCGCCACATTAGCACGCGCGATCATGACCTGCAGCCACTGCCCGATCCTGAGCTGTTGCGAGATCAGCCTGACGATGCTCCAAACAGTTCTTTAAGTCGACGTTCTCACGCCGTAGAACGGTGTTATGCTGAGTCAGCCGAGTGATCTTCTCTCCAACTCCTCCAGTCGCTTCCCAGCCACCTTATACCGCTGTGCGAGATCCGATAACGCTGTCGCTGTGGAGATCAAGGCGTTGGTGATGCAACATCAACGACCTCAGCACTGGGACGACTTACCACCGTCTTGCGCCTTCTTCGACGCCACCGCCGCTTCTCGTCGTCCGATCATCATCAGTGGCAGCTTCGCTGGCTGCCAACAGTCGGCCACCTGGGGTCACCGATGCAGTGGGAGGAGGGGTACAGGTAGCCTTGATATCTGCCAGCTCGGCTCGTAGATCATCCAGATCTCCGATGGCGATCTCCAACTGACTGGGGACGACATTAGAGGGCGATGCTGCAGCGGACGGAGTGACTTCATCGGCATCAGCTGAGCGAGCGGCGACCCGTGCGAGATCTGCGCGTACTTGTTGTTCAGCAGCTTCGGCTTGCTGACGGCGTTCTACTTCGGTGTTCAGGGCCTGCTGGAGATCTCGGAGACGACCGTCGGCTTCGTTGCGCACGCGTTGAACCTCCAGATCGCGATCATGGATGACTCGATGAAGACTTGCAGTGTGGCGACCAGATGCTTCAAGAAGATCCTGGGTGACGTCAAGACGGCCCCGGAGATCCGGCACCTCGTGATCGAGGGCCGCGGTGACTTGAGCAGCCTGGATAATGCGCGCGCGTTCCGATAGAGATGGCTGCGAACCGGAGTATGGAGCCGCGGCCGGTATAGATCGACCAAGGGAGTGACAGGCGGTGCAATCTCCGTGGCTGTAGGTCGACGACGGGGCAGCACTCAGCAGAGGGACGCCGGCGGCCGACGACGAAGGCGACGGCGTGGGTGGAGAAGCAGACATGGTGCAGGAGCTCTACGCGTGGCAGCCACCTGGTCGATAGCCTCACGCGAAGAGAGGGCGGATGTCGTAATGCGGGTTGAAGGATTGTGAGGCGATGGACCCGGAGGTTACCCGAAGGTGACCCGAGAGTGAGCCACTTGAATTATGGGACACCCTAGCTCGGTGGCCCGTATAGAAGGCCGGCACCTGATTACGAAACCCGATGGCGTATTTACGGAGATCCAGAACGGGGAGGCCCGTAGCAAGGACGATGACACCGCACGGAGACAGCAGATGACGTCATGAGGTAAAGGCGTGCAGCATACTGGTTGGTTGGCCGGCAGACGAGCCGCCGGTAGATAGGCAGTTCAGTTCAGAATTTCCAACAACGAGACAAGGTACTTCTTCATATTAGTCTTTGTGTTGTGCGGTTAGCGCCTAAGTGTGTACTGTGACTGTTTCCTACCTACTTGCGAAGTGTACTCGGGGTTCTGGATTGATTTGGCCTCCCCGGTAACCTTCTAGTAGCGTAGTGTGTTGCATTGTCTGGACTCAGGAGATCAGCTCTCAGTGTTCGACATTAGGACACTCTAAACGGTTTAGTAAGGTATTGGCGTGCGTCTCGCACTTTGGTTTGGACCCGCAGACTAGCTGCGGCAGGAGATCTCCAGTAGATCTCGTACATATTGTACAACAAGTTGTCGTACAGTGGGAAGAGTTACCTCGCTGTACAAGTGCATCCGCGACAGAGTTAACCTAAGTCTCTGCCTGCGAGTGTAAGGAACCCCATATTACACGTCTTCTAGGAATTACGCTAGATAAAGATCCGAGTCTTGCTACAAGGGTACACAAGGTGAGGCCTAGAGATCTCGGGACTAGTTCTCGTTGTCTTTGGGTATTTGGCTTGCAGGGGTAACCCCCCCCCGTAGTTGCGTGGCAGGACACGTGTGGGAGTTTATTAGTTTTATATCTGAGGGACTCCACCACACTTGGATACTCGACATCCAGCACCTTGCCGCCGGCGAGCTGGCCGATAGCTCGGGCTACCGGAGCAAGTCCCAGCTGAGTCGCTCCATAAATCCGGACCGCGTATTGAAGTTGAAGCTGGGCCGGCGTAAAACTCCCGGTTCCTTCGTTCTCCGCTCGCCGGCTCGGGCCATCCAGAACGACGACAGCACGTTGAAATCTTACACGTATGCGCACGTGTATGAGGAAGCGTAGGTTTCTTCAAGTTGAGTTGAGTATGCTCGAGGTCCACAAGTATACTATAAACAAGATAAAGACTACAAGTAGCGGGTTTTGGTAAAAGATGATAACTGCTATTTTTGTTTTATGTTTCTGACTTCCTCTAAATGTAATATTCTAAGATAGGAATCTGCCAACGGCTGGTTGGCAGGATTCTGCTAACATGCAAGTCACTCATTGGCTAAAAGATGCTGCTTTCAGCCAATAGGAATCCTAAATGTGCATGGACCACCCGTCGTGGTGGTCGTAAATGTATGTAGTCATTGGTGTACCTTACACCAAGGTCGAGGAAGTGTTCAAACCTCTAACAGACATCGCATCTGTTAGAGTAACAAGTGACTGTAGCCACTGGTGCGTGTAACCCCGTTACACCATCCCCCCGTCAAGGTTAGACGTGCCGGTCCCGGCACGTCAACCACCATTGACTGCTTGGTCAATGCGTGACGTTGAAGAGAGCGCGCTCGTAATGGAACGAGCGCGTCGAAGTTGAAGACCGCTGGCGCAGCAGCGGAGAACCTCTCTGCTGCTGAGTAGCATGCGCGGCAACGTGCGAAGCGCGTCGCTGCCGCGGGGGCAGGACCCACAGCCTGCCCTTGAAGTGCCTTAGGGCGCTGTTGTTAACAACAGCGCTCGTATTACTTTCCAGCGTGTAGCGCATGGTGGGCTTCGTACGTCCTCACCATGTCCGGGACGTCTTCGAGCAAGACGTTCCGCGGCTCCCATGTATCTTGGTTGGGAGGGAATCCTCTCCAACGAATACGAAAACGAACCGGTTGCCTGTTCGTTCTCGGGATACTGTGACCATCAATCCGCTCAACTATCCATCGAGTTGAGCCGTGTGCGTCACGAATTGGCGGTGGTGGTGGTGGAAACACGCCTCGTGTGTGGTCAACTTGGTGTTGACCCTGATGTCGCGTCTCCCCACGACCGAGTTCCGGTCGTGGAGTAGTTCCAGAGCGCTGGGTTTGGCGCTCTGAAGTATTCTCAGGTTGCGGCGGCCTCCCAGGCCGCCTCGATCGTTCCGGCCGAGCTGGAACATTAGCTCGACCCACTGCTCCAGCGCGACTTCGCGCTGGTGAGGATGACGGCTTCCGCCGAGTCTTCTGCTTCGGTTCAGCCGAGTTAGGTAGCTCGTACTGCAGGTATGGCTTCAGCCGTCCGACGTAGAACGTCGGATGGAGGCGCATACTAGATGGTATGTCCAGTGTGTTGGCGTTGCCGTGCCGTGCCAGCACAGTGAACGGCCCGATGAAGCGCGGAGCGAGCTTGCTCGCCCCGAAGTCGGAAACTGCATGTTTAGGCAGGTTTTGAGTAGCTAACAAAACCAATGAACCCTTCTTGAATTCATTTGTGTCGCTCCTGCCAACGTTGTCTGCGTTCAGCTTCTGTCGATCAACAGAAGCTGCAATAGCGTCTTGGACAAACCGAATGACGGCTTGTCTGCGCTGCACGAAGTTGATTGCGTCCGAGCTGAACTCGTTCAGCTCGTTTTCAGCAGTAGGCCCGGCCTCTGTGTTCGTCTTCGCGGTGTCTGTGCCCTGCACAGACCCGTTCTTCTTCTTCTTTTTGCTCTTGTCGGCGTCTGTGCCCTGCACAGACGCGTGCTTCTTCTTGTTGTTGCGCGTAGTCGCGGCTGACACTGTGCAAGTGTCAGCAGCATTCTGCGGCTGCTGCGTTGCAGTCAGAGATCCTCCCCCACTTAAGGAAGGAGCCACCATCCCGAGTAGACTCGGGAGGCGTGGGTGCCTCATGGCATTCACGTAGAACGGTGTATGCCCAGTCGAGACATGCACCGAGTTGTTGATGGCGAACTCCGCCATCGGCAGACACTCGCTCCAGTGTTGGAACGAGGGAGCGTAGCTCTTAAGCACGTCTACGAGCACGCGGTTCACGCGCTCGGTCTGCCCGTCCGTCTGCGGATGGTCCGCAGTCGACATCGAAAGTTGACTCCCAAGAAGTGAAAACACTTCTTGCCAGAGATGCGCAGTGAAGCGCGGGTCTCGATCCGACACTATGTCGATCGGCATGCCATGGTGTTTGAACACCATGTCAACGAACAGACGCGCCGTCTGCTTCGCAGTCACTTCAGCGGGTACCGCAGCAAGATGTACCATCTTGCTAAAGCGGTCAACAAAGACCACAATGCCCGTGTTCCTCTGGCTGTCCGGGGGAAGACAGAACACGAAGTTCAAAGACATGGACTGCCAACACTCCCGTGGAGTTGGTAGTGACTGCAAGGGAGCCTGCGCGAAAGGCGCAGGCTTCACACGTTGACAAACCTCGCAAGCACGGACGTACTTGCGCACCTATTTATACTGGTGGGCCCAGTAGAAGTCTCGCGTGAGAAGAAGGTATGTCTTCTCACGGCCCGGATGCCCCGCAGTCGGTGCATCGTGATACTCATACATGATCCTGAGTCGCACGTCATGGTCATTGGGCACGACAACGCGGTCCGCGTTGTCGTCGGCTGCACTGTAGAGTAATAACCCGTCGTGCACCCGGTAACGGTGTGCACGAGCACGAAGATGCTTCGGCAGCTTCTGACGAGCTTGGTCAGAAGGCGCTGAGCCGTAGGCCAGCAAGTGCTTCGCGTCCGCGTCGTGCGCGGACGCGACCTTCACGTCGTCCAACAGTGATGATCGATCGCATGGCGTCAATGGCATTGACGTCGGCATCAGTCGTGGCGTAGTCAGGTCGACGCGAGAGCGCGTCGGCCACCACATTGAGTCTTCCGGGTTTGTACTCAACCCGGAAGTTATACTCTGTGAAGAATGAGAGCCATCTCGCCATCCGTTACGAGATGTGCGGCGACTTCACAGCCGTCCGCAGCGACGCGTGGTCCGTATAGACCACGAACGGTTTGCTTCCGAGTAGATACACTCGGAACTTCGCGAGTGCGTATTTCATGGCAAGGAGTTCCTTGTCATGTACCGGGTAGTTGCGCTCAGCTGGCTTCAGCTGACGCGATTGGTAGTAGACCACACGATCACGACCCTCGTGATCTTGCTGCATCAACGCACATCCGATTGCGAAGTCGGATGCGTCACACACAACGTGGAATGGGCGATCTTGGTCGGCCACCGCCAAGATCGGCGCCTCAGTCAAGCCCCGCTTGAGTGCATCGAAGGCCTGCTGACACTCAGCAGTCCAAACCCACTCGGCGTCCTTCTTCAGGAGCTGTGACAGCGGGCGTATGATGCCCGCGTAGTCCTTCACGTACTTGCACAAGTACGTGGCCAAGCCAAGGAACTGCCGCAGTTCCTTGACGTTGGACGGCGTCGGCCACTCATTGATCACTCTGACCTTCTCAGGGTTAGGGTGGACACCGTTCTTCCCAACGAGACACCCGAGAACGGGTATCTCGCTCGCCCCGAAGATGCATTTCTTCAGGTTCGCATAGAGCTTGTGCTTGCGCATGAGCGCAAACAGCTTCCGGAGATGCACCATGTGCATCTCAACATCGCTCATCCCGTCCGCAGCCCGGCTATGGACGAACACATCGTCGAAGTAGCTCGGTGCGAAGTCGCGCACCGAGCGCAACAAGTACGTCACGCACCTGTTGAAGGTCGCAGGGGCGTTCTTCAGACCCTGTGGCATCACTAGCCACTCCCAGAGCATGCCGCTCGGCGTGCTCACAGCCGTGAGAGGGATATCGCTCTCACGCATGAGGATCTGATAGAACCCATCGCGCAGATCAAGAGCACTGTAGATAGTGCTCCTGGCCATCGAATCGATGATTACATCTTTTCGCGGTATTGGTGTCTGCGCTGTTATCGTCGCATCGTTCAGCTTGTTGTACGCATGAACGATGTGCCAGCCGCCCTGTGGTTTCTTGACACAGAACGTCGGAGCACTGTGCGGGGACTTCGATTCCCGCACTTGTCCTGCTTTGCGACGACTCTCAAAGAAGTCGTCGATCGCCTTGACCTGCTCTCGCGGCAGTGGCCACTGCCGCGTGACACAGTACTTCGTCCCCGGCACGAGATCAATCTCGTGCTGGATGCCCTTGTCCTGCGGAAGCTCCGCAGGGATCTCTTCCGGAAGTACGTCCGCGTACTCCCGTAAGATCTCGTAGTAGGGACTCGTCTTCAACGAGTCCCAGCTCTGCTCTTCAAAGCGCTCCTTCTTCGTCTTCGCACTGAGAGTGCCGTCGCTCTCAGTGGTGGTCTCCATAATGAACTGCCTCAGTTCTTCATTCTCGCTCTTCGTTCTCTGGGCGTCCGAGAGAATGCATATTTGCTCGATGCGTCCATCGTGCAAGTCACGCGCGAAGCGCTTCCAGCTCATGACTGGAAGCGAAGTCAACTCCGACGCTTGCGTCGGAGGGTTAGCGAGAGTCATCTCCCTGTACCGGAACCCGGCGCAGGTACGCGTCAAGACGTTCAACGTCTCGACGTCCGGCTTCTCTGCCTCCGTCTGCCCGGGAGACATTTCTTGTAGCGTCTCGGCCAAGGCCGAGACTTGCGCAGCGACCTTCGCATGCGCCGTCTTCTTGTCCTGTGGAGCCCGGCTCCGCATGACTCTTGACCTCGTCCAGGCCCAGCCGTGGACGGGTGTTCTTCTTCAGTACCGCCGGCGGGTACGTCCCGCGGGCGAGTGACTTCAAGCCCGGCTTGGTCGCCCGGCGCTTCGTCGTGCAGCCCGGCTGCACGACAGCATGCAAGTTGTTCCGGTGCGGGACGTTTGCAACCGTCCGCACCGCCTGCAGCGTCGACTCCCGGAGTCGACACGCCATCTTTACCTCGACGCCTGTTATTGGCGGAGCCCTTTATTACAAGGGGTGCGTCAACTCCCGGAGTCGACGCGAAATTCCTTTTCGCAGCGCCGGTTCCCGGAACCGTCGCGACTTTAATACCTCGACGCCAACCATTGGCAGAGACCCCCATTAGGTAGGGTGCGTCGGATCCCCGAGCCGACGAATCAAATTCGTCCAAGCTATCGACTCCCGGAGTCGATGTGACTTTAATACCTCGACGCCAACCATTGGCGGAGACCCCCATTACGTTGGGTGCGTCGGCTCCCCGAGCCGACGAATCAAATTCACCCAATCCATCGACTCCCGGAGTCGACGGCGCTTCGTCACCTTGGCTCTTATTATTGGCTAAAACTGATCCAATCAGATTCGCGTCAGCCTCCACGGCTGAGGCGTGCGACTCGCTTGCGTCATCCGTGCCCCTTGAGCTCGGAGACTCTTCCTGATTCGCTGAAAAGCAGGTGTCGATCTCCGAGATCAACACATTTTCTCCTTCAGCCGTCGGCGGCGACGCCGACGCTTGCTGCTCTTGCGCACGTGCTCGCGCGCGCCCAGGGCACTCCGGGACAGCGGCATTAGGCGCTGTCTCGAGTGGGGAGTCGTGCGCACCTGTCGGTGCGTGCGTAGCAGCAACAGGGCCATCGCTCACTGTTCCGCTGTCGCGACCGAAGCGCACGAGAGTGCGCTTCTCCCAATCGATGTCCGGATCATGCCGTGCAAGCCACGGCATGCCCAATACAATGTCAAACTTATCGTCCAGATCCAGGACGATAAAGGTCTCGACAAACTCTTGATCTTCATACGTGAAGCACACGCTTCTCGGTTTTAACGATGGCACCTGTTGCCAATCGAACTTCCAACATACTTCGAGGTATAATTGCCTCCTCGAAGTCAAGCCTTGATAGACTTCGCAGTCGAACAAAGTTGTTCGACGCGCCCGAATCAACCAAAGCACGAAGAGAGTTGCTCTCTCTCTTCGAAGACACGTCCAAGATGACAAGGTTCGGTTTGTCATCATGCATTTTGCAGTGAGAAGGGTTCTCACTGGGGGCTGCAGTCCTCAGTGTCACATGTCCGAGTTGGACACGCGTGACTGCTTCACCAGTAGGGCGCCCCGCGCCTACTGGGTTCCAGCGTTGTTTGTTTGTCCGCGACGATGCCCGGCATCGCCGCGTCGACCACCATCTCGGTGCACGGGTGCCGTGCACTCTCGGGCATAGTGACCGATCCTTCCGCAACGGAAGCATCGTACATTACTTCCTTGTTGTTGTTGATAATCAGCAGCCGTTGCATTCGAGAGGTCCATTGGTTCCGGACCTCCCGCTATCGCAACCGGAGGCGGTCGCAGCCTTGGCGCATTCGCATGCAGCTTAGTCTGTCGCAGGCTAAACCCCTCCTGCATTGCAAGAGTAATTGCAGCTTCGAGACTCACGGAAGAGATAGGTCTTCACAGGCCCATCTCTAAGTCCTTTGATGAACGTGACGACCTTAGTCGCCTCGTCTATCGGGTTGGTCACAATGTTCGCGACCAAATACCGTGCTCTCTGCGCGTAAGCATGAACATCATGCTTCCCCTGCTGTAGGTCGAGGAACTCTGCCCTCGACCGAAACTCATTTTGCGGGGGCTCAAACGCTTGCCTGAGCTCCTCCTTGAAACCCTCGTACGTGCTGAAGCACGCAGGATCAGAGAGTCGGCGCCCATACGCCCAACTTCTCGCTCGTCCGCCAAGGCATGCCATGGCGAACGCAACCTTGGACAACGGGTCGACGATACGTCGAGCCGCGATGGCAGTGTCGAGTTCGACAAGCCAACGGAGGAGAGGCTCGCCGTCTCTTCCGACATAGTTGCTCACGTTTAGCTTCAACGGTTGTCCACGCGGTGTCGTCCCAGACGACACCGTGGTAGACGAAGCAGCATCACGCTGCTCCTTCATGATGAATCCCAGAGCAACACCATGTTGCTCTGTCGGTGATAGCGTACGCAGCATCGCAGCTACTACCGCTTCCCCAATGACTGTTGACAATCGTTGGAGTGCCTCCCACTCTGTATCCGACAGGTGGAGGCAGTCAGCGCGTGCAACATGAGTTGCAGGCGAAGTGGAGCTTTCCCTGGGTACCTCCGCGCTCGTGAAAAGGTTCTCGGCTCCTCGTTCGTACAGCTCCGTACGAACGTTCAGGTAGTCGGTCGTTGGACGGACTACAAAGTGCTACCAGGTGTAGTGGGCCTACCTTGGCTCACTACTACAGCTTACACGTATGCGCACGTGTATGAGGAAGCGTAGGTTTCTTCAACGAAAAGCTTTCTTGTTCCAGAATAGTGCTTGCCGCTTAGAGTAGAATACAAAGCTCAGCGTGTGATTGCCATCAAAGGAAAATCGCTTGACGTCATGGAGGAGCCGGTGCATCATGGCGCGGCCATGTCCAGCCTCGTCGGTATTTGCATGAAAGAGCTCTTGTAGAATGGCTACATGAGGTGCATTCCTGGCGAGACGAACGCATGGTGGCAAATTTGCGGTGAGCGAAAAGTTGAGGTGGGCTTCGTGGAAGTCCTCCAGCAGCGCGCGATGTTCAATTATCATAATTTCTTTGATGTAGTTCGGTGGGTGCGGGATGTCCAGTTCACCTCGCGTGTATGCCAGTTAGGTGTTCGCCTCCGATTCAGTCCACGCTCTGATGCTTTCATCACAGCAAACGATCCAGGGCCAGCTTGCGCATTGCCTGCACCTCGGGCGACCATGGGGACTCGCTCACCGTCAGCGAGTCGGTCGTCAACGTGGCGAGCAGCTGAGCCCGCTCCGCTGGCTTCCAGACTCCATGCAACATTTTCGACTTCATTGCTTCCTTCTCACTTAGTCGCGTGTACCCGCTCGAGCCAGGATTCTCCACCAAGAGCAACACGGTTGTTGGTAGCCGAGGCATTCAGCAGCCCCGCCGCCGAAGTATCAGTTGCTCCTGCCCGAGGAGGCTCCACGTTCGTACCCGGCGCGCCAGGAGAGGCTGGAGTGGGTGCTGTGCCAGCGGACGAGGCAGGAGCTTGCTCCGTTATCGTCGTCGCACGGGTCCCTGTCCTGGGTTGGCCAGTGTCGGGGGTTCGGTAGCATGCTGCATGTTGGTCAGCCAAAGTGTCGCCTATACAAATTCCTAGTGTAAGGCTTAGGTTAGCTTATACTCGCACCAGAGGGTTTCTTGCGCCGTCTGTCTCCGAACCGGAGATTTGGAGAGTGATCGCACCAGAGGGTTTCTTGCGCCGTCAGTCTCCGAACCGGAGATTTGGAGAGTGATAAAGTAATATAATGCGCGTGCCATTCAAACCAAACACTCACGCCCCTCCAGTGGAGGGCCTCCACCCTACCAAAACATACATTGAGCCTTGCTTCTTTTGTAGAGATGTTGATAGTGTGGACGAGGATGCTAATATAATAGTACGCCTTTTCTGTTATCGAGTCGTGAAGCATATCTAGTCGCTGCAGCCAGCACATCTAAGCAGCTACGCCAGATCAAGTAAGTACCGAAGTTGAATAGGACGGAGAACTGATAGTGTTTTTTTTTTAATTGAGGATCATTATTGTCACTTAGCTAATACGATCGCTAACGACTACTAAAGACTGGGGGCCTCACCTGTGCAAAGCGTCACTAGGGAGGGGGCTCTCTGGACCAGAGTCTGGTGGGAGAGTCTGAAAATTAGTGCAAAGCGCGATCTCAAGCGAGGTCAGGTGGTTCGTACTCGCCACCCACGAGGTCAGCAGATACAGGACAGGGGATCTCCTGTTGCGCGGCCGTCGGCCGATGTCCCAAGGAGACTTGACTTGAGCGTTGATCGCGTTCGTCCGGCGCGTGCTGAAGGATGCGTGAGCCTAGGCTCAAACAACATCGGATGACGGCAGCATCCCGAAGGTCACCGCCCAAATGCCTCCGTGGAGGCGTGGCTTGAGTGCTTGAACCGCGGTCGCCTGTCACGAGGTTGAAAGCGTGGTCGAAGGCTGGGCCTCCCACCACCGTGGCAACGACCCATAGAGTCACCGCCCTCTTGGAGCGCAATCGCCGTCATCGCGCGCGAGCTGCTCCTGTGTCAACTCCCGTCGTCGGCCATGGTCACGCGCAAGCCGTCGCTGCAGCCGCCATGCTCCTTCCTGGGCTCCCTAGGGAGGATTCCCCCCAGGAAGGCCAAGGGCCTGGAGATCCTTGGAGGCGACCCTTGGCAGAAACTTGCTCGCGACCCGTCAAATTCTGGAATGGAGAACTGATAGTGCCGACTATACCAAGACAGGGGCTAGTTCAGCCTGTAGATGCCTTATCAACGTTTCACACTAAAAAAATGCGCTGTAGATTTTTTTTATTAACCCCCTTAAAGAAGCCCCGGGAAAAGGATATATAGCTGTTCCGAGTGTGCAATGGTAAATATGCTCGCTTAGCTTTGTAGCAAAACGAGGGATAATAGGATAGATACATATAGTGAGAGAACGTGATCCGTGTACTCTGTACTCTGTACACTGGGCACACACTATCCTCATGCCAGTATTGCGTTTTTGTCCTCTTTACCCGCCCGTAGAGACATTGCCTACGACTACAAGACTGTAAGACTTGAATATTTGAAAGGGGGGGTAACGAAATTGAGTTAGTGTACCATCCATCGCATCTGTTAGGCGAAATTAACTGTAAGCGTTCGGTATCGTTCGAAATGCAAGTAAGGAAAACTCAAATCGAGCCAGGTACTGCGACTGCAGCGCGTACGATGAACTGAAAGCATTTGGTGATCCAGGAAAGTGAAGTACTGCAACGTATGTGCCTCGTCATTTGAAAGTGGATAAAGACAAGCAAGAGTGGATGCGACGACACCAGCACATTCTTCAGAGTATTACTTAGTAGACCATCGATGCCTTTGCCAAGTTACCGACAAACTACACAGCCTTAGACAGAGGATATAGGTTATTGGCGTTTTGCCCAGGCAACTAACGCAATAAATTACACCCCCGTCATGGTAATGTCACCTTTCCCACAATGTCTGCGCCTTGATTACACACATTGATAGGAGCGTAGTAACTTCATGGACAGAAACCTGTGTGGTAATTCGTTTCCTTTTGAGGAGTTAACTGTAAAGTGAGGTGCAATGCAGTCAGTAAGAATTATAATAACTAGATAATTCCTAGTAAACTCGATAATGATAGATATCAAGTGATGTGCCGCCACGAGCATGGTCAAACTTTAATTATGCGCCTGATTAATGTTTGTTCAAGCTTGTGGTACTGGAAGCCAGAAGCATTCGTGTCGAGGAAAACGGCGTTGATATAATATTTCGTATATGTAGTAAGTAAGCCCGAAACTTTCATTTCATTTTCATTTTCGTGGTGATGTATATTGTGTTCATTTAGAACTCGAGGTAAGTAAGCCAGAAACTTTGACTGCCTGCGCGCAGGAGCGCACCTGTTCCTCGAGAAGCCGCTGCTAGCTGTCTGATAAGTTCGTTTAACTCCACCACCATGCTCATATCTAGTACTATAGACCAGTCTGCAAGCGTTAGAGTTGCTATAATGCTACAGTTTGTGTGATGATTGCTGCCGAAAAAAATCTTCGTAACTCGTACATTAATCTTCAGCAGCGATGGAAGTCAGAAGATCGGTGTGTTGCAGCTACAATTATAGCCTTGATGTATCATGAACCTATAGCCAGTTCGTCAAATTAATTGCCGTTCGGCCAAATATCTGCAAGAATATCGCGCGATTCAAGTGAGCAGGCTTCACTACAAACCAAAGGCGCACCTCTCAAACCGAGTAAATGTACATGCGCATTGCCATTGTTAGTTGTGTAGTTTGCCGCCTCTTCTGAGCATTTACAACGGCATTGGTTGTCACTACTTGGTCGGATCGCGTGTCATCGAGCGCACCATCACGGTACATGCTATCGCTAGTTGTGACTACTAACCGCTTCTTGGCCACAGTGCACATTGGCACCCTCGCCAACCACACCAGTGTATCTAAAGAATTATGTCATCGTTATCATAACTGTGCACACTTATTTGGATGATTTTGGTGACAACATCCATCATCCCTGGCCCGTGAAGAGGACGGCTTCGAAGGCCTTACCTATGATTTGCGGGGCCCCTCTAGCGACCTGCTTCATGAAGTCCAAGTCAAGCCCCACGATGATTGAGGAACCCGTGTTTTGACCACGCCTTTGCAGTCGGACGACGTCCTTGAGGCTCTTCCGGGGTTGTGTTTGGTTAGGTTCCCCGCCGACTGCTACATGGCGGCGCGCTTTCGTCAATACTACGAAGCACTGCGGTGTGCTGTACGCCGCGTGCAGCAGACGAGCGAGCAGTGGCCAACGCAGACAGAATGGTGCGGTTATCAACTGCACTGGCTTAAAAATTATGGACTGGGATATATATAAATTACGGGTTCTATCAACCGTTGATTGATGATGATTGGTCAATATACGTGAGATTATGCGATTATGCGAGCAAGGCTTGGTAGTGGAGTGTAGTTAAGATTCAAATGAGTACCATCACTGCTCTGACGTTGCTCTTACGACCAGGGATGGGAAGTTTGAAATAAAAATGTAGATAGCTGTGGATTTTGTAATTTAATTTATTTATCTTTTGATCCACAACTTAATAGCGAATTATGGAGAAGTGGCTGCTTGACGGTCGTCGACGCTGCCAGCGCCAGCGCCACTTCCTAGTCTCGTTGCGCATGTCAAGCACAAGCAAGGACACCGTTTCCGCATTCCTTAAGCCCTCCGGCGACCCTCGTCAAGGCGACATGCGTCAGCAGAGCCAATACTGTCCCAGGTTAATTAAAAAAGTATGGTTCAGGCTGAATGACAAACACAGCAAAGACTACGTCGGTGTAACACTTGCTGCTGCTCGCAGCGGTACTGCATGCGTCCTCGAACCTGCCAACACGCTCTACGTCGGTCTCGTAGCAAACAGCATTCACAGCAAGACGCAGCCGCATCACCCCAAGGTACGTCGCCGCGCTATAATACTTGCAATACAGACTACAGTATAGTGTATCATAGATACATTTTTGGTGTAAATGTGAATTATTCGAATGATTTATTTTTCTGTTTCTGAGGGCCATATGCGTAATTAATTCGAATTGTTCCCATCCCTGCTTACGACATCCGAAGATGTCAGATTGCAACGCAGCCGGCATTTATCTCTAGCATGGGTGTCCACGACTAGAGTGTTTTTTAGAGGAAAAAAGTGATATTAACGTTAATATCAGTTAATCACAAAATTGCGCGCAGTTATTAATAATTAAAAGGCAAGATTTGGCTGAACCCATTTGAGGCAGCTATTCTGTATTTACAGCCATGCACTCAATTCTCAAAGGAGGACTCTATCAGGCCGACGAAGTACTCCGCGCAAGCGTAAGCCCCGCGAGGACCTGACGCAGAACCAGCGCGCCAAGGGCTATCGTCTTCGGTGCAGACGTACGTCGGCGCCGCGACCTTACGACGTCACCTCTGATCCCGACGTGGACGCCGCCCCCTCGATCCTGACCTGGACGACGACGACTCTACCATCTGTGGCTAGCGCCATCTTCCCGCAGTACCCGTTGCACTACGTGCTGTTCCCCCCCTCCCCAAGGCACGGAGTTGGCCGAGATGAAGGAGGTGGGGCTGAGATCTGTGGATGGCCAGACCGAAGGACCGTGCTTGGGGCACCGCCGCCGTGGGCACAGCGACTGTGCCAAGGTGATCATCAGCGCCACGCGTGAACGCTACGTGGAGATGGTACTAGTCTGGTTTGGACAGTGCATTCTCGCCCGTGCTGGACATCGCGCTCTCGTGGCGGCGTCAGCACGCTCTAACAGTGCTGAACATGCTGTTTGGTACGCTGCTGCTGCTGCTGAAAGATTTCTCGCTACTCATGCTGGACTACGGTGCGGCGGCTGTGCATCGTCATGTGCTGCGACTTCTTCCCGCTCCTGGTCGGCGTGGAGATGCCCATCCGATCGCTCTCGCAGTGGCTGCTGCGCGGCGGCCACAATGTCATCCTGCTCACGTATGCCGTTCCCGGACCCAAGGTCAGAGTGGGCCCGACGGCGCCGCCAACACCCCACTCAGCGCGCGGTCGTGCGTTACATGACAAGCTGTACTACCTGCCGGTGATGCACTTGCTGGACATCGTGACGTACATGACGTTCGTGGGCCACTTGGCGCTGTTCCGGGCCATCCGCGTCCGCGAGCAGGTGCGGATCGTGCATGGCCACCAGGCCACGTCCACCCTCATGCACGAGTGTCTGCTGTAGACCAAAGCGCTGGACCTGGGCGTCAAGACCGTGTACACGGATCACTCGCTCTTCGGCTTCGTGGACGCTGCCAGCGTCCTTCTTAACAAGATCATAAATTTCCTCGTGTTCTCGGTGAACACGGCCATTGGAATCTCGCACACGTGTCGCTAGAACCTCGTGCTGCGTGCGTCATTGCGCGAGGGGCTCGAGAGTGGGTTTACACGGCTGCTGCTCGAGGAGATGCTGGAGAAGCACCGACGGCCCTACTGCGTGACGCTCTACGGCGCCGTGCCCAGCTTCAAAGTGCGCGACGTACTGTGTCAAGACCACATCTTCCTCAACCGACAGCTCGCTGGCCAAGAGAGCCTCTACTTCACGATTCTGGAAGCTGCGAAATACGAGCTTTCCGTGGTAAGTACGCACGTGGTCGTAGTGTGGGAAGTGCTACCCCCCCTGACGTGGTGCAGTTCACAGCGGACATCACGCCTGAGGCGCTCGCGGAGGCGACGCTAGCCGCGGAGCTTCGACTGGCGGGCGTGGATCGACAGGACTTCCAACGCGCTTGAAATGCAGCTCGTGCCATTCCCCGATTTGCGTCGTGATGGCGACTCCACTGTACGACCGCGTGACGGTCGGTGCCGGCCTCATTGGCAGTGCGGCTGCCTACGACGCCACGAAAGAAGGCAAGTGCGAGCTGCTGTTGGAGCCTTTATGAGCTGATGCATGACAAGGGCTCGAGCCACGGCACCAATCGCACCTTCCGCGTGGCCTTCTCCAACGACACGGACACAGAGCTGTATCTGACGTCGCTACAGCTGTGCTGTGCGATCGAGAAGAGGTGTCTTCGCGTTCGGCCGGCTGGACGGCCTCGTCCTCCTTGAGAGGACTTTGAAGAAGTGCAAGGTGCCGTTCGAGTCGCGGACTGGCGCTCAAGTGAATCAACGCTTCTTGGCTTCTCATTGCCCGACAACAACCACGCGGTGTACAACGCGCGGACGGGGGTGCTCAATTTGTTGTTGTCAATGGCCACGACGCAGACGTTGCTGGGCGCGAGTATTCGTAAACGCAGAAGAAGGTGTGTGCCCTGCCCGACACCTCGCTACTCCATCGTCTGCAGCTGTATCATGGAATCTGCTCAGTAGTGGGGGTGTTGGCTTGCGTCATTGCTGTGGATTACATTTGAAATCTTAATCGAGAATAGCACTCTACATGTGATATCGGTGTGTGTTAGCAAAGCGTGTGTTATATTGTGGACGTTAGTGCGCCTTACGCTCAGAAGCAAAGCGTTTATTGTTGTGAAGGCAAGGACGAAAGAAATCGATTACTGCGAAATGTCCACACTCACGACTGCGTCCAAGAGATACTCGAATCCCATGTCGTTAATGTCAAACAGAGAATCTTCAGCTTCTTGCTCGTCACTGTCGCTGTCACTGTCGCTATCGAGCTCTATCGGCCGACGAGAAGTCTTGTACAATGGCAGTCGAGTTGGTTTCGCATCTCCGTTGTTCGTGTAGATGAACGACAACTTCTCGACTGTTGCGACCTTGAGGCGGTTTCGAAGCTTGCTGTGTGTAAATCCTTGCACACTCCACAGGCGCTCACTTGCTGCAGACGAAGTCGGGATGCTCAAAAATTTTCTCTGCGAACTTGTGAAGAACAGGAAATTGGTCGTCGAGTGTCCACCAGGCCAGTGGTGAGTGCTCACTAGCAGCCTCCCACTGAGCAGCAGTCCAGTTCTTCTTCGTCTTTACAAAAGATAGCAGCGATGCGCGAAACTGAGCTGAGCTCACGTCGGGTGGGAGGCCAAAATGCTCGGCAAGCTTTACAGCGGAGCGTACCGCCTTACGAAGCGGACTGTCTTGAGGGTCGGGTATAGCTTCGTTGATAGGGCAGCTTCCGTCAGAACTGTCTCCGCTCGATCCGACACCACCACTGCCGTCAAGGCTACCGCTCGGTAAGTTAAAGATGTCCTTGGACGGATCCAGCAGGTATGCAACCGTCGTGGAATCGGACGGTGGACGAATGAAGTCCCATCGACTAGCAATCAGCTTGCGAATTTCATCTTGAACGGAGCTGCCGGCTAAAGCTGCGATACCTTCAGTGTACTCTGGCGCCTGATACAGCCGAAGAAACTCGTGCAGGATCATTGAGTTCGAACAAGCATCCGTCTCCAGGACAGCTAGTGCTCGTGTAACCGGTTTCGTCATGCCGAACGACAACCTTCGCCTTGATCCAAAACTGCTTATCGTTGACAATACCTTGAACTTCGTCCAGCTTCACCTGACTCTCTTTGTCCGGGTAGTGCTTCATAAGCTCCGAGTCCGCCAAAGCTGCCATCAGCGTTGTCTTGTTGCGAACGACGCTCTGGATGCATTTTTCTTGAGCGTACCATCTCGTTGACACAGGGACCGCTAACTCGCCTGCCCTTCTGGCTTTTTGTAGCTGGCGCCGCAAACGCCGAACTTGATCGAGCAGCAGGTGTCTAGGGCGCACAAACTTGACGATTTTGATGGCCTTCTTCAGCACGTCTCCAAACAACTTGATCTTGAAGATATCCTTCAGGAGCAGGTTCATGGCGTACGCCGAGCATCCGTTGAAGACCACGTTTGGGTGCTTAGCTTCAACCAGTCGGCCAGCCTTTTTCATGTTGGCTGCGTTGTCCGACACAATGGGGGAAACTTTGCCAGCGTCTGCCACGCCTTCTACCTCAGCAATGACTCGCAGAAGCTCCGATGCCATGTAGTCCCCCGTGTGTGCCTCAGAACCCGTAGTACCCGATGACCACATCATTGGACGCATGGCGGGTGACCACAACAAGTAGTTCACGATACTCTCGCGGTTTACGTTGGACCAGCCGTCAGTGATGATAACCAGAAACGTTTGCTTTGAAAGAAGCTCAGCCAGGTTGGCCTTCTCCAGTTCATAGGCTTTAACGAGCAGGGTGGTCGCTAGCGCCTGCCGGGTTGGGAGCTTCAACGCAGGAGTCAGACGCTTAAACAGCTTGCGCATGTACGCATTCTCGATCGCGCGGAACGGGATTCCAGCAGTGTAGAAGACCATGGCGATGTCCAGATGAATGCTTGATTCCTCCTCCTTGCTGAGTACGATTGGGGAATTTGTTGCTGGAGAGCCACTGTAGCTTGTGCGACGGCTCTTCGACGGCGAAAACATCCCAGGCCTTGCCTTACGTTTCTTCTGCGCGTCGTACGTTGCCCAGGTGGCCTTCGTTGTCGCTGGGGCTCTGGAGCAGAAGCGGATATGTGGATAGAGATGATGGCCGGGCTGGGCATTCATGATCAATGCACCGCAGTGACGGCACGACACATCGGGGTGGGGCTTCGTCGGCTTGGACTTCGGGACGATGACATCGAACTCGCCCCAGACAGGGTCGTCCTTGCGGCCCATCGGAGTCGCGGCCCAGTTGTAGAGGACTTGTGTAGCCCGTAGGAAGTTGACTTGTGAAGCAAAGACTTGCGGGGATTTCGAGACGTGCTGCGCGCAGCGTACGAGTAAGGAGAAGATGGTGGATGTGGTCGAGCAACCTAAAGTCTACACTGTATGCCCTTGGCAGCATTCCCCTGCACTCGGTCAGACAGCGCAGGTAGCCTTAAGCGCGGCCCACATCGAGGTATTCGAAGCGCTTAAAAGTGGAGTGTGTGAAGGTCAACTTCAAGGGGATAAGTACCTCGATAATTACGAAAGTGACCGCACCATTTTTCCTCTCGCAGAAAATATTTAACGTATTTAACGTTAAAAATATCGTTTGCAATCATAGCTATTAACTCATTTTTAGCAGCATAACAACTCTATCCACGACAGCTCGTTCCAGATCGTGCCTCGATCCCTGACCGACATGTCCGCGAGCTGCAGCACACAACTGTACGTCGAGCTCAAGACGGTTTCGTGCACCACAACGAAGAGATCCCTCGAGTGAACCCGATCAATGTCCTCACCAGTGTCCGGCTCCTGCTCTAAGACAAGTGACACGCTCACTTGCCGGGCGGTGGTCACTCCTCCGCTGCCATCGACACTCGACGCTGTCGACTTGTCTTCTCTAAACGCGAAAAAGTGAATATCCACGGCTTGTCCGTCCTCCGACAGCACTGCGACGTAGTCTCCGATGTACCACCCGTCTGCTGTCGCGATTCTAGACGTGAGACCGCTCGGTAGCACGCTAAACTCGCGCAATTGCCCATCGAACACCAGCTCCATCGCACCCACTGGCGCTCCGCCAGTAAAGGAAAGCGCCGATTGAACATTCATACCGGTTCCTCCTCTCGTCGTCTCGATGTCGATGCAACCAAGTTCGCGTAGATACTGCGCGGCAGCAACCAAACTTGTGTCAGGATGAGCACCTCCGTGGCCAATAGTGACAATCTGCACAGATCCAGGTTCCAGCAGCCATCGTTGACTCCATAGATTCTAAGGCGTACAAATGTTTCCGAGCAAATGCTGTTGAGGTCGCGGAGGTTGGAAATGCTGTGGCACAGGTCTAGTCGTCGAGTCCTGAGCCTGCGTGGCGAACACCCGAAAGACGCTGTTCAAGGCGCTCGCTATTGAGTTTGGCGTCTGTTTGCCCAGCAGCAGAGCTGACACTTCCACTCGAAGCGCACTGAAATGTGTCCGCCCGTATACGAGCGATAGCACGTCGTCCACTAGAGCGGGAAGGGAGCCTTTCATCGCCATGTCGTCACTTGCAGTCACATCGCGAAGCACGTCTTCGAGAACTTCGTACAGGTCCATAATCAGCGAAACGAACCTGATGAGGAGGTCCTGCTTGGTCGCTTCATCGTTCCTCATCCGGCACGCGGCATACAGAAGATGCTGGACGGCGCGAGATGATAGTACGCGTAGGAATTGATGCCCGCTCACTCGGATAGTGCGTTGCTCCCGTATTGTGAAGGGGGTACTGCCACTATAGCTTGATGAATGCCGTTGGGTATCCCGGTCAGACACGCTTTCGAAGACAGCGCTTAAGAATGACGCAGCGACACCTTCAAGTTGCGTATCGAAGCTGATCGGTGGGCCCGAAGAGCTGCTGCAGCCCGTAACCAATACGAGCGCACGTGCACGTCCTCCGCGTTCGTGCTGTGCTCCAAATCTCGCAGCGATATACACTGGATAACCCTCCACAAGATAAGTAGGTGCTGAGCCTTCTCGCCAAATCCCGGTCTTCGAGTCTCAACATCCATCAGCCACGCGTTTTCATCGCCCATATCCTCAGCGTAATCGCTGGAATTGGTTGCATCAACCTTTTGGCTTCCCGTAGTCTCCTGAAAATCGCCACGGCGAGTGTCTGGGGCGTTTCCAAGGATCATCTCAGTGGGGCTAAGCAATAGTGTATTGCCTCGTTGCCTGGGAGTGGCGTGGAGGGTTAGCTTGGGACTAAATCTAAGTATGAGCAGGCCTGAAGGCCCCCTTCGCCTAGTCGTTGTCGACACGAACTGGCGCTCCTCTTGTACGGGTAAATCTTGCCTCGAAGATCCGGAAAAACAGATTCCCGTCGCCTGCGTCGCCGAGTAATCAATCAGCAGCGCTGTGTGGAATATGCCCTTGAGCGGTGTCGACGGTGTACTGCTGCAGTTGTCGCAGTTGCTGCTGTTGGTGGTGCTGACGAAGCTGAAGCTGGAGACGATGCTGCTGCTGTGCCTGCTGCTGCACTATCCTGGATGCCGATCGTATTTCAGAAGCCGAAACTTCCTCATTGTCGGTAGATCCGTCCACCGGCAGCGCTGGTAGCGCGCAACCAGGATTGCTTGCTGCGCCTGACCGCCGATACGACACCAGAAAGAAGCCTGGAGACGCGTGTCGCGCTACCACAACACCATCGGGACGCTCTTGATGCCTTTGTAGCCCTTGCTGCTGCGACGGGTGCGGGACACCGCCAGAAAGTGCTTGAAATACGTACGCAACGAGGTGGTGTGTCATTTCCCGCTGTGCGCGCGTAATGCTGCTGTCGTAGTTGTAGAACCACTTGGGCGACATCCTGTTGTTCAGGGCGTACAGCGCTACATTCTTCCACAGCAGAGCGTGACGTTAATTACAACAGGCCACAAGTTAGCATGTTTGTACAGTATCTGCGTCCTCTTGTCGAGGAACTTAAAGTAATGTACAGCTGGTTTCGCCGCACTTTTGAGTGCGTGCACTTCATGTTGACTTGACATGAGTCTTCCAACACAGAGCACTTACACAGCAACAACATACCTTAGGCAGCCCGCGGTGATTTGCCTCGCTCTCCTTCTCGGCGAGGACCCACACGCCCCCGTTATCGGTGTTTTGACCGGTCGCCGTCGGAAAATCGTCCGGCGGCTCAACGCGCTCTCCAACTTCCAGTCTGCACCTGTTCTCCTGTCTGTCATCGGGCGCTCCTGCTGCGCCAAGGTTGCGCGCGATGTCCGCCAAGCCTGCGGGCCACAGCGGCGCCACGCGCGTCGGCTCGAAGCGCGCGCACACGCGTAGCTCGTCCAGCGGCATCTCGCTTACATCGGCCGAGAACGTCACGAGCACGTGGACAGAGCAGCCGCAGTAGCTTCTCTTGACGTGCTCCGGGCAGCAGTGAGGGAAGCAGCGGAGCAGCTAGCAGTTAACAGAGCTGGTTAGACGGAGAGAGGGAGAGAGACCCTTGCGTGCACTAAGCAGCAGCATGCACTGCACCTTGACTCCTCGCTCTCGGTTGTTCCTGGGGGTGGAGGACACAAGGGAGTCAGCACCGCACGCGCGCCGTCAATTAATCGACGCCGTCGCTCTCTGCACGCGCAAGCTGTACCTGGCGTATTCGCGTCGGAAAAGCGGGTGATCGTCCTCGGAGCAGCCAAGGCGCAGGAAGCGGCAGGACACCACGCGCGCCATGGCGAATGGTCGGGTCGGCGCGGACGAGCGTTTCTCAAGGTGGGCGCTGGTCAGTTGCACAATACAATGGGAGCGAGCTAAGTTCGACATTCACAGGGCGATGGATGGACGACCAACACGGCGTGTTACTGTACCTGGCAGGAAGCTTGGTGCAGGCAGACTTCGGCTGGATTCGGAGACCTTGCTAGTCGCAGCTGCAGCTGAAGATGCAGATTGGGCTCGTGTTGACTCAGAGCCCAAATGAGCGTTCGAATGGACCTTTCGGTCGTACCGGTACTTATCAGTATACCGGATGCGACACAGCGGCCACTGCGTCTCTCAAAAGGATTTTGAACTGTCGTCCTTTGCGTCTTGCGTCCAATGCCGATCACTTCGAATTGTATACTGGACAGCCAGAGCCGCCGCGCCAGCGTCCGAACCCAGCGCAGCGACGGAACCAATTGCGATCTGGCTGTCGATCATTGGAGTCCACTCCACTCGGCGGCTTCTCAGTGCGGCCGTCCATCTTGTCGTGCGCTCATGCGCTCAACGGGAACGCTGCTGGCTGCTCTACGACCAACGAGATCCCAGATGGTGGGACAACGTTGCTCAAGCGCTTCAAACCTGACTCACGGTCGGCCATTCACGAGACGGCTGGACAAGACCACCTGGTGGCGCGTCCCGCTCTCTCGTTACGATTACGGGCAAGATGCGCGGGTTGATTGTACGTGTCGGTATGTGCATACAAAGCAGGACAGTCCTGCTGGACCAACACCGCGGGCAGCTTGGACGGTCGATCACGATCCCAAGCAACGGATTGGCACTTTTGGTCTGGCCTCGGTACGATGACATTCTTCGCGTTCCTGCATCGGCATGGAAGGAAAGGCAGGCGGGGATCAATGCAGCGCGAGCGGGCTTAACGAAGAAGATTATAACCCGCAGCTCTTCTTGAGCTGCTTCGATGCCGAGGTGACGTTCGACTGGAAACGTCTGGTCGAGAACCAAGTCGTCGAGCTCCACAGATTGTACTTCCAAGGAGAGATTGGAAGGAAGCGTCGCTATGCATTGTCGATCAGCAAAATTAACCAAGCCGTCGAGGTCGAAGATGCTGCCGACAGATGAAGCGTGAAACTCAACACTGCTTCAACAACCCCGGGAAGTTCCGCATATGAAGTACTACAACGCCGTGCCACACACAAACTACAGCAAGATTGCCGCTAAGAGGTTGTTCCTGGTTTTGGGGTGCCGTTACTACTGGGGTGCCGTTACTGCAGCCGAAGACACGGCCTATCCGAGGTGTACACGAGGCTGTTGATGATCTATGGATTGCATATCGCAGTGAATCGCCAAGTTCACCGAAATGACGCGCTTGGAAATACTATTTGCAGCAGTGAAGACTGTCTGGAGTGGAGGAAGCAATGCAAGAGGAAGGGCCTTGCTCTTGCTGCAAGGCAAAGTATGAGTCATGACCAGCAGCAGCGCGATTTGATTCAACGATCCAGGGGCGTCTAAACTGATCGGTCTTCCAAGAAATGCGTGGGCTCTTGCGCCTGCAGCCCACGTCTTGAATGCGGCAGTTCTTCTCTTCTAAGAAAGCTCCGAAGGTTCTTCAACTTCAAGTATTCGAGTCATTCGAGACCATTGTTTGCAATATTTGTTAATTAGCGGTACGTTCAACCACACTAGTAGGATGAATTGATATGAGACCTAATACTTTTCTGGTTGAAGGCAAACGCGCCCGCCAACAACAACAACAACAACAACAACAAAAATATGGCCTCCGCTGCTGCAGCGCACGCGAAAATAATAAAAATTAAAGCCCGTGTCCAGTAATTTAAATCGCGACGTAGTCTGCCTGGAAATCAAACCGCCGTGTCCACACCAATTCATTCCAGGTTGCACCTCTATCTGTAGTCGACATCTCGTTGAGCTTGGGTCTGCGTACGTTGTTGCCTTCAGATGCCGCGTATGTTGAGCGCAACACGGTTCCCCGCACAGTGATGAATCGACCAGCCTCCTCCTCCAAGGTGATAGACAAACTGACTTGGTGCACCACAGAAATCCTGCTAGCGTCTTCACCCACTGACGTGTCTGCATGAAGAAGCATATCTCAATGTCCTGTCCGCTATCTGATAACTCTGCCGTGTAGTCGCCAAGCACCATAGCTCCAATGAACCCCGCGACCGTAGTCGAGATGCCGCTCGGGAGTACTCGAAACATACGAAGCCGACCGTCCAGAATTAATTCCATTGGCGCCGTTGGCAGGTCGCCAGCATAAGCAAGTGCTGACCGCACGGACATGCAACAGACGCCACCTCCAACCACCTCTACGTCGATGCAGCCTACCTCACGGGCAATCAGCGCCAAGGTTAGGACGAATACGCTGCTATCGCTTGCATTTACACTTGCTCGTGACGCAGCGTCCGCGACGTGCACCGACCTTGGCTCCAGCAGCCACCGGCGACTCCAACCCCTTGACAGCACCCCGACGCTTGGCACGCCTGCTAAATATTCTTGGCGAGGATCTCGTCGACTGTCTAAGGTCGCTGCACACTCGTCTGCCTGTTTGATGAACAGTGTAAATACTTGGTTCAACGCGTTCGACAGCGACTTTGACGTGATCAGAGCGGACACTATGCCTCGAAGTACACCGAAGTGCGTCCGACCGTAAACGAGCGACAGGATATCGTCGACCAGCGCCGGCAAGGACCCATTCAGGTAGTCGTTCGCGGTATTGTAGTCGGCAGTCCCAGTACGCATCTCAAGCAGCACGTCGTCGAGGACGTCGTACATGTCGACAATCAGCGACACAAACCGCTCCTGTATCTCTTGACTAGCAGCTCCTTTTCCCATCGAGTGGCACGCGAACGGGAGCAGGTATTGGGCGCTGCAAGATGCCAACGCGCGTAGAAAGAGATGGACGCTCACTTGAATCGTGGTTTGCTCTCGACACGTGAATACGGCATTGGCTGGTTGCGCGGGACGATCTGAAGCGGAACTGAATACGCTGTCCAGGAAAGAAGCTGCGACGCTCTCAAGTTGTGCGTTGGAGTTACTTGACGACTCTTTGATAGCGTTCATCACGCGCTGCCAATGTAAACGGGTGTACGCGTCGAATTCTTGAAAGCGAACTCCGACATCGTTGAGCGACACACGCTGAAGCAAACGCCACAAGATGAAGAGGTGCTTGAACTTCTCGCGGAAACCAGGCTCCCGCAAGTCGGCTTCGAATTGCCACAGCGTATCGCCCTCGATTCCACCATCAATATTGGGGGGGGCAGTGCTCGCCGTACCTGTCTTCATCTCCGTAACTGCCGTTGGGATCCCGTACCTTTCCTTGGTCCAAGTGAAAGCGCTGTGGTATTTCCAGCTCTCGTAATTCTTGATGGTGATAGGCGCTGCTGTGATACATATCGCTCGTGTTGCTGTTGCCGTTGCTGCTGGTGACGTTCTTGTTGTTGCACTATCCATACTGCTGATGATATTTCCGCGGGCCGCTCCTCCGTGTTAGATACGTCCACGGCCGGCAGAGTACAGGCCGCCCCACCAGATCTTCGATAGGATACGAGAAAGAAACCGGGAGACGCGTGCCGTGCCACCACGACTGCATTATGCTGCTCCTGGTTATCTTCCTGCAGTGGTGCGCCAACCGACAACGGCTGCAAGACGTACGCGACGAGGTGGTGCGTCATCTCGCGCTGCGCCCCGGTTACGCTGCTGTCGTAGTTATAGAACCACTTCGGGGACACGCGATTGTTCACGACGTAGAGCGCTGTATTCTTCCTCGTTGACGAACATTGTACAACAGCCGCGATACCACGGAAAACAGTAACAAATGAGTAAGAGAAATCATCGTTAGTCATAGTCATAATTAGGTGGCAGCGTTGCCTCTCGTTGTGCGTACCTGAGGGAAAAGCTGCTCGTTTGCGAAGCTCTCTCTTTCCGCGCGCACCCACACCTCTCCACTATCGGTGGCGCGTTCTGCTGTCGTTAGCAAGCTCTGCGGCAACTTCACCCGCTCGCCGATATCGAACCTGCACTTGCCCCCCTGTGTACTTCCTTCGTCTTCTGTTGCGCCAAGATGGCGGGCTACATCAATTAAACCTGCCGGCCACAGCGGCGTCGTACGCGTCGGCTCGAAGCGCGCGCACACCAGCAAGTTGTCCAGCGGCGTCGCACTCACGTCCGTCGAGAACGTCAGTAGCACGTGAACGGAACAGCCACAGTAGCTTCTCTTGACGTGATCCGGGCAGCAATGTGGGAAGCAGCGAAGCAACTGATACACAAGATGCTCTTTGGTTAGCCATCCTCTTCGCCTCTGCATGCAGAAATCTAATTGAGTACAGCACCTTCACACCTCGTTCTCGGTTGTTCCTGCCAAGATCGGGACGCCATGACTCAGATCTCTCCTCCAAGCGGACAACACATGCACCGTACCTAGCGTATTCTCTGCGGAAGAGCGGGTGGTCATCCTCCGTGCAGCCAAGGCGCAAGAAGCGGCAGAACTCGACGCGCGCCATGGTGAATTGACGCACTTTTCCAACTCACTGGTAGTGAGCTGGAAGAGTGGATGTGGTAGCACTTAGGCAGAGGAAGTCTTGTTCTTGTTTGCAGATGTGCCCGAGCTCACGTCTTGAAAGCACTCCGATGTGTCGCTAAGGTATCCGGGATTTGCTCCCCGAGACCACCAAGATGAGGAGTTCACACTTGCTTGGCCAGAGCAGGTCGACTTTATTATCCTCTGTTGATTCCGGAATGAGCTGGGCGCTCGTTCACTGTTCCCTACACTAACTCTGTTATTACATGCATTCCTAGATCCTCATGGGTTCACTTCGCTGGCTGGCTCCTCTTCTGGTTGCCCGTCGAGGGTATCGACCCTTCACTGAGCGCTCGAAACCGTCGTCGCCTTGACGCCACTGCAATATTTACAGTAGCTAGCCGCCAGCGCACAAATTTCATTCAGCTCGCGAGATTCCACGAGAATCACGTGACATTCCCTCCGCTAAGACGAGACTCGCCTCGATTTCTTGCGCTCATGGAAGCGATTGATCAGGTCGCCCTCATACTTCAAGTTATCGAGAGGTTCCCATGTGCAGCGGGCTAGGCCAAGCCACTTAATCTTGAAACCCACAATGTCCTCCACTAACTCACCCTCAGTGTTATCTGGGAGCAGTACCTTGAAGGTTCGCTGCTCCCTGCCACCACTGGGTACATACGGCTTCAGGTAGCTCGTGTGAAAGACGGGTGGAACTTCACTCCTTTCGGCAGCTTCAGCTCATAGTATTCGTGCCCCAGTCTGTTGACAACTGCGTACGGGCCAATCCATCGCTCCATCGCGCGCCTAGTTTCTCTTTTGTGGTCCCAGCGTGATAGTTTGCCAGGTTTTCGGTCGTCAATAAAACCTCCTCCCCGACTTCAAAAGCTTGGACGGGTCGGTTGGCATCATAGTAATCGCTCATGCGATCTGCCGCCCGCTGGAGCTCACGCCGTACAGTTGCCAGCCGATCCGCTTGCGTCTCGAGGAACGTCTTCCCCAAAGCACAACGTTGTCGTTCAGCGCCGGTCGCGCGAGGTGGGCTGGACAGCGTAGCAGGAGTCGAAGGTAGATAGCCAAGATCGGCCTCGAAAGGTGCCATCACTATTGCTTGCTGAAACCTTGAGTTATAGGCGAATTCTGCGAGAGCTAGATACGCATCCCAGTCGTCGGACGCTCCATTAGTAAATGCTCGCAGATAGTTTTCAATAGTCTGGTTTAGACGCTCAGTCACCCCATTTGCCTGATGGCGAAAAGCTGTCGTCAACTTCTGTCGCGTACCCAACATGGCACACAACGTAGTCCACACCGTTGCCGTGAATTTTGGATCGCGGTCCGAAAGAATCTCGGTTGAAATACCGTGAAGAGCAAATATCCGGTCTCGGTAGAGCAGTAGCAGTGCCTTTGCAAGCTACAAAATGAGCTCGTTTCGTTAGCTGGTCTATCAACACGAGTACAGAGTCACAGTTGGAGCGGGTCTTCGGAAGCGCGACAATGAAGTCCATCGCCACGTGAGTCCATCGCCCGCGCGGAATTGGTTGGCTTTGCAGAAGTCCCGGTGGCTTCGTGTTTCTTGTCTTCGTTCGCTGACAAACTTCACACGACGTGATATAAGCGCGTACACTGCGCACCATGTGCCGCCAATAATAATGCTGCTCAATGTCCGATCAACGCCAGGATGCCCATAACACTCAGCATCGTGAAATTCGAACAGTACTCCATTTATCAGCTCAGTAATAACAGGCAAAACCAGTCGTGGAGCTTCATCATTAGACCCCGTGTACAGCAGTCTATCGCCGTCGAGCGAGTAGCGTGCGAGGTGTCGAATTCGCGGTGCATCTTCATTAGGCTTCCTTTGTAGCGCTTCAATAATCGCCTGCACCGTCGGATCCTCCTTGTAGCGAGTAATCGCTTCGCGCACTACGGCCGAGAGACCCACGCACACACTCCCGTGAATTGCACTGGCAGCTACTATTTTCTCCAAAGGAACAGCCTCTGCAAAATCAGCACGGCGAGAAATGCCGTCCGCTACCGCATTAGTTGCTCCAGGTATATACTTGAACGTAACTGGGTATTCACTCAGTTCGTCGTACCAGCGCGCTATACGCCGCGAAATACTTTTCTGGGCAAAGACACTCTTGAGGGACTTGTGGTCAGTTTCTACAATAAAGGGTTTGTCGAGCAAATAAACTCTCCACACTCGAAGTCCGAACAAGATAGCCAATAACTCCTTCTCCCTGATGGAATAGTTCTTTTCAGCCCCCTTGTACTTACGACCATTAAATGCTACGGGTCGCTCCACTAGCACGCCATCATGCTCCTCCAATTGAAACAGAACACCTCCAATCGCATAATCACTCGCATCCATCCTCAGATAGAAAGGCTTAGTGAAATCAGCCACAGCCAGCACGGGCGTCGCCGAAATTCGCTGCTTCAGCTGCTCAAAATGCTGCACTTGGTCTGTCGTCCACTGCAATTTCACCTTGCTCTTAGAGCTGGCTTTATTCTTCAGCATCTCGAAAAGAGGGCCCGCATCGTGAGCAAATCCGTCACAAAATCGCTGAACGTAGGTTGCTGTGCCGAGAAATGACTGCAACTCGCTTACAGTTGTGGGGCGAGGCCATTCACGGAGGACTTGTACCTTTTTCGGGTCAATTCTTACTCCTTCACGGCCGATATAGTCGCCCAAGCACGGAATCTCAGCAGAGCAGAACACACACTTGCTCAATTTGACGTAGAATTGGTTTTCCTCCAGACGAGTCAGTACTCGGTCGAGAGCAGCAAGATGGTCATCCAGATTACGACTTCGCGTAAAGACGTAAATATCATCGAAGTACGAGAGACAGAAGTCCGCAAGATCCTTCAGCAACTTGCGAATTCCTTCATTGAAAGTCGCAGGTGCATTGGATAATCCCATAGGTACAACCAGGTATTCAAAGGAGCCGTCCGCTGTCTGGAAAGCAGTGTATTTGACATCTGAGTGCCGCATCCGAAACTGGTGTAACCACTGAGCAGATCCATACAGCTGAACCAGAATGCACCTTGCATTTTCTCGAAAATAAAATCTTTGCGTGGCATCGGCAATGTCCTCCTAACCGTGTGATTGTTCATTGCCCTGTAGTCGTGGACTATGCGCCAACCCACGGGCTTTTCCACACAAAAAGTAGGAGCACCGTGGGGCGAGGAAGAAGAACGAATCAACCCAGCTCGCAACATCTCCTCCACCCATGCACGTATTTCTTGTTCTTGGTTAGGAGACTGCCGCCACTGTTGACGAAAAATAGGCTGATTAGTATCCACCTCCATCTTGTGCACTCCATGCGACTCCGGCGGTAATTGCTGCGGCAACTTCTTTTTAAACATGGGTCGATGTCGATCCAACACAGGATAAACCGGTTGTCCCTCGAAGTCGTCCTCTTCTGTGAGTGCTTTTTCGCCTTCTGGTTGCTCTTTCTTGGTCACAGGTCTCAACACAAACACACAATCAAGCTTCTCAGGTTTTCGCAGAAGTCTTTTGAATTGTTTGCTCGTTATAAATTTCGTTTCACCACTTGTCACCGAGTAGAACCCCTGCTGAAAGTATTTACCGCACGAGTTCTTCGTATTTCCCGAAACCGAGAAGCGCTGGCCTCCAACTTGCAGTGCTGGTTGAGACGGCTTCGTCGTGGTTCGAGGCTTCATTTTCTTCATCTTCGTCTACTTCTTTTTTATTTTCTCCGGCGACGGTACTTGCCGAGGTTTGATTGTTTCCTCGATCCAGTCGATGTCTGGGTTCACAGCCTTTAGCCATGGCATCCCAAGCAGGATATCTTGGTTTTCCGGTACAGAAAGCACGAGAAATTCACCGACGTAAGGATCGAAAGAGTCGATAAACAAATGCAGTCGTAGTGTTCGCTTGCGAACTTTCATTTCTTGCTTATTCGCCAGTGTTATCGGTATCTCAACTCCGTGATCTCCGATCCGGTCTTCCAATTGAGAACGCTGACAAAATTCAGGGCTGACAGCATTGATCGTAGCCCCGCTATCGATAAAATTCGAGTTGGTCAGGAATAAATCATCACGGGTGCATTGAACAGTACTGTTCGTATGCAAAAGACAACAATATTCACGAGGCAAGGCAAAAGAATCCTCAGAGTTGGTGGTTGAACTCTTCTTGTCTTCGAACTCCATAGTCTGCACTCCATTCGTCACGCTAGCAAACAAAGTCAAATCATTTTTCTTGGTTTTGGAACATAAAACAAAAATAGCAGATCTCATTTTAACCCAAAAACATTATTTGGATCGTTTATTTAGATTAATCTATACTCGGAGGCCCGAGTATAATTAACTCTAATTTAAACTAAGCTACGCTTCCTCACATACACGCGCACACGTGTAAGCTAAAGTAGTGAGCCTAAGTGGGCCCATTACACACTGTATTGCCTGGCCCCCAACCCACCACCCCCTCCAACTGTACTGCCAAACAGCAGGGCTGAATCTAAACTAGCAATTCCATGTGTGCCGCGCCAACAATGCACTCCATAATCAAGCACCAATGATTGGTGCAAACTGATCTTGCGGGGACTGCTGCAATTTCTAGTGTTGGAATGGCGGTAAAGAAAACTGCTTACGAAAGGACTACGAAAAGCCGTAAAAGCCTTGGTGAAATCACGCCAACTGGCAAGACACACAGACGCAGTGCTCCTGAGAGCAGATATTCCACAACACTTTACCACCAGATTAGAGAACGAAATGAAGACCAATAGTAGCGAAAAGGGGTTGCATGATCATTATTCGATTCGGAACACCCTACAGCGATTCCGGGAGTCTATAGTTTCTCGTTAAACGTAAATAGAGGACATTTACCTCCCCGCGGGAGCAGGCACATGTATACGGAGGTAGTAGTAGGAAGAGGACTGAATAACTAACGTAAATTCCCGAATAATACCCCTTACCCGTATAGTACCCTCTAAAACGTAACCCAATGTGTATCCCAGGGTTACAATGTTATTTCCATACAAAGATCAAGTATATCTTTATGAATTTATTGTCAAAATCATGTTTATACTGTGTCATATCCATAATTTAGCATATTTGTTTTGAAAATGGGAGGGTACTAATTCGCAGTTCGAAGAACTGTCGATTGGGGAAGGTTTTTGGATGACATCGAACGACATTCACGCTACATTCGTCACTTCACCCCCGTACGGATGACATCAAACAACATTTACACAACATCATACAGCAATCGATCGAATCGGTCTGAATGACACTTACAGGTTTTGATGGATGTCTATTCTTTTTTTTCCTTCTACTGTAGATTGATGTCAGATGCCATCAGAGGAAGTGGGGCTCCATCTACTACTACGACGAACAACGTATTGTGTATTAGCGGACTACTAACGACGAACAACGTATTGTGTATTAGCAAGCATTGTATTCTTTCGATCAATATGAGACATCGGTGCTAATGATGCTAACCTTGGACACAACTGGATCACTGCATCGTATTATACTACTGTACATGCAGCTTCAAAGCACTCAACAGAGTACTTACTCATTCCATTAGCGGTAAAATTATCGATTCGATCTGTTATGAGTCATAACTTATACCCTCCTCTTTCAGACACAGATTTTCTTCTGCATGCATAGTTTCTCAGAGAGAGATATTGAAAATCGTGTGGTCAGCTGAGTTTGCCGTGACATAAACTGTCGGCGGGCTGATATTGTATGAATCCCCACACTCACTGGTATTAATCCGGATGGATTAGATAAAACATTCCACTAAAACATTGCAAAAAACTACTTAAAGTCCAAGGTTGTGCGATCCAAGATAGGAAGTATAGCACGATTTTTTTTCGTTCAACAATTTTTTTTTAATCCGAACCCAACTCTATCCGCCGGCAATGCGGTGACGTCCTATACGGTGACGAACGAATTCATTCAGCGGAGACTCAAAAAGAGCTGCACCTGGTGGTATGTCTTCTCCGGTAAAAAAGCTAAAGGCTAGCTGCACTAGCTTAGGCATTTATCTATGAAGACTAGGATGATTTAAGCTTGTCTTGTGTGAGACTACAATACGACCCGCAGAGATCCACCGAACTTGTGGTGTAGAATGATCTACTACTTGATCCTGTTCTTGTCAAAACAAGTTCAAAGTACATTGTTACCGATATTAGTTCAGATCATCCAAATGCTACATGCATACAGTACCTTCAGATTAATACTTGATAAATGGCAATATCACACTTGGACGAATCGAAGCTGACAGTTTTTTTTTTTGTTGTTAGATCTTCAGGCGACCCGGACAAAATATGTGTGCGGCTGCACCATGTTTTATCAAACAGAGTTTGAATGCTCCTACGTTGTCTCTGTACTCCTGTGCGAGAGGAAGCACCGGGCGGACATCGTCAAAGCGAAGGACGAACACCCGGTGTATCCTACTCCTACACGCGATCGAAATCTACTAGACCTCGGTTTTAACTCATCAAACTTAAAACAAATTGCTGGCTTCATCGGGTTATCCTGCAAGTTTGGTTGAGCAGTTATCCTGGCAGCGCTAATTATTCGAATGCACGCTTTTTTCTTGTTTTATCGTCACCTGTAAGTTTCCGAGCACAACACTGCAATCTAAACAATAAAGGATTCTGCCTGGGCATCAGCGCACATTTCAGTAGCAGGAAGGAAGGAAATTACATTGATTACCTCGCTGTTGATAACCGTTCTACTAACTACAAAGAACTAAAGTTAAAACTAAATCCGTGGAGCCCTTATTCGACGAGCAGGAGGAGGTAGAACCATCACGGTGAGTTTGCCAAACCCAATCGTTGATGTACCAATTCGTTGGAGTGACGATACATGTATATGAACTGGCAATGCCTTTGAAAATAAGTGATCAAACTTTGTACACTTGGATGTACCGTGGTAGATAAGGCAGATGCTGCGGCTGCGTCGCAGCCGCAGGGGATGCCCGAGTACATCGTTTCCCTGTAAGGGTATCCGTACAAGCTAGCTTCGAACTGCGAAACCCGGATCCACCACCCGGGTCCCCAATAAATAGTGCCCGGGGTATTATTCGGTAATTTCCGTTACTTGTCATCATCCAGCAAATTTGCACCAAAAATCATAATCATACGGATTCGATGCAGATACCTTGTGTCAATTACAAGAATCGGGCACAAGAGAATGAGAATAGGCAACCCGGAGCGTTGCTCCGGGAGTGTACACAGGTCGACGAATAGTTTCATGGACGATGATAATGGATAATAATTGAGTAAATCCTAAAGTTGTTTTGTTTTTAATCCTTAAAAGCACTACCAAGCCCAACTCTCTAGTTGATTCTAACATGGGCATCTACTGCGCCTCCTTCGCAGCCGCAGCATCTGCCCGAGAATGCGTAATTGAACAAATAGTTGCGCACATCGAAGTGTATCGATACGGAAATGATGTTTCAGCCAAACCTTTGTGAGGCTGGTAACCAGCAAGCCCCGCTCTTCTTTATCGTGGTGGGTTCTCAGGAACCGAAAGTCACCAATTGAGGTCGCCTGGTCTGATGAGGCCATCGGTGACATAACATCCTGGTCAGCGTCCAATGGCTGCGTTGGCGCCAGCAACGAGAGAGCTATTTCATTCATTTTCAGGTAAGGTATACTGTGCTCATTTTTGTACTATGTTGTGTGCTAACGATCAGACGAGAGAGCTACAGTAGCGGAACGAAGGCGAGACGCATGGTGCGCTGATCTTGACCTTTTTTAACTTGAGGATGTTAGCTAAGTGACAATAATGATGCTCAATTCAAAAACAAAACAAACAAACAAACTTTTAACTTGAGGTAAATTGTGGGATGAGAAATATGCTAATGGGCCAATTCCTTGGAAGTGGTTGCTTCAACGCAGGGAAAAAAAGTCTTATTCAAACGAACGATGCTCGTGTCACCGTCAAGTTGAGCTGATTGGTTTGACGACAGACACGAGGTTGGACATCTTTGGCTAAGAGTGATTGGGTATTGAGCAAGTTGACATGTAAAAAAATGCAGCCTGCACCTAGACAAGTCATGTTGGTCATCTTCAGCTAAGCTTGGTCGATTATGGCGCAAATTGATACGCCTTCAGCGAGGCCATGACGCTCTCATAGTGTACTGGAGCGTCCGTAAGTATTTGAATGCAGGTTTTGGTAAATAATAAACGATTAGTATCAAGATTTGGTAAATAATGTGCATAAATCTTAGCATTTATCGACGAGTACCCGATTCCGGCAAATATTAGCTTATACATTACAATTAAGAAAGAGAGACCCGGTTTGGTACCCGGTTTTGGAAAGTTACAAGTTTTTTGCCGGGGCCAAGCACAGGTCTTCGACCTGTGAACAAAATCCTGCCGTAGTGTACAGTACATGTACTAGCGCTCTGGGCACCCGCTACGCGGGCGCTTTGATCACGGGTTGCTGGAATAGCATAGCTTAAAAGTATATGCATCATTTTGATTTCCATAACAATAATGTGCGGATACAGTTGACACATATTCGTTGCTATAACTTCGTGCTTTAGTGGCAAATGAGTAGGAATACATTTTCCTATTAAGCTAATTACCAAATGTCGCTCACGATGCAAAGTTGAGTACCTAAACATCGAGTGAGCTGAATATCGTTGCCGTTGTATTATTGATCACCCGTTTCTGCGAGGCGAGCTACATTGTCATGGACATGTCTTACTACAGTGTAGTGACCTGCGTGTTTACTTACTTTGAAGTAATAACTAAAGTATTGAAACTATGATTGGATGTGGTTTATACTGCGTTGCAAACTGGTAGCTGTCGTCGATACCGTTTTCTCTAGTGTTGTTACTACGTTAGCACTGAAAGACTGCAACTTTGCCAGCATGAATTTACGTACTGCACCGCGCTACACGTAGTAATGCTGGTTTGCGCGATAACAGTTCAAATAGACATAGCAAATTTAGCTCAACTCAATACGGATCAGTAGCGACTGTGCGTCTTCGATGGTTAGGTTGTTGTGTATCGTGTATATGCATATGAAGCGTTTGGCGGGACCCCGGGGTCCCCGCGTGCCCCGCCAGCTGTCATAAGCAACCGGTATATTTGGTAAATTCAAGTGCTGCATGTTTGTATCGATGCTATGTATCTCTGGTAGTATCGACTATCGAGTTGCACAGAGCTGCAGAGTTCGCAACTTTGCGTGCCCGACGCCGCTGCTGCTGTAGTAGGCGCTAGCTTCTAGCAGTCAGCTTGAATCTTCTTGGTCGTATCTTCACCAAGACGCTTAACAGAACGAACGAATGCAGCAGCTTTGTGGTCACGACGATTTCAATACTTAAGTATCACGTTTGCGCCGAGGAACCTCTGCACCTCCAGTTCGCCTAGACTTCATACTGGATGCTAGATGCTTGAAGGTGAAATGAGCTCTAGCTTAACTGGCAAAATTATCACAAAATTGTCACAACATATATATTATCACTGCCCCGCCGATAAAAATAAATAATTCCGGTCGCCATCGGCACATGATGCGGGACCCCGGGGTCCGGCCAATAGCTTCATATATATATTGCTCTAACGACAATGTCTACACTAAGCTGCATTATGTGCATGCTGCAGTAGTTTACGGTACACGTATCTAGGGTAGCAGCGCGCATTTATTTTGAAAGCTGCATGCGTTGCCAGTGTCACTACTATTCTACGCTTTGCCTACTCTGCATCTTTCATCTGGATTTATAACGCGTTATTACTCTTGGTGGATGGCGTACAGTACTTAGTAACAGTAATTCGAAATTGCGCGCGACCATGCTGTTGTGCGCTGCGCGCAATTCGAGCAGCATTTTCTAAAATTGTTTTGTTGAAGTGCGAGAGTTAGGGTACCTGGGATATGATCGATTTTGATTTGAGTTGGAGTGCATTGTTGTCACTTGGCTGATGCGACTATCGTTCCTATGGAAGCGAGTGTCGGACTGCAGCAAGATCCTGCCATTAATCAGCTTAATAAAAAACATAAAAAGTCGTAAGTATGACGCCTCGATGCGCGCGCTGGTGATGCACCTGGGTTTACTTAATTCGACCAACTACTACGTAGTAGTAACTTAAGTTGAGCACGCGACTACTCAAATTGGTTATTATAATGCTTGATTCCTGCAAATGAATACAGCACGATTGCCAGCTACACCACGCCGCGTGCTGTTTATCAGTTAATCTATGTGCAGCGTTAGGTGGTCTAAATGCGTCGTTCGCACACATTCTTGGTGTATTAGAAGATGAACGCCTAATAAGCACCAGTCTACCCCTAATTCCGTACTGTAAACCCTCGACTGCCCTGAAGGTACCAGTTATCTCCGTCCGCCGCGCGCCAACTTTCAAATGGGGGATGTAATAATCACGCCCGCTAAAGTCCGACCAGCTCCGTGTAAGTCCGAATTTTAGCGTGATTGTGGCTATTTTTGTAGTTTCGTAGATCGTTAAAAAGCCAGTTCCAGTCGACTTGATGAGTGAATAATATATGCTATAAGGCCGCGGTAGCGTAGTCTAATTGACAGGTCTAGGCTGTAGGGGAGGAAAGCGTGACGCGATGACCGACAGACAGGATTCTCGGTTAGAGGACGGAGAATTGTGCTGTATGCTCGACGATCATAGCATTGGTCGAACGCATTGCGCTGGTCGCACCGACACGCAGTTCATTTGTAAGCTTTGTTGATAGCGTGTAAGCCGGTCAGCCAATCATGGGCCTTCCTGTCGAGGACTTCAACGTATCCAGAAGGCCAGCTGGGATGTGCAAGCTCGTTGCCATCAACGCAAGTGTGCAAGTCCCCGCTCACTCTTCATTTTACCTCCTCAAGCTTACCAAGACGCCCCAAGAACCTCCGCCCGATGTCGAGTTCCACCGCCGACTACAAGCTCTTCACGCCGCTGCAGCTGGCCAAGGGCCTCGAGCTCAAGAACCGCGTCGTGTACGGCCCCACTACCCGTGCGCGAGCTGACCCCGTCACCCATGTGCCACTGGAGCGCAACGCTGTCTACTACGAGCAGCGGGCAAGTGCAGGATTGATTGTTACGGAGGGCTGCGCTGTCTCGGAGCAGGCGTTTGGCTGGTACGGCGCCCCAGCACTCTACACGGACGAGCAGCAGGAGGGCTGGCGCAAGGTCGTGGAGCGCGTGCACGCCAAGGGCGGCAAGATCTTCTTGCAGCTGTGGCACATGGGACGGCAGTCGCACCCATCCTTCCACTCCACCAACAACGTCGTGTCAGCCTCAGCCACCCAATGGGAAACGGGCAGAACGCGCAATACCAGCGGCGAACACGCCGGGTTCGAGAAGGCTCGCGCGCTGCGCCTCGAAGAGATTCCGGAGGTCGTCGACATGTATCGCCAATGCGCTGAACGGGCCAAGACTGTTGGCTTTGATGGCGTGGAAGTGCACGGTGCCAATGGCTACCTGCCCGACCAGTTCCTCCAATCATGCACGAACCACCGGACGGACAAGTACGGCGGCTCGTTCGAGAACCGCTACCGCTTCCTCGGCGAGGTCATCGAAGCTCTCAAGACCGTGTATCCGGCTAATCGAATTGCCGTGAGACTGTCCCCGAACGGTCAGTATGGCGGCATGGGCAGCTTGGACAACGCGGAGATGTTCACATACGCGTTCGAACGCTTGTCGGAACACGGATTGGCGTACTTGGCCATGCTGGACGGCTTCGGGTTCGGCTATATGTCGCAAGGCCGCTTGCTGACCGCCTTTGACGCCAAGAAGGCGTTCAAAGGAACCCTGATCGCCAACAACAGCTACACGCGCGACGTTGCTGAAGGGGCCATTCGCAGCGGCGCCGCGGACCTGGTGGGATTCGCGAGGCTGTTTATCTCGAACCCAGACCTCGTCGAACGCTTTCGGAACGACTGGCCGCTCAACCCGTTGCCGGACCACGCGTTTTTCTGGGACGCCTCCAAGGGTGATGAAGGCTACAACACATTCCACCTCTACAAAGCCGCCGGTGAGCAAAATCCAGCAACTGTCGCGTAGGACCTTACTCAAGTTTTGGGGCTACAATTTAAACCCTCCAGACCAGCATTGACGGATCGAAACTATCAGATAATTCACTCTCGACGTTCGGGATTAATTCCAAATTTACACTCGAGAAAGATATCAATAATATTCCATCAGGTACACCAGCGAAATACAAAGGACCCACCGACCTTGCCCTATGCTCCCCAGAGTATTGCTTCTGATATTCGCTTGAGTCATTTTTCGAAGAAACTACCAATCGACGATTCCCGTCGGCCTCCAAGAGCTGTAACTCGCAAAAAAAACTGGTGAAGATGAGTTAGATCGCCAGCCGCACGCACCTACAATTTCAAATGCGGCTGGCGGCACTTCTGGTAATCCATCGCAATGCAGATTTATGCGAAGTGTGCAGCAGTTGCTTCTGCAGCTACTGTACATCAGTCAAGCTGTCCCTCCCTTCCAAATATCGACCGATATGACTGCCGCTTTGCGGACGATCTTCAAGCGATGTCTGGAATAAATCTCACCGTTCCGCGAACAGGTAAAATGAGATCACTTGACCGACTATTCCTAATGATGTCGTTGGCGCCAAACGATTGGTCCATTGTCATTGAAATGCTCACGAGACGCGATGGTACTCCTGAATCGTCACGGACAGTATCTATGCCCTCGTTAAAACCGAACAGGTCCACGTACAGAGTATTCATATCACTCGAGAATTCGGCCACGTAGTCTCCCACAGACCAGCCTCCAGCCGTCGAAATCATAGAGGACAAACCGCTTGGAAGCACGCGGAACACACGGAGTCGGTCGTCAAGCCAGGTCCATCGATGACGTCGATGTGGCGCTTGCACTCGAAAGCGCCGATCGCAATGACAGTCTACGTGAATCGTCCGCAACACTGACGTCAACACAGCCGAATTCGCACACCAACTGCGCAACGTCGACCAAAAGAAGATGATGGAGTACGTCTCCAAGTGCAGCAGAGGCTATGTTGATTACTTCAGTCGATGAAGGTTGCAATAGCCACCGACGATTCCACGCATTTTGTGCGGACGGTCCAGCTTCTTCAGCTTCAGTACATCGTTCTTGTTGAATGGGTATATGGTGCCTGGCCGCCGACACAATCGTAGCTTCTCGAACCTGAGCCGCAAACGCTTGGAAAGCGCGGTTCAAGGCATCCGCTGTCGATTATGAGGTCGAAAGACCCATAAGCAAACTCGACATCGACGGCTGCAACACATTGAAGCGTGTTTGGCCGTACACAATCGAGAGCACGGCATCGACCAACATCGGCAAGCTCTTGCCCCAGTCTTCCGAGAAGATCGTTCCACTGGTGGGCACCACCTCACGCAGGTCATCGTCAACAGCATCGTACACGCTTGATACAACGCCGATGAATCGCTCATGAAGCTGATCCTTCGTCGGGACATCATTGTCCCGCACTGTCCATGCCGAATGAAGACGGCGCTGAACCGAGCGCGACGGTAGTGGTCCGAGGAAGCAGCGGGAAACCACGCGAATGATGCTGCTGTCACGGGCCGACAGCGGTTGAATACCAGTTGATCATACGGGGTTGCGCTTACAGATCCACCGAAAAGGTCGTGTAAGAAATGGCGCACAATGTCCTCGAGCTGGTCACCGGGTGCTTTTACCGCGCCCTCAACCTGTTCCCAGTACGCATCCAGTTTCGTTCTTGTCATGCGCTTATCGACTTGTAGGTCACGGATTGTCAAATGCTGGAGAAATCGCCACAAGATCAAAAGTTGTTTGCCCTTTTCACTGAAGTTGGGTTCAACGCTTTGCTGCCAAAATGTATCGTCAACCTGAAGATCGCAACGAGGGGCGGGTTCTCGGGTGGCCTGCTCCACGCCTGTGTGGTCTTCTTTGGGTTGAGAAGCGAGTGGATCACCTCTTTGTAGACCTTCCCCACCGGGAGCACGTTTTCTGCGAACGCGCTTTTGCTTCAAGTCGGAGCCACGCTGTCCTAAGACGTACGCCTCTGGGCTTCACTTTGAGTTGAGTGGCGTACCAACGTTATCCCTGGGGCTATCCGCCGCCGCTAAAGCCGCAGCCGCATTTCCCGCGACGATTGCGGACCCAGACCGCCGGAACGATATCAGCAGGAAGCAGGGACTCGCCAGCACTACGACTTGTCCTGGGCTCTTCATGTTGCTGCTGCTTCGTAAGCACGCCCTCCGTCAGTCGAAACGTGTACGCGACGAAGTGGTGAGTCAAGTCACGCTGCGTGCGCGTGACGCTGCTGTCGTAGTTGTAGTACCATTTCGGAAGTCTGCAGTTGTTCACCACGTAGAGCACCGAGTTCTGCCAACCACCAAGACCAGCGCCAACAAGAGCCTAGTGTTAGCAACTTCCCAGCATCCACCACTGCCGACCAAGAAATCAGCAACCCAAACTACTCCCCCCCACGAACTCTCGTATCGTACCTCGGGAAGTGTCCGCTGCTTCGCGTCGCTCTCTCTCTGTCCACGCGTATCCAGACGGACTCCGTGCTCCACCAGACGAGAACAGACTCGCGGGCAACACCACGCTCTCGCCGACCCCAATCTGCGTTCGTCCTCCAGTCTGCTATCGTCACCGGTCTCATCATGGCCATGACCGAACTCTGTCACTGCATTGCCGCCATCTCTTCGGACCAGTCCTGCGAGGTGTTCCAGACCACTGCGGCCCCACGAGCGACGGCTCGAAGCGCGCACACACGACCAGATCGTCCAGCTCGGCGGCACTTACGCTGGATGAGAAAGCGACGAGCACGTGCACGGAGCAGCCGCAGTAGCTGCGTCTGGCGTGCTCCGGACAGCAGTGCGGGAAGCACCGCAACAACTACAACATAAACAGTATGATACGCCGCATGACATGGCATGACATGGTACGGGAGATGTCGATACAACAGTCGAGGTTGAGGAGAACAGGCACGAAGACACGCAACAGCAGCATGTGTGTTGCTTGTGCCACGCCGGGATAAAAGCACTACTTAAGTAAGTGCTAGCTAAGCTCACCTTGACACCTCGCTCACGGTTACTCCTGTGGACGTCGGACGATGGAATACCCAAAGCAGGACACGTCATAGGAAACGAGTGGCGTCAGCACAGAGTTGCTCTCTTCGCTGCGGATGCGGATTAGAAAGCAGAGGCAAAAGGCTACAGACTAAGGACGAAGCGGCACTACAACGCTGTAGCCACTAGCCGGCGCTTTTGGAGCTCTGCTGCTGTTGCTCACCTGGCGTACTCCCGGTGGAAGAGCGGTGGACCTCTTCGCTGCAGCTCAGGCGCATGAAGCGGCACGACACGACGCGCGCCATGGCAGAGACTTGGCTGTCTGGACTAGTGTCCCTCTGGTCAGGACGTTTGTATGAGTGGCGACAGCTGGTAGCGGGGAGGGCCGCGATTGGCCAGCGGGTGACATTTTTGTTCCCTCCGCCAAAGTTCATGTTCGCAGAGCCAATGTTCTTGCGCGAAAGTATATGCTTCAAATCTTGGTGAAAATGGATAGAATACATCGGAAACTGGATATTTGCAGTTCAACCTGAATTATATGATCTACTCTTGATGCTCTATTAATTAAACTGCACTGACTTAACTGTAGACTAATGCGTTGATCTCGCCACCTTACATCTCCATCCTAAGAGCACCGCCACCGGTAGGGGTCAAACAAGAGTGAAAATGACCCCGATTGGCGTGCGACAATGTTGCGAGGCAAATTTACTCTGGCTTGGATTCGCACCGGTGGCAGCAAAAGTAGGGGGAATGAAAAAGTAGTAAGCAGGCCCAGACACTCGAATATACGCCACATTGACTGCAAAACACCCCCCCCCCCCCCCCCCCCCCACGGACTAGAAACATGCTGTCAAAGCATTTTGACTGTGTGCGGCGTCCTCGCCGAGATTGGAGGGCAAAAAGGAAGGCAATGCATTCGTGACTCCTGTCCTTTCGACCACCACAACTCAACATGTATGCACCACAACTCACCATACCTGATACCTGCGTTCCTCGGAGTCTCATTGGCTAGCCGTTTACCTTTGTCGTACGCCGCGGGGGGATCGAGGTGGCATATTTGACTCCACGATCCCCCCATTTTACCCCGTGGGGGAAAATACTCCACGTTTTCTCAGACCGGTGCCAGCGTGTAGTTGTATTTTGGGTGGAAATATGACTTTTACTCAGCTTTTGCCCCCACCGGTGGCAGTGCTCTAAGGCATCTACAACATCCTGATTATGGCCGAACTTACCACGCACTACGGGCTGAAAAATGGTCCACCTTCGTCGTGAATACCACGTGCCTGGTGGATTTGTACAAAGTAGACATGCAGCTATCTATTATAACGTTAGGTATTACATTGTCTGGCTAAGCAACCAGAATATACCGGAAGATAGCTTCTATCGAAAGCAACAACCACTTCATTTTGGGCATTGCACTACGGCCTCCATGAGTCTGAAGGAGAACTGACACCTCCACACTGGATACACTGGAGGAAGCGGGAGCTGTTACATGCACCGCAATAGTCTTCGTTTCTATCCACCATAGCCGAGCCGATCGACTCGTACACACTATCAGTTGTATGTAGAAAGACCTGTAGCTTCGTCTGCGACCGACTTACCCACGCTGCTAACGGGAAGACGTTCAGACGTCGACCACAGGAGGGAAAATCACCAATCCAGAAAGAAGAAAAGCAAATTTCCAGATGTGACCCTCGTTCTCTTGTTGTGTTTTAAGGCAGCCATAAGTTTTCGGGGGCCAAGTCATTTTCTAGTGTTGGCACTTTCAAAATCGCACCGCGCATCGGGGTATTTTGTTGGCAGGACACAACAGATACTGCTGAGAGAATTGTTTCTTCAGACGAGAGCAAATATCGTCGCTGGAGTGACGTAGAATACACCGCTTTTGGTGCGCTTCCTTCAAGCACTAATAAACCCATTCACCCATTCGATGGCCACGCGCGAAAGCTATTTTTCGCTTAAGCGTTTGCGAGAACACTACCTCCAACTCCGATCAGGCTACTGCTGAGAAGCCTGGAGTTGGATCACGACTTTTGTCGAGTTCGCGACACTGCGATGTCAGGACTTCTACGAATCCACACCAACGAGTTCGCACCTTCTACTTCGGCTTCACGCGTCCTCGAGCAGTATAGCCGCTTCTGCACGTATGTCAGACAAGCGACGGCCGATATCGACGTGTTGGAGTCCAAGTTGGTCTTGATTTCAGCTTCTGGCTTCAATTCTCTTGTCTTCGGGTGTAGCCCCGAGTTGAATGATGCCACGCTTCCCCAAACTCAAACATGGACACATACACACAGAGTGCCTCGGCGGTCGAAATAGAACGCTAGCACGCCTTGGCAGCTTCCCTCCTGACAATAAACACGAGCAACACCGATTCAGTCAGGTTTAGTTCGCGAGTCCGACTTCTTTCTGTCTTGGAAGGAGCCAAGTCCTTGCAGCTCGACTATGCATAACGTTCAAGAGACGACTGCATTGAAATAACGGCAGAGGGCACGGCCACCGTGTCACGGCGTCAAACAATACTGTTGCAGCGGTCGACTTGGGTATACAAGGGCTCCGCTGACGAGGTCCGGTGCATCGCTCTTGAAAAAGCCAAAGTAAAACAATTTGCGATCGGGCTTCGGACGACTTCGCTCGGGATAGAACCGATCCTCAACTACATGTGCTGAGTTAGAGCAGCTAGCGTGGTATGAGACGATAGGAATACGCGCCAAATGGCAGGAGCCAATTGTAAGCTCGTAGTCACATGGAATATGCCACACGAGGATTACAGCTGCAAGCCAAGCTGCTCGCCATAACCATGCCATACGCCACTACTACGGAATTTGTGGTGTGGTTCTTTCCGACAAAGCTCTCCCTCGCCACGTACAGGTCCTATCGGCCCAGCAAAGGTGAACAAGTCCACGTATATTAGTCGAGATCTCGGTCACGTAAACCCCAACGAACCAGCAACGTTGACAAGTCACTGGAAGTGCCGGGGAACACGAGTTGATGGCCGTCAAGCACCATATCCATCCATGAGGTCGATGCCCCGACTCCGTGAATCATCCGCAGCACTGGCGCAGCAACTCCGCCAAGCCAATCAAGAGTAAGTCGCTTGTGCCGTCTCGCCGGCGTCAAATATCTCAATTGATGACCACGCACGTGTGGGGAAATTCTAATTGCGGAGCGCAAGACTTGTGGTGTCTCGCCCCTAATGCAAACGCAGCTTCCCGGGCCTGAGCCGTAAACCGGCGCGCATCAGGGCAGGCGTTAGTAAGCTTGGAGTCGGTTTGTCCAAGGCTGCCACCGACGGCTGCAACACGCATCAACCACCAACGACAAGCAATTGGCTTGAGGCTCAGACACGACAATCTCACTGCCGGTAGTTCACGTCGCGCAGCTTGTCGCAAAAGGCGCCGTACACCAGTACAAGCCATATACCATGATCGTTCGTGAGGCCTGTCCTTCTGCCATCAATGCCGAGTGAATATGGCGACAAACCGTGCGAGATAACAGCACGAGCAAGCAACAACGGCCGACCACACCAAAATCGCTATCATCTCGAGTTGACAAGTCTGGCTGAAGAGGTCGCATAAGAAGCAGAGTGCGACGTTCTCGAACTGCTCAGCGGTTGTATCTGATGCATCTTCAAGTAGTTTCCAACACGCTTCTATTCAGTTATTCGTTCTCCAATGTGAAGGTCGCGCAGGATCAAGTGCGGAGGAATCGCCACAATATCAGGAGCTACTGCCCCTTTTCGTTGAAGCCGGCGCCAAGTTGATGCAGCCATAATGTGTCGTTGACCTGACGATCGCAGCTAGCGGCGGGTTCTCGGACGGTTTGTTTTTGTCTGTATGCATCCCTTTCCGTGGAGAAGATGGCGGACAGCCTTTCTGAATGCGAAAACGCATTCGGAAATTGCTCTTGATGTTTTCTTGATTGCTTATGAACCACGTCCTCCGTTGTTTTGGCGGCCCCGGGACTTGTCTTCGAACTAGGCGGAGTTACGAAGTTGCCTCTGGGACTGTCCGTCGCTGCCAAAGGCGCCGCTGCATTGCCGAACCTGACCGCCGACACGATATCACAGGAAGTTGGGGGACGCGATGCTCTCCAACACTATATGTCGAGGGGTTTCTTGCTGCTGCTGTCTTTGCTGTTGTGTGACGTTGCTAGAATGGGTACTGCTGCAGCTTGGACATGCCGGCCGATAACCGAAACGTATATGCGATGACGTGGTCGTTGATATCGCGCTGCGTGCGTGTTCTACCACTGCGTAGTTGTAGTACCATTTCGAGGATATGCACTTGTTTACCACGGAAAGCTCCAAGTGCTGCATCCAGCGAGGCAAGCGACACCCGAAGCCAAAGCCCAGAATCCCATGTCAGCAACATCAACGGCACGGTGCTCACGAACGGTGCGGCTCGTCCAAACCATTGACCAGGCGAGCGACCAACCAAATCTTCTCAGCCAACACGAGCTACAGCAGGCCTCATTCAGTGGGGACAGCCAATTATTTTGCGTCGCACTCCCTGTCGGCGCGTATCCAGACGGACTCCATGCTAGAACGCCGACCACTCGACGCGAACAGACTCGCGGGCAGCACCATACTCTCAGCTTGCAATCGTTCTGCTGCCTGCTACTGGCATCGACAGCGCCACGACCAAAATCTGCCTCCAGTTGAGCAACGCTTTGAGGCGAGTGTGCCGGCGTGCTTGGGAAAGAGGGGCAATTGCTGTGATTGGCACATTTCGCTCGTACGCTAAAGTTCGTGTAGCCACTACAATGACTGGTTTGATACTGTATATTTGCAAAATGATTTGTATATTTGTATGTGAGATTTCACTCGAGCTCTTTAGATGGCAATTTGAGACCCTTACAGACATGCATGCAGACCTGGCACCACCATCTTCGCGTCGCTTCCATCTCAATTTCAGCACACCTAACATTTATCTCTATCACCATAGGCAGGACAAGGATCCATCTTATCCGCGACTAAGCTTACCATAATACAGCGATAAGCGCCACAACGTACCTCGTAGATTAGCACAATGTGCCCAGGCAGATGCACGGGCCGGTTCTGTTTGATAGCGCCATTCCGTCTAGCTACACATTATGAGCGGAGATATTTAATAGAACGGGCGCAGTGACAGCTACCGGCACTACATTTCTTTCAAAGAAACCCTGCTATCGCACCACACAAGCTTCTAGGCGGTCCGAGACGTCACAAGGGCATTACTAAAACCTGATTCATGCTCTTTCGTAAGACGATACTGGTCCCTAGAGTAAGACAAAGCGTCTTACGTTTTGCATCAACGCATTTTGATTACATCTTGATTTTAGTATACCAGTGGCTACATTGTATTTTGTCACTCAAAGCGTAAGACAGTTTGTCAGACACCAGTTTGCGCCATATTATTGGTCAAAAGCTCTACTTGACGTGCAGAGCTGCATGTGCATGCTCGGGCCCACTCAACCACGACAGCGGTGCGGATGCAGGCTGTGTTGGTGGCACCTTTGTTCGCCAAGACGACGCAGTTGCATGGCGCGTAGGTCCGTCGACAACAGGATGATATTCTGGCTGCAGCCACGGCGGCCGCGCCAGGCCTTGCGTGAAGCCTTAGCGCTAAGGCTGTTCTGATCTGTTGCTCTATAAATGCCACGTCCAGAGCTTTTCAGTGCCTGGATGGTAACGAATAGTGTCACGAGGGAAATATTGTAGGAGTTTTCGTACTGTCAGGTTGCAATGTACGTATCATGATGCGGGCAAGCCTTCCTTCAATAACGTGGTTAGTTACGTAGCATAAGAGGCAGCGATTCTAGAGCGCTTATAACCGCGCCAGTCTATTGCTGTCTGTTAAGCTTGAATCTACGTAGTGTTTCCGTTTCGGCTTTGTTGACAAGTTCCTAGAGAGTGCTCGAGTGTACATTCTAGTCGTTTGCTATTCAATGTACGCTCAAGCACAATTCAGTTCTCCGTGTACCAACCGCGTCGTGTCCTCCGAAGGGCATCTCCCTACTTACGCCGACTACGCGGCTTCATGGAAGAGCTCCTCGGACCTCATAAAATATGTATAATACGCACTTTCATTTGAAGGACCTGGCATTTAGTAGGTCGCTAGTTAGGCCAAATAACTGTGATGCACTTCACATTACTACGAAATCGAAAACGAAACAAATACACGTTCATGCTGCCGATTCTGCTCGTCAGCACGGCTATCCGTTGCTGGTGCATGCCACGACGGTGACGCAGACGGCCCGGCCAAGGGCATACACGGACAACACCACGCATAATATTAGCCAATCACATGGCTAAATTTGATTTGTCATCAAACTGTCTTACGAATGCTCGACACAAGTGAATGAAGACCGACACCTTCAATCTTTGATACTACAAAGCGTGAAGGATTATTTACCTTCTTCACTGGAACACACGATCGGCTGGCTGCACGCTTAGCTTTCAGAAACGCCTGCAGCTCCGTCTGCGGAGACTCTTCTCCACCAACTCATCATACAGCACAAACTAACCGGCATGATACAGCTTGCTCGCGTAGCAGCAAACGCTAGCCGACGACGTGAAATCCAACCCAGAGCCGGCTGCCAGTGCACCTTGTAACTGGCAGATATCCCCATTTCCTGGTCACGCTCGAATATCTGGAATATATAGACCACTTCTGGCGCGCTCCTGCAGCAACTCTCCAATTGTGGTCGCTATCCGACGAATCTATCACGATCACGCGCGCGCGACGCCTTGAGTTAGACCACGAGACAACATCAGCATGGGTCGCAATGCACTCGCGCCTTCAACTTGTACTCGGAATGCGCCCGTCCTCGCGCCTGTCGTGATGTGCTGCCACTTCTGCGATTACAGCCAAGTTTGAACGACTTGAACTGCAATGCAATACAGCTTCCCTGGCGAGCAGCTTCTGGCGTTCCGTTCGGCTCGACGCGAACGTAGATTTCCAGAACGACCAAACATGATAGGAACCACCCGAGCAGATCTCGACCGAAGCGAGCAACACCAGAAACCGCGGTGTGCACAGCGACATGTAGCACACGCATCACATGTGAGGTGAGCGTTCGTAGAGTACTTGCCGCGGCCGCCATCACTTAACAGTGCTGCTGAGACAGCATCCTGTCAAGTAATGGCAAACGCACAGTAGCACATCATCGTCTCACGTATCGAGCTAGAGCATTCTTGGCGTCTTAACAGCTTCATTCCTACAGCATGACTCAGATGAGCAAGGAAGGGTACTAATTCCGTTAGATATGGTGCACGAGTCTCATTTGTGTAAGAGTGAAGCGCGAGCTACCTTCTTCTTCGCTGCTGCAGGCGCAACGTACGACAGAGCAAATACTAACTACACACAGGGACACGATAAAATCACTATTGAGAGCGTTGACTTCGAAAAATACGCGCTTTAATGACGAGGTCGTGCATCTCTCTCGTAAAAACTAAAGTAAAACCAGACCGTTCGTCACCAATTAAGAACGGCTTCGGTCGGCTTCGGATCGGAATAGAACCGCCCTCGGCAACTAAGGCTACTTAGACTAGAGCAGATGCCGTGGTATGAGATGGCAGGAATACACGCCAAATGGCAGGGGCCATTTGTAAACTCTTAGTCAGATGAAATATACTACTGCGTATTACACCTGCGAGCCAAGTGTTCGGCAAACATCGCCACAACCATACCATAGACCACTAATCCGCAAGGTTGGATAGGAATCCTTCCGGCAGAGCTATCTTTTTTTTTGACCCCGCAACTGTGAATCTATAGGCTGGCTGCAACAACGTAGATAACGTGTTGTCGAAACTCTAATGAAATGATTTGGACACTGTACCGTTAAGGTTACATGTATTGCACAAGCGCAGTCCCAGAAGGCGCAGCAATGCGAACTGTCATGAACGCTAATGCGCGCCGGGGATGCAGTGTGCTTGCACTTCGAGCACTGCAGTCCACTGCATTTCATCATAAAGTCTGGTTCGGTGAGAACTTGACATTGCCGACAGACTTGAGTCGTCTTTCTCCCGTCTTCCTGACACCCGTGAAGTCCCGTACGTGGAGCTACTAACCGTTCCATAGACAGACAAGGCGACATCGCCTGACTGTACGTTTTGGCTGGTAAGTGCTTGTTCCATAGTCATCGCAAGACTGACACGACGAGTTGCTACTCCAACGTCGTCATGCGCAGCCCCTACGCCCTCGGCAAAGACGAACAGATCCACGTACAACGTCTCCATGTCGCTCGAGAACTCGGCCACGTAGTCTCCAACGGACCAGCCTCCAGTCGTCGGAATCATGGAGGACAAGCCGCTTGGAAGAGCGCGAAACACGTGAAGACGGCCGTCAAGCACCAGGTCCATCGATGACGCGGATGTGCCGCTAGTGCTCGAAAGCGCCGATCGCAACGATAGTAGGCGTGAGTCCTCATCAACAACAACGTCCAGCCGTCCGAACTCGTACACTAGCCGCGCTAAGTCAACTAGGAGGAGGTCGCGGAATCGGTCTGGCCCGCCGTTAATGACTTCTATTGATGATGGTTTCAATAACCATCGACGATTCCACGCACGCTGTGTGTCAATTCTTGGTTCGTCGCCTTCGATAGCTCGCGAGGGTTGAGGGTCTCCGTGGTTTCTAGCTGCGGATGAGATCATAGCTTCTCGAGCCTGAGCCGTAAAAGCTTCGAAAGCGTGGTTCAAGGCATCCGCTACCGAGCCTGGAGCCGACAGACCCATGAGCAATGTCGACATCGACGGCCGCAACACCTTGAAGCGCGCTCGACCATATACAATCGAGAGCACGTCGTCAACGAGAATCGGCAAGTATTTGCTTCCGTTCTCCGCCAACTTCAACCCACTCTCCCTTGCCATCTCGCGCAGGTCGCTCTCAAAGGCATCGTACAGACTTGATACCATCCTGACGAATCGTTCATGAAGCTGCTCCTTGGTCGGGACATCATCCCGCACGGCCCATGCCGAGTGAAGACGACGCTGGACCGTGCGAGACGACAGCACACGCAAGAAACAATGGGCGACCACGCGAACAATGCTGTCGTCTCGAGCCGACAAAGACTGCTTATCGACTCGTTCAGGCTGCAATTCATGGACAGGGTCCACTTCGACGGATCGACCGAAAAGCTCGCGTAGGAAACGGTGCATGATGTCTTCGAGCTGCCCACTGAGTACTTCCTTGGCGCCCTCACCCTGTCCCCAGTACGCTTCCAGATCCATGTCAGCTATGCGTTCGTCGACGTGAAGGTCGTGCAGTGTCAAGTTCTGGAGGAATCGCCACAATATCAGGAGCTGCTGACCCTTTTCACTGAAGTCAGCGTCAATCCGTTGCTGCCATAATGCGTTGTTGACTTGAGGATTGCAACGCGCGCCGTCTAGCTCGGCACTTGTGTACTGTTCTTTGGGTGGGGAAACGGGAGGGTTTCTACCTTTTTGTGTTCCCACGCCAGAAGAATGCTGTCGCTGCTCGATGGGCCGCTGACCAACGTCTTTCTGCCTCGATTCGCTGACACGATGACCCCAGACATACGCCTCTGGACTTCGCTTCGACTGAGGCGGGGTTCCAACGTTGTCCTCGGGGCTAACCGCTACTGCTGAAGCCGCTGCAGCATTGTTCGCAACGATTGCCGAGCCGGATCGTCGAAACGATATCAGCAGGAAGCTGGGTGACGCGACACTCGCCAGCACCACTGCTTGTCGGTTTGTCGTTGGTCCTTGCTCCTGTTGTTGAACGGCTTCGATTTGGTCTGCTTGTTGCTGGTACTGCTGCTGCTGTAGCGTAGGCACCACCCCAGTCAGCCGAAATGCGTACGCGACGAAGTGGTGGGTCATATCGCGCTGCGTCCGCGTGACGCTGCTGTCGTAGTTGTAGTACCATTTCGGGAACCTGCAGTTGTTCACCACGTAGAGCACCGAGTTCTGCGACGTACCCACCCACAATACCAGAGTCACAAAAACCCAGTGTTTGCAACATCCCAGCATCCACGACTGCTGACCAAGAGATCGACAACTCAAACTATAGATACTTAGCCACCAAGAGTTCACGTACCTCTGGAACAGTCTTCTGTTTCGCATCGCTCTCCCTGTCCGCGCGTATCCAGACGGACTCCATGCTGCTACGCCGCCCACTCGACGAAAACAGACTTGCGGGCAACACCACGCTCTCACCGACCCCCAGCCTGCGTTCGTCCTCCTGCCTGCTATCGTCACTGGTCTCGTCATTGCCACGACCGAACTCCGTCGCTAAGTTGCCGCCATCTCTTCGAACCAATCCTGCGATGTGTTCCAGTCCGGCAGGCCACCGCGGCGCCACACGTGAAGGCTCGAAGCGTGCACACACGACCAGGTCGTCCAGCTCCGCGGCGCTTACGCTGGATGAGAAGGTGACGAGCACGTGCACGGAGCAGCCGCAGTAGCTGCGTCTGGCGTGCTCCGGACAGCAGTGCGGGAAGCACCGCAAAAGCTACCGGATGATTCGCCGCATGGCACGGCATGGCATGGATGATATCGATACAGCAGTCGAGGTTGAGTGGAACAGACACGAAGACACGCAGCAGCAATGTGTGAGTAGGTTGTTGTCACGCAGGGATAAGAGCACTTCTACAGCTCAACTTGGTGTCATCTTAGCTAGCACTGACAGTCTCACCTTAACCCCTCGCTCACGGTTACTCCTGGAAGGTAGAATCCCCACAACATGCCAGTTCATATCATAGCAAACGATACCCATCAGCTCACACCTTCAAAACATACGACAACTAGTGACTACAAACTAAGCGCTGTGGCCTCTAGCCGGAGCTCGGGGCTTGCTGCTGCTGTTGTCAGTCACCTGGCGTACTCCCGGTGGAAGAGTGAATGGTCCTCTTCGCTGCAGCTCAGGCGCAGGAAGCGGCACGACACGACGCGCGCCATGGCGAGCGCTGGAGACTTGGTAGCCGACCCACTGCCGCTGCGTCCTGTCGAGTCCTCGAGTGGACGCTCCAAATGGAGACGCGGCCCTTCCGTCGCACAGGCGACTCGCAGCGAGTGGCGATGGGCGGGCGATGACCACACTGGTCGAGCTTCGAGTAACCTTAGTGTGGGCGCAGAATGGATTTAAGCCGGCTTTGAGGGTGGTGTCTCTCTGTCCGAGACGTTTGTGGAATCTCTCAATTTCTGGGCTCTGATTGGTCAGCTGGTGACATTTTTGTTTGAAGAGCCAATGTTCTTGCGCGAAAAAGTCCGTCTCGAACGATGGTGAAAATGTATGTGCTGAACCAAAAATTGATATTTGTGTTAATTTATGTGCTTTTTAGACTAATTAACTGTTTCATACATCAATTAATTAGTCGACGAAGCACAATACGACTACAAGTTCTATTTCACTACTGTGGCCCAGTATTATATCTCCCCGCAATCGCGGGACGAGATTGGGACGAATTCGGTTATTGCCAGGACCTCCGGCACCCCTGGCAGTGTGTTAGAGATGCAGTCCGATACATTTGCCTTTCAATTTTATGTATCCCGCGGCCCGCGCCACACAAGACTGGGCCTGTAGTACACTTGTAGGTTGTACAGGCTGTACAACCTACAAAATCCACCCTGATCACGGCCAAGCTTTCCACCATCAGCGTGGCCTGGAGAATGGTCCACCTTCGCTGCGACTACTGTAATAACGACATGGCCCCGTAGTCAGCTGACAAGACTACGTGCCTCGTGCCTCGTGCCTCGTGGATTTGTGCAAAGTGGACAGCGTTCCACTCAGCTTAGGTTAGATCAGTATCGACCTAACGCTTGAAACGCAAACGGAGGCAAACATGAGTACATGTAGTACACGCTGTTAAGGGATCCACACCGAACGAACAACCCAACTGCTCGCGACCTGCCCATTAGTTGCAATGCTTACCATTAGAACCACCTTCACAAGCAGTCGGCGCTCGAAAACATGCCATCATTAATACGTAACTCCATCCAGAACTCCACAATTGAACCTTTGAATAAATTGCGATCGGTGTGAGGATTTGATGAAGCGTGGGGGGGGCGTCTCAAGGCTCTCCACGCCGTAGTAGTGGGCCTGTCCAGGGCTGTGGAAAACATGATTGCGATTGTAATATTGCCGAGATTGTCAATCACAATAATTGATTGCTCCGTGATCTCAATCAGCAATACCGTTCCCATATTGTTCCTATACTGATTTTGAGCCTTTGCCAGCGATCCGGTAGAGAAATATGCAACGTCAAGCCTATGGAACCGATCCTAGCTCCTAAAAAGCCATTATGTGTCTTCTGCTGCTTCGAAATGCGGATATGAGGGGTCATTGGATGCCTGGATGGGGTGCACGCTCAACATGATAAATATAAGACCCAACATTGCATTTGGCCAAGGTTTTTGAAGCTCAACACAAATGTAATCGCACAAGCAAAGGTCAAAGGTCTTAGAGCGATAGCGCCGCCAAACCAGTAAAAATATGAACGTAGCAGAGGAAATACAAGCGAGAACTTAGATTGCAATCTTTTTGTTTGTGAGATTGTTGAGATTGCAATAATTGATTGTTCCAGATCTGAGCCGTCAATCAATAAACAATCTATATTTCCACGGCCCTGGATCGAGACCTACAAGAGCCTACAAGGCCGAGGACGGACCGTTGCACGGATTTACTGATATCATCCTCCAGCGAACCGCCTGGAAAGGTGCATCTCCAAATCTCCTGCTATATTTGAGCCTCTCTTTGGGTCTATCCAACTTGAGCATTTCCAACACTCGCGTTTGGGGCAAATGCTTCACTGTCATTGTGCCACCCATGAGGGCGTGGCGTGGCGGGTTAGCTGCGGTGAGGAAGTTCGCGAATTAGCAGACCTGCAGCCTGCTCACTTCGGAGCTCCTACCGAACCTATCTATAGTATCACTGCGACAGCGGGAAACTACGCCTTCGTCAGCAACTGATCTAACCTAAAGTTACCCCTGTCGCTTCCGCAACCTACAAATTCGTGCACCGAAATTTCAAACAAGTTGATGATCACGCGCATCACGTGATTTTCGGTGATCGCAAACGCGGATGGTACTGTACACTCTTTCGAGCTTGGAGTTTCGCGAAAACACGAGCTGGAAGGTGGAGGAAGTAGCATCATAATACCACGGTCTAAATACGTCCACTACACCCCCTTGATATGGATAACGCCGGTAGAAAAACGAGCTTGAAAGCTTATTGAGTTGGTCCCACGCGCAACATACTAATTCTTCACCGCCCTTGGATATGCTTCGCATGAGTCGTTCTGCTTCTTCAGCAGTCAAACGACAGTTTTGCTCTCGCATAGCGCTGTGAGTGGCTGTGAGTGTGATGCAGCGCGTCGTCGCATCGGTCAGCTCGAGTCTCTGGATGGACAGCTCTCCGCTCGTGATAACTTCTACACGCATAATAAGTTCACGGAGTGATGTCAGGTAGGTCCACGGATTGCCTTTAGACTTCATCGATCAGAGTTACCTCCTGCAGCTCGTGCCCAAGCACAATGAAAGCAGTGTTGCGGCGATTGCCTTCGGTAGGCAAGCGCGGTCTGGCCGTTCCGTTGATCAAGCGGAGATTTCAATCTTAACGTTAGTGAAATCAAAGAGCGATATTTTTTATCATTCGAGGTCTCTTGCTGGCCCTGCACTCGGTCGGGAACTGGTGCTACTAACTTGGTACGGGATGCTGGAACTCGCGGCTATTAAGCAGATGGGTTTGTATGTACTAATTGATGAGTTTGGTTGTTGGTTTTGTACGTTCTCAACCAAAGTGCGTTGTGGCCTTACTCCTGCTGAGGGTATTCTTCCTCCATCCACGAGCTGATGTAGCGATTGTCTATGAAGTCGTGCTCTGTCACGCAGCCAAGCCCCGGACACTCCGAAGCAAGAAACAGCGCGACGTCGAAGTGGTCTGCGCTTACAGCTCCCTCCAGCGCCTTCGCTGAGCAGCCCTCCGTCCGATGCCCACTCAACCACTGAACGACTTCAAGATGGCCCATTGCAGCAGCGTCATCCATCGCCTTGACCGTGCAGCCCTCGGACCGGTTTTCATGCAGCCACTGGACCACAGCCAGATGCCCTTCACTAGCTGCACCGTCCATCGCTGCTGACGAGAATTTACTTGCACTGTGTTCGTGGAGCCACTTCACCATCGCCAGGTTGCCACTCGAAGCGGCGACGTCCATGACGTCTACCAATGGTTCTGTCCAGTAGTTAACGTGGAGCCACTGCAGCACCTCAAGATGGCCGCCTGCGGCTGCAAACTGGATTGCTGCAGGTGTGCAGGTCGGTACCGTCGCCCCGGTAGACTCTTGGAGCAGGTCCACAGTCTCCATCGCCAGAGCCACGTCGTGCAAATACTTCAAGACGTGGAGATGCCCATTCATTGCGGCGACATCCATCACCGTGGTGTTGAACTGCTGCTTGGTTCCCGCCGCGTACAAATCCACGCTCAGATCCTCTGAAAACTGCGCGTGAAGCCACTGAACCACGCGCAAATGTCCGTTGCTTGCGGCGGCTCGCATCGTCTTGTGCGTACACACAGCGGAGCAGATCTCGTGGAGGTACCGGACGACTTCCAAGTGTCCGTTAGCGGCCGCCAAGTCGATCGCCTTGTACGCCATGTTCCAACCAAGATTATTCTCCTTCAACCACTGCACCACCGCCAAGTGGCCGTGCGTTGCGGCGTCACAAAACGCTTGGCCGTCGAGGAACACCAGGCCTTCGTTCGTTAGCAGCTTCACCACCTCCAAGTGCCCCTTTCCCGCCGCATTCTTGAGTGCCCACTCCTTGCCAACATCCTTGTGCTGGTCGAGGAGCCACTGCACCATAGCGACGTTGACCCCTTCGGCTGCGAAGTCGAGGCGTGGTGGCTGCCAGCGATCCGCAACGAGCCGTCGTACGGCCTCCATGTCTCCGTGGCGTGCAAGTTGGTCCATGACTTCCTGGTTGCTCTGCATGTAGAAGCCATTGAAAACGTCCGCGTACATCCACACCACCAAATCCCCATGGCCTCCCGTCGCAGCAGCCAACAAGGCGTTGCTTTCCCAGAACTTGACCTGGTGGGGCTTGTTCTCGGCGCGAGCTCGCGCTCCGGGCATGGACGCCCTCTTGTAGTCCCCATGAACCTTCAGCAGCAGCTCCAAGATCTCCCGCTGTCCTCGTTGGGCCGCCGCCTCGATCGCTTGAGCGGGCACCACGCAGCTTGAGAAGTGCTCCACCAGCCACTGCACCGTGCTCGCATCCGCGTGCTTGCAGGCCTCGATCATGCCCTTGGCGAACTGGTCTTGGTAGTAGTAGCGGTTGGTCCACAGCATCCGAGACGGCCGCCACGTATTCGTCGGCTGGCACCACGGGACCACGGCGGTCTCCGTTGACTTGCTGGCGGTCCAGATCCTTTCCAGGAGCGCCACGGAGCCTACCGCGCAAGCTCGAGCCAGCGGCAGACTCGAGGACCGGTCCAGGAAGGCCGATAGCGTAGCCGTCACGTGCGAGAGCTCCGCGATGCCTGGCTGCAAGCGAGTCACGACGGTGACGCTGGTTAGTGGGGGCGGAGCCATGGCAATGTCGAAGTGGGGAGTGTGCGCGCGTGCACGCACTTGTCAAATGAGGAGGTGCGCCGAATCTGAAGCAACGCCGTCGAATCGTGGGAGACATGTCTGTCGTCATATCGGATTGCACGGGGATCCGTTGTCAATGCCGCCGTGGTCTCCTGGTTTCCGAATCGGAGTAAATACACGAGGACAGGCAGGAACCTACAGCATGCGTGCAATGGCAACGAGGATATACGCTGGTACTACATGTACGGTGAGCGACGAAGGGATAGCGTAAGCTGCTCTCTTGCTTTACTACGGCGAGCGCGGCGCCTGCTGTGACAGACTCGCGTGCCACTTGATTGCTGACGGTTCGTCAAAGCATTTAACGCAAGCTATTACAGCAGGAAGCAGTGAACCTTGGCTGGCTGTACGTCTGCGACGTAGACCTGCGGCACGCATTATCCATAATGCAAAGGCACAACAGGCGAGCGTTCCTGGAAGGTCGAGATGACAAGTGTAGCATGCACGACCTGACTGCAGGTCAAAATTTCTCCTTGGAGATGACTGAGGCGCAAGTCTCACCGCACGAGATTGATGAGATACGAGGCTACAGGTTCGAGTAGTTAGTACGTTTGAATACTGTATCGATTTCTTGCCAACGGCACCACTCTAGTCTACGATCTCTACGGCTGCTGCTCCACCTTGCCGTTCTCCGTCGGCTTGTAGTGCTCGAACGTGTTGTAGCCCTTGTCGCCCATGGCGGCGTCCCAGAAGTACTTGTACTCCGGCACGGGGTTCACGGGCCAGTCGTTCTGGAAGCGCTCGGCCAAGTCCGGGTTCGAAATGAAGAGCCTTGCGAAGCCCACGAAGTCGGCGGTGCCGCTGCGGATGACGCCCTCGGCCGTGTCGCGCGTGTAGCTGTTGTTGGCCATGACGGTGCCCTTGAACGCCTTCTTGGCGTCGAACACCGTCAGCGTGCGGCTCTCGCTCGAGTAGCCGAAGCCGAAGCCGTCGAGCATGGCGAGGTAGGCCAGTCCGTGCTCCGACAAGCGCTCGAACACGTACGAGAACATCTCGTTGTTGTCCTTGCTGCCCATGCCGCCGAAGACGCCGTTGGGCGACACGCGCACGCCAATGCGTCCGGCGGGGTACACCGTCTTGAGGGCCTCGACGACCTCGTCAAGGAAGCGGTAGCGGTTCTCGAACGAGCCGCCGTACTTGTCCGTGCGCTGGTTCGTGGACGACTGCAGGAACTGGTCGACGAGGTAGCCGTTGGCGCCGTGCACCTCGACGCCGTCGAAGCCCGCGCGCTTGGCGCGGATGGCGCACTGGCGGTACATCTCGACGACCTCCGGGATCTCCTCGGTCGTGAGCGCGCGCGCCTTCTCGAAGCCGGTGCGTTCTCCGCTGGCGTTGCGCGTACTGCCGCCGACGTACTGCGTGGCCGACGCGGACACGACTTCGTTGGTCGGGTGGAAGGAGGGGTGCGACTGGCGGCCCATGTGCCACAGCTGCAGGAAGATTTTGGTGCCCTTGGCGTGCACGCGGTCCACGAGCTCCTTCCAGGCAGCCTCCTGCTCGTCCGTGTAGAGTGCGGGGGCCCCGTACCACCCGAAGCCCTGCTCCGAGATGCCGCAGCCCTCCGTGATGAGAAGGCCGGCACCGGCGCGCTGCTCGTAGTACACCATGTTGCGCTCCAGCGGCACGTGCGTGTCCGGGTCCGAGCGCGCCCGGGTCGTGGGGCCGTAGACGATGCGGTTCTTGAGCACGAGGTCCTTGGACAGCTCCAGCGGCGTGAAGAGCTTGTAGTCGGCGGTGACGGAAGACATGGCGGTGACTTTGGTTGTTTGGTGCTTGTGAGGCACTTGGCGAGTTGGAGAATGAGAGGTGGGAGTCGCCACGCAATGAACTCTTGTCTACGGTGCGGGCGGCGTCGAGCCATTAGGCTGAATGGCGGGATCCGATGCGTTATACTAGCGGTTGACGCAATTTTGCGCGGTCAAGTGGGTACGTCGTCAACAGGAGGATTACAAAAACGATCTAACCATTCATGCAGCCAAGGCAACATGCGTTTGCATAGTGTCGCATTACGTCGACCACCGAAACTCCGACAGTACAGTATATGCTACTACCGGTACAGTAATCTGCCCGAGTAAGGAACGCCTGATATATATAAAGACGCAGAATATATAAATTGATGTTAAGTTGAGTATACTTTTCCAACGTACTGATTTAGTTATTTCAAAATGAACTGAAGAGCAGCTTTACCCACGAGTCCGGAATGATTCCAACAGTGGCGTATGGTCGAAGCACTAACCTTTGACCAGGCATCCTCGCACCACAACAGCGCTGTCAACTGGTCGACCTCGTAGGGATTATCTAGCCCTTCACCTTGTCGAGGATGCCCACTTTCTCAGACCAAGTGAGGCGGAGACGCTTGGACGGTGTGGACTTCATGGGTGGAGTGGGGGAGGAGGTGGGCTTGTGGGGCGAGGTGCAAAAGCAAAAGTGCGAGTCTACCACTATGGTACATGTAGTTTGAAGTCTAGTAAGATCGCTAAATGCGCGCCATTTTTCAAACGAGGGTGGAGAGCTGATGATTGGCACTGGATTTTTCACCTTAGTACCTCAGTACCTTGCAGTACCTTGCACATCCCCCTATCGCCACATCGACTGGAAAATAATATTAAATATGTGAGGCTATTAGTTGTACACCCGTTCCTTATTCGGGCAGAATTCTGTAGTTCTCATGCACGATGCCCAGACCCATGGCGACGAGCTTTTGTTTGTCCGTCGCATGAGCAAACAAGTGATTTATACCGTGTATATCAGGGTATTTTCGGGTTTCGGTGGTCGACGTAATGCGACACTATGCAAACGCATGTTGCCTTGGCTGCATGAATGGTTAGATCGTTTTTGTAATCCTCCTGTTGACGACGTACCCACTTGACCGCGCAAAATTGCGTCAACCGCTAGTATAACGCATCGGATCCCGCCATTCAGCCTAATGGCTCGACGCCGCCCGCACCGTAGACAAGAGTTCATTGCGTGGCGACTCCCACCTCTCATTCTCCAACTCGCCAAGTGCCTCACAAGCACCAAACAACCAAAGTCACCGCCATGTCTTCCGTCACCGCCGACTACAAGCTCTTCACGCCGCTGGAGCTGTCCAAGGACCTCGTGCTCAAGAACCGCATCGTCTACGGCCCCACGACCCGGGCGCGCTCGGACCCGGACACGCACGTGCCGCTGGAGCGCAACATGGTGTACTACGAGCAGCGCGCCGGTGCCGGCCTTCTCATCACGGAGGGCTGCAGCATCTCGGAGCAGGGCTTCGGGTGGTACGGGGCCCCCGCACTCTACACGGACGAGCAGGAGGCTGCCTGGAAGGAGCTCGTGGACCGCGTGCACGCCAAGGGCACCAAAATCTTCCTGCAGCTGTGGCACATGGGCCGCCAGTCGCACCCCTCCTTCCACCCGACCAACGAAGTCGTGTCCGCGTCGGCCACGCAGTACGTCGGCGGCAGTACGCGCAACGCCAGCGGAGAACGCACCGGCTTCGAGAAGGCGCGCGCGCTCACGACCGAGGAGATCCCGGAGGTCGTCGAGATGTACCGCCAGTGCGCCATCCGCGCCAAGCGCGCGGGCTTCGACGGCGTCGAGGTGCACGGCGCCAACGGCTACCTCGTCGACCAGTTCCTGCAGTCGTCCACGAACCAGCGCACGGACAAGTACGGCGGCTCGTTCGAGAACCGCTACCGCTTCCTTGACGAGGTCGTCGAGGCCCTCAAGACGGTGTACCCCGCCGGACGCATTGGCGTGCGCGTGTCGCCCAACGGCGTCTTCGGCGGCATGGGCAGCAAGGACAACAACGAGATGTTCTCGTACGTGTTCGAGCGCTTGTCGGAGCACGGACTGGCCTACCTCGCCATGCTCGACGGCTTCGGCTTCGGCTACTCGAGCGAGAGCCGCACGCTGACGGTGTTCGACGCCAAGAAGGCGTTCAAGGGCACCGTCATGGCCAACAACAGCTACACGCGCGACACGGCCGAGGGCGTCATCCGCAGCGGCGCCGCCGACTTCGTGGGCTTCGCAAGGCTCTTCATTTCGAACCCGGACTTGGCCGAGCGCTTCCAGAACGACTGGCCCGTGAACCCCGTGCCGGAGTACAAGTACTTCTGGGACGCCGCCATGGGCGACAAGGGCTACAACACGTTCGAGCACTACAAGCCGACGGAGAACGGCAAGGTGGAGCAGCAGCCGTAGAGATCGTAGACTAGAGTGGTGCCGTTGGCAAGAAATCGATACAGTATTCAAACGTACTAACTACTCGAACCTGTAGCCTCGTATCTCATCAATCTCGTGCGGTGAGACTTGCGCCTCAGTCATCTCCAAGGAGAAATTTTGACCTGCAGTCAGGTCGTGCATGCTACACTTGTCATCTCGACCTTCCAGGAACGCTCGCCTGTTGTGCCTTTGCATTATGGATAATGCGTGCCGCAGGTCTACGTCGTAGACGTACAGCCAGCCAAGGTTCACTGCTTCCTGCTGTAATAGCTTGCGTTAAATGCTTTGACGAACCGTCAGCAATCAAGTGGCACGCGAGTCTGTCACAGCAGGCGCCGCGCTCGCCGTAGTAAAGCAAGAGAGCAGCTTACGCTATCCCTTCGTCGCTCACCGTACATGTAGTACCAGCGTATATCCTCGTTGCCATTGCACGCATGCTGTAGGTTCCTGCCTGTCCTCGTGTATTTACTCCGATTCGGAAACCAGGAGACCACGGCGGCATTGACAACGGATCCCCGTGCAATCCGATATGACGACTGACATGTCTCCCACGATTCGACGGCGTTGCTTCAGATTCGGCGCACCTCCTCATTTGACAAGTGCGTGCACGCGCGCACACTCCCCACTTCGACATTGCCATGGCTCCGCCCCCACTAACCAGCGTCACCGTCGTGACTCGCTTGCAGCCAGGCATCGCGGAGCTCTCGCACGTGACGGCTACGCTATCGGCCTTCCTGGACTGCTGCAATGAAGAAGCCTATTGTCGAGCACCTGAGACTACACTGCAATGATAGTTTCACTGTAGATACGTTGTTTCCGGGTCTACCTACAGAAAAGAGTAGTGGTGTTAAGATGGGCTCGTCGTTTAGCTCTATAGCTGCTGGGGGTGCTTCTATCGGCGGCAGGAACAAACGCAAAGCTTGCTCTACTGAGCTTCGATCTCAAGTTGGGGTGGTGGCGGCGAACAAGCTAATAAGTTGGGCTGTGTCGGCAGCCGCATTGGTGAGATTCGGCCTTGAGAGACTTGAGGTAGAGTGCTCAGTTTATTGTGCATTGCAAACGTTTTGTCGTTTTGACTTGGAGCTCTCCTCGATTTATAATAACTCGAGGTCGATTTAATAAAACGAGGTCAAAGAAAGGGACAGATCGATCTATTTAAGCCACCCAACAACTCGAGCTACGACAAGCCAATTCAGGGCTCGAGGTCGATCTCCTGGCAGATTTGAGTAGAACGAGGTCGATCTACGGCAAATCGATCCCTTTTTCGTTTTCAAAAGCGCAACTCGAGCCGATCTATAATAAATCGAGATCGTACATGCTACCCCCTCTGCTTTGTGGACCGGCCTTCCTCGATGTAGGCCATAAAACGGGGCGACATTTTATCTGCAAAGCACAATAGTAATTTTGATAAATACATCTGGGCGTCCGGTGCCGATTCGTTTTTTGAGCAAAATCGGGCGTCTGGTATTTTAGCTCCGGTAGAGTCCCTCTACAAAACAAATTCGGTATCCATACAGGTGACTTCATTGTTTCGTTTTGGTACAAACTGGATTAGCGTACTTCATACTTTATACTATCTCTGTGCTGAAAATAATGCAACTTCAAAAAATATTTGCGCATAGCTCCGCCTCGTTTTTTCACCGATATAGGATTTGCAGCGGTTTAATGAAGTGCCCTACAAAAGAAAAGGATCCAGGTCTGAAGACTCAAATGCAGAGGGTAGTAGCGAGGGCTGGTGCTGGGGTATCAGCTGCGGTGGGGAGGGACGTTGCCCAGCACAACTAACCGGACGAGGTTGGGCAGCACGAAGCTGCTCTGCGTAGATCTGCTCAACAGAGAGCATTGCGATTGCTGAGTGAGCGCTGAAGAGGATCTCGGCATCACACATCAGAGTGGTGGGGAGTTGGCCAGCATTGATCAGCTTGTCCTTGTGCATGTGCGTGAGCCGGTAGTTGTTGCGCCCTTCGTTGGTCATGATCTCCTTCATGACAAGTTGCAGCGTTAAGAATGTCTTGTTGAGAGTCTCTGCCGTAGTCTCTGCAAACGCGAGCTCAACTTCCTTGATGAGATCCTCCGTGGTCCGTGGGCTGGTGTGACTGCATGCTGAAGAAGTAGCCGAGATCCAGGCAATTGAGGTCTGGGCTTTGGGCAGGTTGGTTCTTGAGTCGGATATTCCATCCGTCGGCGCGTCCAGCAGCGAGCACTTCAGCGCCCTCCTCAAGCACATGTGGCCTCGCGTTGTCTTGTTGAATGCGAATGAGAGTGGCCTTCTGATCTTGAGGCCACTTCGCCTTGATGGCAGGAATGACGTCGGTCACGAGCATGCGGCGCGCCAAGGTACGGTTCATAGAGACTCGTTTTATCTCCTCGACACCTGCGGGGCGGTTGACACTCCAGCGTTGTGTAATGTAGGTTTCCACGACAGGCCAAAGCCCTATCTTGCCGTCCCAGTCGCCGCGTGGCCGCGCCACGGCGCACAGGAACATCACCTTCTTGATGTGACGCTTGCTTTGAACGTACTGCACGGAAGCTTCTTCCAGGG